AGACAGCACTTCACCTAGCAGCACAATCAGGCTCGTTTAAAGCTATTCAACAGCTCCTTATAAGTGGTGCAGATATCTAAGCACAGGACAAGGATGGTTAGACAGCACTTCACCTAGCAGCACAATTAGGCTCGTTTAAAGCTATTTAACAGCTCCTTATAAGTGGTGCAGATATCTAAGCACAGGACAAGGATGGTTAGACAGCACTTCACCTAGCAGCACAATTAGGCTCGTTTAAAGCTATTTAACAGCTCCTTATAAGTGGTGTAGATATCTAAGCACAGGACAAGGATGGTTAGACAGCACTTCATATAGCAGCACAATTAGGCTTGCTTAAAGCTATTAAACAGCTCCTCAATATCCGAACAGAAACTAGGGAGGATAGGACAGTTCTTTATAAGGTGGTAACTGGAAATAACGAGAATGGACAAATCAACTTAGTTGATAATGATGGAAAGACTCCATTGCACTTAGCTGCTTAAGCTGGACATAAATCGGTAGTTGGGTTGCTTGTTAGTCTAGGCAGCGTGGGGTCGGCTAACTTAGCCGACAATACAGGCAAGACCCCGCTGCACCTAGCCGCTGAAGCTAGACACAAATTTATAATTCAGTTGCTCTTAGAAGGAAAAGCGGCAGAGTTGGTTAGCGTGGCTGACAATGACGGCAAGACCCCGTTACACCTTGCCACTAAAGCAGGGCATGAATCAGCAATCGAGTTGCTCGCGACTGAAGGCAGCAAATTGTCACTTAGCTTAGACGACATTGTCATCAAGAAGCCACTAGGTTCTTTGTCTACTGACAGAACTCTGTTAACTGACGTCTCTGTTTCGGACACAAGATCTACCCGCTGGAATTATTCAATGATTTCCAGCCTTACAAATTCTTCAGCAGATGCATTTCGAAGTATATGCTCAATATTCCTATCTTCAGAGTTGCCACCACATGTATTTAGGATTCGATGGACATGTCATTGTGGTCATCGGTCCTATGACGATTATATATCGGAACGTAGAGTTGTCAAGTCTGTTGCAGATCGAATAAACTTGAGTGGTATCAAAGCAGAAATTGTCACGTGGCGCGAAAGCGGGGTGAGGACGTTGCTTTTAGCATTGAAGAATATGGCTTTGAGTGGGCATAGGAAATATGCTGGAAGTCATCGAGAATCAGGCCAAGGTACGTCACCCAATTTACGAGCAGATATGAACTTGGGTATCGCTGCACCTAGTTTGAACCAAGGTGTATAGGGTGACACCTAAGATATTTCTAAAATGGAACTTGAATCCGCTGGTGGAGGGCCGATTAAGGCTGTTAAGGGAGAGGTCAAGGACGAAGTTAGATTTCTCCACCTCTGCATCCACGGAGAATCCCAACTGCCTTGTGTGGGCCATATTATGATAGATCCTAAGAGCGTACACGCTAAAATTATCAATGGCGATCAGCAGCTATTTAAGGAGATAAAGGAAAGGTATCTTAAAGCATGCGAGAAAAGAATGACAGCTTTCATCAAGCTGAAAGGCATTTACTTCGTTTAGGTAAGTTGCTACCGCATGACATTGTCTTTGTACGCTAACGGGCACAGTTTCGGCTCTTCCTAAGAACCGTGGTAGGTGGCTTGAAAGAGAACAAGATTCCAACCGATACATCGGAATATGACTTTAAGGAAGTGTAGGAGTTGAAAGACGGTGATTTACCTATTCCACTAAGTGTGATGTTGCATTTTTACAGTACACCCGAGCACATATTAGATGACGGACTGTGTCTTAACGCATATCCTAAGAGGAGATTAGAACCGTTATACTAGAAGAGGGGCTAATCTAATGTAGGATACGGAATCTATTTGAAAGAAGAGCTGGATGAGATGTTGTTTGCTCTTATTAGAGGTTCCATAGCACTTTCTATTAGCGTTATTAGGTGGATTGTTTTCCTTGTTCGTTATGATCTTGAAAAGAGCTATCCTTAGCCGGCTGTTTTATGGATCTTAGGAATTGGGGTCTGCGCTTTAGAGGTGCTAAAAGAGTGGCTAAAGGCACGATTTGAATCTGGTGCAACAAAAGAAACAAAGATCGAGTGAATTAAATTGGGTTGTTTTTAAGTATATCCTGTTATCTAGTGTTATGTGGTATGGATTTATTAGCTCATTAGAGTACTGTATTCGTCACGCCATAGAGGAAAGCGACGACGGGTAGTAGGTGGAACCGATAGATGATGACAAGAGCATGGACCGGAAAGTTACATCGGAGCATTATCCTTGCACTGAGCTTTACTAAAAGCAGGAAAGCCCCACGGTAGTAATAATGGGGGGCGATATTTCACAAGACTGTGTGTAGGAAAGCCGGTTCTGTGCGGTATGTTACTGACGATGATGTCTGCGAGTCACGATGAGAGTGGTCATAAAGATTTTTTAAACTCCTTAATTATTGCAAGGTAATAGCAATTGAGAGACAGTTAGAGTCTAAACTATTAAAGATATAAACCGTGTCGGTGGTGTGTGTGATTTAAATAACTGATTTGACCAGTTAATACTTCCCTACATCCGTCGCGACGGCAATGAATTTTTGCATCTAAAGCCACTAAGTTAAGATGCTGTGTTCGTACGTGCTTACGGAGGATATCAATGCGTTTAAAGACCTTCTCCTTCTTTGCTGGTCCAGCCTCCTCGTCCGACTTACAGAGATCACATGTCAAATCTAGCCCTTGGATCTACTAAACACTCACAATCGTCTCGTTTTTATACTGCTTCTAGACATCAGAGAGATGTACCGGCTGTTGCTTCTCTAACTTCGGCCCCTTATACTTGCGAGGGCATTCTTGTCTGTTGCAGATTAGTGCTAGGTTATCAACGAAAGCAATCCGCACTTCAATGACCTAATCCTCATCTAAATCATTAAGTGGCATGCCTAGCATTTTGACAATTGCAGCTCGCTCTTTAAGTTCGTACTTCTTTGGAGGGGCGGTGAGAGCATTAGCAGGGAAGATACCCTGCATTTGTCGATTGACCTCCTTAGTGTGGACGTTTATATGAAATTCTTTGATAGTCTTCTTAAGTAATTCGTCGCTTAATTAGCGTCTTAAATTGTTTATATTAGCTTGCGCCTCTTTATGTTGCTCGAACAACTTCGTTCCTTAAGCTGCCTTAATCGTGGTGTAGCCCTTCAGCTTGATCTCGTGGCCATATGTGTTACGTAAAGCAGATGCCTTAACGATGTCTAGATGACTTTTAATCTTAAGCTTCTGCTTATCTATAAGGCACGAAGGGCATCTCCTATGACGAGCTAGCCGGCTGACTCTTCGTATGAGATCGTCTCGTCGTGGTGTGCCTAGATAGATGCCTTAGCAGTCTTTGTCGACGAAGTCTAGCATGTAGTACCGCTTGTAAACATCCCTACTATTGCCCATAATATGTCTGCGTTCTTTAGGGGTTAGTGCATCTGTGAAAGTATATATTAGCAAATAGGACAGCAGACACTAATAGAAGAATAGAGATGAAAAGGATTAATATCATACCATTTAGTTCCTTCCCTAAACCTCGCTACAGGCCATAGAGCTCGAGCGCCTTCTCATATCCCATCACTCGACTAAGGCGAACAAAGTAATATCGATACTTCGCATACTAGAAAGGTTTGCTCTTAGAAATACAGACTCCATTAGCAGTGACCTTAACGTCGTAGAAGACAGGTCGTTCTGCCCATTCGTCGTCCCATTTAAGAGTAATGCGGTTAGCGTCTAGAGGGACGACTAGATTGTAGATATCCCGTAGAGATTTGAATTTGTTTTTGAACGCGTTATTAGTAAGAGCAAGTGCTAGCATAAAGCTAACTACGCAACATGATAGGTCTTCCCCTTCATAGAATGTAAACTTCTTCCTGTTTAAATTAGTAAATTGCAGAGGCAAAGCAGCTTGGCTCCTACACATAGATACCACTTACTTCTTAGACTTCCCTCTAGACCTTTTAATATGCTTAAGGTTTAAAGTCATGACGATTATTAGCCGTTTCTCTTTAACCGTAGAAGGGAATAGTTGGAATGTGATATCTAAATAGAGCAGAGGACGCTTCCTAACAAGAGCCTTTAGCCTTGAGCTTGTACAGCTACTAAAATCCATAAGTAACGATTCTTGTACCTAGAGTCGTTCATGGGGATATAACTCTGTATCATCTACCTAGTTGCCATGTTGTAGATTGCATAGATCATCAACAAACAGCGCGTACTTTTCCTTTTCGGACGTATCAAGTTCGAGATATTGTGGGATCCACTTTTTTAAAGTTAGTATCGTCTAGCTAAGTACTAAAAGGGGCAACTTACGTTACGAATATCAAATAAAATGTCGTCAGTCATATATCTCTTCGCTACTTGTGCATATAACATGCTAAGGGTCTTCTAGTACGTTACAATGGAGGATTCTTTCGTTATGCGTGAGTTTTCATATCTCTAGCAGAGGTATGCCTTGAAAATGGGTGCTTTGCCCTTAGTAAGGGCCTCTAATGGATTCTTGCCAAGTACGAAATCGAGATCTTCACCCTTAGGAGCAGCTTCTTTCTCGGCCTTTAACTTCGCCTAAAACCTACTAAGCAAGCGTAAGCAAAGACGTCTACATGCGCGCAGCTAACTAATAAAGACTTACAGAGCCTAAAATTCCTCTGCCCTCGCTATCATAACCTTCGTATCGTCGCTGTGATTTGATAGATTAACACCTGCTTTACTAAAATCTGCTATCTTTTGCCGGTAGGACACGGCTTTAGCGGAATCAGATTTACTTTTAGACTGGGAGTTGTAGCCAGAATCTAGGCGCAGCTCATCGCCAGCATGTGGAGATGGTAATTGCTTGCGGCGATGTATCTTTTTCTTTTGAAGTCGCGGTTCATGGAGTCGCCGTTGTTCCTCCATGTTTGCTAGCACTATAGAAGGAACTCCACCTCGGCCACTGTGAAGCCCTACGCGTTAGGCGTGGCGTCGAGCGAGTTTTGGGGGTAGATTGGCCATGTCGCTGCAGAAGATAGCGTGTATTAGTGGCAGTTTGTGAGGTCAAATTATGGCGTTTAGGCTGGGAGGAGATTATGCTCGACGTTGTGCTCGATATTCCAAGAAGCGTATATTCCTTTGGATCTGCAGATATCGCCTATAACAACCCGATCCTCTGGCCGTGTTGGCTAGAGGATAGTTCTGGATGAGCTGGGCCCTACACTGATCTAAGAGTCGGACTTGGCTAGTGATACGCAGGTCCTTCGAATACATAATAGTAAGATATGAGTAAAAGAGTGAAAGGTAAAGACGGCAGAGAAAAGACAGTAAAGTGAAGTAAACCAGAAGGTTGCTTGAAAGCACTGAGCTAACAGAGCGAGTAAGGAGTGCGAGCGTAAGTGTGAGATGGTAAGATTATATACATTTTCTGTCACAGCAGGTCACGAAGTAGGTTGCGTGGGTTACTTTGCCTTGTTATTTTTACCTAGAAAATCGGCCCTCACATTTCGGGGGGCAACCAATTTCGCGATTGTGATTGTAGTTGTCCTTAAGGCGGCAAGCCAAATTTATGTTAGCGTGGAGTTAGCGTAGGTAACCGAGCGGAGAGGCCGCATAAAGCAGCGGGCAAATGCCGCCATAAACAGTTGCCAAATCGCCAACATGTAGTGTATAGTAGGTATAAAATAGAATAGGTACCTTACTTAGGTAGGTAACTTATATATAAAATACATTATTCCTATTCTTACCCTATCTATATAGGCTCTACTTATATTACTTATACCTCCTACTATTATATAAGCTATTCTATATGTAAAACTATTTTATATAACACTAGTTTTAGGATGTTGTTAAATAATGCTACCTAATTCTTAGGGCTATAATTATATTTAGCCCTAGCCTAATTAACATAGTTTACTCCTCTAGTATAGGTTATAGAAGAAACCTGCCTTAGTACTAGGACTACCCCCTTTCTAAGTTATGTATAGTATAACGCTACTCTTCCTTCCTATATAAGTACTTCATCTTATACTTAGAAATGAGTAAGGTCTATAAGCGCTTGCAAACGACAAACAGTTGGTTGATTCTAAAAGCGAGAAATGACGATGTGAGCATTAAAATGAGAATCACTTGGCTCCTTCTGCCATTAGACCGAGAATCACTTGGCTGATACTTAGCTCCTTCCGGAATCTGCTTAGGCCATAGCGTTGAGGCTACGGCGCTAAGGCGACAGCTTTGCACAGCCTGGAACCAGTACCCCACTAAACCCCACTAAACGGCCAGTCGACCAGAAGTTGGCCATCAAGCGCTTAAACAGTACCGCATGTTCTCGAAGGCCACCTTCTTTCTACCATGGTAGTTGCCGTTCCAAACGTTGTATAGGGAGAGCCTACTTAGAGAGTCTATGTAAGGGGGGAATATTATTCGGGAGGGCGTGCGTGTGTACGTATAGGCAGAGGCCTCGTGTGTGTCATTGTGGGGTTGTGGCATTGTGGGTACGGGGGAGAGATATGTGTGGGTATAGAGAGGCCTAATACGCGGGGTATGGGAGAAAAGCCGAAGCTAAATGTTACATACAGGCCTACTACTACCTATTATAGTCCGTATATGTACTATTAGTATTCACTCGGATATCCTCGGAGCATCTAGAGGTTAAGGGGAGGTTAGGGTCCAGACCCATTTTAGTACTAGTAAAGACAGGCATGACATGTATACCTAACACAGAGTGATATACTCGAAGTGTCTACAGGTAAGGAAAGGTGCAGACGGCTAATGCCACGCTAGAAGCCATCCACGCCAGCCATTCCATGCACCGTTGCCCACGCCGAACGTTCCCGTACTAACGGCCTGCCTATTTGGGCAAGTCGGGTTGTTGCTGTACTGTACAAACCGGCAGGGGTTTGCTTCTTCCCCTCCCTTGTTCCCTGTCATGTCGTGGATCATCCTCCCCGCAGATTGCTATGTAACCATCCTTCTTGAATGACCATCTTATTATAAACTAATCCCCTCTAATCCCCTCCGCACACTCTAAGGTTGACAGGTTGGATATCGAATACTCGGAGAATACGACAAGGCACAATGTCTTCAAAACCTTTCAACGACGATCCTGAGAAGGATGGTGGTTATGGTGCACCATCCCCCATGAGCGTGAACAGCGACGGCCAACCCGCAACCCTCCACGTCGAAGACCAACAAAAGGGTCCTATGATGAGTCGCTTAGTCGACAGTTTTAAACGCGACCCCAACGCCTCCAGCGGAGCCCGTACCTACAAGGCCGAGGACGGCGGTTTCGATCATGAGGGTGCCGCGCAGCGCACTGCCAACTCTGGCCTCGCTCGTAAGCTTAAGGGCAGACATCTGCAAATGATTGCCATCGGTGGTTCAATTGGCAAGTTCTACCCGAATTGATTAGAGAAAGAGGCGTCGCTAACTGTCCCTAGGTACTGGTCTTTTTGTTACATCTGGCGCTGCTCTTTCCAGGGGTGGTCCCGCATCTCTGATCATTGCATACGGAATCATTGGCATAATGTTGTTCTGCACCGTTCAGGCACTCGGCGAGATGGCCGTTATTTTCCCCGTGGCCGGATCTTTCGCTGCGTATTCCACACGGTTCATTGATCCTGCTTGGGGTTTCGCCATGGGATGGAACTATGCCGTGCTGTGGTTGATCGTTCTTCCGCTCGAAATTGTCGCCGCGTCCATTACTGTCTCTTTTTGGCCAGGAGCTGCCGATACCAACTCTGCCGCATGGGTCACCATATTCTTCGTATTGATCGTTTCCATAAACTTATTCGGCGTGCGAGGATACGGCGAGGCTGAATTCGTCTTCTCGATTATCAAGGTCATCGCTGTTATTGGCTTCATCCTATTGGGTATAGTCCTCAACTGCGGTGGTGGCCCCGTTGGTGGCTATATTGGCGACAGGTACTGGAAGCCCAACGGCGTCCTACCAGACTACCAAGGATATATCCAGAACCCCGACGCCGCACCCGGATCAATCGTTTCTGGTCCTTTCAACAATGGATTCAAGGGCCTTTGCAGCGTCTTTGTCACAGCTGCCTTCTCCTTCGCTGGTACTGAGCTTGTTGGTCTGGCCGCTGCTGAATCTGACAACCCGCGCAAGACCCTCCCAACCGCTATCAAGCAGGTGTTTTGGCGTATCTTACTCTTCTACATGGTCTCATTGACCATCGTGTCCCTCTTGGTTCCATACGGAGACTCTAGACTCCTCGGCGCTGGTTCTACCGATGCCAAGGCCTCACCTTTCGTCATCGCCATCGAAAACGCCTCAATCTCCGTTCTGCCATCGATCATGAACGTTGTAGTACTCATTTCCGTTCTGTCCGTCGGTAATTCTGCCGTGTATGGCTCATCCCGTACCCTGGCCGCTCTCGCAGAGCAAAACCAAGCGCCACGCATCCTGGCATACATTGACCGGAAAGGACGCCCAATAGTCTCCATTGGGATTGCATCGGTTTTCGGTCTCCTCGGTTACGTCGTCGCTGGTGGACCGAAAACCTCCAGCACCGCTCTCAACTGGCTATACTCCCTCGCTGGGCTCTCGTCCATCTTTACATGGGGTTCCATTTGCCTAGCTCACATTCGCTTCCGCGCTGGGTGGAAGAAGCAAGGCCATTCCCTCGACGAGCTCGCATTCCGCTCCCAAGTCGGCGTCTATGGCTCCTGGGTCGGCTTTATCCTCAACTGCCTTGTGCTCGTTGCTCAATTCTGGACTGCCATCTGGCCTATTGGCTATGGGAGCCTGACCTCCACTGAGATAGCCGAGAGCTTCTTCTTAGCATATCTTGCGGCACCCGTGGTGTTGCTATGCTACTTCCCTTATAAGTTCTACTTTAAGACACCCTTCATGCGCTCGCACAATATGGACTTGGTTACTGGTCGTCGTGAGCACGATACTGCTGAGCTGATCGAGGAAGAGATGATGGAGAAGCGGTCGTGGCCCATGTGGAAGAGAGCGTACAAATATGTATGTTAGGTTAGATTCGTGCTTTAGCTTAAGTGTCGGATATTTTCAGAATGGGACTAGATATTAGATGATTTTTATTGAATGCACCAATTTGAATTTAGTCAACGTCAACGTCAAAGAGGATCTCAGCGCAGAGTTCAAGGTGCCAAACATCGTTGTCGTTCTAATAGTCGCCTGCAGACACGCTACAAAAGAGACTGCTAAAAGCCGTCCATTTAGCTATGCCCCTTTAGTATTAAATCTAAAGAAAGAGGGAATAGATCTTACAGCCGATTTGCAAGTCATGCTTAGTAGAAAGAAATTAGCACTCATTATTTTCAAGGGTTCTTCTAGCGGATATGGAATCCTAGGGATAGAGAGGGTTACGTAGAGATTTTATATAGATTGAAAGTAGAGAAAACAAAAGTTGAACTTAGGCAGCATCTATAGAGGACCAATCTGCAATCCGCTTACCCCTTCCGCACATAGCCGGCCATTGAACTTTCGATAGGAACTGCTTGACTTTTGTTGATGCGCTGAGCTTGTTGTACTGGACTCGAGGATCTCCTTCTACACAAAACCAGTTAGTCTTCTAGTATTTCGATAGGCATGCATTAACTTTCTTGACGCACCCGAGCTTGCAGTTCGTCGCTGTGGTTGGTGGCGGGGTGGGGGCACGATTATACCCCCATCTATCCTATAGGAATTCCGGCGCCCGGTCTTAGGTCTTTGCCGTCATGCACGCTTCTGGTGTTCGAACGTATTCCACTAGTGTGCTGTCTGTCGCCGTTATTCACTATCGTATCCTGTGCCAGGGTATTCTCGTCTCTCGAATCTAACACTTTCCCTTTGCGGAGAATGATTCTCTATGGATTCGTGGGTTCTTATTGTTAGGTTCCCGAGAAGTCTCGGATTCTTTATCTCCACTTGATCTCCAACGTGGAACTAGACTGCAGAGCAGTGGTATACATGCGACGATGATGGCGGCGTTATTTTCAGCGTGGCTGAGACAGTATATGATAGTATATGTCCAGTCGGACTTAGTTTTGTGATAAAGCATGCGTTGAAAGCTGAGCTTGAGCCTCACCGCAGCCATGGCAGTAACGCTATTGTAACACTTGTGAGTAATGTCTTCGCTGAATGAAACTGCATGAGATAGGGAAGAAATGGTAATTCAAACTCTCTTACCATAAACTTAGTGCGAAAGACAATACGACGGCCAGCCGGGACCGAAGTTTTGTATTCCGTAATCTCCATACAAGAACGCATGGAATGGGAAAGACCAAGAGGTCGGTAAACATGTTAGACGTAACGATGAAGACGTAGACTATAGCAGCTTGCCAGGGATCCAGACACGATAACCCGTTGAATACAGTAGCTCCTGAAGTATTGCCCGACCTAGGCGGGCACATGAATATAAGGGCAAGCCAAGGCCCTAGGCAGGCACCTGTATTGAAAGCGAGGATAATGTAGAGGGCAATCCTGATGCTGTTGATAACCGATGCGACTCTGAAAAGAAGAAGAATGATAGAGGTTCTAACGAGCGGTAGTATGAGGCAGTGCAAGGCTGGCTGCTGTCCCTGGTATACCATGCGGAAGACAAAGCAGAGCAGCTGCTTCCAGGTCTTCTTATACGTCCTGTATGTGCCTTCCTTTAATCTATGGGCTAGGGCGATCTGATGCCTTTGAAGTCCGTGAGCCTGAGCGGAGGAAGCTGCTGATACGCTGCTGATCAAAGGCATTGATTTTGCCTTGCTTTATAGACTCGCGCGCTTGTTCAACTAGCCTGTCAAAGGAGTCTAGGATGGCGATAAGATCAGGCTCTGGCTTAGATGATGAGTGCGGGAGGGCTATAAGCCAAGCTGCTGCTCCGAGGTTACGGCCTTGCAGGTATCGAACCCACTCTGTAGTCTGTAGCCATGCCGACTGCTCTGGTGGGCGTTGGAGCACTGAGCTAGCTGCCTCATCCGACACCCGCATCTTCTCTGTCAACTGCAGTTCGACCTGGCCCTCAAGCGAAGCAGGAGGCGGCGGAGGCGAGCTAGACGTCGCGCTGTTGCCTAGCTCGAGGGGCACTGCTACTCGGAAGTTGCGTCGAAAGTTGCTCACGTGGAATGCCTGGTACCACACAGGAGATAGAGTAACAGTGGGGAAGGCAGTTGCTCTCCCCTTGGCTACGTCTGCCTTTTATGTGCGGCCACCCTTACACCCACTACTCCATGCATGGGCCTTTTTTAGGTGTTCCTGCATGCTCCGAACGCTCCCACATATGTAGGCCCGCTCCTGACAAAGAAGACAACAAACTCCGTTGCTATAAAGGGCAAGCTTCGGGACTGGCCGAGCATCTTCTGGAACATCTAACTGCTGGATGACCTCCGCAGGCTGGATTGGCTTGTTCGCCCAGAGCGCGATACAGTCCCTCCTCTCAGACAGCGTCACCTGGTCCTTATGCAAGTTGGAAAGATGCGATCCAACTGTGCCTGGGGCAAGGGCAAACTTGCAGCGGGTACAAATAAGAACTCCGAAGTTGGGATTGAACTCTAGGAAATCCATTATAAAATTTGAGGGGGTTGGACAAGGTGGTAGATAGTGAGAAAGCCAGAAGGCTTAGATAAAATTGAAATTCAATAGCTTACTTAGACTTACCTTAACACTGCTCTCAACAGCTTTAATTATGTCGTACGCCTAACGCGCCTACTTGCTAGGCCAAAGGTGACAGGACGAAACGCGAATCAATTGAAGAAGCGAATCCCTGCAATAATCATGTCGCGTCCGCCGCAACCCTCTCCGGCGTCAAACGCCGAACGCCCCAACTGTCAGGGGGGTTGAGGGTTTAGGCGAAATGAGACGAGTAGACGCCAGACATACTGCTGCTCTAGCTCAAACCCAAGCCCAACCAATCAGGGCTTAAGAAAGTAGGAGGCTAGGCTCCCCCCGACGGGGCATCATGGTACAGGATAGGATAGGTTGGTTTCCGCAGACAATTAAGGATAGGATAGGACTGTACTGCCCGGACACGACAAGTAAGGATAGGTTTGGCTCATATATAGTCGTTTGTGCCAAAACGCCTGTTAGGTTACTTGCGCATTTATGTTTTTAATAACCGAAAATCGGTCACACGGGCCATATAAGACATACTGAGGTCGAAACACAGACAGGCGGCGATATAGGTGGGCGTTTATTACCGTGCTTTCACTTGCTTGCTCAGCATTATATATCCATGGCGGCTGGGGGGTATCGACAGAAGGGCTACTATAGTGGATCCACTTTGAATCCCGGACAATGTGTCGACTTCAAGAGGGAGTATAATTTGAAGGATACAGAAAGAAAACTTGACAGAACTGGATACGTGACGCGACGCGTGGTCGCGAAAGACTCTTGACCTCAACGTCGTGTTCTTGCTATGGCCAATAGGCGAGCACCATGAGGAATCTAGCCAAATATAGAAACGTCTAGTCGGAACTCACTTAACTCTATTTGGAGCTAGTGGGTTCTGACTCCGCGTTTCAAGTGCAATCGAGCACCGTTACCTAATCGGGAAGGCGTCTGGGAACTGAACTGAGATTACATCAAAGAAGGTTAGCCTCAAGTGCGATCCGAGCTGAAATTTACTATATTGGGACAAGGGGTGGGATCTCAGTTGGATCGTAGGGAGCCTATATAATAGGCCGGGACGACCACCGCTAACGGGAGAGGGCGCCTAGTTTTCCATAATGATATCGTCGCCGAGGATGGGTTTTTCGGCACGCAGGGACGCACGTTACTACGTATATTACAGTATTGAGTTAAAACAAAATCCAAACACATCATGCAAAGCCTTTCATAGTATTATACTACCTCATAATATAAGTCGCCAAGTTTATTAAGACATTCCTCAATCCATTCCTTGTTCCCAATGTCGCTATTTTCTGAAGCTCGTAGTAGTGCGTGTCTTAGCATGCCTTGCTTACTCTCCTTATCGAAAAGACTTTGTCCTATAATGCACTCTACATCGGCAGAATAATAACCCTCTATATTGCAGGCTCCTCTTTTCATGAAGTAATAATAGCCTAACATCTCGCCACGCGCCGATTTGTAGTGCAATCGTCTAGCAGTATGTCAATCGGGTGCTTCAGATCTTGGAGAACAAAATCAATCCCTGTTCCCTTCCCAAAAGGTACGCCGTTACACCCCACCCCCGACCCTAGTTTTGGCCAAGGTGAGCACTCTTTATCCCGCTTCAGATACCGATGAATGTTTTCTTTTTCGAAAGGCTTATCTGCTGCAAGATAGAAAGCCACAGCTGCATCGCGAATTAAAGATATTCCAAGCTCTTCTAGTTCCTTAATCAACACAGATGCTCCATTATTCTCACTAATGACCATGTCTAAATCCCAAGAAACAAATGTGGACCTGCTGTAAAGATTTTGCTTCTGAGTCTCAACATTTTGCCATATAATAAGAAATTGTTTCCCTACTGCGCCATACTCTCCTTCCCCCAAAAGAACAGCAGGTTGTTTGAGCTTTATCGTAGTTTCTGTGTGGTGAGCACTTGTTTCATCTCTTATCAAAAACATATAAGAGGCAAATGTATTCTTTTTACGATCGTAAAAAGAATAGGCTTGCCCGACTGAATCCTACGATGGAGAATCATAGGTGTGCCGACTATAGGGCTCGCCCTGCCGAATCCGACATGACGTAGAATTATGCGCCGACTATAGACTGAATCCACATGATAGAGAATTAAATGCCATTTATCGTAAGTATAAGGTAGGGGATCGAAGTACGAGTACGGGACATTACATCTCTCGGTGTAGTTTTAACGAACGGCGAGAAACACCATAAGCATTTCGACATTCAGGCCTTATATTATCTCAAATGGGAGTCTATTTTAGGAAACATTAAGGTAGAGCAAGGCATAAAATTATAAATGGATAACAATTTTCTCCCTCTGCGTTATAATCACCCGTTGCATCCCATCCCCCTCCGCGTCAACCGTATAATCACCCCGTCTGTCGTACCTGCATCCCCCACCCTCCTTCTAACAGTCCTAGCCTCCCCTATCTATCCATTGCAGCTAGCCTTCCTGTTAAATCCGGATAATATACCCCTCTTAGCACCCCCGAGTAAACATCTCCACTCTCTCCTGTCATCGCCCGATCACTCTGCCGGGCCACTAATGTCGCAAACCCTAGTAGCACGAGGCTAGCAAGCTGCTGGCATGAAATATTTCCCACGATGGTGAGAAAGAAGACAAGCTGTAGGGCGTGGAATAGGAAGCTAGTGACCAGGTTCGGTTGCGGCAGCCCTGGGTTAGTGGGCGGAAGGTAGGGCGGTATAGATGTAGTGTAGAGGTAAGCGGTGTGAGTTTCTGTAGGGCTGGTTGGCTGCTGGAAGGGTGGTAGAAAGTCGTCGTTAGTGGTTGATCGGATGAAGTCAGGAACGAAAGCAGCCGCTTCTCCCACCACTTCTTCGACCCCTTCGTCCTCTGTCACGTCCACGCTTACGACCAGGTTTGTGTCCGAAGTCGTAGCAGGAGCGTGCCTCTCTAACCACCGGAGCCACCTATCCCCCTCCTCGTGATCCGCCTCGACCTCCCCAAGTTTTCCCTTCCACTCTCTCTTCAGCTCCCAAGCCTCGCCATCACCAACCTCTCCAAACGGCTTTAGTTTCATGAACCGCACCCACCCCTCCACCACCTCCGCCACCCTTTCATCCCCCACCTCAAACCACTCAACATGCGTCATATGTATATTACAGCCCCCCTGGCCCACAAACCTCGACACATCCTCTCTCCGCCTCGCCGCAGCAAGATGCTTCTGCACCAAATGCTCCACCTTCATTGCATGCCTTGTTTCTAGTTGGAATACAAGATCTTCGCATCTATATCCACACCCGCGGGAAAGCTCGCCACGGCGCCTGCCGAAGTCGTTCGTGATGCCGATCTTGATATATGGGCTCCCTATCACCTCACGGAAGCCGTAGATGATGCGGCCCGAGATTTCTGCGGGGCTGAGGGCCTGTTCGAGTTTGGTCTGGAGCGCGCGGGATATTTCTTGTGGAGAATGGGTGGTGTAGGGGCTGTAGGAGCGAATATGTGCAGGGATGGCGGGAGGATTGTTGGTTGCAGCTGGCTGTGGGGCTAAAGTGCTTGTTAAGGATGGTAGGTGGGTTGGATCATCGTCTTGATCTAGAGGTAAGGTAGATATTTCGAGGTCCGCGCTGCCGCCTGAGATATCTGAATGGACAGATGAGTTGCTGTTGTCGTCGGAGAAGTATGCGGAGTCTTCGAAGTCATCTATATCCGGGTGTTCCTGTCTTGCATTAGTTTGAAAGCAGGTAGCAGCATGGTGGGAGCTTACCTGGGTATCTAGGTCATTAGATGGAAAATAGTCATCTTCGTGGTTCTGATCATTTTCATCACCATTATCGCTCCTTCCATCTGAGTCATCTTCATCGATGTGATCTTCGGCCCATCGTGCAATCCAGTGCTCACAAAGTAACTGTTGATTGATCGTACTGCGGTGGTTTGCGGGACATAGCATCAGCCCTGCTAGTTCTCGCAAAACATCGTCTCGTGGTCGACTCCCTTCCTGAACGAGCTCTGTCACATTTGCCAGGATCTGTTCTCTATCCCCATCACGCGCTTTCAACTTCCTAGAGCACCTTTGCTCTCTGCCACCAAGCTTTCGCGTTTTATACCACAGGCACTTGCCATCCCAACTATCTAGACGCTCTAGCGGCCTGAGGATCCAATCGCCCATAATGTAAATCGGAATATAAATCGGAATATAACACGGTAAACCAAGTGGACCAAGTGCCTGGACAGTAGCAACACATTCTGTGCTACTCTATCTTATATATATCTCTCTAACCCTAGAGCACTAGGCCTCTCACCCCTGGCCAATGCAGCCTGGCAGGAGCATGTTTCCAACCACTGCCACCAACCGACAGAGAGTGTTTCCAGCGAAGGGAGCACCTCCCATTCATGCAATACGCAACAAAGCAAGCCAAATAGGCCCCTAGGGCTCTCTCCAACAACTCTAACCCGGGAAGAGCAAGACACACATATCACTAGCCAGTCACCAACCCCGAAGACCACGAATGCATAAACCCCAGCCACATAACCAACAGCGAATTCAGAACTCAACCCCTTCGCTTACGCAAAAACAGCCTGGAATATACCTTTCACCTACAAGCGCCACACAAGCGAGGCAGTGTTCCCCTCTGTAGTGGTTGCACACAGCCCTCCCTCCCCTTGTCAGTGTATCATAGCTCGCCCTGCACCCTCCAACACCTCTCAGGCTCGCGACAACGAGAGTGACGAGTGAAGCCACATTAAACTCTCCCAGAGCGATTCCTACCTACAAGGCTAGCCTCGACTTTACATGCGCTGACCAGACAACTTAGTGTGGCGCCTGGCCGCACCAGCCACAGCCAGGCTCTCCTCATCGCGACATTTGTACAGTACTGTACGTACAGCGAATGGCCGCTGATATCAATGTCAACCTACCGTCCCAGCATCCATAGACCAACAGAGCCCACCGTTAGACACTAATATAGGCCACTGTTAGAGACGAGCCAGTTTTGGCGTAACTTCCACTTAAACCTGTGCACTGCAACTCTCGGGTCTGCTTAAGAAATGTCCTAATTGGCATACGTGCATATAGCCGCCGTACCGGAGCGCGGACGCGAAACGCGACCCGTCCCATCCACAAACGCCACCAAAGAAATCTCCCAATTTGGCTAGTAAGCCAGCGATAACGAACAGCCAAGTCACATAAGTACGTGTAGATTGAGTTCAGGTGTAGATTTGAGACGACTAAGTGACGTAGAAAAGGTCGTCCGATATTATACTAGAAGTGGGGTGGAGCTCGAGAGTGCGCAGCTAGGCTATGGTTGACCGTGTATACTGACAGTGACACCCCAGATCTACCCCTGTACAACCTATAACACCTTTTTACAATACATTCTACTCTTTGAAACCAATCCCATGGCTTCCGTTTTGAAACGGGCTAGAAGGTCTATTCGAAGAGCTCTGTCTCTGCCCATACGTTTTCCAACTAGCGGCTTCAAGATAATCAATTCATCAGAGGTAAGAACCGCACCGAGAGGAAGGGGTAGGTGCTATTTTAGGAAAGGTAGAGCAATGCATATAATTATAACAATTTCCTCCCTCTGCGTTAACTGCATAATCACCCGTCGCATCCCATCCCCTCTGCGTTAACCGAATAATCCCACCATTCTCGCCCATCCCCTATCCCCCCGCGTCAATCTCATAACATACGCCTACATCCGGCACATCATATCACCCCCCTCCCCCCATCCTCCCCCTACCCCCTCCTCGTCAACCGCATAACCACCCCCGTCTGCCGGACCTGCATCCTGCACGTGGTATCCCACTCCTCTTTCTCCGACGCCCACTCCATATCAAAATTCCGCACAATCTGCCCGACTGTCTTCGTGAGAACCATCATTGCAACATGTTTACCTGCACAAGTTAGAAAAATCCCCATAGCCCTCAAAAACTTACCTATGCAACTTCTATTCCCCAACCCAAACTACACACTGTCAGCGCTAAACCCCACAAAGAGTGAACTACTCACGGCAAGCATATTCTTATCCATCCTCCTCACCTGCATCTCATCGACCTCAATCCATCGCTCCGGGCGAAAGAAGTCGGCATCCGCTCCAAACACGGCCTTATCGCGCTGTGTGACCCAACCCGTAATTCCAATATCCGTGCCTTCGGGAATGAACTGGCCGTTGAGAACGGCGCCGCCCTTGGGCACGACGCGATCAAATGGGCTGCCGACAGTAGGGTGCATCCGCATCGCTTCTTTGATACAGGCTTGTCTGCAGAAGTCAGTCGCGTCAACCAACCCGAAAGGGGACGTACAGGTAAGGGAGCTTCTGCCCCTCTTGAAATGACAGAACGTCCGATAGGAGACCCTTCGCATCCGCATCCTGAAGCTCCTGTACGAGCGTTACGTATGTGCGTGGAGTCTTGACAAGGTAGTAGAAGATGGCGCGGAGGGCAGTGGAATTGGTATCAACGGCTCCAATACTACAAAGTTAGCGCACACTGGTATAATGGCGAACCACTCACAAGAAGATTAGAATATTGTTCATAATTTCCCTCTCGTCCATGATCGTGCTGTCCTTGAGTTGCTTCTGACGCAGGTACTCAAGGAGGTCGCCGCGCATGTTCGTCGGCTTTTCAAGGTCGTACTTCTTCATTGCAGCATACGCAGTCTGTTCCGTTAGCAAACGATACACCCCTCGAAGGCATGCATACCTGTTGAATCATGTTGATCGGGTTCTTCTCCCAGATCCTATCGAGAATTCCGACGAGGGTTGGATTGCCGAATAGATATTTATGGGCTGCAGGGAACTGTCCAACTATAGCTCCATAGGTCATGGTAGCCCATCCCGCCCCGATCGCGCCGTTGATATCCCGAGCTTGGTCCATGAAACCGAACATCTCTTGGAATGAGAGGAGACCAGTCAAGTCGAACGAAAACCTAAACGTATCAGTATTAACTCAATAGGAAACCAACGTACTGACCAGCTCAACCATTCTCCAAAGTCAATTGCGGTCCCTGCGCGTTTGTCCATGTGGGCAACGAAGAGGGGGATACATTTATCAAACAGCGGCTCCAGCTGAAGCATGGATGACAACGAGTACTTGGCCGCGACTGACGACCTCATGATCTTGTGTTGGGCGGCATCACGGCTTGTGAATATATTCTCCATCGACTGCCCGTCGATTGTGAACGTGAAGCCAGTAATATAACTCGACTGCATCTTGTTAGGTCTCGTCGTTGCAATAGAGTTGGAGCATACCTTCTGATACAAACTCCCTTGAAGGTAGACTTCAGGAATCATCGCCGCATCTCCGATGGAGACAGCATTGGGTCCAGTCCGGATGATAGGTCCATACTTGTCGTGGAGCTTCTGGTATTCGATATGCGAGTCTCCCTTCAGGCTTATATACACCTTGTACAGGCGTGTGAAGCGGGCCAGGAAGGGGCCGGGGAGTTGACGCAGGTGAGGACGGAAATATGAGAATAGGCAGCTAACAGAATAGCAAACGGTAATAAAAACGAAGATAACGATATAGAGTTGGGCCGCCCTGAGGCCTATGATCTCCTGGACCGTAGACAGCATGTTGAAATGTATGAAAGTAATGATATAAATTCAGCTGGATAAACAAATAGTACAGTATAGACCTGATTCTAATGTAAAGCCCGACACACCACCCTTTATATATTCAGCTGAAAACGAGGGGCAGACTCCAACGAGTGAAGGGGCAAACCAATTGTCATCTTTTGTCTTATCCGGCAAAAGGCAATATACCATAGTTCCAGCTCTGAAGGACGGTGTGATATTCAGCCAGGACTCACTTCATCCCATCAAGCCCAGCAGCAAAACCCAAGTTCGTCATTGGCTACCAGTCGCCACTTCAGTCCGTTCAATAAAATACACGTCGTCACACACAAACATCCTCATCTCGCCCAGTCTGCCATCAAACAGATCCAATAACATCTCCTCCCATCCTCTCAACTTCAGAGACACGTCACACAGCACCTATCTGGGCGACCCGTCGTGGCATATGCGCCGTGCACTGCACCATCCCCCGCCTGGGAATCCGGACAACAGAAGAAAGAAAAGCACCTGTAACTCTCCAACCGCATTGTAGCATCGTAACTAGGAAACAACCTTCTTCCCCTCCCGGCAATCCATAACGTCTCATCCAGAACATACACACGCACCCCAAACGCCACCGTCGCAGCGCTAGGACGCCCCGCCTCGTGACAAAGACCAACACCCCACCGGCGTGCAGAGATCGTCCGATCTCTCTCGTCGATCCGACTCGGTCCATCAGTCTCAGTCGGACCACCATCACGCCGACTGCCCTGCCTTCATCCTGACTCTGCCTCAGCACCTCACCGTCCTTTCTCGCCCCAAAACAATAAAATAAAGACACGAGGCATCACACAGCGCCCGCAGACCGCCTCCCATCTGTCGCACAGAGTGCATCCCAAGCATTCCACCACCACCACGGAGGGGATGGAATGGCCCGACCCCGTTCCACCCGAACCAATACCACGGCCACTGGGTGACGTGTGACCTAACCTCCATCCAAGCGAAGGATCAATCCATCCCAATAGAGCAATCCCCTCGTCGCATTCCCCCTCTTGCCATGTCAAGCTGAGAGGCGTTCGCGGCCTGGAAGTAAGGGGGTCGATAAATGCGCACTTCGAGCATAGGCAGCTTACATAAGCGAGGGCCGACCCAGCTTCCAATTCGCTGCCGCCGTGGCGGGTTCGGTGATACTGCTGTTTCTGCGTGATTCTAAACGAGGGTAGGTAAACGCGAGGAAGCTGATGCGGTGAGAGAGGGGATAATAGATCATGTCGGTCGATGGCAGGGGGGGTTCGATGGTGTTGCACAGCTGGGCGATGGCGCTGGGCGTGTCTATCGGAGATAAAATCGATGTTGCGTAACGGAATAGGCAAAGGGGAGGGATTCATTCATTTCCACCCCCCTTCTTGTCACCGATATCGTGTTATTGGGATCAGCCATGGGACGTTACATACATGTTGTGAACAGTGAGTGTCTCTGGTATGCGGACCTGGCGCAGTTCATATTCCGTCCGTTTCTACCCGCCGCACCGCTGTCGGTGGTAGTGATGCTAAATTCTCTTCGTGCTGGATTTCTTGACCTCGGCCTCCCCTAAAATGATCTATCCTTCTTCAAACGCCCGCACTCCAAACCGCCATTCCAACGCCATACCCTCCCAAAAATCAACCCCCCTCGATGCACGGACTGCCGCTTCCATGTGCGTGCCTCATTCCACCCTGTCCATTCAACATGCTCATTCCATAGCCATTGTTGACCCCTCGCATTACTCCCCCTTCTTCCGCCTCCCCTTCTTCTTCGGCTTCTCGTCCGAATCGCTGTTATCCTCCTCCTCCTTCGTCCGCTTACCCTGTCCTGCGTCAGGACCGTCGGCGATCTTACTCACGATATCGTTAAGGAAATCGAATTGCTCATCAGCCTCGATCGCTTTCTTGAGGTGTACGGCGGTCACGCGCTTCGAGTTCGTGCTGCGCGCCAGAGAGGCTGATTTGGTGACGAGGGAGATCATGAAGAGTTCCAATGCTTTAGCTGGTGGGGTGTTAGTCACTTGTATTTCATCGGTGGGGGTAGTGGAGCACGTACAAACTGCAACCGGTGTGACCTGGGCCACCTTGCCCACCTCCTCATCAGCCTGCATTATCCGCTTTATCCTCGCAACAGGAAACTTCGTCTTGATCTCAATACCCTGGCTGGCTCCAAGGTGCGGTTTGACATCCTCGCTGATGCCAGGTGCGGCGGCGACGCGCTCACGCTTCACGCGTCCTGTCATCGCGTCGTCGCTGGTCTCGGATTTGATGTGAAGTTGTTCGTGTAGTTGCTGGTGCGGCGCCTGCGGTTGCTGCAGTGGCTGCGGCGGCGGTGGTTGATAAGTAAGAGCTTGTTGGGGGAGTGAATATGACTGCCGCGAGTAATTCTGCGGCGGCGAGTGCGCTTGTGAATATGGCACTGTCGGAGCCTGGTACGCCGGGCTGGTGTACTGCCCTTGCCCTCTCGGTGACTGAAACGTATGTGTAGGCGGTAGGTCTGGGATGGGCGGCAGGTAACTGGAATTCCGGCGGCTGTCTCCAAAGCCCTGGTACTGCTGCGGCGAGGGGGGAACCTGGTAGCCTGAGCTGGACGAGATGCTGCTGCGCTGGGCCGTGGCGTTGTTGCTCTGGGGGCTCGTGAAGTCCGGCAGTCGCGGTGAGCGGGGCGTGTAGGTAGAGGTCTGGGGTTCGTGGTGGTGCTGTTGCTGTTGTTGGTGCGGACGGTGCTGCTGCACGGGCGTCGTTGTCGAGGATTGAAAGGATGAGAGATCGGGAGATTGCGGTGCGTAGGTACCGTCGGCCGGCATATTGGGGGAAGGAGAAGAGAGCGAAGCAAAGGCGGCAGGGCAGGCAGTCAGGCCCGAACCCGCAAAAAGTGAGAAAGAACGCGTCCGTGGGTGGTGCGGAGTGGAGATGCGGGTGGCTGGTGCGCAGGAGCTAATGCAGCTCAAAGTTGCTGTGGCTGACGCGGGTAGGGTATATTGGGTTTGTTTGATTGTGTGGAAGAGCAGATGATGTCCAGTACGTTCGTTCAGTTCAGTACAGTAACAGCAATCGTACTGGCTGACTGGGGGTTGGCAAAATGATTTTGCTCAATCGCGGTTGCCCTCAGCGTCTCGACATGCCAATTGAGGCCGTCGCGGTTGTGCTGGGTCTCAAAGTGTCTTGTCTGACGATACCCGCTCTCTGTGCGCGCCGACGTCAATAAAAATGTCCGTGTGGCGCCTGAGAAACTCGAAAAACAAGAATAAAATTAAAATAGAGTTAAAAAGCGGCACAACTGTCTCCAAATTCACTCCTTTCTCTCAGGCGGTGTGTAAATTGAGAATTGGTGATTGGTGATTGGTGGGTAAATATAATGCACGTGATTGGTTGTTGATTGAGGTGATGATTTTGATGTTCTTTGATGTAGTATTGGTATTAGCGTGGTATTGGTGTGGCTGTGCACGCTTGCCGGCGGGTGGATTTTCCGATTTTCCGGTTTTTCCCAGAGATTTTTTTGTGATTTGGGTTGATTTGGAGCGGGGAGGGTGCTGCATTATTATATGCTAGGGACGTCCGACGCGACCATCGACCGGGATCCTGCGCTTTAGGCTACTTTGGGTTAAACGCCGATTCAACTACCCACGAACGTCACCATCTTATTTTTACAAGGGGAGAGGCTAATTTCATCCCCATTCATCTATCAACAATCATCATTCACAGAAACCATATCATACCCAATTTTATATCCCGACAATGGCGTCATCATCAAAGTATCTCTCTCTATTGCATCGTTGTTAAGTTGCCTTTGTCGGTTTCTATATCTTGTACTGTGTACTACTGTCACCAAAACAAAGAACCTCGCGACGCGATCTGCGCCGCCGAACGCGCGTTTGTTTGCCCTTACTTCCCGCGTCAGCAAGGCTGCCACTGTCGCTGTCGCTATCCGCCTGCATCAATATAGGTATCTGCGATGATTCCCACCCATCTCTTTCTGTGTTTCACATTCCATGTCTCATCCTGGTCCCGTTGAGTGATGATGACAAAGAGCCTACCAGAGACCACCTGAGTCCGAAGCCCGACGTTGCGTTTGCGGTTTCTGCTCTACATCGTGGTCGCGTGAAGGAGTAACTTGATCTAATCTGACAACATCTTCGCCCCTATCGAAAGTATCGAGAATATTCCGGGGTCTTTTCCATCCATACTCTTTTCATTTGTTGTTGATGTCAGCTTCATGAGCTTGACGCGACAAATGTGTGAGACCTTCTTTATCAAAATCACCTCAGCCCAACGGTTAGGATACTAAATTTATTCCATGGCATGAAACCGTTCTGGAGTATATATTGCTTGCACTGCGACTGTCTACAATTGACACAGACATATCATGACAATGCCTACCTTGAGCACAACTGTGAGTACCCAAAAAGGATGGCCGTTCAAGACAGCATCCAGGCGCATTTCTTCTCTCAAATTGGAGTAAATCAGCCTAACCTGACTGCTCGTTTTCTTTATCATTTTCAATATCTCATCTCTGCCGCTACACATGCCAGTCTGTTATGGAACCGCACATACTTTTCTATTCTCCTCTATTCGAGACTATCAACGTCGAAACCAAACACTCTCAGCCAAAGGAATAAAGAAAGGTTTGCTATCTGCTAGGCATGTATATGAGCACCACGATCCTGTCCCTCAGATATCAACGAAGTCTCCGTCCCAGAGCACATCCACATATTCCCTCAAGTCATACTCCCTCAACGCCTTTCTACATTCCCCTTCCGTCCAGCATCGGTAATACGCCACCGGAGACCTCAAGATGGAAACCGAACAGCCAGGAAGCGAAGAGCTTAATTTCTTTCACAAAGACAATGTCCGGTTCAAGACTTTGGACAGCATCAGAGAATCCATCTCGGAACTGTACGTCTCCATCAAAGACAACTACGTGGGTTCAAACAACGCCACAACCTCCGAGACTCCCCTCTGGATCATCGCCAGATCATCAGGGAAGAACTAGTCTGCAATGAGGCTGAAGCCGACAAGGCGGAAGCGCTTGTCTCCCGTCTTTATTCTGAGATGCTACTGATCTGCGATAGCGTGGAGGCTGAGAGCGATAGCGAGAAGGCCCCAAGCGAGGTCGAGGAGGAGGAGGAGGAGATGGTGGACGAGGTGAACAATCAGGAAATGGAAGTTCTCGGTTCATATGACATGCAGGAAAATGCGGGGAGACACTCTACGGAATATCTACGGAATATGGGCGGAAGTGGTCGGTTCCTATGACATGCGGAAAGATATGAAGGAATATTCTGAGAAATGGTCGGAGGTGTTGTGGATTATCGAGAGGATCTTCGGAGTTTTCGCGGCGAAATCAGACCAGCTTCGGGAGTTCTTGAATGGGATGGAGACGGTGAGATCGGCATTGATTGAGGAATTGGTGGACGGAACGCAGGGGGGAACAGACCTCTTCCATGAGATTCTAGCCGAGAGATTGCAGAAGTTTGGAATAGAGGAGATTGAAGATGTGCTGGACAAGTTCGTGGCGTCGAAGGCGTACGAGGCGGAGGAGGTGGAGAAGACGCGAAAAGAGTCGGAGGGATCAAAGGTGCTTGATATAGCGCGGGACGAGATCAGGGAAGTGTTTGAAGCATTGAAGAACGAGTTGGAGGAATTGAAGAAGGAGTCGGAGGAATTGAGGGACGAGTTGGACGTGTTGAAGAGAGGTGAGGGGCATTGAAGGAGTACGAGATGAAGTAGTTGGCCAAAATTCGAGGGCGACTGAGGCCGGAGGGTATTGGGAGGGGTGTGCTTCTGTTCATTCCTGTTTTTGGGATTCCATTGATTTTTCGCGAATTGGGGGATATCCCTGGCCTTGAGTCAACTTCGTGCAATTGGCAAAGCCATGGGGCGTGCATTTTAGAGTAGTCCTATGAGAGATTTTGAGTCTGTTTCCCTATTCCAAACTTGCATCGTTGAAGAACATAAATAACGGATATGCTACGCACCGGGGATTTGTAGATCCGCGTCTGGACACATTGATTCACCAAATAAACCGCGATAATAACAGACAAAAATTCATTCCCAGTTCTATTCCCAAACCAGTCGTTGGCCTCATATATAATAGTATCTATCATCTGCCGCAACCGCACAGACAAAGGCAGACACCCTTGAAAGCACGGAGACAGACGCCCATGATTCATTTTATCCCCTCCAATTACGAAATCATAAATTCGCCTTCAGGGCCGGATGAGTCCTTGCAATATTTGAAATTCAAGTAACCCTTGCAGTCCAGGTACCCGTTATAAACCCCTACCCACGCCCGCGCCTCCCTACGTACTCCTGCAACCACACCCTTTACGTAGCTACGCCCTCCGAGCGCTCTCCCAGTCCCAAAGCCTGAGCCTGAGCATCTAGATCCGCAATCTCCCCCGTAATCTTGTCCAGGCATCCCGACGCCGCAGCAACGAAGCCGAGATATGGCCTGCTGGGGCTGAGAACACGCGACAGATACTCAGGGTGGTACTGCACACCGACGAACCAAGGGTGATCCTTGATCTCCACAACTTCCATGCGCTCGCCCTTGTCGTCCTTTCCGACGAATGTGAGGCCGCCAGCCGCAAGGCGCTCAACATACTCGGGGTTGACCTCGTATCTGTGGCGATGGCGCTCGTGGATCTCCGTACGGTCGCCGTACAGCTTACGCAGGCGCGACCACTCCGACCCAGGCTGGAAAATAGTTGGGCGGATACCCAGGCGCATGGTGCCGCCCATGGCGGAGCGGTCGACCTCGGGCATGAATAGGACGATGGGTTCGGCGCATTGCTCGGAGAGCTCTGTGGACGAGGCACCCTCGAGACCGCACACATGGCGCGCAAACTCGATGACGGCAAGCTGCATACCGAGGCAGATACCGAGGTAGGGGACTTTCTGCGTGCGAGCCCACTGGGCGGCTTTGATCATGCCCTCAGTGCCGCGGATGCCGAAACCACCTGGAACGAGAATACCATCCGCAGTGCAGACCTGGTGCCAGGCAGCGTGGAAACCTGCTGGGCGTGCGGTCTTGGCATCGTCCTCCAGGTCAGAAGCGTCAACCCATTGGAGTTCGAGCTTCTTGTGGCAGCGCATGGCCGAGTGCTCAAGCGACTTGATGACGGAGAGGTACGAGTCGTGCAGGTTGGTGTACTTGCCGACCAGGGCGATGGTGACGGTCTCGAAGAGGCGGTCCTGAGACGTCGTGAGCGTCTTCCACTCCGCCCAGGTGCGCTGACCGCGGCTGATGAGGTGCTCTGACTTTGTCACGGCATCGAGTTTAAGGATGTCGCGAACAGTCGTGATGAGGCCCTGCTTCTCAAGAAGCAGGGGGACGTGGTAGGTCGAAGCCACGTTGTGCACTGCGATGACCTGCTCAGGCTCAACCTGGCAGAACATGGCGATCTTGTTTGTCGTCGCCTTCTCGAGCGGGACGTCACAACGGCATGCGATCTGATATCGTTAGCCAGCACCAACCCAACTAGAAACGCAGACTTACCAAGTCTGGGCTCAGCCCAGCGCTTCTCGCATCCTTAATCGCTGCCTGGGTTGGCTTTGTCTTCTGCTCTCCCTGGATGACTGGGACAAGCGAGACGTGGATCTGGAGGAAGTTATCTTTTCCGGCCCTGCGTCTCAGCTGGCGCATCGCCTCAATGAAGGGCGCGCTCTCAATATCTCCCACGGTTCCGCCCAACTCAATGATGCACACATCCGGTGCCTCGTTCGTGTCGTCGACAGGGACGCGTGCGACGCGCTCAATCCAGTCCTGGATCGCGTCCGTCAGGTGGGGGACGACCTGCACGGTACGTCCAAGGTAGTCGCCGCGACGCTCACGCTCAATGACATGCTGGTAAATCTTTCCCGTCGTGATGTTGTTCTCGCGCGTCAGCGTGATGTTGAGGTAGCGCTCGTAGTTTCCAAGATCGAGATCGACCTCACCGCCATCGTCCAAAACGAAGACTTCACCGTGCCTTGGGAGAATGGTCAGCTCGACTCTTGTCTGCCTTACAACAAGAGTTCAACTTACTCGGTGGGTGCCATGGTTCCGGCATCGACGTTCATGTAAGGATCGATCTTTATGCTCGTAACCTTGAGCCCAATGGTCTTGAGCAACAACCCGGTGGAAGAGGCTGCACCAAGCGCAATCAGCCTGCCATTCCCTCACACCACAGCCGCAAACGCGCAATAGAACTCACCAATGACGCCCTTTCCAATCCCGGAGATGACTCCTATAAACTACGTCAGCAAAATTCTCGTTCTCAAAGTCTTCATGCCGTGCAATGGCCCCTCCCCCATGGTGCTCTTGTGACTCCACCAACACATTTAAAGCCACAACAGTGAATAAAAAGGTATTATCACATACCTCCAGATACCAAAACATACTTCATCGTTCTGGCAGTTATTAATTTCGTAGTAATGCCCTTTCCCAGCTCCTGGCTGAGGGGGGAAGGAGAGAAGGGAAGAGAGAAGGCCTCACCCGCTTCTCAGATATTTTGTTTTCTGGTGGGGCGCGACTCAAGGCAGCCACTAATCCCTTATCGGACGAACAAGGCTGAATTTCAGCCTGCACATAGATCATGTGATTTATGCAAGGGGCCCGCTTATTGTTGACATTTGCACAAAAAAGAGCTTGAGATTCCGATCGGAGCGGAGAGAGTAGGAATTTCTCTTATCGGCGTTTTTGAAATTCACTTATCGCACACATAACCACCACCAAAAGTCCAAGCTTCGCCTACTCCCCCACCAAACCCCTCCATTCCTCCACAACAACAACCACCCCATTGTCCATTCGAAATCAACACAGAATGGCTGACAACGAAGCAGGCCTCAAGGCCCAGATTGCTGAGATGCAGCAGAAACTCGACCAGCTGAAGACCACGGCTACGTCGTCCAGCTATGACGCCTACCAGACCTCGTTGACTGGGCGCTACTGTAGCCCGGAAATGTCCAAACTCTTCAGCCAACGTTCCCGTCACTCGACCTGGCGCAAGCTTTGGCTGTACCTTGCCGAGAGCGAGCATGAGATCGGCATCGAGACCATCACGCCGGAGGCCCTGGACCAGATGAGGGCTCACCTCGAATTGACCGACGCTGACTTTGAGGTCGCTCGGGTGGAGGAGAAGAAGCGTCGTCACGATGTCATGGCCCATGTCCATGCCTTTGGGGCTGTTGCACCGGCAGCAGCTGGCATCATTCATTACGGAGTAAGTATTTGTGACCTCATACCTGCACCTTTGTCATTGTGGAACATGGCGTTTTATTCATCCGTTACTGTTCCCAAAGAGATACTTTGCTGACTCTCATTTACAACAGGCAACAAGCTGCTACGTCACTGATAACACGGAGCTGATGCTCATGAGAGACGGTATTGACCTTCTTCTCCCGAAACTGGCAAAGGTTATTTGGAACTTGGCCCAGTTCGCCATGCAGTGGAAGGCAGAGCCAACTCTGGCTTATACTCATCTCCAGCCCGGTCCGTATACATAATGAAACCTTTCAAGATTTTCCTTGGGATATTTGCTGACACCTATTCCCAATAGCCCAGCTGATCACTGTTGGAAAGCGTGCTGCACAGTGGGCACAGGACCTCATGTTTGACCTGGAGAATATCGAGCATGTTCGAAATGAACTAAAGTTCAGAGGTACGTCCATCAAGTTCACCTCCCAGGGTTACATATATTCCTGGGGGAGATTAAAAACATGAATCTTCTCGAACAATATCTGACAATGGTCTTCATCAGGTGCTCAGGGAACTACTGGCACTCAGGCATCCTTCATGGAAATCTTTGGCGACGACACCGCCAAGTGCGACAAGCTTAACGAGCTGCTCTGCAAGAAGACTGGCTTCTCCGAGTGCTACGATGTCTCAACTCAGACATATACGCGCAAGGTTGACCTGATCGTTGCCAATGCCATTGCCGGTCTCGGATCCACTGCCCAGAAGATCGCTGGTGATATTCGCCATCTGGCAACATTCAAGGAGATTGAGGAGCCGTTTGAGAAGGACCAAAGTAAGAAACTTCCAAGAATGATAGAGGTCAGAGCTAACATTTATAGTTGGATCATCTGCCATGTCTTACAAGCGCAACCCGATGCGATCTGAGAGAATCTACAGTCTTGCTCGCGAGCTGATGTCGAAGCCGGCAAGCTTTGCCGCTACCCACTCGGATCAGTGGATGGAGCGCTCATTGGATGATTCCGCCATCCGCCGCATGGATATCCCAGAGACCTTCCTCCTTGCAGATGCAATCCTTATTGGCCTTGACAACGTATCCAATGGATTGGTCGTGTACCCCAACCGCGTCAACGCCCGTGTTCAGGAGGAGCTCCCGTTCATGATCACCGAGAGCATCATTATGAAACTGGTTGCGCTGGGAGAGTCGAGGCAGGAAGCTCATGAACAGATCCGTGTTCTGTCACACCAAGCTGGCCGCTCCGTTAAGAATGACGGCAAGCCAAATGACTTGGTCGCCAGGATCAAGGCCACCGAGTTCTTCAAGCCAATCTGGGCTGGACTCGACGACATGCTCAAGGCAGAGTTGTATACCGGCCGCAGCGTTGAGATTGTCGAGCGCTTCTGCGCGGAGGGAGGTGTTTTGGACAAGAAGATCAAGCCATACAAGGCATTCATCGAGAAGGCGACCACGGCCGAACTCAGTGTCTGATTTTCCTCGATACCCCTCACCCAGCTGCCTCAGCGGCTTTACAAGTGGTACGCTATCGGCCCGCCAAAGTTGAATCAGGAATCATGCCTATCCGCCAATCGCCGGGAAGAAGAGACGAGCAGTTCCCATTATTCATGCCTCTATTTTAGAATTGGCCATATTGTAGTAATTGGAAAAAATGCTACTATCCCCTTGAATTCTTTAGTTTTTACAACAAACAGTGAACTCCGGTTGTGACAACGGACTAGAAACAAACGAACTTATGTTTATCATCCGATAGTCGACACCGGACCAGGACGAGATGTCCCACCCACAAAACTCGCCCAGACCACGACCCATACACTTCTCTAGCCGTGAGAACCCCCCCCCCTCCTTCACAACACCGTATCCGACGGCATAGTGCCACGATATTTATATATATCTCTCTGGTTCGCCCACTCCCTCAACCTATCAATATCTGTACACTGATGCACCCCGCCCCACCCCGGATGCCCCGTATCCCCCTCCAGACTCGTGTCTGCATTACACAGTATGGCCTGGCGGATATAGTCAAAACAGTGCACAGAGTGGAACGCGACCTCGTTCGATGGCACCTTATCCGTGAAAGCAGTTTGGAAGGCCACCGCGAGGTATGACTGAACACCGTTAGCTGGCAGTCGTCGGGAGGGAGGAGTGGGCAGACCAGGCAGTGCAGCTGGTGGAATACGGAAAGCATGTATGCCGGCTCCGTGTGGGTGTTGTTGACGTTCATCTCATACCCTTTCCCTAGTCCATACTTTTCGGCATCCTCGATTTTGACATATCCCCTCCCATCTACCTTTTATTAGCCCAAACTCAACCTCCAAGCGTAAGGTTGAAACAGGAAAATAGACGCACCAGCGCTCAACTCAATCCAGTTATGCAGCGTCTCCAGCGCTGCCGACTCGTTCGCAAACATCCCATCGTGCAAGTACCGCTCGTTAGGCTGAAACGTTACCGTCGTTTTTGGCCCTGCATCTCGTCAGCCTGTACTGTCCCTATGAGTAGGAACACATACACGTCGGCACCGGCGATGGCTTCTTCCCATCCGCCTCCCCCCGCTGCCATCCTCGAAGAAGCAACGCTACAATCGCACCCGCCATTACAACTTCCGCCAGAATCCTCACCCACGCCGTCCACTTTCTCGTACTGGGCTCATCTTCTTCTACCTTCATCTTTAGTAGCACATCCTCGCTCGACTCTCCCGCCAGAAATGGGCGTTGCGCTTCCGCATCATGGGCGCGCTTATCTGCCATTGCTCGCTCTCGTTTCAATCCCAGCTCAGGCTCCTGCAGACGATAATTTACAGCTCAAGACAACTAACTCCGGATCTTGACTGATCAATCCATCGATGATGCACGAATGCTCATCGCAACGTGTCGTCGAAGCCCATCATCTAGCCAAAATGCTGGTCCGCAACTACCGGGTAATCGACCCGGCTTTAGCCTGTATATAGCCAACCCCTCCGGCACCTCAATTAATAGCAGCGCGGCGCATGCGGCATGGCAGTTTTAGGATAAGTGCCTAAATCGATCGATGCTTAGGTGTGCGTGTGATATATGGGGTGCCGGTGCGGGCGGTAGATCATGCGTTTTAAGTTTGACTGGTGGGTCTCGCGCGCGTTGAAGAACGGGTGGCCGCGGGGATTCGAGGACGACGTGGAGGCATGATTCTTTTTAGCGGCCTATACTACCTATGGTGACGACGAGCGTTGCGCTGACAAGATGGGTGTTGGCGCATTCATGGCGTCTGGTGGTGGTTATGGTAGAGGGAGGAGTATTATGATAGTCATGGCCTTAGAGATGATTCATTTGAGGATATCTCGTCAAGGATTCTCAGTCTATATACACCATCTCCACCGCCTCCACTCCACTCTCTACCTGCGGCTATCTCTTTCAGCCTGCATGCGACATATCCCGATATAAATGCATGAACACACATCCCCCACCTCCTTCCTACTAGAACAGAAGACAGATGCCGTACCCTACTCCACTACCTCCTCCCCTCGTTTCTTTCTTAAACTGCGTATCCTTCCTTGCTCATCCCATCCAATTTGCCATGTGTAAAACACTTTATACCCACCCAACCCCCAACGCCTCCCAAAATAGAAATAAAAAAAACACACGGACAAAACAAACGATGCCTCTCCAGAGAGAATAAAAGTATGAGTAAGTCAAAACCCGGTTCTGTGCGTCCCTCCAAAAAAAAACCCCTGTTGTAGCCGCCCTGCCTCACTCTGAGTAGCATAGTAGCCGCGCATATTGAATAGAATCCCCCAAGATAATGACCACTTTCTCGCCAACAAAACCTCCCACCTCACCTCTTACTTCCCGCCCCTTCATCATCGCTCTCCCCGCCCCTCTCTCCAATCTTCTCAATCCCTTTCTTCACCGAGATCAAACAACCTTGCTCCTTCAGCCGTCGCGTCAACGCCGTACTCGCTTGCATTCCTGGGAAATCCTTCGCCGCAAACACCGTCACCACCCCACTCGTCACGCTGGCACTGTACGGCACTTTTGTTCCCATCTTCATCGTATTAGGATCCAACACCATCAACACGAACTTCAACCGATACTGCCCGGTGGTTCGACACGACAGATCCGGGAAGCAGAAGAAACACCCCTCGACCCCGCGTTCGTCCTTGCCCACAAATGGGCTGGCGACCAGCGTTCCCATCAGCCGACGCTGCTGATTGCGACGCTCCCCACCGCCTACGCTGCCGTCGCCTTCCATGGCCCCACTATCGATGTCGCGTGACGCGTCCCATAGCGAGCAGTGCACCACGTAGTACGGGTAGCGTAGGCGCCGGGCCATTTCATCAGAGGCCGACATGGCGGTGGTGGTGGGGGCGGGGTGATGCGCAGCTCGAGGATAGGAGGCGGGTCCACGACGCGGCGGTCTCGTTCGCCGAAACCACATGCACGCGCGGCGAGAGGTTGTTGCCGCATGTGCAGCGTGTACGTCGGTTGTGGTCTGGCATGTGTTAGTTTAAGCCATGAAATCGAGTGTAAAGGGGCACACGTACTTCGAACTATCCGGCCTAATCAGGTCGGCAATCCCAATTCCGCTCGAGTCCCGCAGCTTCTGTTCCTTCGGCTTCGGCAGAGTCCCTGTTGACGGTCTCTTCCGTAGATCTCGCGACTGCGGTGACGGTGAGCGGAGAAGCTGCACATGGTGGTTGTTTGGATCACTCTGATTGTTGATGTGGTTGTTAGGACGGCCCTGCGCGCTATACGGATCCTGCATCGGCCTCGGTGGTCCGAACGTTGGCGACGACTGTTGCGAGAGGGGTCGACTTTGCTGGTGTTGCGGCGGCGGCGGCGGCCTGCTCGTTGGCTCGCCGTTGTTACTACCAAGAAGTTTGCGGTACTCCTCTGCGGCATCGCGGCGCTGTCCGATCTTGCGCACCTGCCTCGTCTCAGCGGTCTGTCGGCCAAAGTGATAGACCGAGCCAGTGCCTGGTTGGAAGGGGGTGAATTTCACCTGTTGCTCTTGCGGGTGCATGGGAGGCTGCCGATCTTGAGGCGGGTATGGGTGGTATGGGTGTTGGTTTTGTTGGTTCTGAAGCGATGGGAGGGTGACGATGGGGCTGGAGGGCGGGTATCTGATGTTATTCGGCATGGGGCGGTCGGAAGAGTATTCGAGGGGTGGGAGTGTAAAGCGGTCCGAGTATGACCGCGGGTCGTCGCGAGGGCCGTCCATTGAGGTGGCGGAAGGGGGACGAGATGAGTATTGGCGGTCCATGATGTGTAGATGTCGCCGCAAAAGGCGTGTAGACGATATTTAGAGTGGCACAGCACCTGCGAGTTAATGTCAGTATTTAGCGCCCGTATACACACAATCTCTCTCTGCACTGCCTGTCAACAACAGTGTTGGCGACGTCGCCCTGTTCAGAAATCAAAAACAGAGAGACAGAAAATCAGGGTTGGCCAGTATGTCTTATATGGTCCCTGGGAACCCTTCACTCAACGTCACTCACCCCAACCAACAACCAACCAACTCGCAGCCGCAACAGCAATACACCCACAAGATCGCTCACCTCCAAGAACAAGCGCGCCTCAAGCCAGAAATCGAAGCTACCAGAACCAGAAAAAAGCGGCCAGGCTCACCAGGTAGGAGGCAGAGCCTCGTCGCCACTTGCGCGTGGGGGTTCGCAACGGTGGGAATCGCAGGTATCGCCTAATCGCAATCGCAAGAATCCTGTAAGGGCTGGGAGGAGAGATCGAGAGCGCAAGCTCAGTCGTCGCGGAGCATAGGTATCGGTGTCGTCGTCTTCGTCGTCGCTGTCAGTTCTTCTTCAATCGTCAAGTCGAGTAGAGGTCAGGGGTCAATCGGTCGCGCAGCTTGCGGCGGAGATGCATGCATCATCCGTTCCAGCTTCTCGAACTCCTGCGCAGTCTCCTTTATTTCCTTAAGCTGGTCGATCTGTCGCCGAACCGATGCTGGGGAGTGGGCGGGTAGCAAGCAGGCGGGCAGCCACGGTATATGATCCAAGGAGGAACAGAACCAGGAACAGAGAGAGAAAAGTTGCACGGTTCAGAGGGAGGGAAATGTCGGACGGACTGACTGGCGGGTTTTGGGAAGATGGGGCGCGCCACGCCACACGGACGGCTGCTACTTCTGGGTGGGTGGGTGTTCCGTCCCAGTGAGGGATAGGGAGGATGGGGGGGGTAGGGGGGGGGAGGGGGGGAGGGGAGGAGCTCGCGTACCGTACCGCCGCTACCGTGCCGCAGGGTACGCGCATGAGTTAGCGTATTGCAGGTTGTGGACCTGTGGACCCGGTCGCTGACGGCGCGAGGTGGGATAAACAATACAGGCCAGACAGGATACTTTTGGGGCTGGCTCAGCGTGGCAGAAGGGCGAGGTATCGGAGGGTGCCGTGGTTGTGTCGGTGCCATGTTGGAAGGATTGCAGAACGCCGTATAGTGTAAGACAGTCTGGCGGGTCGCACAGCTTCCGGGGCCTAGATGGTTGAGAAGGTTGGGCTATGGAGTTGGCAGCTAGGGGCCTTGATTGTGGCAGCTGGCACCCGCCATGACTCGAGTTGGTGGTGACAGTGGATTTGTGATGGAGAAGGGGGATGGGGAAGCAGAGAAGAGAGACAACGCGCTGGGGGAACAGGGGTTCAGAAGAGAAAACAGGGTGCAGGGTGCGGAACATGGTTGGTACAGGACAGTATCTATGTACAGGACTAACTTCAGGACTACTCTAGGACTCGTTTGGGGTTAAGGAACGGTACCCTAACCTAAGAGTAGTATGGGAGTAGTCTGGGATAGTCTAGGAGGAGTTGATACAGAAACAGAAGATCGGAGCCAAGTGGAGTCGCCGCCACAGCGAGCGCCATTTCTTTGCAGCGGTCAGTGGTCGCGGTCAGTGGTCGCCATGGGGGACATTGAGCACATTAAGCACGTTGAGGATACTATCGATGGCCCGATGGCAGTATAGACGGACTGGCAACCGGCTAAGAAGCAGCGAATACATCGATCCATCAATGGCCTGCACCATACGGGTTAGCCATGGAGTGCTTTTCATGGGTCAGCACAGTATTGTGCATCGGAGCGCATTCCCTAACATGCCCTGAGCCAGTACAAGCAGCCAACACAGCACACCGGACAGTGGGTAAAGCACAGAACACAGGGAGACGAACAAAAACGCCGCCGCCGCCGCTAAGCAAACCCGGCCAAGGATGCCCGCTCCACTAGGAGACCTATCCATAGGTATGTACAGTCAAGTACTTGTACGCCGATCAACCATGGGGGGTAACATAGTTCCCGCCCGCCACGTCCGTGTCGGCGCCCGCCAGTCGCGGGCGCCGCCGTAAGCGCGATAAAGGGAGATTGTCGGTACTATCCAGTTGTCCGGCGAGGGGGCCCTTGTCTAGCATCTGATATAATCGGATAGCGCTGATGTGGGCGTGGGCGTGGGTGATGGTGGAGAGAGAGCGAGATACTGGCAACACGACAATTCAATTCAGTACCACAGCACACCCACACAGTCGCATCCGCATACATACTATAGCACTATACCGATAGTGTCCCCAGCACCAACAGCCAACCAACCAACCACACAGCCATGCACCGCCCACCCCTTCCCCCCCTTCGCTCCCTCGTTCGCCGCTTTGCATCCTTTTCCCTGCCCCTTCCCTGCCTCTTCCTCCGTCCCAGAGATGCGTACAGCGCTCTAGCTAGGAACAGCGGAGATGGCGCAGGCAGGACTGCATCACAAATGAAAGGCAGTAGATGGACGCACAGTCCCTCGGCGATGCACCTTCACACCCCCCCGACCCGACAGATTGGATCCGCATAGTGGAACGGAGTACAGTACGTACGATGCATCACCCTACGGTGCATCTAACCGCTGTTGGCCGCGGACGGGGTGGCCGAGAAGGTATGCATACAGAGAACGAGAACTGTGGTGGTGAGACTCTGTGGGTGGGTTTGTGGCTGGCTGGTGCGTCGATGGGGGACGGAGTGGGAGAGGGAAACGGAAACGGAAACGGAAACGGAAAGGGAAGGGGCGAGGGAAGGAGAAAGGGGAACAGCGACTCGCATGGCGGGGAATGAGCGAAGGGGTGAAGGTGAAAGTGACGCGGAAGGCAGCGACGATGGAGATTGAGGCACTTCAAAGGAAGGCCGGAGAGGGTACTCGAGTACTATACTATATCGACATACTCCATCTCCAGCGTGCTTTCCTTGCCGCCTCATCGCCCTCGTCACCTTCGTCGCCGTCATGTACTCTACTTCCTACTTTTGCCTATGCAAGTGCGGACAGTAGAGTGCATCAGGCCCATCCCACCACACCGCCACACACACACCACACACACAAATACACACCACACCTACACCTGGTACGTGGGTCAATGTCTTGGTCTTGTGTGTCCAAAATGCTGCATCAAAAATACTGCATACGACCTTGACCTTGCCCACCCGCCGTCGCTCCTGCACACTTCTCGTGTCCTATCGTGTTCTCTCCTATCGTGCCCTGTCGTGTCTTGTCGTCTCCCGTCCATGTGTGCTCTCTTGTGCCCCCCCATCCAGTCTCATCCACTCCTATCCGCTCCCCATCCTCCATCTTCCTCAATATCCCCTCCTCCTTCAGAACTCGGTATTGTTGCTGCACCCCATACGTTTCACGCCACCATCCTCCTTTCTCCCCTCGCCGTCCGTTTCACACCCACTCTTCCTTTCCTCCTTTCCTACCCCTGCTCTCGCACCACCCACGTTGCTGGAACACCGATGTCATACAGGTGGTACTTATTATAGTACTTACACGACTTACACTACTTACACTCACTACTTGTCCTCTCCACACGGGACGGATACGCCACCCACCCGCTCACCGAATAGTGCAATGCACACCGCGTCCAACCGTGCACACGCAGGCACGCACAACTCATCCCGCACCACCAGCCGTGCCCATACCCGAGAAGTTGGGCAAGAGAGCGTTGTGACAATATGGAGCCTGCCATACTATACTCGAAGGGTGGGGGTTATGAGCCGCCGCGGGTGCGGGTGGAGAGGACCTCTTGGCGGTAGGTTGCAGGAACAAAGTGTTCATGGGAATGCTATGGTCAAGGGACAAAGAAGTGAGATGTGCTGGAGAGGGGTACGACGGAGATTACGGGAGAGGTCTTGTACGACTCGAGCAAGCTGTGGGTGGGCTGGCTGAGAGAACGCACATCTGCCGCGGTGGTGATGAACACTCACATTTCGACTGATTCGGTGGCGTGCTGATCGGTGACGGCTCGGTGACGGCTCCTCGATGACTTACAGATGACGAGACGAGTACGAGTATTCGCATCCGGGTTCAAACAACTTGGGCGATATGTGGCGTGCCGATCGGTGAACGCTCCCGTCTACCCACAGCGGGCGAGACGAGCACTCACATCTCGAGCCATGAGCGGCGTGCCTGGACCATCTCGGCCCCAACGTGTGACGGCACGATACAACGTCAACTGTCCTCCTACCTCCCCAAACCATGGCGCCCCATAAACCACGAACAAACCATCACAGCAACCCCCGTCTTTCCTCCCCTATCTCCCCACCACGCCGCCGGGCATCACCCCCTCGCCCAGTAACTGACACATCACACCCTCCCCTCCTCTTTCCCTTAAACCATACACCCAGCACCCCATCCCACTCCCATCTCATCCTCCCCAGATCCGAAACTCTTTCTCCCGCTCCAGTGCGATCGCGCTCGCGCCACCATGCACCGCCAGCACAGCTCCTCTCGATCAAAACCCTTCCCCTCGGGCTACCACCCTTTAAATCTCACGCCCTACTCGCCGAATAGCAGCCGCTATCTAACCCAGCTAAGTGGCTGATGTCTACAGTACCACATTATCTCGCCCGCAGACGTGCGCAAGCCAAGATACTGTAAGAAGACAAGACAGACAGGAACGACGGCTCGGGTCGTCGGTTACCGCATCCCCCAACGCATCTCCCTCTCACCCACAGTAGCTTACCCGAAAACCACGCACACTCGCGAATACCGTCCCCGTTCTTCCCCTCTCCTTCCCCAGACCTATCGTTGCTACCAAACCGCGGAAAAGGTTCAGTATCCCCGGTCTTCTCATCCCCGGTCTGTCTTCCACGCATCCCCGACCATGTCCATCCTACACGACAGGCTTCCTCACCATGGTACCGACGGCCCAATTGCGGCTAAGTTGCACCTCTTGATCCGCATTCCCCACTCTATACTGTTGCGGTGGGTGCTGGCAACGAACTCACGCACATACTCCCATGAACCAGCACATCCTTGGCGGAATGTGCTGGCCAGCCCGTGTCTGGATGGCTGGTTGGGGTGGTGGACATAGCAAAGTATACACTCGATAACTTGGTCGAGAGATGAACGGGGCTGGTGGACGCGGCGGATTGGTGTGGTTTCAGAAATGCCCTGTCTGGGTGCCGGTCGGCCCGATGCAGGCGTCGCGCAGTGGACAAGCTACTCTTCGGAGATGGCACTCTACACGAGTAACGAGGTCCAGGGGCCGGGTTGGGGGATGTATGGGGGGGTGGACACACTTGCACCACCACCATCCGCTTGTGGGACAGTTTGCGAAGTACGCGTGGTGTATGGAGTCGTTATGGCATACAGTGGATATGGCGTGTGAGACGCCCCGTCTAGCAACATGTTGGACTGCCATGCATCAGTGTGGTATGTATTCTCCATTGACCAGGAACAAGGCCGAGCGGGAAATGCCGTTATATTTATACGCTTTAATCTCATACAAACCGCGAAGACATATATTTGTACGTACAGGAACGAGCAAGTCACGGTAAGCAAGGGGTGGGGGTGCGGCATTCCCGCTCCCGCTGCGGACCGAGGCCCGGGCTGCAAGGGAGGTTACTATATGTGCCTTATCTCGGTGGATTTGCGAGCCACCCCAGGCCAACTGCCGAGATCGTTTTGTTGGCTTTGAGGGTTGGGCGTGATGGGGAGAGCTGCTGTGGGGGCGTAGCTGGGGGATGCGTCATGACAAGGGATGTGACGGCTGGGTGGGCGCAGACGCCCATAAAGCTGGAAGTTGGGCGAGTCAGGCCATGTCAGAGGATCGAGACTGGGATTGGACGACGTTGGAGGTGGGTATGTGATGAGAAGGGAATCAGAGGGCCAAGTCTAGGATTCCACAATCTTCGAGACAGGTCTTGAGAGAATAATCGAATTCACAGCCGTGACCTCCCTATGTGTCAAAACCTGCGTTCATCCTATGATTGAGCAACGATAGATGCCAGCCCTCCCTATTAAGCTAATATACACATACATCTGACCACAGCATCCTAACTCCCCCAGATGACCCAAATTCACTCCCCCCTTCCCCTCTTCCTCCTCCCCCCCTCCTCCCCACCACCAGACCCAGATCCAACACCCCTCTTCCTTCCACCACCACCTCCCAGCCCAGCCATCCGCTGTGCCTCCCGAACAAGCCTCTCCCGATCCCTCGCCTCCCTCTCAGCTGTATGCGGATCCTTCGCAGCAGGAGCGACGTGGTTCTCTTTCCCAGACATTGCGCGAGGCCCCATCGGTGGACGAAACCCATCTTCCCCAGCGGCATCCCCGTTCTGCGCCGGGGGCGAATGTTGGCGGCGGCGGCGAGAGCGTGAACGCGAGCGGTGCTTGTGTGATGAGGATTTGTGGCCGTGGTCACGGTCGCGGTTGTGGTCTCTATCCCTCTCGCGGTCTCGCTCACGGTCTCTACCCTTCTCGCGTCCCCCATCTCGATTCCTCTCCCTCTCTCTATCCCGATCGCCACGCTCCCTATTGTAGTCCCGATCGCGGTCTCGGTCACGCCCGCCGTCACGGTCGCTATCCCTCTCTCGCCTCCGTCTCTCCCTGCGCTCGCGCCTGGCCTCTGCCTCCGCTTCGTCTTCAAGGACATCCTCTCCGGCGTCCCCAGCACCCTCGCCCTCTTCGCGCCGTCTCTCTCTACGCCGCCTCTCTCGCCTCCGCTCTCTGCTGCCATCAGAAGTAGACTCGTCTCTCCGACGACGGTGTCGTTCTCTCCTCTCACGTTTCGGCGACCTCGAGCGGGACCTTGACTTCGAAGCGTTACGCGGCTGGACTCCCTCTCCTCCCTCGGCTCCCTCACCATCCCACTCCACACGGCCATCCATCTCCGTCTCCGGCACCGCAGAAGATCCGCTCTCCCGCCTCGACTCACCAAACGGCGCTCTCCCACGCAGGTGCAGGATACTCGTGTTCGGCAGCCCCTCGCGCATGGCCTTCGGCCCTGTGGGCGCATTAATCGGCACATCCGCCAACGGCGGCGGCGCTTGAGTCGCGTACGCGCTACTTCGGGCTACATACGCGCCTCCATGGCCATGGCTCATAAACTGCGCCTGCTCGATCTCTTCCAGAGTCTGGATCGGCTTTGGGCCAGTGTCCAGGACGTCAGAGGGGGTGGTTAGGGGGTTAGTGGCAACCTGTGCGTCGCCTTCGGCAGTCATGCCGTTTGTCTCCGCATTGTCTGTGGCAGTTACTTCAGTTTCTGCCAGGGCGGACGGCGTACGGATTTCACGGCCAAACTCGTCAACATTAGATGCGGGCTCAGTACTCTGTTGCTCCTTGGGTCCTTGGGGCGCAGCGGATTCACTCACGTGGCCCGCAACGCTATTTTGGTAGTTGCCGTGTTGTGCGTACTCACCATGTCCGTACCCGCCCCCGCGGCCGTAGCCACCACGCCCTCTGCCTCTCCCACGGCCAGCAAAGCCGCCGCCGCCGTGGTGGCCATACTCATTGTACTGGTTGCGGCCGTAGCCACCTTGGCTATAGCCAGCACCGGCACCATGGTGTTGTTGGAAGGGGTATCCAGGCTTATGAGGGGCGCCATAGTCATTGTGGCCCATTCCCGCAGAAAGCGCAGCATTTGGATTGAAATTATTTTGTCCCATATTCCACTGTTGTCCGCCCCATCCACCACCACCTCCAAAGCCTTGTCCTGCCACGCCTTCGAATCCTCCCATGCCTCCCATTCCCATATTCATGCCGTTCATACCCATACCCCCGAATCCTCCATTCATAAACATGTTCTGCATCGCCATTGGATCCATCGACATTCCAGGCATTCCTGGGATTGTTAGCTAGTTACTTTTGTATCGCGAGGAATATGCATACCCATCATTGGAAATCCGCCAAACGCATTGGCTCCCATTCCATTCTGCATAGCCATCGCCATTTGCATCTGCATTTGGTTCATGTCGCCGGTCATGTTTGGGAAACCGCCCATCGCCGCGTTAAATCCACCTGTCATGCCAGGCATCCCCGCCCCTGCAGCGTCACCATTGGCGTCCTTTTCCCCTTCGTGCGTGGCCTCGTTCGCGTCGGTCGCGACCTCTCCAGCAGTTGTATCTTCTCCTGTATGTTCTTGGCCGGGCGCGATTTCCTGGGAACAGTTAGAGGGTGCGGACGAAGCAGATTCAGTCATATTACCTCAATTGATTGTTGTAGGATATCTTTCTGGTCTTCATTCACAGCTTCGCCATTCGTAACAGGTGTTCCATCAGCAGTCCCGTCTTGTTCAGACACCGGCGCCTGGTCCGTTATAGGTAGTGATTCCTCGGCCGTATCTTCAGCCGGAGCCTCTGAAATTGGCTCCTCGGGCGCTGTGACTGGAGCTGGAGCATCTTCGACTGGTGTGATTGGAGGTGTATCCTTGATTGCTTTTGCTTGCAGCGCGACTCTCTTCTTTTCTTCCGTCCTTAAGAACACCTTAATTGTAGTTCGGAGTGATTTGTGAGGTTTGCAGTCCTCTGCAGCTACTGGCGTATGTTCGCAGACCGGGCAAGACGATGGGAGGGAGGATTGGCCTAGAATAGCCTGTTAGTACTTTGTTTATCTCACGGAGGTTTCTGGGTACTTACAATCCTCGCAGATTGCTTGCTCGCAACATGGCAGGCGAAATGCATTCATTGCCAGTTTGCTGCATATTGCGCAACGCAGTTTGATGGGAATATCATCTTGAGAGAGCGAGCTGATACAGTTAGAATTGAACCGTCGTGGTGGTAAAAGACGCTTCCTACCTGATAAGCTCAGCCTGGGTGAACACCGTCGCGGCCATCTTGCCAAAGGAGGCCGTTCTCTGTCGTGTGCGTGTTTGGACTTTTCGAATCAGGTCATAGCTTTGACGCAGTTGGCCAAAGGTAGATATCAACGATGGGGTAGACGATTGCCAACGTCCATCTCTAGAACATATCCTGTGGTAGGTGAATGCCTCATTACCTTCAGATTCACAGCTGCAACAACAGGTCGGGTTTTACACGCGGCTGGCACGTGACTATGTCATATTTACGCTAGGTCTAATTCGGAAGTTTGTACCAAAGAAGAATACGGACTACCCATATTCAGGTTCAAAATACAGAACATGGCAAGTTTAGAAAGTGTTAACAAATCTTATTTAGATCTCTATATTATCTCTATATTTTAGGTTGGTTGAAAATAATCGCAAGATTTCTTCCCCCTCTCTTGTTAGACAGACCCTTACAAATGCAGCAATGACATAACCTATCAGAACCAGGGTCATATGAAAGCAGCAATCAACCCCCGACAACCCTGTCTTAATGTCTATTATCTCAGCTTTCTCTCTCGATTTCTGTTCTGCATTCTACGTTGAATAGAAGTTCTTACAATGAATCTACGAATACTACTTGTTTAGATCATGATACTGGGACCAATCACTATTGTGGATTGCTTCGTCTTTGTATTCCTACTTTTTCCTCAACAACTACTACACAATGGACTCTTCGACCTAATTACGTGCGGATTGCGAACTCTTCCATTTCTATGTACACTCACTCTCCCAGCTGCCCAAGACAAACGGCTAACCTACGGATAGTCATCAAGCTTCCCATCTCTATCGTCAATGATCGATATCTCCTCGGTCGTTTCACTACCAAACCCTTCGCCCGCAGAGCCACCCTCTTCGAGGATGCTGTCGTTCGCTGCGTCCACTATGGATTTACTAATATCAAACCGCCAATAGCCCGCATCTTCTTCGTTAAGGGCGTTTCATGGCCGTTTCTCAGGTATCGCATGCTCAGACATGGATATCTCTTCCTCCCAGTGCATTTGGAGGATATTGAACAGGTATGCTAGTCTTCAGTTTGGTGTGATCATTATTAATGTGATACAGGAAAGTTTGAAAGGTGTATGGATGATTGATGAGCCTTCTCTAAAGCCAGACATTGTGTTTTATTTTGCGCATGGTAGGTGCCTCACATGATATATCTCGTTGATAGCTCCCATCCACCTGCAGCATCTTTAATAATAATTGTGAACAGGTGGCGGATTTAGCATGGGCTCCGCTTACTTCTATCTCGAGTTCCTCCTTGTTACCCTCGAGCTGCTCCGCTCCAAATTCTCCAATCCCGCTATCTTCGCGTTGGACTACAGTCTCGCCCCTGAAAGCTCTTTTCCCTGCCAAGTTGAGCAAGCACTCGCTGGGTACAACTATCTCATCGCCACAAAGAAGGTTCCTCCTTCTCGCATTTGCATCGCCGGGGATTCAGCAGGCGGAACAATAATGCTCAGCCTTCTCCTCCGCCTCGCTCGTCCCAACGTAAATGGCCGAGTCTCCGGGGAGTTAAATGGGAATGCCAAATCGGTCCGCGCTGGGAGCAACAAACCCGGGATGGCTTGTCTCATCTCGCCATGGGCTACACTGGTGTCCCCAGCCCACTGCGACACCGAAAGCGACTACCTTGATACCTTTCGGCTGCATGTTTTCGCACACGGTTACGTAGGAAGGAAAGGCTCTGTCTACGATCCGGTCGCCAGCCCAGGCAGTTGCAAAGATGTAGACTGGTGGCGGCAAGCTGCTCCTCTGAGGGGGTTTGCCATTTCGTATGGCAGTGAGGAGGTGTTGGCGTCCGATATTCGCGACCTAGTGGAGTTATTGCACAGTTCTGGTGTGAGGGTTGTGGCAGATGAAGATGAAGGTGGAGTGCATGCGTGGCCTGTGGCAGGGCTCTTTTTAGGGAGCACGAAAGAATCGAGGATAAGGGGGGTCAGGAGAATGGTAGATCGAATCGCGGGGTTGATGGTGGAGGTATAGCTTGAAAAAGCGTTTACCACGGCGTCAATTCATATTTCACACACATATGTCCCATATTTTACCACTGCACCGGGTAGTCTTTCCAAATTATATAACTTAGCGTTTACGAGCATTTAAAGTGGACACAAAAATAAAACGCAATACTTAGTTTAATAAATAAAATAATTATTTTGGTATTTCTATAAAACACATTCCATAGATTCTTATAAAAGAACCTTCCACGACAGAAAACGAAGAATAAATAGAACAAATTCTTCGTTTCGGTATCAGTAAACTCCTTAACCAAACGCCATCTCCCATAAACCCTCACGGGCTCTTCCTTTGCCTCGCTCTCCGTCTCGACATCTCGACCAGAGTCATTACAGTCAACAGCACAACCGTCTGCCACCTCTCCCACTCATCCTCGCCCTCCGAATTCAGAATCCGCACCCCCAACCGCGCCCTCACCGTCCACCGTATCAATGCTCCCCTAGTATACCTCGCCAGCACCATCCCCTCCCGTCCCTTCTCCACCAGCTCCATATCGGCCTGGTCATCAAGCATCAGCGGCGACGACGTACGCCGCCACTCGTATTTCCGGCGCTCGCCATCTGCCCACATCCATTCAAACGCATACGTCCCATGCGTCCAGGAGCTTGTGCGTCGCAGCTCTTCCCACGCCATGCCCTCCATGCCCTCGAGGGCCGTGCTGGCACCTGTGCGCACACCGAACTGGTTGGTTCCTTTGAAGGTGGAGATGTTGGCTGCTCCAATGGGGGGGGTGGTGCGCGGGCCAGCATGCAGGACGACGGAGTGGGCACCGGCCGTGAAGGTGCTGTTGATGATTGTGTAGAGGGCTGGGCCGTCCTGGTTGGCGTGGAGGGTTATGTTCTGCATATCCAGGTTGTGGACAGAGTAGGTCTTGTAGTGGGGGTCTGTGGATTCGGGGGGGGGGACGTCAGAATCCGAAATAACGGAGGTGTCAGAGTATGCTGGGGGAGATGTGGAGGGCAGGTCAGTGCCTGTGCTGGAGTGCGTTTTTTGAGGGCCGTAATCTGATTCGACTGACGATGAGCCGCTGTGGGCTCTACGATGGCGTAGTTTGTGCAGTTCCATGGTGGCCATGGTGATTTATTGTGTAATTCAAGAAGCAAGGTAGTATAGCTGCTTCAGCTGTGTAAATAACAGGGGCACTCTGGTCGGTATCGATGGACCCATTGTAGATATATATACTGTTTTTGAGAACGGGGCCAACGTTTGTCACAGCCTCGCCGAGGGCGCTATTAAAATGCCAAGGATAATTTGGATCCATCAATTCGTATGCTGATTGGCCACAGTGTGTAGTAACTGGTAACCCTAAAGTCTATCGCAACTGGATGCGATTGGTCGTTCCGTTCAGGGATAGTCAGACGTCACATCAAATGGCTCAGCCTCGCAATATGGCAGCCCGGTACGCACCTGGTCACAACGATTGAAGAAGTTTCACATCAGAGGCGTTTTCGATGAGACTCTCTTTTGGCCTCACGCTTTGGAGACAACATCCTCGCCTCCGGAATGGGTTGATTTGAAGATTTATTATGTGCAGCTTGAGCGACACACTCCATCGGGATGGTGGTACTTCATGCCCAAAGGCAAGCCTAAGTTTGGCACACCTCCTCGCGATCCGGCGGAAGATCCAAATGATCTACCACTTCCATTCACCGATGACCCGACAGGTGGCGCAGATCCCTTTGATAAGAGGGTTGAGGACGCCTGGGATTGTAAAAAGGACTATGCTATGCCTGAGGAGGACTTTGTCACTCGCAATGTCCCTTATGAAGACAATATGCAGCCGCTTTTAGAGGGCTGGGCTAAGGCGCTGCTATGTATGCCTTCATTGCGGCAGGCGACGTTGGGTTTCTCAGTGGAGATCTTCGACAGCAGGTCTGCTGACGAAAATGATTTGTGCTTGGATGACTGGGAAGTCATCTACAAGGCGCCAGACAATCTCGGTTTGTCTCGTTGGGACAGTAATTTGGAACCCGAAGAGCGGCGAAATAGGCGTCTAACTTTTCACAATACTTATGGCTGGCGGCCAAACAAAGATATCATGGATATGTTGCAACGTGTTAGAGAGGATAACTATCCGGGAACTAAATCGGTGGTATTGGATGTTGATTCTTGGGGCGATATTTTAAGATAGGCATGTTGATGGGAACAAGAAACGATCGGTTTACACGCGGGCGACTCGGTGACCGAATAAATATATATTTGTCGATGGATAACGACCTTTCGAGCCCCGGATTATAAATTGAAAACCCACAACCAAACGTAAGTTCTATATCAACGCTTCGCCTTGTACAAGAATACACCCTAGTTCCACGCTGAGCCCGTTTACAGCATAGCCATCACACCAGCAACGCCAGCAACGAGTCCAACACCGGGAATGGCAAGCATGCTGGCAGCACCCTTAGCATTAGAACCAGTGCATTCTTTGTTGTATTCATCTGTCGCTGACGCGGGGATGGTGACCTCTGGACAGTAGTTCTTGAAGCAGCTGCAAGGTGTTAGAGTTTGGGGAAGAGAGGAGGCGGTGTGAAGGCACTTACTCGAGCTCGGTCTTGAGGACGCCGCATGCGCATGAAGCATCAGTGCACTTGTCTAGGGCATTGGTAAGGGGCTGGATGCAAGTTGACAGCGAACTTTGGGGGGAGATATCAGCATATATGACCATGATTGGCCTTTAGGGAAGTACGAACGTAACGTCTTTGCAACTAGAGAGATCGTCGGTTTGTGGGCGGGCGCACGCGAAGCCAATGGCACCAGCCACGAGGAAGAAGAGACTCGAACGCATCTTGATAGGGAGGTTTGATATGGTTTAGGTGGAAAATATAATAAAGCGTGAGGATGAGTAAGAGCAGAGAATGGCCAAGACAAGGCAAAACAGGGAGATAGTCAGGTTAAGTAGTATAGGTCTCCCCACAAAGTGGTTCTGCACATCAAGGAGTCAGGGTGAGGCTACTGGAACTAATGCGGCACAGCAGGCAGTCAGATCAGCCCTGAAATCAAATAGCCCTGGCAGGGGCGTTAACCCCGTTAGTGCTCACGCTTAGGCTTCTCTGTAGGGAGTAATGGGGCCTATAATATGCCACAGCCGTGCTCATTGGCGAAAGTTAAATGCGTCGGGCCAGCCGGCGAGTGAGATAAGGTCAAATTTGAAAGGGGGAGCAAATACGAGCAGGGGTTGGTTGTCACAAAGGCCGGAATGCATTGCGCTAAAAACTCTAACTGGGCTTGATCTGCCTCGGATCCGTTCCTTCGCGTGTCTTCTGCTCTTTTACCCTTTTCGCTTGACTTGACGGCCCTCAGCCACTGTAGATCCAATAATCCTCCTGACATCTGACATGACAGCAAACAGATATTGTGCCCCTCAACGACGATGATTTTATTTATAGAATAACCCAGACTTTTACAGAACATATGACACTGACATGTATAACAGCTGCCTGGGCTGGCAGATATTGTATTAGAACCGACGATACAGGCCCACCTAAGTACCAAGACAATGAATGGCAGGTGCTTATATTCCGTTTCGGCAGGCACCAAGGGTCCGAAATGTGCAATTTCCCGCTAGACTGCTACAGCCTAACCAGGGTTTCGTTAACCTCTTTCAACTCACCGAGTGAGCCCCATTAAGCCCCATATATTTTCCAACTTGTTCCAGGGAATTACCAACTCAGTTGGTTGGCTCCTTTTTCGCTGCTCGTATAGCTGATATACATGATTGGCTGGTACGGGGTTCCCACATCGTCCAAAGGTGGAAATCGATAAAAGAGATTTGACACCTCGCGTATATTTGCTACTTAGGACTCATGTTTGTGACGTGTCTAGCGACGGGAGGCATTTGATCAAAGGCTTGTTTATAGGTGGGTAGGCAATTACCGAAGGCGCTGGCGGTATAAAGCTGCGAGTGGCGCAAGGGGCGTCGCTAGAATGCTAATGGCGCTGTCAGCCGGAGAGGGATGAGGCTGTGGAGCTGAAAGAGAGAAGGGGCTGAAAGGAGATCCAGTGATCACACCCAACTCATATTACTTATGGCCGTGGTGGAAATGGTGGGTTAGCTGAAATTCCACGACGGAAGTACCTTCTCTTTCTTGACGTGACGATCAACAGCTACCATCTGAGGCTGGGGGAGGCATGACGTTAACACGTGCATGTGTGCACCAAGTGCAAGTTTATAGACACAAACAGTCAAATAAATCAACCACTGGATATAATACATATTATACATTTGGTCCATGTCTAAGCAGGCCTCTTTCTATGCAGCTATATCACTTTGTTATAGGCGCCTGGTGTGACGCCAGCTTCTCCCATTCAACCGCGAGAAGTCTTGCTTGCTTTCCTTCCTCAGACGATCCGTGTAATCTTGCGGTCCTCTCATACAAGGCAGCAACCTCAACAACTGCATCCCTGATCCTAGATGCAGCAGCTTTGAGCAAATAGGTCTCTTTTAATGGGTCTTCGTCTGGCATCATGAAAGCCAGCTTATAATAACCTTCTGGGTTATCAAACTCAAGCGCTGCTTTCTTGAAGCTCATCCTCGCCTCCTCCTTCTTGCCATCTCGATACGAGAGATTTCCTTGCTGGACCAACGCGTTGCCAATCTCAGCATCGACGGAGCCGTCACGCGGAGTCTCTGCGACTTTCTGAAACATCTCGGCAGCTTCGGCGTGCTTCTTCTGGCGGTCCAGGATGCGGCCGTACATTACCATTGCCTCTGCATTTCCTTGATTGGCGTAGAATTTGAGCTTGGTCATGGGTATTAGCAGACCTGGGTGGTGAAGATTGTCCTGCAGCAAAGATCTGTTCATGACGGCGACGATGGAACTTAAATCGCCAAGCGTTGCGGCGCAGATCATCATATTTTCTCCCATCTTCCTTAGAGGGAGAGCAGGATTCTTATTCAGGATCCTGCTAACCATGGCCAAGGTAAGAGGATCTATTTTGTGTTCTGTGATGGTTAGATACGCCTCGATCACGGGACTGGCGGCTCACCTCTACAGAAACGGATCTCCCAGCCAGGTTCTGCCACCGCATTGCAATAAGAGCGTAAAAGCTCGATTGAATCCTCCGGTTCAATCTTTAAGGCGCCCGCCTTTTTGGCGAGTGTGAATTGAGCAATAGTAGCTTTTCGATCCCCGATTAGCGCCTCTATCCATCCTCGCCGTTGACTTTGGTGATCTGGTCGGCCTTGGGCGTTTAAAGATCTCGATTGCCGGCGAGTAGAGGGTGCTGCCTTTGGCACCTGAATTTTGCATGCATGAGTGCTCGAGAATGGTCGTATCGAGGGTTTAATACAGCGACTCAATGCGCCTCTGCTGTGCGCGCCGAGAAGAGCTACCATCGACTGCATTTTGAGTTGGCTGGAGCCAATGGGCCAAATGGCCCTTAAAATTGGCGCGGATAGTGTGTGGTGTTTGCAGAGGTCTTTCGCATGTAAGAGAAATCCGAAATAATTGATATAATATCAAGGGGCGTTCATACTCTTCGATTATGAAATACAGAATGCCTCAAGATGCGGTGGTTGCTCACGTGCAAAATAAACTCGTGGTCCGTGCACGATACCAAATTCTCTACGGTAGCCAAGAACTTTATCGCGGGACTTTCTCAAAAAAAGTTGAAACGCCATCCTGCACCCTGCATGACGGCCCTCGCTCAAAACGAACTCTTCTAATGTTCTCACGAATCCTCAGCTCGGCGCGCAATATCGTCCCCTTCAACAAGCACGACGAAGCGGCCAAGAACGAGAAGAAATCACCCGGCGGGCGATCTCTGACGAAGCAAACGACCGAGAAGAAATCCGGTACCCCAAAATCAACAATGGTTACGACGAGGCAGCAAAGCGGTGCGAGTGCGACGTTAATAAACCCCGATGACAGCAATGCCAATGTGCCGAACGAGTTACTATCTGAGAGCGCGAAGAAGCGTAGGCGCACTGAGTTGAGCAAGAAAGCGGCGACAGAGGAAGAGACACCCACGAAACGACGAAAGCTACCTGTGCGGAATAAGGACGAAAATTCTCCAGGCGTAGCACAGAGCCACCTTGCCGTGGAAATACCACTCAAGGAGTTGTCCGAGGAACCTACTGCTACACCAACGGCAAAGTCAAAGAAGGCCACCCCGAAGTCAACACCAAAAGGAAAGCGGAATGCTAAGGCAGCGGATGCGGAGCCTGCAGAAGAGAGTGCCACTTCCACAGAACAGAAAGAGCTTGCGGAGAAGGATACCATTGCGACAGCCGTCGTCGACGCGCCCGTGGCAAAACCTAAGCATAAGAAGTTTGGCGACAACGACCCTGTCGAAGTTGTAGCAGCCCTAGAGCCAGAGCCAGAGAGGATACAAGAGGACGAGGATGAGAGCTCGGATGACGATGCCCCAGAGGAAGTTGGCACTGAAGCTGCGCAAAGCAAAGCTCTAGGAGCTGCACGCGAAGCTGCGAAGGCGGCAGAACAGTAAGCTACCCTTCCCCCAACTACGTCAAACTATAGCTAATCTTGTCGTTTCAGAAAAGAGGCAGCTGAGCGCCAGAAGCGCAAAGACCGCGATGCGCAGCTAAAAGCACAAGCTAAGGCCGCCAAGAAGCGGAAGCACGCGGAGGAGGAGCTGGATGAGTCTGCCACCATTGAAAACTCAAGCATAACCGTCGAGCCGGTAGGACGGGCATCAAAGCCCAGGTTCGACCGCACAACTCTGCCAGATCTGCTTCCGGAAGATTTCCTAGAGGACGCCAGCTCGGAGGATGAGGCTCCAGTGCAAGTTGAGAAGCCGCGAGTGTCGAAGAAGATCAAGTTCGCTTATGAGGAGAAGAAGCCGAAAGACAAGAAGTTGGGATCAACCACGTATCGCGTGGCGCAGGTGGAGAAGGCGGGGTTTGCACCGAAGGCATCTCGCAATACTTTGTCGGTGAAGGCGAGTCTTCAGGGGAGTCGCAAGGGGCAGGTTAGGAAGCCGGTTTCGAGTGGGTTTGTTGTAGCGAAAAGAGCAAGGGCTTGATGATTGCTTTGGGGGTCGTACACGTCTTGAATATACCAATGAAGATAAATTCTATGGACCACTGAGGATTTCTGGAAACTATTCGGCATGTGACTCGAGTAGTAAGTCTCAGGGGGGGAATCATGGCAAGTTTGCGTTCCCTGGAAGGGGTATCAGGAATAATCATGATGAGAGGCCCAGGGGCAGGGGACGGGTAATGCGTACCAATGTTATGGAATAGCAGGGCAGGAAACCTTCGATGTAACCTACGTCAAAGATGGCTAACGAAATGAAATTCTGACCGAGATACCATTTTCCAACGTCCCGTGTGTATTCTGTGCACAAGATGCCAGCACGCCTGTACTACGCCCCTTACTGTTCGGGTATGACACTCCTGTCTCCCAAAGTGTCCCTTCCCATCCGTTAAAACTCCGACATCCCCCCCTTTCTCATCGTCAAACCCGCCGTATCCCCTCATCCCCAATTATCACCACTACTCCCAAAATGATTACCGAAATCGCAACCTTCGAGCTTGCCTCCCCCGCCGACCTTTCAGACCCCTCATCAACAACGAGATCAACCATCTGCGCCTTCCTAACCGCCGTCCTAGCTACCGATGGCGGCGCACGCGCAGCTTACTTCGGCCAATCAGCTGAGAATCCGGATACGGTCATCTTGTTCATCGATTGGGACTCTACGGATGCACATCATCGGTTCCTAGCCTCTCCGTGAGTTCTCCCATTCTTATTCTTACCTCACACGTGCCCCCGAGCGGTTTACACAAAACTTAAAAAGAAACAGCACACACGACGACCTCGCCTCCCCCGTTTTAGCAATAATGAACCGCACCAGCCCGTCTCAAATCATCCACCTCCCACCCATCTCACACGCCCTCCTCGGCGAGCAGGCAGACATCAACGTCACAGAAGTGCTTTTCTACTATTTCCCTTCCTCCTTAACGGATGAGGATATCGCCGCCATCGATGTGAGAATGGACGTTCTGCGGCCTTCGCTCGAGAGCTCGGAGGCGAAGGGGGTATTTGAGGGGTGGGCGGAGGAGGAGGATGTTGTGTTTCAAGGTTTGAGAGGGGAGGAGAGGTGTAAGGTGTGGGTTCATGTTGTCGGGTGGGAGGATATGGCGGCGCATGGGAGGATGGTGGGGGGTGAGAAGTTTGAGGATAGTAGGGAGATGGTTATGGGGATGCATGATTTGAAGGGGATGGTGATGTTGCATACGGCGTTGGTGAAAGTGTAGGTTGTGATTCATGGGGACTTCTGGGTTATGAAGAGATACTCGAGTAGATTCCTCGGCAGAGGAAACCAAAAGCCTATGAAGGAAAACTGATATTTAAATTTCAATGATATGGTGTGGTGAAATACTGTTTTGGTCATCAAACAACAATGTAAATGTTACATCGTAGTGAAATGCTGCTGGTTTTTTTGTGTCTAGGTGAATATTGTCCTTCAATTCTATTTACACATGCGTTTATATAATATTATCACCCCTTTTTTTTTCTGGCAATATTTTAAATAAATTAGAGAATCATAAAGAACTCGACATTTGGCACACATTAAACTACCAAACAATATTTCACACAATTTTTTCATTGTATTTTAATATCTAATGACATGGGGGAGTCTGCTCACCTTACTGGTGAATATCTCACACCTGCATTTCCGTACAACGCCCCTATCTGTCTCATCAAGACTTGATTGATATCATACCTTGGTCCCCCCTCGTGCTGCAAACCTTAAAAAACACACCTCCTACCTCAGATACTTTTCCTGCCTTAAACGCAATATCAGCCTCTCTCCGCCAAGCGTGAACATCCTCGTCGACCCTCCGTCATCTCCAAACACGTACACCAGCAAAACCGGCCTGCCCCCCAAACCTTCAAGCTCTCCTCCTCCTTTCTTTTCGTTCCTCTCCCATACTGACGACCCCACAGACTAGAACGACGTCAACAGGAAAATAAGGCAAGAGAGCACACAATAAAAAGCCCTCCGAGAATAAAGGCTAGGCCGAAAGAAATAAAGCACCTCTACCCAGCCAACAAATCACTGTTCTTGCTAGCCATAAGATGTTAAGTGTGTGATAGTGTCTATTCGTCGAGCCGGCACAGCTCTAACACCAAAAAAAAGGCAATAGAGCTCACAAAAAACAGCAGACAGAATGAGGAAAGAAAAGCACCTACTGGACCTCCCAACCCCCATGTAGCCAACTCATCACTGTTCTCGCCAGACTCAAGATGCCAAGTGCGTGATAGTGTCTATCCGTCGAGGAGAAACAGCGCCAACCGATAAAAGAAGAGAAAGAAAAAGCTCATAAAAAAACCCCCCTGGCAAAAAAAAAAGGCAGACCGAAAAAAAGAAAGCACTTACAGCACCCACCTACCTCCACCGAGCCAACCCATCACTCCCCTTGCCAGGACCACAACTCGCTGTCCGCAACGAAATCTCATACCCAGCCACCCAGCCACCCAGCCACCCATCCACATATCCCCCCTTCCCACCCGACACTGCCGCTCACCTGCCGCCTTATACACACGCCTGCCGCCCTCAACCCGTCCCCATCCCGCCCCAACCCCGGCACTTCACCATGAGTGGCGTAGAACCAACCTCTAAAACACCAACCCCCCATACCCCCCAAACCCCAATCACACAAGCCACCCCCTATGCACCCCCCCTCCCCCTCACTGCCGACAGCTCACACCCCCCACCCCCAATTCAGCCGCCACATCCGCACCCCCCTCATCACCCCGCTCGGACACGCCATCCCATGACATGACGCCCGTCCGTGCGAGAGCCTGACGACTGACTCGCGGATCAGAACCCGCGGCCATCCATTGCTCGCTCTTTCTCTTTATTCGCCGCACCGCACAGCCACCTCCCTGACTACCATGCTGTAACTGCACCCCCTTCTCGACCCAGCGATGTGGCGGCGATGAGACATGGGCAGCGGGAATCATGATGATTGAAGCGCACTAGGACGGGGACTAGGACGGGTATGACGGGCTCCTTTGTGGCGTCGAGGAGAGGAGGGAGTGTGAGCGTTGGCGTTGGCGTTGGCTGCCCAGGCGCGCGCACGGTGTGTTCAGGTCAGGTCAGGTCAGGGCAGTGCGGCGGTGGTGTTGAAGAAGCCGTTATGTGATGCCGAGCGGTGCTTGGCGGATGGCACTTCACTTCACCACACAGACACAGCTCCATAACAGGTTTTGGCCCCCAACTCCCATCCCGATAACGAGACCGAAGATCGCCGTCCTTGACACCTAGGAGCGGGATACCGATCGACGCAGCCGCTGCATGTCTCGGACGAGGGAGGGAGTATGCCCGGTGAGTAATCCAACTGCATCAATCATCCCCCTCCGCTACTGTCAAGACCAACAAACCTCCCTCCCTCCCTCGCTCCCGTTCTTTCCAGAAGCGCTAGCCTGGCTCGGATCGACGTACCCGCCTCTCTGCCTGCTCCACCAGACCAGCTCCTGCATCCCACAGTACTCCCACAGTATAGGCAATATGCAATATGCACCTCGTCGCCCGTCGTCTCGCTCTCCCTTTCCATAGGCCCAATCCCTCACCGACCCCCCCCTTCCAAATCCAAAGTACACTCAACCGACTCTAATCTCCTCCCTCCCGTCATTCCAGAAGCTCCCCAATCCGGCACATGATCGGCGCTCCCGCTTTGGCGCATATGCACGCTCGCTCTCTCGCGCGCGCGCCGGCGCACGCACGCACGCACACCACACGCCGTCCGAGCGACGCCCATCCGCATCGCGACGCGTGCAGCAGTGGAATCTTCAGCGGCGGCGTCGCTCGTGCCTGTTGTGGTAGGTGGTTGCGACGAGCTGGCGGACTAGAGGAGTGCGGTGGCTTGGTGCTGGTCCGGGCGCTCGGTCCTCGCGGGCTTGTACATGGCGTCGGTCGGTGGGCTCGTATCTGTCCGTCTAGTTGGCATGGCGCTGCGTGTGTGATTGTATTGGGTATGGAGATGGTGGGAACAGGTGGGGGTAGGTAGGGTGCATGAAGGCGATCAACGTTACTTGGTACAGTTCGGATGTAGCGCGCTGTCTGTCGTGGGACGAAAACACCGTCGCCACGCCGCCTTCACGACATACGGTAGCGCCATAGCACCACCGCACCGACGCCGCCACGCCATGCCATGCCATTTGGACACCGCGACGGGATGGAGTCGCACCCGCCTACCACACCACACCGCTGACAGCCACGCGAGCGCATGCTCGGCAGCGCAAACCCCATACGGCGTGAGGTGAGGTATCATTCCTCATCTCCCATCCTCCCGTACCGTCGCCGCCACCCCCACCGCACGACCGATGGATCCCACGACCTCGCGAGCGACCGAGCCCGCCTCCCCTCTCGCGCGCCGCAGAACAGCCGCGTGCTCCACCTCCAGACGGACGCGCCGCTCATCTCATTTCATCTCAGCTTTCCCACTTGCAAGATGAGAGCTGAGCGTGGGTCCCGCCCACTCCCCCATTCCCGTAACAAGGCAGGCAAATGAATGACAGTACGGGGCCTGGTCTAGCTGACTGACACCACCCACCTACCAGGCAAGGCGCGATGTAGTAGGACGCTATCCAGCGCCCTCGTAAGCGTAGATTAGCTCACCCTCCCACCTCGTGTCGGACGGCTGGCGGGCTGACTGGTGGTGGGTGGGTGTCCCGTAGCACGACAGCCGAGCCGGACAATCTCACACGCCTCCCACGCGTGGCAGCGGGGATTTAGGATTCTAGAAGGGAGATGAGGAAGGCGCGATCTTGTTCGGGTGCGGGGCAAGGGGAGGCGCTATTGTGTGGTAGCGCGGCGTAGTGTTAGACGGGGCGGATGATGGGATTTCTTGCCTCCTTACTGTGATGTCTGTGTGTTTGTGCGGTCTGTCTGTCTGCCCTGTTTGTTTTGTCCTGGCAGGCGGGCGACGTGGTGAGATGCGGTGTGATGATACACAGGGCGTGGTGATGGTGGTAGTGGTAGTACTGTGGTGGCAGGAGGATGGGTTGGCGCGAGGTGAGGTGAGGTGCCACGGGGAGGATTCGCATGGGCGTACTGTCGTGTTGTGTTGCGCTGCGTTGTGCGTCGTTCTTCCCTTCCTCTTCCCCATCCTCTCCCTCTTCATTCCGTATCCGCACCCAAACGTCGCACAATCACGTGTCACCCACCCATCCATCCATCCATCCTGCCTCATCCCCTCGTACTCTTTTCCATATTCTCGTGTGCGGCGTAGATGGCATTCTCCCACCCACCAATTCTCGACAGCGCCTGCCTCGCTGTCCCACTCTCACTTCCACTCAGGTTCCACCTTAGGCTGACCGGCCACGCTCGCTGCCAATGCCTCACCCGGTCCGTGCACACTCTCCACCCACGAATCTTCCTTGGTGCTTCTATGTTTTTTTGCCGCCCGCCCGCCCGTCCTTTCCGTCGCTCGGTGCCCATCTATCCGCTCAGGGGCGTTGGCGTTGGCACCACGCAGTGTGGAATGCGATGTGAGTGGGATTGATGATGGAGTGATGGATGGATGGAAAAGGAGGAGCGAGTACGAGCATAACGCGAGAGGAGAGTGAGTGAGATGGCGGCGGGAGTGGCTGTACTATCCTGTTTTCCTGCTGTAGGTGACAGCTCATTTTTATCAGCTCTCCTCCGCGCGCGTGGGGGAGCGGGTTGTGGTCCCCGATGGATGCGCTGTGATGGATGGGAGGATGTGATATTGAATGTCGTTCCTGGCGAGTGAGGGTGGACTAATGCGGCTGCGGCGAGGTGAGAGATTTTTGTTAGGTGGTGTGGGGGGGGAGATGTGAGAGCGTGAGTCGTGCGTGAGTGGAGATGGATGTAAGGAATGTGATGGGTTGTACAGGATATGCTACATCATACATACATACGTGCATACATCATACATACGATACGATACAGTAGACAGGAGAGTGGGCGGCGAGACAGCGAGTGAGTGGGCGGCGGATTCTGTGAAACGGCGGGAGGGAGGGAAGGGCCCGCGGATGGCAGAAGGAAGTATAGGGGGTATGAGATGCATAGGGGCTATGAGATGCATAGGGGCTATGATGAGATCCATAGGAACCATCACATCCATCCAAGGCCATGATCCATCCACAGCCATGATCCCTCCACAGCAACCAACCATGACATGGCAACCACGCTGTTGCTTCCGTTATTTGAGCGACGATTAAATCCAGTAATTCCCGCGACTGCCACTCTGCAATGCACCTGCATGCACGGCGTCAGGGCCTCGTTGCGAGCACAGCACGGTGCATGGCACTGCATGGCGGATGCGTCCCTCTGCATGTCCGCCGTTCTCGTTCCTGTCCAGTCCACGGTTCCGCGAGTGTGTGGTATGCATATTGCTGCTGTGCCCATGCTGAGCCCATGCTGTTGTGTACCGTCTGTGCATACCGGTCCGTTGAGAGGACTGGTGTGAGGCGTAGAGGGAGGACACGGAGCGGACTAGACTTACAAGGAATGCGTGCCTACAAGGGATGATGCCCACCTACAAGGAATGTATGTACGTATGTCACGCCCTCCAGGGCTCCCAAACGCTCACCTCTCACCTCTCACATTCCTCGACGTGGAGCCTTATGCGTGGTGTATTATGCATACACCTCCCCCGGGTCCAACAACCGGAAACAGGGCCAGCGACTAGAAACAGGACCTGGTAAACGGCGTCCGCCCTCCGCCCTCCATGGGGCTGTACTCTAAAGGGGGCCCGGGAATAGCTGGCTGGATTGCTGACGGACTGGCTGTCATGCCCGGGATCAGCAATCCCCCGACGCGGCTCAGCTCCGTGATCCCCGCGTGTTTCTTGTTATAGTCCTGTAGCGAGTATATGTATAGTACTCCGGGCGTGTTTCTTGTTCCTGTAGCGAGTATACGTATAGTACTACTTCGGTCAGTCAGTTTCCAATACTCCAATATAGTCGCAGCAGCGCACGAGACGAGGGGTTTAGGTTGAGCGTCACCCCCGGCGAATGATGGATTAGGTTAGTGGTCAGTGAGTGTAATACGACGGTGGGCGGAGGAGATGGTTGGACGCGCGGGATGGGAGCGCAGGCGATGCATGTCATATTCCAGACAGGCGCAGGGAGCGAGTAGGTGCCAGTGCGTGCGTGCGTGCGTGGTATTTGCGTGTATTCGCCGCCGCAGTGTCGTCGACTTCCTCGCCACTTGCCACCACTACAGACGGCGGCGGTGGTGGCGGTGATGCTGCGGTGGTGCGGTGTCCCTCGCCGCCGCCGCCAGCCAAGCTCTCACCGGCTGGCCATGTGGCAGACAACGTTATTTCAGCGACCGTCGATGGCGTTGACAGTGCACCGTCATAGGCTACCGTGGCAGCATCCCCTGGGCGTTGGCGCGGACGCCGGTGGTGAGGCTAGAGCTCGATAGCGCGTGCGTGTGGCGTGCGTGCGTGGGTGTAGGAATTTTATTCTGCAGCGCGTTTGGACTGGATGGATGATGGGATGCGCTAGGGGGGTTTCTGTGTACTGTACTTTAGAAGAGCGTGGTAGCGTGGTGGGGAGGGACGAGGGAGGGAGAGGGTATTTTGGGCTGGCTGGCTGGCTGGCTGGGCTGAGAGTGAAATTGGAGTTTCCTGGTGTGTCGTTTGTGTGATTCCCCGTGCCTGGTGGGTGGAAATTGGTGGTGGAAATTGGGAATTGGGGTGTGTTTCGAGGATGGAGTGGTGGTGGTGTATGACTTGCTGCTTGCTGTATGACTTGCCGTAGTGTCCAAGTGCCCAGCGTGTAAGACTGGAGTATCACAGTGCTACAGTAAACAGAGACCCACGCCGATGGAACAGTGATGATGGACTCGATGGCTGCGGACCGCACAGAGCAGAGTGCTGGACAGTACGCTGTAAAAAGTACAGCGTACCCGGACACCAACCCGGACACCAACCCGGACACCAACCCGGACACCAGCCCGTACACCACACAGATAATTTGTACATGGCAGCAGCGACAGAGACCAGACATCCATCATCCTGTCGCTTGGACTCCACACACAGACCACCACAGACGACTTGACTGACTGACTCCACATCTCGTACGTCGTACAAAAAAGCGAAAAGAGCGGATCCCCGTTCCTGACCACGCGCCACGCTAGCCATTTAGTACAGTAAAGTCGGCACTTGTCCCACAAACGGTCTAGCGGCAGGGATCAAAGGGGACGGATGGACGGTAACTGTGGGAAGTGGGAGTGGAAAGGGAAAGGAGGAAAGGGAAGGGGAGGAGATGAGGGATGACGACGCTTGGACCCTCTCTCTCTCTTGGACCTCTCTCCCGGCCTTTCCCGCTTTGGCTTGGTGGGATCATAGCGTGAGAGGGTGGCTAGACTGGAAAAGGGATAGTGTTGGGTTAGAGTGGGATAGCGCGGTGGACTATCAGCAGGGACTTGCGCAAGGCGATGGAGAGGTGGAAGCGCAGTGGACGCACATTGCTTCTAGCGCACGTTGGTGGGATATGGCTGTTCTTGGTGCAGGTGGTTGGTGGAGGTTGGTGGAGGTTGGTTGGAGTACTTGTGCTTGAGGTGGTGGGTGGTGGGTGTATGGGTGCTGGGCGGTGGGTTGGGAGTTGGAAGGAGAGGTAAGTGGTGGGTGGGAGTGGGAGGTGGGAAGTGGGAGTGTCTGTCTGTGTCTGCTATGACTTTTGGGTAGAGGAGTGGCTGTTTAACGCACAGAGCTTGCGCACGGGCGTGGTACTATTGGGTGTGTAGATTACCTGGTACTTGTATGCGGTAGAGGGAGGGAGAGGGGAGATGGAAATGAGGGAGAGGAATGGAGAGGGATGGGAGTGAGAGGGAGAGGGAGGCGTGAAGGAAGTGAGATAGAGAGGAGGAGAGGGTCGGGAGTGAGGGTGTGAGTGAATCAATGAGTGAGTGAGTGATATAGCTATCGCAAGTACTCCCCCCATACGATTGCCGGTGAAACAGTACATTCTCTCGCCGTCCACCACCCAGAATGTATGTGGATGTGTGTATGTGGATGTGTCTACCGAACCGTGTTTCCCCTCCGCTCCTTCCCATTGTGACACCCACCCCGTTCCGTTCCCGTTCCTTCTCTTGCCGTTAAACCCAGACTGACCCAGTTGAGTTGACCCAGACTGGCCCAATCTTTCCCTTCTAGACCGATGCACGACGGGATATATACATATATACTATCGTCTTATTACTGGGGGGATAGACTCACTATTATCGTACATCCATCTGTCGGCAGTGTGTGGTCTCGGTAGTTACGAGATGGGCAGCTTTCTTTCTTCTGTCTATACAGGTCTATACATACAGTATATACATACAGTACTGTATGCTATGCATAATAGGTGATCGGACTATAGCACTACAACTGTATGCTGTATGCTGTATGCTGTATGCTGTATGCTGTATGCTGTGTGTACATGGGATGCTTTGCTTCGTCAAATGCCTCTCCTCTCCTCTCTGTCCTGTCCCTCCCCCCTTGGCTGACCTGACTCCCTGGTTGACATCACCCTGATCGAGTCTGAGGTGAGTGTGGGAGTGACTGCCCTGCCTGTCCCCATCTATCCCCGTCCATCGCCTGTCTCGTCGCTTGTCGCTTGTCTCGCCCTCCCTATTTCTATTTTCTATTTTCTATTTTCCCCTTCTGAAAATGTTGATGTCTCTTGTTGGTTTCCGGTCTTACCTGGTTACCACTCCCTTGCCTGGTCACTGCCTGGTCACTGCCTGGCCACTTTCTCCCCCCCATGCCCTCTCTTCCCTGCCATCTGTCCCTTGCCATCTCTTCCCTGCCACTTCCCGTTTCCTTCATCACTTGGCATGTGCTATGTACTCCTCCGTACAAACTCTGTGCCTGATCCTACGAACCTGCGAACCTGTCATCCCACATTCCCACGCATGTATGTTGTCTCCACATCCTCATCGTTCGCGATCTGTTTTGTCTCACTCGACCTTATCTCGCACACCTATACATCCACTTCCACTTCCACTAACCAGTATCCAATACTCCGTCCAAGACTCCATCCTAGACTCCATCCAATACTCTATACAACATGCACTATTGTGCTCACTAACCTCTCTCTACTCCCCCTACCCCCTCCCCTCACACCCATTCACGACCGTTAACTGAGGTATATTAACTCTGCCATATACACCCACTCCCCATACTAATTCCCATACTACGCACTATAGTCGCAATGTCCTCACCCACTAATACTGTATGCTTACTCTCTGTACCTTACTCTTACTCTCTATCCCTACTGCGCTGTACACATCCCTCCCTCCACCCTCCTCCCCAACTCCACCACCGTTGAACTGAGGTATCACCCCGACCCTTACTACAGAACCCTTACTACAGGACCCTTACCAGAACCCTTACCACCTTAACCACTCTTAACCACCTTTTCACCTCACAAAAAACCCCTACGAGAACCCCCGAAACCCCGAAACTCGCAGGAATTCCCTTCAAGAAACATAAAACACTACCCTTACGCACACAACTTATGCACAAACACTGATACCCTTTACTCTCTCTTACTCACTCGCCCTCCATCCACCCGCTCCGCCGTCCATTCCTCCATCTTCAATCTCCATCGCCCCTTGTTCCTTGCTCCTTGCTCCTCTCCGCCGCCGCCGCCCCATTCTACAATCTACAATATCTCCACTCTCCAAAAAAAAAACGCGACATCCACTCCTACCTCCCCCCCCCACCTGTCCAATCATCCGCCCACCCAACCACCGTCTTCGCCGAATGCTCGGCCGCACCCCACTTCCGCCCATCCCTTCTCAATCCATCCCAACTCTCCGTTCAACCTTCGTCACTATCCCCCCAATTCATCCCCGAATGCACCACTATACTTTGCTATAGTCCTCCGAATTCTCCATACTCAATACCCTAAAACATCCCCCCTCGTTCCTCTCATTCTCAAACGCTCGCTGTCTACCATCCCCACACACCGAACGATCTGCCTCTCGGTCGCTCTTGCTCAACACGGACCTGCTCCCCGTACGCCGGCCTAGAGCCATCTCCCTCTCGCAGAGCCACAGCTAAGAAACAACTAAAAAATCACCCCCCTCCCCCCCCGGCAGGGTTCCGTCGACTCCGCCGCCGATCGCTGTCCCTCCTGAACCCCTTCGCTCGTGTGTGGAACGCACCAAAAAAAGCGCCGTGGAGAGCGCCGTGCGTTGGGTGCACATACCACAGCAGCTCGCTCGCACTCAGAACACACGTCCATGTCGAATCATCCCGCCATCTTGTCGCCGCTCGCCCTCGCTCGACTCCCCAACTACCAGAACGACCCGGCCGTCGCTCCCTCTTCATCATCCAAGGAAAAGAAGGACGATAGCGATCACGTCTCGCGCCAATTGGTCAATCTCGGTCTGCTCAGTCCTAAACACGTCGTCGCCAGAGAAAGGATCGTCCGGGGGCCTGGCGCCGCTGAGGCCTACCCAAAGAAGAGTTAGTACCCTTTTTTGAGTTTACCATCTTGGCTGCTCTCTAGCAGAATCACTCGTCACCCGCAAGACGAGATCACTGCTACATCCCCTCAACTACTACTATCACTCTCTCAACCTGCAATTGAACCACCCCCAGCGACGCGCGCGTACCAATTCTTTTTGCGCTTTTTGCGAAGACACGCTAAAAAACCTGCTCACCTCCAGATACCTCCGTGACAGCGAGGACAGCGCCCGCTCTGCGCCCCCGCAGGTCGGCGTCGCTCGATACGAGCCCCTCGGAGAAGAGCGGCAGCAGCAGCAGCAACTCCCGCGCGAACAATTCGACGACCACCCTGTCCCGAGGCGCCATGACGGGCATGCTAGATACAGACCGGAGCCGCACGCGGCGGGAGCGGACGTTTGTGGGGAGCGAGTGCGCCGTATGCGAGGAGCCGCTGGAGCACACCCTGCGCGGTGAGCGCATCCTGCAGTTCTCCTGCGGCCACGTCTCCCACGGCGCCTGCTTCTACGAGTACATGAAGGAGTTCGACTCGCGGTATTGCCCGACCTGCAATGCGCCCCTCGGCCTCGACACGAGCCGTGGCGGAAACGTCTTAGATATTGGTAAGGGTTTCGATCACGGTTTGTTCGCCTTGCCACCTGCTGATATTGGTTCGTTGCGTGCAGAAAAGCTAAGTAGTATGGTGCGCTCAGTCTCTGTCAGCGAACGCGGCTCTGCCACCCCGACCCCGACACCATGGGACAGCCAGACGGTGCGTCCACCAAGCTACGAATCCGGCGCCCGGCCGAACCACGACCGCGAGCGCGATTCCCAGTCACGGAATGGGCGGGAGAGCGCCTCTGGGCACCGAGACAGCGGACGAGATCGGGATGGACGTGACAGGGAACGTGACCGAGACGGCAGGGAACGAGAGCGATATCCCTCGTCGAACGGCGCCCACCGCCGATCAGATAGCGAGGCGACAGGATCGAATGGATACCCCGAGACGACATCACAGAGCGTCGCCCCTTCACGGCGCCATGACTACGACGTCCAGTCCATGGATACCGGCGTCACCAGCCCGCGCTCCAGCCGCAACCCTATCCCCCCTCCCCTCGTCTCAATCCGCTCCGAGTTCCCCACCCTCAACCGCTCGCGCGCCCAGCAGACCCTCGCCTGCCTCATCACCATCGAGGTGCCGGATAATAACTGGAGGCCGGATCCGGAGGATGTGCGCATACCGCCGATGCCCAAGCTGCGCGAGGAGGAGCGCTATGCAAGGCCGCCATCGCCTGTGAAGACGGTGCCGCGCTTCTACCCGTACGAGTCGCCGGAGGTGCTGGAGGAGATGACCGAGAGCCTGCGGAGTCGCGTGGAGAACTGGCACAGTCTAGACTTTTCAAGGTGAGCAAGGAAGCACGGATTTTGATATGGGCAGTATGCTAATAATACAGGTTTGGCAAATTACGATTATACGGGACGATACGCGTAGGGAAGGATAAAGTGCAGTGGCAGGAGCTGGAATGCTATCTCTTCTCAGAGATGCTCATCTGCGTCAAGGAGAAGAAGGCTACACCCCTGCAGCAATGGAGCGACGAAGGGAATGGGAGGAAGACGAGCAGGTGCACGCTCAAGGGCTCTATCCTCATCCGGAAGCACCTGAACGGCGTCACGCAGACAGCAGCGGGCGACACCCTGGGCATGACCCAGCGCATCACATCATCAAATCTCACCCCGGCGTCGAATCCCAGGCCGCTCGAGGAGAACACCCTCACCCTCAGCCTCTCAGTCGCCGAGCTTCCGCAATTCCACCTCCAGTTCGACAACCTCACCCAGCTCCGCATGTGGCAGCAGGCGCTACAGGACCTCCACTCCCCAGAGGCGCCGTCCACAAATGGCGGTGATTACGACCACGATGCTGCATCTGAGGCAGAGGAGGACGACTGGCGCAGGACGCTTCCGAGCTCAAAGCGCGACTCCTCCCTACACTCGTCTTCGTATGCGGGCAGATCTGCTACAACCGCGCCCACTGAGTACACCCACCGCTCCGTGCGCCTTCCCGACCCAGTCCACATTCCAGTTGACATCGTGGTCGTGGTCCCCGTCTCGTCCTCCATGCAGGGCGTCAAGATCTCTCTTGTGCGCGACGCACTCAACTACATGGTCCAGAACCTGGGTGAGCGGGACCGCATGGGTCTCGTGACCTTTGGCTCGGGCGGTGGCGGTGTGCCGTTGGTGGGTATGACGACGAAGACATGGAGCGGATGGTCGAATGTCCTCTCCCAGATCAAGCCGGTGGGCCAGAAGCTGCACCGCGCCGATGTGGTGGAAGGCGCAAACGTCGCAATGGATCTTCTAATGCAACGGAAGAATAACAACCCCATCGCCACGATCCTGCTCATCAGCGACGCGTCGACGTCGGATACGGATAGCGTGGATTTCGTGGCATCCCGCGCAGAGGCAGCCAAGTAAGTGCCCAGAGAATCAAAAATGTGATCACCCATACTAATTACCCCTTAGAATCGCAATCCACTCCTTCGGCCTCGGCATGACACACAAGCCGGATACCATGATCGAGCTGTCTACGCGCACCAAGGCGCAGTACACGTACGTGAAGGATTGGATGATGCTCCGCGAGTGCCTCGCAGGATGTCTCGGCTCCCTCCAGACCACCTCGCATCAAAACGTCAAGCTGCGCCTCCGCCTGCCTGAGGGCTCCCCGGCGAAATTCGTCAAGATTAGCGGCGCCCTTTCCGTAACCCGCCGCGCATCGGGCCGTGATGCAGAGGCCTGCCTTGGTGATCTCCGCTTCGGCGACAAGCGCGACGTCCTCGTCCAGCTCGTCATCACCCCTGACGCCGCGTCACCTGACCACTCTCCATCCGACCCATGGGAGACGATAATGTCGAACCTCGAGGCGCTCTCCGGGCCGCTCGAGGACGCATCCCCGCGCGCCCTCTCTGTCGAGGAGGTCCCGCTCATCCAAGCCGACCTCACGTGGGGTGATCTATTACGTCCCAACACCACCACACACCTCCCCCGCCCTTCATTACTGGCAATCACCATGCTACCTCCATCGAAGAAATCGGCATCACCACCGACCCCACCCATCCCGCCTCACCCCTCTGTCGTCCAGCGCCGCATGGAGCTCCTCACAGCAGACATGCTCACCCGCGCCCTCTCCCTCGTCGCCCGCGCCCAGCACGATCGCGCCGCTCACCTCCTCACCGAGACGCGCTCTATCCTCAAGGGCCTCGCCAAGGGTGGCCTTCCACCCATTCCGCCGCCACCTCCTACCGGCGCACTGCCCCTCCTCCCATTACCGGGACAGGGCAGGAGTAGCAGGATCCAGGAAGGGAAGTCCTCTCCGCCTTCCCTGTCGCCGACTGCATCCATCGCGCACCTCCCACCGATGCAACCACCGCCCTCGGCAGCTCTGCCAACCCCGCGCGAACGCGATCAAAGCGTCGGTCCTGCGACGGCGGCGGGTATTGACCCAGCTGTCGTGGCGGCGCTTGATGCGGAGCTGGAGGGTAGTCTGGAGTGGATCCATCACCCTGCTGTGTTTGGACGGGATAGCCGCAAGGCGGTCCTGCAGGCTGTGGGTGTGATTGGCAGCCAGCGCGCGTGGACTACGCGGAGCGCGGTGGAGTCTATGTGGGCGAGAAGGGTGGGGGGTGTGAGGAGGGGGTTGCAGGCTTGTAGGAATTGGGGGGATGGAGGGGGGGAGGGGTTGGAGGGGGTTAGGGAGGAGAGTTGAGAGGGCGGTTTTTTTTGGGGTGTGTGCGAGTTGTTTGATTGTGGGGAGTTGGGAGTCAAGGGAGGAGATGGAGCATGGGCAATGCGGATGAGGGTCAGATGAATTTATTTGGATATGGATATGGAGGATGAATTGGGATGCGATGCGATGAACGGATTTTTTTGGAAAAGCCCTGTACGAGACGCGAGACGCGAGTGGATCTTTGGAGGGAATGGAATGGATCGATTGGATTGAAGCGGGGTTGGGAGAGGTATGGCACGAGGGAAGACGATTGAATTCTCATCACCCCCGTTCCCTCACGCACGCCAGTTGTTTGGTTTTAGTTGGCCGACGGGAGGGAGGCATACACGGATATCCCCCATCTGGCGAGCGCTTTTTGTTCACTCGGCACGTCGACATATCGAGTTCTGTTTCTGCTGCTTTTTTTATTTCTGATATTTTTTGTTGATCTTGGCGATCTAATCTATATCTGAGCGAGCGAGCAAGTCGATCAAAGCAGAGCAGGCAGGATGGATGTGCGGGATAGGGATAGGGATGGGGATAGGATGGGATGGGGTGAGATGAGGTTGGATGTGGGATGGGGGGCTTTTTTGGTTGCTTTAGAGAGAGAGAGTGGGAAAGAAAGAAGGAAAGAAGGAAAGGAACACTTACAGTAGTTTAGCTTATACTATACCCCCCTTTTTTTGGTTTCTTGAGCGGGAATTCGTTTTAGCAAATGCTCAATTTTTGGTCTTGGGTTTTTTGCTTGCTTGCATGACTTTTGGTGTTGTTTTTGATTCTGATTTTTTGTGGCTATGTTGTAACGTCTGTTCCTGAGTGGCGAAAAAACCGCCGTGCCGAAAAAAATGATAGGTACTTTCACTTTGGGCATCTCAAATTCTACGCGTTTATTAATATCTCTTTACATTTTTCCATTAATGGTATTCTACAGCTACTCCTGAGCCCCCTAGACTGCTCCTTCAAGAAAATTATGTTTGCATTGCCACCCTCACGCCTGATTTATAAAGGGTCTGCTTTTATTACAAAACAGACTTCCTCTACCACAGCTCTACCATTGACCTCTTATTATTTCCAGAACATATAGAGGGATTGTAGCTGAGCTCTATTGTCCCACAATCAAGCGGGAGATCGTCAGCAGCCTTGTAGTAGCAGTGCGGGGGAAATTCATGTATGGTTGCCATGGAAATCAATACTTCAAGTCAAAGCCTCTAACGATTGTTTTGGTTGGTGTCTAATGACCCCCACATTGTATGAAGTAGGCTCGCTTATGTCATCATGTGCAAGGCTGTGTGGCTGTTTTTTTTACCCACGTGATAAGTCGCTTCATAGGAGAACAAGGTTACCGTAGAGACCTGCAACACATTCTGCAAGGACATAGGGGTTCCTGTCTGTACGCCTCCACAAACCGTCCCATTTCCTAGCTGCAAACCAACAACTCTTCATCATTAGTCACAGCACTGTTGCTTTTCGTTCTCCACGCCTTTTGCACCCGGATACCCTGCTCGAGTCTTTCTTTTGCCCCGCCGTCCTCGCTCTGCAGCTCGTATCCCCTGGAACCCACTCCCAGCTTGCTTGCCAACTTTGAATTCCTTGCTTGGGCCCATCCTTGATTCTGAGTGTTCTTGCATTCGTTGTTGCTACTTGGGAACACCGAGGGAAAGAACCTAACAAACAGAGGCCGAAGACACATCAGGCTGGCACAGATAACTGCCACATAATCTTCGAGCACACTCCATAAAATCATATCAACGGCGTTGTCTATTGAACGGGTTAGCATTCTTGGCTAATTCGCTTCACGAATGAATGTAGCTTACATGATACATCAACAGAATTGCTATAGGCGACGAGACATTTGACTCGGATCATACTGGTGATACATGCGCTATAATACCAACATTAGCAAAAGCGCGACGATAGGCGCGGGATGAGTGAACTTACAAAGATCCAAGAGAAAACAGAAATATCAGAGCGACCTTCTTCTTGAAGTTCAAACTCAAGTCCTTCAGCTCCCAGATAGGGAGCAACATAATGACAAAGTCCTCGAAAATGCTGAACCCAGCAACCGTATAGGCGAACACCTCAGAGTTAGCGCACTTTCCATGTATTGAGTGATCCCAGACCGATTTGACAGGCAAGCATTGAAATGCTACGACTATCACAAACGCGAAAGTCTGGCCAACCATCCATGCTGTCGATATCTTTACAACAAGGCGGAATTTCTGGCTAGGAAAAACGCGGAGGAAGAGCAAGAGGATGGAAATTTTCGCTAGGGCTTGTACGACAAAGTATAATATCTGCGAGATGTAATAGAGCTATTCCAGTCAGTAAGTGTTGGCAAAGGAGAATGCCCTCGGGATGGTACCTTTCCGAGCATCTCTAAATTTTGAGGTGGGACGTCCCAGAAGTGTTCCCCGAGGCCGCGTGTAGCATCTAAAACACGTCAGTCTCCTAGTATAGCGAGTGTCGTATCAACGAGGCTCTTACTCAATATCGGAATGATTGTCATCGGAATCATGAGGATCTGTTTGGAATTGTCAATAGCTGTACTACCAAGGCTACGCTGTGATGGAGACTCACAGCTGCAAATACAATAGCCCAATCATCCCACCACAACTTGCTCGTTACAAGAGCCCGCGAATAAAACCTCAGCCCGACTATCACGAAGGTAAAGGCTGAGATAATGATAACATCTCGTATAATTTCGGCGCTTCGTGATTGTTTCGGGACATCCTTGCAAATTTCAGTTTGAAGGAGGGTCGTAGATTCTGTGTCAATGTTAGGTTCGAAGCTCAGCAGCTAGCAAATATGCCTGTGGAAGATCAAGAGAACATACTGAATTGGTCGGCGACGCCGCATGAGCCTACTATGCAGAGAGCAAATGTTGACTGTAAGGTGGTATTTGTGCAGAGACAGTTTGCTAGGTCTGTCAATGGGCATTGTGCTGGCACCAGCACTTTGACGCCGCATTCTTGCTATAGAGCGCGTAAATTAACAATTGCCGAGACACAAATCAGGCTGGGACTTACAGTGCATGCGGGGATCTGAGCAAGGACTGATGCAGGATTAGTCTGTGCGAGAACACCAGCGACTAGAACGGCAACAGGCGCAAATAAATTAAGAACGCGCATGGTGCAATAGATAATGTGATGCTTTAGAGAGATAGGGACAAGCATTCTTTATATAATTCCCACGTCCATGCCTTTTCTGCAAAGTTGACCGTGGGCACACTTATTAGTAGTGGTACGGGCAGGACCTGAAGCGCTACGAATAATTTAGTACTATGGTAGGAGGCGTAAGTAATGTGAGAAGTGGCTGCACAGACAGGACTACAACAGGAATAGACACGTGCCGCTTTGGTTAGAACTAGGTGGTTTCAACTATTTGGACCGAAGTGAACGGCATCGAGACGCACTGTTGCGGACTAAATAACAGCGTATTTTCAAGAAAAATCAAATATAATTAACTGCAGGAGTATATATAAGCATTATGGGAAGTAGGTAGGCGTTTAGTCCGCTTTAATAGCTCAACTATGAACCAAGATAGCTATTGTTCTGTTAGTATAAATGGATTACTCGCAAAATATTAAAGCAGCAGCAAGTTTGTGTTAGCCTGTGCAGGTCCCACTCACATTACTTATGCGCCCTACCATAGTAGGGACACACGGAGGCTAGGTTAGAACTAGGCGGTTTCAACTATTTGGACCGAAGTGAACGGCATCGAGACGCACTGTTGCGGACTACTGCGGGCCATTAGCGGCACGGTCCCTCCAAGACATGCGATGTGCCGCTCTTGGTGGTGGGATTGTGGCAGAAAAGGGTGGGGAAGGGTGTTAGGGAATTGATGGCCCCATTTTTTGTCCTGTAGCGCCACGTGTGCATGGGCGCGATAGGGGGGAACTGAAGGATTAAGGGCAAAGATAGACATATTAGTGAAAACAGTGGATATTCAGATTCTCGAAATTCTCGAAATCTCTCGAAAAGGTCTTTTGGGCCGAGCTGTGTGCTCTACTCTAAGCGGTTGTTAGCTCTAGTTACCCGTCTCTGGGGAACTCGACTATTACCCCTCTCTAAAACAAAATGTGCTACCCCTTTTATGCGCAATTAGTCGAGTTGGGTGTCGCGTGTTATCGGTGGGTGGTGGAGTACAGTACAGCGCCATAAGTATTCATACGGGTCTGTGCTTAAATTGCAGTAAACGAGTTGTCGTTTTGTATGGGAAAGGTCTGTGCTTTTTTCGCATTCAATGCCTCGTAGGGTATAGGCAGTAATTGAGGGAAAAGCACAGACCTTTTCCATGGAAAAGGTCTGTGAGAAAGGTCTGTGCACAAATTGCAGTAAACGAGAGTCCTTTGAGAGCCAAGAGAATCATTGAGATCCAGGTGTGAAACTCCTTCATGGCGTAAAGCTTTCACGTGATGCGGCCGCTCGAATGCATGATTCCTCATGCATTCAACCGCTGCTGCCTTAGTGTGCCCCATATCACGCCTAAGGTCTGTCACGTGGGTAAAAACCACGCAGCCTTGCCACACAATGACATAAGCGAGCTAACATTGTGAGACGTGGGGGTCAGGTTACACTAACCGAAACCACTGGTCGCTTTGACTTCAGGTATTAATTTCCATAGCAACTATACGTACATGAATTTGCCCCGCACTTCCACCACATGGCTGATGACGATCTCCCGTTTAGCTGTGAGGGTTTAAGAGCTCGGGACAATCCCTTCATATGTTCTAGGAATTGTAAGAGCTCAATGGTGGAGCTATGGTGGGGGAAGTCTGTTTCGCAACAAATGCCTACCCTCTGCAAATCAGGCGCGACAGTGGCAACGCAAACATAATTTTCCTAGCGGAGCGGTCTGGGGTGCTTAGGAGTAGCTATAGAATACGATTTATGCAGTAATGTAAGAGATATTGATAAGTGTGCAGAATTTGAGATGCCCAAAGTCAAAGTACCTCTTATTTTTTTTGGCACGGTGGTTTTTTCGCCACTCAGGGACAGACGTTAATGGGGTTTGTGTTGTATTGTAGCGCGGTGGTGGTGATGGTGATGATGATGCTTTTCGAGATTATGGGTTCGGGATGGATGGAAGAGATAGGGTGGAAGGAAGATTAGGGGGTGGTGTTGTTTATATTTAAATATCTGATTGTTGGGGACGAGCGGGAGAAGATGGTATAAGAAATAATGAGCTGAGAGATGGGGAGGTTTAGATTTCTATCAACTTTTTATACCAAATCTACGCACGTATCGTACGCATTCTTGAGTTTCTCAATGAGGGCCATTTTTTAAATTTCCTACTTCAGCACGTATGGTCTTAAGTAGTTGCCGCGTGTGGTTTGAAAGGGCGGCGCATGTGGTCTTAAGCAGGCAGCCAGTGAGTCCAAGTTTTAAAAAGGGTAGCGCATGCGGCTTTAAATTATCAACCTAGGGATATTCCCTTTAGCTTAGTTGCTCATGGTGAGAGAAAGAGATGGAGCGGTACAAGAGAGGGGCGCAAAAGCAAGGAACCGCTCAAGACCGCACTCGCCGCCCCCAGCGCACCGTCACTATTTCTCGTCACTACGGGCCCTTCTGACCACCAACCCCCCCCCCCCTTTTCTCACCACACACCTCTTCTCACCACCCCCTTTCGAAAGCTGTAGCGTGCGCGGTCTCCGAAAACAGCTCGGGCTTCTCGAAACAACCACCGGTCGATGATCTAGCAATTTTTATATGTTATTGTCCTCGTAGGGGCACTTGTCATACTTGTCGTGTAGATGGAACTTGCATGGTCATGAACTATGCCTGCTTTCTGATTTACTGCTGTGTGTATTCTAAAACATAAATGAATAATCTAATAGATAGATATCATCTCGCCCATCCATCTCAAGGCATCGACACCCAACCCACCCCATATCACAACTTCGACCCCGACCCCACCGCCACCCCCACCGCAGCAGCCAACCCATACACCTCCCTCTCAAACAACTGCTGCATCTCATGACTCTTAAAATCCCCAAACGGAAGCACATTCCCCGCATAAAACGCACTCACCCCACTCCCCCTATCAATCGTCCACAGCAGATTCGGGAGTCCGCTCCAGGTCATCGTTCCCGCCTTCAGCCCGGTTTCATCATCACTCAGCACCAGCAGGCCGCCGAGTCCGAAGTTAAGCTTTGTTGACGACTTGCGGCTCGTGAAGGTTTTGGTCTCGGCGAGTGCGGCGTTGTAGAGGGTTAATGCGCGCTGCCCGCTGGGGGCGAGTTGGGGGGTGAACATCTCGTCGATTGTGGCGGGTTTTAAGAGGACGCTGGTGGAGGAGGCGCAGAGGGAGGTGAGGATCTTGAGGAAGTCTGTTGCGGAGCCGATTGCGCCGCCGCCGCCGTATTCGTGGGCGCAGGGGTCTTCGTACAGTATGTCGTTTGTCCATTCCACCTTCTCCCCGCTGGTGGAGGGTTTACTCCATACCTTCTTCTTTGCGCCGCGTTTCGTCATGGTGACGAGTCGCTGGCGCACTTCGGGCTTCAACTCCTGGTGGAAGGTAATGTTCTTTATGCCTAGAGGATCCCAGATGTGGGATTGCATGTAAGCTTCCAGCGAGGTGCCGGTGAGCCGCATGACCAGCACGCCAGCCCAGTCGAGCCCGGTGCCGTATTCCCAGGATGTGCCGGGCTCGAAGAGGAGGGGGGAGGTGATGCGGTGGAGGAGGGGGGTGTTGGCGGTGCGGGTTGGGGGGAGGGTGCTGAAGAAGCGGGATAGGAGGGGGTTCATGCCGAAGTAGCCGAGGCCGGAGGTGTGGGTTAGGAGGTGGCTGGAGGAGGTGTTAGTCTGGGTGGGAATTGTTGGAGTGTGGAGGTGTACCGGAGGGTTATTTTGTTCTTGGCGATGGTGAGAAGAGGTTCATTTGTCTCTTCGTTGAAGCCGGTGAGGATCTGGATACCCTTTAATTCTGTCAAGATTGTTGAGACGTCGTCGTCTAATCTGATCTCCCCCCGCTCAACGCACTGCATGGCCGCGATGGTGGTCATGAGTTTTGTGCATGATGCCAGGATGAAAGTCGCGTTGATATCTATCTTCTCCCCTGGAGATTTCAGCCCAAAGGCTTTTTCATATTTGAATTTCCCTATTGTCGGAGGTCAGTTAGTTTAGTTTGGGTTTCAGGCATGTGAATTGGGTTCTCATTTCACGAACCTGCTTTGTCGCTGGCTAGCAGGACGACACCGGGGAGATCGCCCGCGTCGCAGGCTTGCTGGAATTGTTGGTCTAGGGATGGCATGGTGAGTTATGGGTATGGGTATGGATTATAACATAGACACGGAGCTGTGCTTTAATAGTATATCAGGTTCGTGTCGGGACGTGGTTACCCCGCGTTTCTTACCCCACAAGGTGACGACCGAGATCCCGCCTCGGTTAAGCCGAGGCGGGCGCTATATATTGAAGGGGAAGGCAGGTGTTGACCATTTGAAGGAGATGACTCTTCGACGATTTGGATGTAGTTGTCGTCGCGATTGGGTTTGATAAGGGGGAACTTTATTTGCAGATCTATGGCGGGGGGTGTTGCTGACATATTAAAATGGTGGTGGAGATATGTCAGTATCTGGTTTTAACCTTGCCGAAAAGTGAAGAGTAATTCATTACTCTTATTTCAACGTCGGGAGTGGAAATAGATACGACAGATGCCAGTAATAATACTTCTGGGGAGTGTAATGTATGGCGAAGAGAAATTTACGTTTAAATAGAGTATGCATTTATGGGATCTGAAAGGAGTGACGGCCATTAAATTTCACAAAAATCAAACTTCAAATATAACAAGCACAAATCGTCGATTTACCTTCTTTCACATAGCGAAACTACTGCAACAGTGCTAGTTCGACTTTCCAATGCATGTCAAAGCAATTGACATTATTATACTTGCATCACTTCACATCATGTTTTCAAACACCAATGCAAACTTCGGTAATGTGGTGGAATATAACCCCAATTTAATATATACAAAGAATAGACATCTCCGCCAATGTCCAAAATATGCACATGCCCCCCCAGATAGGCATCCCGGCCATGCAAGCACTGCTAAATATTGGGTTTCGCAGTCTTCTCGTTCGCACACTGCTGCTAACTATTGGGTTTCGCAGGACCTTCCGTTCAGGTACCGCTTACTCTCGAGTACAGCATGGCATGGGCACTCCCTCTTACTCCTTCACCTCACAGGCACTGGCTGTACCAAGGATTCGAGTAAGTACAGGTGGTACCGGTGACGCATATGAAACTACCGGAATACGATTGGCCTCCGCATTGTGCGTACTTAGCCTGAGCAACATTGTTTGGGAGCGCGATGATCTTGGCGGCGGCCTGTTCGGCGGCAATGACGATCAGGGCGGAGGGGTTGGTGGTGACCATTCCGGGGAAGATGGAGGCGTCGACGACGAAGAGGTTGTCTGTTCCGTAGACCTTGGTGTTGAGATCTACAACGGCGGTGCCGCCGTTGCGGCCGTCGTCGCCGCCGATCTTGGCGGTTCCGATCCAGTGGTTGGCGCGGCGGTTGCCGGTGGCGACGACCATCTGTTGTTGTGTTAGTAGATGTGAGGAATAGAGGACGCAGGACGCGGGGGTTACTTACGTTCTTGACGTAGTCGGCAGCGCTGACGCCGGGCGCTGGCTGGAGCCAAGTGAGGTTCTTAACCCCGCTGAGAGCAGTCTGCAAGTTTTCGATGCCCTTGACGACGGCGGCGATGTCGTTGGCGTTTTGAAGGTATGGAACCTGAGATACTGCCATGGTGAGATCCTTCAGGATGTTCAGTCTGCCACGGGATACGGCGCCACGGCCGAGGTATTGGGATAGAGTCATTGTCTTGCCGTTTTCCTCTCCGAGGGATCCCTCGACACGGGCGGTCCATTGAAGTTGGCGGTTGATGCCGTCGGCGCCGGGGATGACATCCCAGAACATAGGGCCGATGTTGGGGGCGGCCTCAGCGAGGATGCCGGAGCGCTTGTTGAGGTAGGCGTTTTTGTCGGCGGCGATGGGGTTGGTGTATGCCTCGTAGAAGTCGTAGAAGACGACATCGGGGTGAGAAACGACGAGATCGGTGTTGGTGTGATCCTCCAAGTTGTTTCCAACTGGAAGGGTGATCCAGTCGTCAGACTTGATCATTGTTGGGCCATCAACAGTGCTGGCATTGACGATGGCCAATGAATCAGCTGGGCCGATACCACTGCGCATCAAGATCTTGGTGCTTCCGAACGTTCCAGCGGAAAGAACAACGCGGCCAGTAATGGGGGTGACCTTAACGATACCGGTGTAACCTCCGGCGGCATATGGCTCAACCTCAACACCGGTAATGTGTCCACCAACGCGAATGACTCTCCTGACGGAGGTGTTCTCCCATCTTCCAAAGTTCTTTCTCGCGCTCGCGGTTACCAAGTACGTCGCCATGGGTCCTCCTCTCTCTCCATTGGAAAACATGAATGGTGTGTGACTGAAGGTCTTGGTCTTCTCGCCGGGAACGTTGTTGGCGGTAACCTCCTTCCAGCCTCCTTGCTTGAGACCAGCTGCGATGACGTTCTCTCCCTGTTGAAGATATCTCAGCCCATCCATAGACGGGGTATCAGTTCCCGGGATTCTCGAGAACACCCTGTTGGTGGCTGCAACCATGTCGGCCGCCTTCCATCCAGTGGGGAAGTTGTAGTCCCAATCGATTGGGTTTGGCTTCCACCACAATGCAGCATTGACGGCAGTTCCTCCTCCGAGAACGCAACCTGCCATCTGATCAATATCGTTGCAGGCAATACCGGCTGAGTCAACCCAGATCTCGTTGCAAAGACCAGGAACATCAAAGCGAGTGAGGTTGGTGCCCTCGAGCCACGTAGGCTTCATTGTTCCCTTCCATCTGCCAGAAGATGGTGGCCCACGCTCGATAAGGAGAGTGCTCTTTCCGGTCTCAGACAATTTATCTGCTACTGGAATACCACCAGCTCCACCACCAACTACAATATAATCGTAGGTCCCGGTAGGGACGGGGATAACTGGGAATTTTGTGGTTGTAGGGGCAGCAGTTCCTGTGGATGTAGGAGCGGCGGTAGTAGTGGTTGGCGGCACTGCCAGCGCAGCCCACGTAGCATAGTTGGCCTGGATCATGTTGGCGGCTGGGGCACCGTAGATGCCCATACCATTGTCGTGCTGAACGATATCCGAGTTTGGATCACTCGGGGTAATTGGAGCTGGGAAAGCCTGGGCCCATGCCAACACCAATACACCGCTGGTAGAATGAGTCGTATCAGTGCCGCCGGAAAGATCTAGAGCAAGACAGTTTTGGCAACGGTAGATCAGCTTGTAATGGGTCGCATTAATAGTGGCTGAGATTTGAGAAAGGATGGCATTGCCAGTATAGATGTTAGGGTCAACATAACCGCTAAATTCGTGTCAGCAGGGGAATGGGCCAGCAATGGGAACCTTCTTACGATGCTTGACGGAAAGAGGTCAAGATTTTGCCATTATATGGCCATGCCATGAGCAAAAGGTTGTTGGTCATACCACCGCCATGGGAGAATCCTGCCCATCCAGTTCCAGCCGTTGTCGCGTTTGCAGATGAACCAATCTAGTCATAATCAGCTTAGATTTCCTTTAATTTTCTGAAATGAGTAACTTACGATCATTCCGATATACTCAGTTGCATCGACAGTGGCGGCATTGGCTGGCAATGCCATACCAACGGTGTACCCACCCTTTGTGAGACCTTGGAGCGGGTTTCCATCGGGAATTGTCTGTGTAGCAAAGATAATTCCGGTATCCGCATCCGTGTAGGTTCCTGCAACACCCTGAGCGGATACGCCCTGGAGAACTGTATTCCAATTAGCATTGGGAAATGATATAAAGGCTTCATTAGGGCGTACCAGTTCCGGCAGCAGCCAACGCTCCGCACAAGTACCTGAAAGCCGTCATCTTTACGATTTTGGGATACGAGTTGAAGAGCAATCGTCGAGCTGCTGGGAAATAAATGGGATTAGGCTTGACTATATAGCAGCCAAGGGATTTTTATCCCAGCGACTGCATCGCAATCTAGAGCTGACGCCGGACGAGACAATAATGCGGGGAACGAACCAAACCGTAGCTAATTGTCAGGTACCAGATACAGCGACGACGAATGCACCCCAAGCACCATAAGCAACAGAAGCAACAGCCTGCTGGCTCGGATCATGTTGCCGATTATTGCCAAGGGGAGAGATTGGCACGTTAGGAATCATCCAGCCAGGGGCAGGAAAGGAACATGCTGTGCCTGAAAGGCTTAGTCAAGGGTTACTGTGCAGCGTAACAGTGCATGCTCGAGTACACGAGATACCAAGCCAACTGGCTTGCATCCATAAGTCTCTATTCCCCTACATCCCCTCGAAGGATCCATAGCGACGGGTAATCTACGCGACGGGCGATGGGATCTCTTCCCCTGCCCTGTCCGTACCCGCACTTAGCTGACGGTAATCAAAGGAAGCATAAGTATGAGGGCAAGTGATATCGGGCAAGGAATATTATCAGTGGAATAATTAACCAAGCACGATTGGGTGGCGCTAGATGGCAAACGCTGTATGGCAGATTTGTTTGATGTTAACATGACATGTGGGGTAAAATGTAAATTAGTAGCACAGAAGGACTCCAAGTAGCTTCCATTTCTTCCATTGGCAAGGAGTTTGCTGTACTTTGTGGCAGAGCGGAGTACACTAAATACACCGTTTAGGGGAGGAGTAGAGTATTGCATGCAATTTATTCGGAGGATATCTGCCCTGCACCCGGCCGTCGTCCTCGTGGGCGTTGACACTAGAGTACTCTAAGTGAACCTGACAGGGCGGCGCCGGGCCATTTCGCGGGTTGGGCGGATTCGGCGGGATTGCGGGGTGAGAGTGCCGCCAGGGACCAGGGGTATGCCGTACTATACTGGCTTCCATACATACTCCCGTATATAACTCCGTTTAACCAATGAATGTCACGCTAGACGTCAGCGACAAAGAGGAAGGATCGACGACTGATATGCGGGATGCCACATATTGATGAAAGCACTCTGCCTGTTGCGTCCGCGTGGCGCCCATAAGCACCCCACAGCGCCACCCAGCCTACCATAACCTACCAGAGCCCCCTAACTAGGCAACTAGTCGAGCTCACGGCCGTCTTCAATATGGATAAAACCAACACCCACTGCGTACGTCGGCAGGTGATTGAAGGGCCAAGCCAATACGGTCGCTTCGGTATTTGCGATGTGGAGGTTCCCCCAGAAAATAAAACTGCCGGATGTGGATTCCCCGACCTAGCGGACCGACGCCTCCGCCGCAGCCTTCTCCGTCAATGGCTGTCGAAATGACAACTAGAGCTGCGGTGCCAAGTTCCACTTCACTAACTATACGCCAGACTGCGACTTACTCTACCTGCGTCATCGCCTACGGAGGATGGAGACTCCATCATCACAGATGGCTGACGCTATGGTGCTGTTGGGCCTCATCTATGAAGGAGAGTTTCAAGGCCATGGTCGATCTCTACGGTATATGGATTGGAGTATCTGATAGAGGGCTTGGTAGGTATTTATCTTCTGTTCTTAAACCACCTGAATATCCTTCTCATTTTTCCTCCTCAATTGCCTTTCTACTATCAACTCCTTTCTTTCTAGACATTTCCCGTACCTCTAAGCCACCATGAGAATTTCAAGCTCCCTTGCAGCGGCTACGGCCCTCAGTGCCGCCTCTGCCCACACCATCATGACCCAGCTGATTGCCAATGGCGTCGAGAATGGTGTCGGTGTCGGCATCCGTGTTCCTACATATGACGGGCCCATCACGGACGTTGCATCCGAATATGTGGCGTGCAACGGCGGCCCAAACCCAACGACACCCTCGTCGACCGTTATCGATGTAACGGCTGGCTCGACAGTCCAGGTGTACTGGCGCCACACTTTGGATTCTGATTCCACCGATGTTATCGATGCATCGCACAAGGGTCCCGTCATGGCCTACATGAAGAAGGTGACCGATGCTGCAACTGACACCGGTGTCGGTGGAGGCTGGTTCAAGATCTCCGAGGACGGTTATGATTCGGCTACAGACACGTGGGCGGTCACGAAGCTAATTGCTGCTGGTGGTACTCAGACCATTGATATCCCGGCGTGTATTGAGGATGGACAATATTTGCTCCGTGGCGAGTTGATCGCCCTGCACAGTGCATCGTCGGCATCAGGTGCACAGTTCTACATGGAGTGTGCCCAGATCAACGTCACGGGTGGCAGCGGTGCTTCAACTCCAGAGACAGTTGCCCTCCCAGGTGCTTATTCGGTAAGTCTAGACTGTTCTATTCTCTTTGCGGACTATTTCTAACTCTGATAGGCTACTGATCCTGGCATTCTCATCAATATTTACCAGAGCCCAATGCCGGCGTACACCATTCCTGGCCCTTCCGTATTCACCTGCTAAATAGTCTTTTGGGAGGTTTGGATGGTTCTGGTTAATAGCAGATTAGATCAACTAGGGACAGGATTATGAGAGGGATATGATGGATATATGATGGGTACATGGGGATATAGAGCATGGGCAACTACTGTACATAGTCCAAAGAAGCATTTTGTATTTATTGTATATAAATCTACCAGCGCCAATATTATTTATTTGCCTATTATAATCTGCCTGTAACTTGATGCCTACATTATATGCTAAGTTTACTATCCTTACTTAACCTATTGGGCTTGTGGTTGTTATATAAACCCGATGCCGCCAGTATCACTTGCTTTCTTGTTCCTTCGCCGGCTTTATGGAAAATTGTCGTACATGCAGTCATCTGCCAAATCCACTTTGCGAGCAATGTGTTCTGTGCATTGATAGAGCATGCGTTACGACGTTCATAGAGCACTATGCATGGAGATACGTGAAGCGGCGGCCATTCATTGCCACATGACTCTGTCCCTTCAACTAGTCTACTACTCTCAGCTTCACCCACGACAGTGCAGTGGTAATCGAGAAGCCGGCAAGTTTTATCACAAGCATGAAATACGGCCAGCTCATACAAGGTTGTTCAAGCAGGCTGATATGAGAGTTAGCTTTGACCAGCCACGAATAGCCGACAAAACTGTGTGAGAATGGGAGCAATATGCCCGCAACCGGAGATTTCAACAACACAAAACCTTATTAAATGGGTGAGTTTCATAATATCATTTGGCTTTGACCCTATTATAATACTACGAATGATTTAGAATAGACTGTTTCTTTGGTTCTCAAGTTGGTAGTCAAAATATTCATGATATGTACGTATGTTGAAAAAATCTATATACAGCGATAAATTACATACCACAGATCGCACCAATTCTCTATATCACTTCTCCTCATATCTCGCTCTACGTCTCTATAAAAGAGCCGTTCTCTCAGCTCCCTTCTCTTAACCCTGCCAGACCTCAGGGCCCGGAACAGTGTAAGAGGTGAAGTCAGAGTAAATGTTGGCGGTGTATCCAGGGTCAGTTTCCGCGAACGCCCCTGGAATCGCTACCAATGGGGCTGGGCTTCCACTGCCACCACCAGTGACCGAGATCTGCGCGCAGGAGATGTAAAACTGCGGGACTCCCCCGGGCCATGGGTTGTGGATGGCGAGCTGCTGGATGCGAAGGAGGTACTCTCCGTCCGGCACGCTTGCGGGGATCGTGACGCCGTAGGTCAACCCGAGGTCCCAGGTTGCAGCGCCGCCGCTGAAGGTAGGGCCGATGTCCTTGATCTTGAACCAGACATCGCCGGAGCCGTCGAATGACTCGGCGGTGGTGGGGGCTTTGGCCATGTAAAATGACACGGGGCCTTGGTGATAGACGGCGACGTCGGCAGTAAATTCGACTGACGAGCCAGCCGTTACGGCTATGGTTGCACCGGCTCCAGTCTCTCCGCCGACATTGCAGCGGAGGTCATTTGAGGCGAGGTCAGTTACTGGAGAGTTGTAGTTTGTGTTCTCGCGAATATATTCGTACGCGGCAGACTGGGTGCCATCGTAGGTCAGATATTGGAAGATGTCTGAATTCATATAAGCATTTATTAGATTTGTACGAGCACTTCAAACTTACAATGGGCGGAAGCCTGTTGGGCAAGGACAGACAGCCCGAGAGCAGCGACAGAGAGCTTCATACTTGCGGTGGAGGCGATATATGCGTATTGGGATGACCTTGAGAAAGAATACCAAACACTGGTCGCCTTTTATAACTTATACGGGCGCAAGAATTGGAGGATCGGCTTATTCTGGAGTCTGAAGTGACCAATATAGCCAGACATGCACGCAGACAACTATGATCCTTATGCCATGGAAGCGCCAGTTGCGGCATCATGTCACCAAGTTTTGTATATATAAATGGCTATGATGACGACGATCTTGTTCCAAGCAGATTAACAACAGGAAATAGTACCGAAATGGGTATCCATCTTTGACCGTAGAACAGATCGACAGCATCCGTATGGCCGTGTTTGATAGTCTCTGTTCTACATAGAGTAGATCCAGCGAGCGATCTTGAAACTAGGTGGATCCCTGGACACGAAAATTTAACAGTGCGAACAACCCAAGTACTTGGTGCATCTATCCATGCCATGAAAGTATCGACAGCGACAGGCAGGAGACGTCATTGTTTACATTTCCTCTGTTCCACTTCAAATGAAAGAGCATGAGATATATGAAATTCCACGCAAGCAGGAGATTCGCAATCACGCAATGTGTGGCATGGAAAGGCATAGTATATGGGATAGAGGTAAGAAGAGTCCAACCTACTGATTTGCGAGTGCCGGTCGGTCGGTACTACAAACTCCGTCAAGCCTCAGCGAAAGGCAACTTCATGACCGATGATCAGGAAGATCTATTCCATTCCCGGGCACAGCGAGGGTATTATGTGTCGGTGGGGGCAGTTGTTCGACGATATCCCTACATCTGTGGGAATTCTGGGGAATGAAAGGATCCCAGTGTCCCCCGCTCTCGAGACCACACCACTGCCGTGATTTGTGACAGGGACGACAGGGGTCTGCATGATGAATGTAACCGGTGGCGCTAACGGACCTGCTTCCCGCACTCTAAATGAACCACAACCCCTCTCTTCTAGCTCTATAGTACTCCCCATAGTACGCATATTCGAGTACTATCCGGATAAAAAATAGCCAATTGATTTTATCCGCATATAGTAGTATGTATTGTTGTATCATTGCGTCGTTTTATCGTTTTCTGCTCCTCCTAAGCGATTCTCAACATCGTCTTGGGGGTTTTATTCCGTGTTTGTGCAGATGAATGCGAACTGGTCTGGACTCTCACTCGACTTCTTGGCATCCACCCCGTGACTTTCATCTTTCAGCAAGCTTCGGCGGAACTATACAGTTAGGTGCTGTGTGGCTTGTGCCTTGTGTCTATTGTTCGTGCATCCACTTCTGTGTGGCAAGGGGCTGGGCGTCCTGTAGCTCATAGCGCGCCCTCTTTCTATTTTACTGGTAACCCGATTCCACCACTTGCGACGGTGCCGTCGTTGCATCGCGCACCTCCCCGCAAATACAAACACCTGGTTACTGCTGTCGCCCAGGGCATCACATGTAGGACTAGGTTCCCGTTTCATTAACGGGATCCATGGTACTCGTTCCAGGACAGCCGCCCCATGTGACTTTTCCTGCCGCGTTTATCACATCACTAGGTTTGTGGAGCACTGCTCATCAGGTGCCTACCTGTTCTCCATATTGATTCTCTAATATTTCTCTGTTGCTCTCAATATAACCTCGGCTGGCCGGCCGAACAAGCGGTGACATCCGAACAATAAGCTTTTGCTTGCTTATATATTATTTGTAGAAATATTATTAACCTCTATTTAAAAGCTTCAACCGACGATTTCTACCGCATATGGAAGTATCAATTATCCCAGAATATACTGTTCTGTATTTTATTGGCTGTTAGTTTGCGTAGAGAGTTATTCTGTGGACTAAGTGGTCCATCCCGTTGGATTTCCTCATCTTATTGGCATTTTACCCCTCGCGCTGGCCATGCCCTTGCACATATCCCCCCGCACGATACCCCCAATTATTTACCTAGACTACTGTCGCTGGCTTCTCCTCTCATAGCTGGTAGCCACTCAGATGAGACTTACATGGTGGTGTACTCCATACCGAACGTAATACATGGTGCTCTATAGGACTTCATCTTTCCCGTCCCGGAAGCGGCGTCCGATCATAAAGCGCGCATCTTGATTTACCCCAGGTGTATCACTGCCATGAACGCCTTCTCGACGCTCGATATCGCCTCGTGATGATGGCCCTGAGCTAGAAGCATTCTAGAACACGCCTCTTTCTAGCTCAAACCAGGGATGCCCGGCTCAACTTCTCATAACGGCATGTCTTTCTTCCCAGCCAAGCTCAGACTCTTTGGAAGACGGCTGCTTTTTCCGCAATCTATTGCTGGCGGACTCTTTATCTCTTAATCTGTTTGGACTTCTAATTTCCCGATATTTCTATAAGAGTGGCCGTCCTGGAGAATCTACAACGACATCAGCAAAGTCACCAGCATTTTAGAATCTTTAACACTCACAATGGCTTTGAAGAACGTCCTTCTAGCGGCTGCGGCTCTCGCACCTACAGTCCTTGCTCAAGGTGGTGCCTGGGCGCAATGTAAGCTCTGATCCGACCTCTAGTTGTATTCTTTCTGACCAGATCAGGCGGTGGAAATGGCTGGACTGGTGCGACCACCTGTGTGTCCGGATATACCTGCACCTACTCCAATGATTGGTACTCGCAATGTTTGCCTGGTTCAGGTGGAGGAAACCCAACCACCACCGCAAAACCTACCACCACCGCTCCGACTACCACCTCAGCGGGTACTGGTACCACTTCTCCTCCAACCGTGGGCAATCCATTCGCGAATGTCCAGCACTACGCCAACCCGTACTACTCGTCTGAAATCTACACTTCCGCCATTCCATCTCTGACTGGCACTGCGGCTGTCAAGGCCAGCGCCGTCGCTAAGGTCGGAACATTCGTCTGGCTGTGAGTTGCAACGCAGAAAATCTAGGGCTTGTTACTAACTTGACAAAGCGATACTGCTGCCAAGGTCCCAACTATGGACACATACCTCACCAACATTGAGGCCTTAAACGCCGCTGGTGCATCCCCGCCAGTTATTGGAACCTTCGTCGTTTATGATCTCCCAGACCGTGACTGTGCTGCCCTCGCTTCCAACGGCGAATACTCCATCGCCAACAATGGCGCTGCCAACTACAAAGCCTACATCGATGCGATCAGGGCAATCCTCGTCAAGCACAGCAAGACCAAGGTCGTTCTTGTCGTTGGTCAGTACCCCCTTAATGCCCCGCACTATTACTCTTTCTGATTTGCTGCCAGAGCCCGATTCTCTTGCCAACCTAGTGACCAACCTAAGCGTTGCGAAGTGCGCCAATGCGGCGGCCACGTACAAGTCCCTCACCGTCTACGCAATGCAGCAGCTGAACCTTCCCAATGTCTCCATGTACCTCGATGCCGGCCATGGTGGTTGGCTAGGCTGGGCCGCCAACATCGGCCCTGCAGCTGACATGTTCGGCAGCATATACAGCTCCGCAGGCAAGCCAGCTGCCGTCCGTGGTCTCGCTACCAACGTCGCGAACTACAACGCGTGGAGTATCTCGACCTGCCCATCGTACACCAGCGGTGACTCGAACTGCGACGAGAAGCGCTACATCAACGCCATCGCTCCTCTCCTGACCAACGCTGGATTCCCAGCACACTTCATCATTGACACCTCGCGCAACGGAGTTCAGCCTACTGCACAGAATGCCTGGGGCGATTGGTGCAACCTGAAGGGGACGGGCTTCGGTGTCCGCCCAACAACCAACACGGGTGACGCGCTTGCCGATGCCTTCGTGTGGATCAAGCCTGGTGGAGAGTGTGATGGCACTTCTGACTCTTCAGCTGTGAGATACGATGCTCACTGCGGGCTGGATGATGCTCTTAAGCCTGCGCCAGAGGCTGGACAGTGGTTCCAGGCATACTTCGCACAACTGCTCAACAATGCCAACCCTTCTTTCTAAAGTGGGAGAATTGAGTAAAGGCGAACGTCTTGCGAGGTGTTGTCTTAGTTTTAACTGAGCCTCAACTCGTATGCGATGGGGTGGTTGTAAATTAGCCTGAACATGAGTGGTTGGTGGGGATAAAATGGAGAGCTGCTTGCTTTTTTAGCGAGGCACAGCACTGTTGCTATTCTCATTTTCCGTTCATTTGTGCAGGATCGGCAGTCTGTATATAGAAACCAAAATGGAAAATTGCAGGTTCCACATTTCAGTTCCAGGCTGTTGGTGACAATTTACACTTATATTTCGGATCGACACAGGCCAGGTTCATGCATTGTGAACATATGTAGATCGATTCATAATTCTGACATCTATCGAGACACCAGATGCATGGTACACGATAAGACTACGTTGAGAAGAGAAAAACCCAAGAAAGTTTGCATCTTTTACCAGAATAAATAAGCATGGTGTACAGCGCTGCCATCTCCCGGCTGTCGTCAAGATCCATATTGAGAAGTTCGTCAATAAAGTAGAAAACGATAAATATGACCTATTTCACATGGCAGAATAGAACACCAAAAAGTGTAAATACAGTTATTGTCAATATTTACAGTGATAACGAGCGGCAATATCTACAATAGTAACGACGGACAGACATTCCCAGATATCTACAACCAATGCTGCCTCATCCAGCCTAAATTTAGCGTTCTAACCTCTAACCACTCCAGACTGCTGGGCCTGGGATCTTGTAGGAGGTTGGGATGGGCCAGTAGATGCCAATCAGAATTCCTGGGTCTGTCGCCGAGTATCCACCAGGCAGCTTGATGGTAGGACCTGGGCTGCCCGAGCCAGAACCAGAAATCTTCAGCTGAGCGCAGGAGATATAGAACTGGGCACCATCGGTAGTACTAGCAGAGTGCAGCGCGATGTGCTCGATGCGAAGAAGATATTCTCCCGCGGCTGCTGAGGTCAGTCATGCGATCTTGCTACCCAGTCAAAGGTGCTGAGAAAGGGGGTCTTACGAGTGCTGCTGGGGATCTTGAATGTGTACTGAGATATGTCTGATGCTGGCCAAGTAATCGCCGATGTAGAGATCGTTGCGCCCACCTCAGCGATCTTGAACCAGGCACCAGAGCCATCATAGGAGGCGGCTGTGGACGGCGCCTTAGAAAGATAGACGGTAATGGGGCCGGGGTGGAAGATCGCCTGGTCTAGCGCAAAGCCAACAGTGGCACCGGCAGCTACAGATGCAGTGCCGGTGGAAGCACCGGAAGCGAGTCCTCCGGCGTTGCAGCGGATGTCGTTGGAGCTGACGGAGGTGACTGGAGAGTTTGCGTTGGTATTTTGGCGGACATACTGATAGGGGGAAGTTGCCGCGCCGTTCACAATCAGAGAAGTCCAGCGGTCTGGGGATGTTAGAATCGACACAATGAAGGGGAGGCGGAGGCATACAATGCGCAGAGACGACATCCGTAAAGGCGATGGCGCCCGCGAGAACGGGAAGGATAACTCTCATAGCTGATAAATTTCCGAAGAATGCACTTTTGATTTAACTACAACTTGTGGGATAATGGGAAAACTTCAACTTCTACTCCTACTGGCAAGGACTAACGGGGCTTATAAGAAGAAAGAAACACAGCGTCACGGGGCCTCCAAGAGGTAGATGGGATTTGCCAAGAACGAGTTTCACCTAGGCGCCCTAACTCTAACTGCCGGAATAATTGCACCATAGCCAGAGGAAACTAACCAAGTGCCTGTAAGGTAAATCATACAGAGGATAGCCACATGGCACAGTCTGGTACAGATTAATGAGATTCGGGTGATGTGGGCCGCAAGAATTGCGGGATATGGCGAACCAGCGGAGAGAACTTGGGTTGAAGTGGGAGTCGCCGGGCCGCAAGCCTAGAAACTGTTGACATGATATAATAAATAAAGGAACGGATGTCTTGGAGACTTATATAAAGTTATGGTTGGTTAAACTGGCAGAAAGAACTGAAAAACTGAATCTAAAATTGCGAAGTGCAATCAACAAATTCGGATTCAATAAATGAGAAAACTGCCAACGAGATGTTGGGCGTACAATTTGGATTTGAAGATACGAGGCATTCTACAAATACAACAGCGCAGTACTCGCTATCCCAAAGAAGGAAATAATGATTCTGACGAACCTGTGGTAAGGATTTATACATACCCATGTGTGTTATGGGTAAAGTGAGTGACGGAGAGTGGCCTACTATAATAAACGAGGACGCGCCAGCCGAATGACCACAATTCGCCCCCATGATAATATCCCGAAGCCCCAGCCTATCGCCACGTTTCACTACACTCTCCCCGCAGTATATCCAGCAATATTATTCCCTTGGTATTTGTTTAATCCCGGTACCTAGGAGGGGCAAAGAATATACAGAGTAAAGCTCAATATATTCAGCATTGAGTTGTCGGCTGCATGGCGGGGGTCGACGTCGAGATTACTATATTGAATTGCTCATCCGGCTGTTACACTCTATGTCTTGATCATACGACCTGCAGTAATATACTCGCACGCAATGTGGGACAGGGAGCTATGAGGGTTTGAGGCCTGGAACTTGGGCAATGGCTGTACCCCAGCGTGGATGCTGGTCGAGTCGCCTGGTTTGAGTGTTATGGACCACAGAATGTACTGGATGGGCGTGGCAATAGAGTTGGCGTCAAAATACTTCGTCTGGCTCTGTTGATTCTACTGGAGGTGAAAGGATATTGACGATGGCCTCTATTGACTCCAGTGGCTACAGTTCCTTCTGACCCAGCACAAGCTCATATGATGGACAATTCTAGTCGTCGTCAATATATGTGTCATTGACATACAGTTGGATCCTGCCAACAATGTCGGTGCCAAGTCAATTTCTACCTGGGAACCTTCCAGACCCATCCAGCTGTAAGTCTCATACTTTAACTTTTCATCTCCGAGCCGTTTCCAGCAGAGAAACTGTAAGGTTCGCTTCCATTCTTCATATATTCTTCCCCCTCCTTTCCAATATTGCATTCTGAATCACTTAACGCGGCGATATCACGACCTTAATACTACTTCGTTTGCAAGCATCTCAATTCTCCCTCATATGGTCTCTCATACAGGCTCAATGCTTCGGATCATGGCCGGAATATTGTCTTCAGGGAGAATTATATTCTCATTTGGCCTGCATGAGTTGCCTGTCAACAAGGACTTTCCGAACCTGTCATTAATTGTAGAGTATTATGAGTTAGAATTACACCAAACGTCTCTTCCTCGCGACTTTGATATAAAGTTCTGATTTCCTCTGCCCCCAAACTGTTTATTTCTTCTCTGCAACAAGCTTTCATTCTCCACTTCTTTTAAGATCTTACAACAGGATATTAGCTCGACGCCTATACGCAACTCAAGATTTGGGTGGTCTGTCCTATATCCACGGATCTACAAACGCGTTACTCTCCCTACATAACCATGAAGAGCTTCCTCATCTCAGCGCTTCTCGCCGCCACCGCTGCGGCTTTGCCCCAGGGGCTCGGCCAAATCACCCGCATAGTGATCACCGATGCCCAACCAACAGCCATCGCGGTGCCACGAAATGCAGAGGCCCAGCACCTTGGGCCCGTCAGCCGAACGGTGATCTACGATTCCCAGCCTACTCGTATCTCAGTGCCGCGAGATGATGTTCTGGATAACGCAAAGCGCCAAACGATCGGCGGCATATGTATGACCCCCTATTCCAGATACCGTCTCTTCATATGTCACTTTGAAGCTTCCCTCGCTGACTATAACAGGCTCCAGCAACGACTCGTGTGCGCCGGGATTCTCATGCACCTCCCTCGGTAGCGGTTACTCGCTGTGCCTCCCTAATATCCTAGTACCATCAGTGGTGCCAATAACGGCATCACGTACGGACATTGGAGATGTTCCAGTAAGCTCTGGAGGCGCCATTCAGCCAACCAATGTTGCTATTGCCGGCCGTAAGTAGGTACGTCGAGTTTATGGAAAGCAGTCACTTCGGAAAAGGGGGTATTACTGGGTGGTTTGTAGTCGTCGAAGTGGATAGTATGATCAGAGTGGCGGTGACCTGGATGGAAAGATCGAGTGTTTGATGCGTTGATGAAAAAAAATTGTACTTCTTCTACTGGTGGAATTTAAGGACTTGTATCATGCTGAAAATTTTCTGTGATATTTGGGTCGTTCACACATGTCCGTGACAGTTGTCCTTGACTGTTATTACCATAGAGAAATATACAGACTCCTGGCTCCTGACCCCAGAAAGTCCATAACTCGTAGGACGGACAGGCCTGATCGCAGAAACCTAGATGACGGATGATCGCATCCCGCCCTGGCATATGCAAGTATCAATCAACACGAAGCAAATGTAACATTGGCATGGAGGCTTCTATTCTCGGCTGTATCCTCACAACTAGGTATTATACATCTAGCCCAAGCGTCTCCCAGCTCGCCAAGTTCATCCCCTCCCCAGCACATGCATCTAATCCTCATCCCAGTTAGCATTAGGCGCTGGCGGCTTCGGTCCACCAGCCTGTCTCGCGACGATGATCTGGTCGACCGAGAGGACGGTGCGTGCTGCCTCGGTGGCAAGCCTGATGGCCCAAGACTTGGAGACCAACAGGTCAAGGATGCCGGCGTCCTTGGCATCAAGGATTCCGGTTCCATCATCGTTCTATAGATTTCATTAGTATATTTCGCTGGTAGATTGGGAAGGAGATTCAGATTGTTCACGTACCTCAATATCAACACCGGTAGACCAGTCCTCCTTCTTGTGGTGGGCAGTGTATAACCTGCTCAGCACCTCGGTGGCATCCAATCCAGCGCTCTCAGCTAGTGTCCTTGGGATTACCTCGAACGCCTCGGCATACTTCTTAATGGCGTATTGTGGCAGGCCAGGGGTGGTCTCGCCGTGTGCCATTATCCGCTCAACAAGCTCCGTCTCTGTGGCTCCAGCTCCTGGGACTAACCTCGGATCCTTTGTGATGGCCTTGACGACATTGACTCCATCATCAACGGCACGCTCAATATCATCGAGGTGGTTCATGGTGGCTCCGCGCAGAACAATAGTGGCCGTCCTTGTCGAGTCATTCTCTTGTCTGAAAACGGTCACACGGTCACCACCAATCTCCAAGGTCTCGACAATGTCGATGCTTCCCATCTCGTCCGGCATAGGGGCGCCAAGTCTTGCTAATGGGGTAGCACCAACAACTCTGCACACTCTTCTGAGCTCAAACTTGGACAAAATGCGGATGACCAGGATGCCGAAGCGGTTGAGGTAGTGCATCGCCAGCTCACCGACAGTGGAGCCGGCAATGACAACGCGAAGACCCGAATCGTAAAGCTCCTTGATGGCAACCTCCAGCTGGCTCTCCTCTCCCGTGGTAAAGTCCAACATTTCCTTTGCATTGTGTAGTAGAACCGTGCCCTTGGTCTCGGTCTGGCTGGTGTCGATCGGGCAAGAGAAGACTCCGACCTTGGCCCTGACGGCCTTCTTCACGGATCCGTCTGGCTCCCTCCCAAAGACCATACCCTTGACAACTCTGCTCTGCTCCATGCTTCCTCCCATAATCTTGACAACTCTGACGGTATCAACGTTGAATTGCGTTGGGTTCTTTGGCAGAACAGCCAACACAGCTTCAGCGATAAGGTCCGCCAAGAAGTCCTCACTGCCACATTGTTTGCTCGCAACGACCGTCCTGATGGCCTTGCTGAGCTCCTTCTGTGACCGCATATCCTCCACCTTATCCACGACCAACTCGTCGAGCACCTCCAGTGCGTATTTTTGTGCTCTCTCGTAGCCCTGGACAACATCCGATGTCTTCAACCCCATCCTCAACAGATCCTCAGCTTTCTTTAGCAGCTCTCCGGCAAGCACGATGACCAAGTTCGTGGCGTCTCCCATCTCGGCTTCCTGTTGCTGGGAAGCCATGACAATAAGCTTTGCGGCTGGGTGGACAACATCGAGTTCGCGGAGGATGGTGGCAGCGTCGGAGGTCAGAATCATCTTCTGCAGATGGTTGATGACAATCTTGTTGCGGCCGTAGGGACCAAGGGATGTCTGGACGGTGGAGGAGATTGCGCGACAGGCATCGATATTGCGAAGAACAGCTCCATCTTCAGAGTCGTAGCTGGATAGGAGTTAGCACAAATAATTTAGGCGTGTGGTGACGCTGCGATGAGACGGAATAGAAGGACATACGAGTTATAGCCCTGCTTGAACAAGTTGGCGTTCGGGGCATTGGGGATATTGAGCGACATGATGGGTGGTTGAGAGGGGTGTGTCGGGGAGGTGAGGTGGTCTCGAGCTCTTTTTGGAGATATCGCGTCTTGAGCTTCGAACAAAAATCGTTAAACGCGATTTCGGCCTGATCGCCAAGGCCAAAATGTTAATTGGCGGGAACAACCCCCATGGAAGTGTTGCCCCACCACATCGTATGCCGCATCCATGCCCCACATAGGGGAACGTTGAGGACTTCATCTTCAAGTTAAACAGACATCCATTGTATAATCAACATATAGAAACTGCCAAAAACAACGTTGAGCTAAGTGCATTCAAGTTAAAGCAGACTTTTTAATTGTCCTGTAACTTTAAATACAAGACGGACCGTACTGAGGACAACAAAGTACAGCAATTTACCCCGCCTCCTCCACAGTAAGGAAGCTTCAAGAACTCACTCCTATATAGCCATTCGAACAGTGAACCCCTCATAACAACTTAAAGCTCCAATACAATGGCGCAACAGCAACCCTCCATTTACACCACCGACCATGCCAGCTCCGTCCTCCAAACTCACAAATGGCGCACAGTCGCCAACTCTGCGGCGTATCTCCTCCCCTACCTAAAGCCTGGTATGACTATCCTAGATGTCGGCTGCGGCCCCGGCTCCATTAGCATCGATATTGCTCGCCTCGTCCCTGGCAGTCATGTAACTGGCATCGATGTGGCTGATCCCTTGAATGAAGCCCGCGACTCTGCTGCCGCCATCGGAGTTACCAACGTCGTGTTCAAGGTTGGGGACATCCACGCGCTCGATTTCCCAGACGCCTCATTTGACGTCGTCCACGCACACCAGGTTCTCCAGCACATCTCCGATCCTGTACTAGCACTACGGGAGATGCGGCGGGTGGCTAAGCCAGGTGGTATTGTGGCAGCCCGTGAGTCGGCATCTATGGCGTGGTTCCCGGAGTCAGAGGGGATAACAGCCTGGCGCGATCTAACTGCACGAGTTTCCCGTGCTAAGGGAGGAAACCCGCATCCAGGAAGCGGTATTCACAGCTGGGCTCGAGAGGCAGGGTTTGAGAAGTCGCAGGTCGCGTGTAGTACTGGATCGTGGTGCTTTAGCACCGATGAGGAGAGGGCATACTGGGGTGGGAGTATGGCGGAACGGGCGCTGTCGTCTGGATTTGCCAAGATTGCTATAGAGGGTGGGTATGCTACAATGGAGGAGCTGAAGGATATTTCAAAGGCGTGGCTGGATTTTGTTGATGACGATTTAGCGTGGTTCGGGCTACTGCACGGGGAGATCGTTTGCACAGTGTGATCTTCCCAGCTGGGATGTTATAATTTTGAGGGAGTAGCTGACTACGGGTTGGCATGTAATATTGAAATAAAGCACTACAAATATCCTTCAATGTTAAGTATCACCAGAGAATTATGACCCTATTTAGTAGTACCTTATGAGAGTATATGTTAGCTTCTATTTCCTAGGAAAACAGTAATGTTAGTTAAAAAGAACACTCCTACCATTTCGTCTTTCGGAATAACATTTTAGCTGGAGATGTCTAAGTGGGGACCATCTTGCCAAGGGGTCCAAATTGACCTTTCCCAAAAGAAGATAAATTCTGCCACCTCACCGCCTTCACGTGAAGCCTTTTGATGGGTTTTAGGGATACAAAACTTATTTGCGCCAACAATACCTACTCTCGTTATTTTCTAACCTTAACCTGCTATTGTCGAAGTTTGTTTACTTAGAGAGCATTTCATTTCAATTATTGATACTTGACGACTTTTTTCTTGCGCCACCGAACCTCGATCAAACGGAGCTACTGCTCCTGCTCCAACCATGCTTCGCTCGAACAATACCGTGTGCCTCCTATGCCAATATTCACAGAATGTGCGATTCGCCAGCAGAAAATTTACGGGTGCTATGCAAACACAAAGACACGCTTCGCAAGCACAAAGTCGACTGCCCAAGCGCATGACACTCTCCCCTCGCGTCGCCCAACCGAACCCCAGGACATCCGAGAGTGGCAAGCCCGTCCGAAGGCGACAAGATGGCCCGTTTGGAGGAATGAATTTGAAGGAGGCCGGTATCAGAGGAGTTCCGGAAATTCGGCGGACGTCGGGAACGGATACGAAAAGCAACGATAGAGAAGGTGGCAAGACGAATAGGAGAGAAGGTTACCACGCGTTGAAGATGCAAAGGGCGCTGGCCCCAGTATCGTATAATAGCAGGACGGTCATCAAAGAACGACTCCAACAAATCGACAGTTTCAAGAAATTTCAGTTGTTGGCCAGTGTGCAGGAATCGATTGAGGCCCAGGCCCTGAAAGGACTGGAAGATGTTATGCCCACGGCAGTCCAGCGGCTTGCAATCCCGGCACTACTCGGCGAAGCCAGCAAACACCAGAGGAAAAAGACGGTTAAAGCAGAAAGGGAGGATTTCCTGATTGCTGCTGAGACTGGTTCTGGCAAGACGCTCTCATACCTTCTTCCAGTTATTGATGCTGTCAAGCGTGCAGAGCAACAGGATGCGGATGTTGAGGCTTACAACAAGATGAAGCAGGAAGAGGACCTGAAGCAAAACAACCTCACCCTGGTATCCCCACCATTGACGAATATGCCCCATCCTACAACTGGAAGGCCACGGGCTGTTATCCTCCTCCCCACATCTGAGTTGGTGTCTCAAGTTGGCACCCTTCTGAAGTCTCTGTCACATACCGTCAAATTTCGGTCAGCTCTTATATCATCCTCTGTTAGCGGGAAGGTCATTCGAAACCGCCTCTTCTCTCCAGGCGGAGTCGATATCCTGGTGTCCACTCCTCATCTTTTGGCATCGATCGCCGAGTCGGACCCAAATATCCTGTCCAGGGTCACTCACCTTGTGATTGACGAGGCCGATTCTCTCCTCGACCGTGGATTTTCTCCGCTGACTTCGGAAATTATTGATAAGTCCAACCCGTCATTACAGCAACTCATTCTCTGCTCAGCAACGATCCCACGATCGCTCGACTCGTTCCTGCGCAAACGATTCCCGGATATTCGCCGCCTGACAACACCAAATCTTCACGCGATTCCGCGTCGTGTCCAGCTTGGTGTGGTTGACGTTGAAAGAGACCCATACAGAGAAAACAAGAACCTGGCCTGTGCAGACACGATTTGGTCCATTGGGAAATCAGCCGCTGATCACGAAGGCCCAGACAAGAATGCTGTCGACCTTAAGCATGTCCTTGTTTTTGTGAACGAACGTGAGAAGACGCAAGAGGTAGCGGAGTACCTCGTCACAAAGGGCGTTAATGCGGTTGCGTTGAGCAGAGACACCCCTGAACACCGCGCTTCAGAGATCCTTGCTGATTTCACGTCATCGGAAAAGCTCACCGTTCCAAGAGGAGAAAACCCTGGTAGCCTGGCTGATAACCAGCCAAATTACCTTCCATTTGGACATGTTGCACCACCGGTAAAGAGGAATCTGCCAAATATGAAGGTGCTTGTCACTACGGATTTGGGATCCAGAGGCATTGACACCTTGGCTGTCAGACACGTCATTCTGTATGATGTGCCGCATTCTACAATCGACTTCATTCATCGCCTTGGCAGGACCGGCAGAATGGGTAGGCGTGGAAGGGGAATTGTACTTGTAGGGAAGAACGATAGAAAGGATGTGGTCAGGGAGGTGAAGGAGGGTATGTTCAAGGGACAGGCGCTTATCTAGAGCGGATATCCATAATTGTATTATACTGTAGGAATATTTTCCAAGATAGAAAGGAATTGTACATTAGCCGCATGGTTTACCACTCAAATCGTAGTTTAATCTTCTCCAGCGTTTTTATGTGATTGTCGGGGTCGCAAATGAGGGGCCTTCATCCTTAAATTCGCTTAGTGGGGAGTAAACATTCGCGTCGCGTCACGACCTTGACCAACACCTCTCTAAATCGAAATATCCCTGCACTACATCCGCCCGATCATTATGCGATAATGAGAGAATGAGAAATATATACAACTATTCAACATCCGAAATAACTATTGATACAAAAACTTGAAAATTACCACGATGCCACGCCCCAAACGCGCCAAAGTTGCGCCCTCTGCACCCGCCGCCCAACCTCGACGCGGCAGGGCTGCAGCGCCGTCGCGCAAACCACGAGAGGCCTCCGAAGCAATTGAATCTTCCCAAGAACAAAATATCGAGCAGGAAACCCAAACAACTATGACGAGGGCAACGAGGGGTAATGCGACCGTTCCTGGACCTTCGACGCGGGCAGCAAGGCTGAGCGCATCGAATACCGGAGTATTGGAAGAATCAAGGAAGCGTCGCGACTCAGCGATATCGCGTCTCGAGGCCGAAAACGAATATACATCCAGCAACGGAGGGCCCAGCGATGCGGTTGCGCATGCGCCAGGAGAAATACTGTCAAGCAGCCCGGAAGTTGAGATTGGAAGGCGGGGAAGAGTCGCTGCAAGTATTGAAAGCTCAGCAATCATACCTGGAACGTTTAGGAGGAGGGCACGCCAGCCAAGCATACTTGGGCGAGGACAAGATATTGAGATTGAGAGAAGTGAAAGTGTGGACAGCGACATTGCACAGAGCCAAGATATCACAAACGTGGAGAGGCCTCTTGGGAGGGTCATGTCGAGCGGCTTTAAGCCAAGGCAACGGCAGCCCAGTATATTGGGAAATGTGAGGTCTAGCAGCGTGGAGGTTGAGAGAGATATTGGGACACCTGTGAACCCTGGGTCGGCGCTCAGGACAGGATTATTCAGGAGGAGAGCAAGACAGCCCAGCATCCTTGGTACGCCCAGCCAAAACCCGAGCCGCGCCCCTGCAGCGGAAGCAAGCGACGAGGAAGGACAAGGAGAAGAGGATGAGGAAGACGATTTTAATCCTGAGGACGAATCTACTCCACTCAATCTGCCAAAATCAAACACCCTCGACGGCAGCCCTCAGTCAACATCTCCGCTCAACTCACGGAAACGCAAACTCTCATCCCCTTCAGCCTCTCATTCATCAGCTGCTCTTCCTCCCCTCGAGAGATCACCTTCTTCCGCCCTTTCACCACCACCAGTTTCTTCACCCCTGAGCGCGATATCGCAAACCCCAGAGATCATGAGCTCAACCCACGCACCACCTCACAGCAGCTCCTCCCTCCGCCTGAGCTTGACCCCACCCCGGCGAACCCGGGTCGCATCCGGGATTCCTTCGGAAAGAACCCCTCCTACTCGCCGCCAACCATCACGCGCCCTCGCTATGGACGACGACCTTCCATCATCCCCACCACCCCTCACACACTCACCTGACAACCGACCCACCGTCAAAAAGCCAGCCGGCAAGCCTAGAGGAAAAGCCGCAGCGAAACCCGAACCTGCGTCTCTTTCGACAGCGCAATTGCAATTACTCCTGCCAAGGCGCCGAAGGCGGGCAGCTAGGGACGCCTACGAGATTGGTAGCTCAGACGACGAGGTTGATGCAGAGAGTGACGAAGATGAACTTTCTCACCTTGCAGCCGCTCTGAGCCGTTCCAACCGACAGACACCCGCCGCGCGAAAGCGGGTGACGAAACTTCAATCCGCGATCAAAGGCAAGGGGAAAGCTGCTGCTGCTGCTCAAGCTGCGGCGGCCAAACGAACGTACGGATCGCGCCGGGCAGCTGCACCATCGCTATCTGACAAGGAGAACGGCGAGAACAGTGCGGAGGTCAGCGAGGCAGAGGTAGATCCTGATGATAGTCTCGCGCCAGTGCAAGATAGTGTTGAGGATAGTAGTGTGCTGGAGGAGCGGTTGGGCAAGGAGCTCAAGATCGCGAAGAGGAAGTTTGAAGATGTTGATCAGTGGGAGATGGAGTTCGAGGACATGACTGCGAATAGCAGCAGCCCCAAGGATGCCAGATGAGGCATGATCCGTTGGGTGGTATATGGCGCTTTGGCTTGTTTGATTTGCGTTGCTGGATGCGTTTATGGCTATGAGGGGCTGGTGCGGATTTTGAGGCGTTAATGGATAGGAAGGTGGAATACATCAATGGGACGATGCATGGAATGGGACATAGCATTTAGCTATTGTATGCTTGCGTATAGCATAATCAGACAGATATGGGCTGGCATTACTCAATTCCAAACTTGCTGCCTATGTTTTACAACGTTCAATTTGATCAAAGTAGAGTTAGATCTACAATAATACAGATTTGGGAAGACACATGAGTGCCATCAATGTGCTTTCCCTCGGTGTTCCTTTAAAGTGTGTGCCAGAAACCGGGGTATCATAACGCCTACTTCGCCATTCCCTAATGATCTGTCCTCTCCTCGATTGCCACCCTTACGCGCGCAGTGCCGCCAGCTTCGCTTCCTTCTCCTTCAACTGCAGCGTCATGGCCCTGTTTTGCTCCTCTACCTTCCGCTTGGCATCCTGTAGCCTGAGTATCTCCAGCTGCTCCGCTTCCCTGCTGTATGGTTGCCCCGGACTACTCCTCATGGGTATCAGCGCCGTGCGCTCCGGGATCGACGTCCCAGGCCCCAAATTCTTCTTCTTTGCACCAGCCGCCGCCTTGCCCTTCGTCTTCTCACCAACCGACGTTAAAATCTCGTAGAAGTTTTCGTATGGCTCATTGAATAGTTGTTCCTCATAAGCCCAGGCGAGAACCTCTCCCGACGCTTTCTGGGCAGCGCGTTCCTCTTCGGTGCCGTAGGCGTGTAGTCGGAGGCCGTGCCACACTGACTGCGGCTTCTCATTTGACTCGGACACGTAGTGAAGCTTGATGTTGATTTCAAACTCACCCCATCCGGTTTCAGAGATCGAAAAGGGCTGACCGGCTACTGCGTCCACCGCTGTATAGAGTTAGCTCTTATCCTGTCGCGGTCTCGTGAGTTTGACTTACAGCGCAGGGGATTCGGAATCGACTCGTGTAATTTGAACTGAACCTTCTTCAGCCAGTATGTAATATCTGTCCCATCTACACCCTTCACAAACACCGTCCAGCTATGTGTGTGGTCTGCCGGCACACCCTCTGGTTTCGGGTTGGTCGTCTCGTCGAAGGGCTTAGCTGTCGTGCCATAGATGAATGGGCGGAAGATCTGCACGCCCTTGACGCGCTTCTGGTTCGTGCCTGGTGGTGCCATTGGGGGCTCACGTTCATAGGGCGAGACTCCAATTGCACGTCCTGAGCGTGGTCCTTGCGGTTTGACTCGAGGCCTGACTTGGTGGGGGAGGTAGGAGATGTCTTTGCGCTTCGCCATGGCGTCGGCGGGGCGATAGATAAAGTCACGGAGAATTGTTGTTCCTAGCGTGACGCGCGGGTGTTGGAAAGTGCCAACGATTGGTCTGTGCTTTCACATCGTCATGATATCAGTCTATTTATTTTGGACTCTTTGAGGAGGAATTGATCGCTCACAAACACAAAAAAATGGCGACGGTGAAAAGAGTCGTTGTTTGTGGTGGTAACGGTTTCTTAGGAAGTAGGATATGCAAGTACGCGGTAGCGCGAGGCTGGGATGTCACATCAATAAGGTAAGGTAATTTCACATTTGGTATCAGCCTCGTTGGAAATACTGTAGTCAGACCGGTCTTGTTAGGATATGCGTGCTGATTATGGTTAAAGTCGCTCAGGCGAGCCAGTATGGTCCTCGGTCACCTCATCTCCCTCGACTCCGTCGTGGGCCCATAGGGTGTCATGGGAACGCGCCGACATGCTGAAGCCAAGCACTTACAAGCCTCTTTTAAAGGGTGCTGATGCCGTCGTCCACACCATGGGCATCCTGCTCGAGGCAGACTACAAAGGCGTGGTATCCGGCCGTGAATCCCCGATATCCGGCCTCATGCGCGCCTTCTCCTCCTCCAAGGCTGGAAGCCAGAACCCGATGGAGCGGAAGCCAGACGAGGATCTGAAGCCGCAAGAAAAGGACGGACAGCTGACTTACGAACTCATGAACCGGGATTCCGCAATTGCGTTGGCTCAGGAAGCGAACAGAGAGCAAGTCTGCACATTTGCATATATTTCAGCGGCAGGTGGTGCGCCCATATTACCAGCAAGATACATCACTACGAAGCGTGAGGCCGAATCGTCAATTGCAACCAACTTCCCGACTATGAGATCGTTTTTTGTTCGGCCTGGGTTTATGTACGACTCTTCGCGGCCGATTACGATGGCCATGGCTGCTGGGGCTGGAGGGGCATCTGTGTTCAGCGAGGTTACGGGAGGGGTGCTGAAGGACTTCTTAGGTGTGGCTGGCACGAAGCCGCTGAAGGCAGACCTGGTTGCACAAGCAGTGGTCGAAGCTCTGGGAGATGACACAGTTAAGGGGCCAGTTGAGACGAAGGAGATCGAAGAGCTTGCCACAAAGGCATGGAGGAAGGGGATGCTATGATCTTGCATTTGCATCCTGACTAAAGGCAGCCGCCTGACCTGTACCAACACTATGTAAATCTCAACGCCATAACCAATTTATCCCACTTTAATACAACCCGTGACCTTCATATCATCGTTCCACGCTCAAAACTGTCGCGGATCTCGGCCGTGTACTAAATAAAGTTAGCGTAAATTCCTACATCAATTTCGGGAAAAACAACAACGTACCTTGTTGTAGAACCTGTTCAGCTTCTGGTTGAAGTTCTTGTTCTTCTCATTAATGTATGTGATATCGCCCTCGTCGCGATCCTGTCCGCGCTCCTTCCTCTTCTTCAATCTCGCATCCTCAGCCTGTTGTAGATCGGCCACCAGTCGGTCCACGGCAGCCTTGTCAGGCTTGTTTTCGACAAAGCCAGTGGAATCCGCGGTAGAGTAAAATGAGCCATCTTTGTCAACAGCGACCAGTTCTCCGTCGTCGGTCTCCACAATCTCCAGACCACCTGAGGCAGCAGCTCGCTCAATCGCAGCCATCTTTTCCTTCTCGTAGTTGCTCGTATCCAGCTTCATATTTCCAATCTGTCGCTTGTATACCTTCCTGCTATCCTGTCGGTAGTCTTGGAAAGCCTGGTCGTCGCGATGTGACTCTTTCTTTTTGAGTCGCTTGTCCCATCTCTCGCTCTCCTCGATTGTCCAGTCCCACGCACGCTTTCTTTCAAAGTCTTCGCCTGCAGCCTCGATATCTGCCTTGAGGAGTTTCTGGGACGCAGTCGCATGCTTGCGATTTAGTGTTGTGAGGAGGTTGGGATCGGTGGCGAGTCGTTGCGACTCGAGGGCTGCTTCTTTCATATTCTTCTGGGCGGACGACTTCGCACGAGCCTGGAGCGCCTTGAAGCGCTCTTGTCTTTCCTTGGCTTTGGCTAGGGCGTCCTCAGTCGATGTAGAGGCTTCGACAGGTGCAGTGATCGCAGATTCTTGGCTTGGTGCGTCATCTTTCGTCGCGGGCTTCTCCTTGGGCTCTTCCTTCTTCATCATAGATTCATCGGCATCCCTCACCTCTTCGGTGGAGGCGCTGGCTCGCGTCTTGCGCTTCTTGGCTGGAGGCATGATGTGATGGTGGACGATGTGGTTGTGTTGTAGAGTGGAGTCTGATGATGGTAAACAATTGCACCCTAGTTTAACTTGTCAAAGTTGCTTAGTCATAACTTTAATTTATTAACGAACCCGGATGGATATATAAGCGCCCAATAACGAAATGGACTCCTTAATACGCAGAACATTAACATCGTGGATTGGAGTCGCAGAGCACTTCAAAAATGACTGCCATTTAAGTGGTGCGCTTTCTACGCCGGGAAAATTCCCTCCAATCCAGTCTTTTCGCTGAACATCATCGGCTACAGTCAACTCAATCTCAAGCTGGAAGAACTGAAAATGGTCCTAAACTGGCACTATATGAGGCTGTTAAGCCGGTCGAACGTTTCCGCGGGGGTGCTGTCGATATCAGAGAGGGAGGCGCCCCTTTGAAAATATTAAGATATTCGCCACGTCGTCGCTCTTCGAACTCTGCTTCACTCTGCTGCACAGTTAACCATTGAGGAGTGCACCAGCATCAGAGATTTGGAATTCTTTATAGGCGGCCTGACACAGACGGCGGATGGATGTCGATGGATCGTCCATAATACATCAAGCCTCATTGCCGCCATGCACAAAGTCTTCTTTATCGGGCTCGTTGGTCGGAACATGAGACGTCTAAACTTCATGAACAAAACTCTCAAAAACAATCGAAGCCCAGGGTATTGAAATGGGATCACATCTTTGCGCCACTGCACTATCATACGCCTTGAGACCTAGATGCATACTTAGGACACCTTCTTGTGCAAAACCTATCTTGCCACGATGGCATCCCGCAAGTACATGGACAAGCTGTTCGACGACCCTGCCATTCGCAGTGGCTATTCCGCGCAACTAATTGCACGCACTATAACCACAATCCGTCCGTTTAGTGTGCATCCACATACGCTTCCTCTATTGACCGGTTGGCAAGTCGATGGACAGCCATCTCCTGGTGAACAACAGCTGTGTCTACGAGACTATATACGACATGACAGAGACTATACCATCTATATTTGGACCATTGGCAGGGTGAATTCGAGCAAGGTTTGTGGTATGAATGGAACAATGGCAGTCTATCACAGTTTGCACCACAGATGCCAATTCCTAAGTGGGCTGCCGCGTTCACTGGAGCCTTCTTGCGTGCAAATGATCCGTGGGGCGCTATGAAAATGCTTACTCGGGCTGCACTAAGTATGGATGGAAACAAAGATCTTCCTACTTTTGTGCGATTAGTTCGTGAGGAAGTAAGGTCCTGGAAGACAATATACAAGCGTGATAAGATGAAAAGCATTGTTTATATTGCCCTTGAGCATGCTGAAATGCACGGGCTCTCTGAAGATGACGGGAAGAGGCAAGATCTTGAAAATAAGGTATACCGAGCTTTCAAAAGGCTGGGTTATGCTTAGATGGTCTACCAATATGGAACCAGCTGCAAGAGAAGATGCCCGAAATGGTTGCATTTATTGTCAGCGACAGTCTTCACAACGACTACACACAGACAGATGAGTCCTTTGGACGTCAGGCCTACAAATAAAGCATTGGGCTTGTATTGCGAGTGGTGATGTATGGGGGTGCACTGATGTTTTCTTTTTTGCACTATTTTCTCTCCACCTTACTCACTTACTCTATTGGCAGCATCGGAATATTTCCCTTCTACTATCAGGTGGCTCTATATCATCTATCTCACTCACTTACTCTACGAAGCAGTTTCAAAATTATCTCCTACTACATGTACCTGCATTTCCTCTATCTTACTTACTCACTGCCCCCCTGCAGGGACAAAGAAGCTCAAGGATTATTTTCTTATACTATCATGTGCCAGAATTTCTTCTGTCTTACTTACTCACTTGCCCTGCATGGACGAGGCTACTTGAAAGTCATTTTTCCTACTATTTAGTGGTTATATTTCTCCATCTTACTCAACTATTTCACAAGGCAGCTTCAAAATTATCTTTCTCTACTATGGAACAGCTACATTCACCGAGGCAGAGGGACTATAGCTATTTCGGACAAGCATGAAGGAAATTCAGTTCCGTAGCAGGCAATTAGCTATTTTAGCTTTGCATGTTCGAAGGGAATCCCACAGAGCAGATATTAAAATCAATATTACTACCAGTACTATGAATATTTCTAGAGTGGTGGTGACGTTCAGCACTCACATTGGACCGGTGCGCTGCCGGATCCAGCCATTCTCAGCTTCATGCCTTCCCAAAGGCTTCGATAGGATCCCAATAGAAGTCAGTTATTATTGGGTGTACCCTTCCCAGCAAATCATGCTCGCTCGGAGGTACCCGTGGCGAAAAAATGAATAGTCATAGTTGTTGCAAATTTAGGGGTCAGCCACCAACAAGTCAGACACATACAAACATTATTGACGGATTTCCCCAATACAGGGAGGGTGTCGACGAAGTCTCCTCTGGTGCTCTGCCTTTCGGGTGGCAAGGCAATAAAGAGTTGTTTTTGACGTGTATTTTATGGCGCAAGTGAGGGGAAGAATGAAGGCGCCCAATGATTTCGCGTGAGGCTATATTTGTCTATCGGCGCCTGTCGCCACATCATATGGAGTAGAATGCCCAATTAAGTTGAGTAGGGGGTATAACAGTTGTGGCCACATCATACGAAAGACAGCACTATAAACAGCAAATGTGACAACTATAGCCAAGGGCGTCACTTTCACCTCTAGACTTCGACCCATATCTACCGGTGGTACAGCCTCGGAGAAAGCGTTGGAAGAAATTAAATTCCTTTTGTTGTCCCGCATCGGAGTCACTTCTACGCGCAAACGCCAGAACTGTGCGCTAAGCACTATCTCAGCGCTTCATTCTATCGACTATCGATGCGACGGCGCTGAGACAATCACAATCAGATCTATCGCGCGTCAGGCGCCAGCCGTCGGTCAGGCCTAATCGAGTATATTGGGCCGTCCCTTCGATTCTTCTGCAGAATATGTGAGGAAGGGCTAGAGCACTGTATCTGCACGCAAGGGGTCCACTGGTCCCCTAGCCCAATTTCCCCCCATCAACAAATCATCAATCACACCCACTGTAGACTAGGTAAACTAGGTAGATGGCAAACGCCCCACATCCCCCACAAGGGGTTCCAATCCTTTGAGTCCTGTGTGGCTTGTCTGCCCCGGCAGTCACAACGCCACACGGCTTGTGTTGGGCCAACTGTCACATCCGGATTGGGGTATATGTCTGACTGTTCTGTGGCTGCCTAGGGAAACTTCTCCGGTGAGGAATCCTGTAATGTGCCACCAACCGCCGTTCCGGCAGTTTCTTCAGAATGTAATGTCAAAATGGAATGCTGATGATTGGCTGGTGGCTTACATACCATACCGTAGACTCTGTTGTTCGTGGAATCCCATTCTTGGCGCTTTTCGGGATATCGATGATCGGTCGGCTCGGGTTTATAGACGGCAATAGCGGGGTACAGCACTGTACAACTCGGCTTCTTGCCCCTTGGGCCGAAAGGACGGATACTTGAGTAGAGGGGCGGGGCCTATGCGTAAATCACCTCGTAAAAAAGCGACTTTCGCAGTACAACAATAAATACAACATGGATGCTGAAGAAGGGGGCGCGGTTGCAGTGGACACCGCCAAGTTGTGCAGCGATCCACAGCCTACCGCAAATCCCTTCCGCAACCCTCTTCTCCTTCGTGTCATCACAGGACTGTACTCTTAACCCCCCCGATGCGAATCCGATACGTCGCAAATGCCCTCGATCTGGAGGGCCGTGCTGACGGAGTGCCGCGCGTGTGATTGGGTTCCATACCACTGGTAACGGTGGCGCGCGCGCTAAGGAAGCAAGCACAGCGAAGGAGTGGTCTCGGCGCATTGGGATATGCGGGTCCCCGTGTCGCCGACCGCCAATCCCCGTGCGGTGCGGACCCGACAGTTTGGGCGGGCCGCCTATTTGATGGGGGAGGGTTACACTAATGCAGGGATGGAATTGGGCCACAGGTGTATGAAGTTATACTTGGTTATACTTGCAACAAGTAAATTATGATCGGACATACAGTTCATGGTACTCACTACTCACGCTACTTAGTATGGATGGTTGATCATTTGTATCTCATCGGGATTGCTCGTACATGTACAGCGAGCACAGTGTAATTGTGCGCTGCACTGTACACTCTATAATCTACCCGCGCTGTTGGACTTCGAGCTTGGGGGCTGTTGCATTTCCACTTTGAGGGGCACTTTGGGGGCTGTATGTGATGACCAACACACATCACTGCATACCGCAGACTCCGACATTCCACACATTCCAAGCCTCCATGACTATGCACATTGTGGTTGGTGCAGAACACACCCCCTTCCCCGCGTGACGCTGATTCGCAAACTCCCCTCACTCCGCGGCCGAGTCTACGCCGAATCCACCAATCTCTGCTTCTCGATCAGCTGGCTGCGGGATGTGTCTGGGCTGCAGAAGGAGGATACGACAGCGCACTGACTCTGTACGCTGATGAACGAACCGTGGTTCTGGGACCAAGGGTGAGGTTAGAGCCTGTCGTTGCGTAAGGGGTATTGATAGATTGGAGCAGTGCATGCAGAGTACATTGCATGCGACTATGTACATTACATAAGTGAGGTGCAGTAGCTGCCACTTCCTCCAGTTTCGTTCCGGGACACCGAAATGAGCACCTCTTCTCCCCGGAGTGTCACTTGAGAATCTTCCATGGTCTCGGAAAGGCTACCTCTATCTGCCGTTTTCAACGCCCTGTTTGTGCCGGATTCGGGCCTCTGCCGGCGCTATATTCAGATTCGCGGAGTTGTGGGAAGTTAGGAGGAATGTAGGATACATTAATTCCAATGCGTTGTCCAGGTGAGTTGTGACATTGGGGTCCAAAAAATAGACCGCCGGGGTCAGAATATGTGAAAACAATCCCTCAAAGAATGGTCACTTGATGCGGCCAACGGAGATGCGGTGTATTGTGGACACCTTGGACGATCGATCGACGGTTGTTCAAGCATCAAGCATCAAGCACCAAATAATCTTCTACATTGAGTAATTCTCCTACTATCTTTAGGGGGAAACTATATCACTCATACTCTACCAATATCACGACCATGTCAAGATCCCCCTCTCCCCAGCCAGGTCAGTGGATTTGTCACTCAAGCCTCTGTCACACGGCTAAACGCACAGCCGTGCAAGTATCCCTAGCCGACCCCGTCGCTTCAATTACGTCCCCATCCAAGTGTGTGCATCTACTCCGAGCGCAAGGGAGCAAGGGACCTCCAATAAGCAAAAGACCGCATAACTTCGTAATTCAAATCTCCCCCTTCGGCGCTTATCTAGGTCAGACCGCCGCACCGCTACACCCGCTCCCCTAACCCAAATGCTGCAGAACGTCCCCCACCACCCGTCCATACAGACCCTCCATACACCGCCAGCATACAACAACAACAACAATAACACACAGCAACAGCCACCAACATACTTCCAGCGCTGTGCAACCTCGCACCTAAGATTTCCCTGAGCCCTCCTTTCCCCCCACGCCAGTCATTCAAACAGCCAGCCAGCCAGACAGGCAGCGCTGCAAGATCCCCTCCCGCATTCGAGGCAAACCAGATCCCCTCCACCCCCCCGCTCTTGCACCAGCACGTTCGCCCGTGCAACCTGACGCCCACGAACAGGGCGTCGCAGAGCACGCGTCTCCTGCTCGTGCTGTTCACCGCAACGCAACGTGTGTGCGACGTAGAGGCAGGAGATAAAAAGCAAGTCGGTGGTATTACAACCGGCGCCGTTTGAAAAGCGGCCGTGGGGGAAGGCCATGCGGGTAATCGGTACTGTTCCGTTCCGGCGTCTCTTGCGCTGCCATCGCTGGCCCACTTAGTTGTGGCAGTAGGGCGATCGGTACTAGGTCTTTCTTTGATGGGGGGAGGGTGGGGACGGGGAATGGGGGAAGATCAGGCTAAGGGATGGTGGTGTGTCTAGCGCTTGGTGACGGATCACCCCCAGAGAATGATATCCGCAAAGACCCTTGAGAGATCACCTCCATTGTAGTCCTGACAGGGGAGGGTTGGCGCGACCTATTCTTCAGTCCCACTTGCTTCGATCTAATAGCGCGGTGTCCACTAGGCGGCTTGACTGGAGCAGTACTTTGGTTTACTTTGGTCAAGGTTGAGTGCGGAGTGTGACAGAAATGAGAAATGGCACTTTAGTCGTCAGCGCGCTTCACCCTTCATTCCCGTTGCTTAACATCCATTACGCCGCATTCAATGGTACTTCCTCCTTGGCAGCCTAACCCATATCCACAGTGTATAGTCTGGAGTATCTTCCATCTTCCTTGTACCGTGTCGTGTCTTGCCTTGACATTCGGCCATCAATCGAGACTTAGCATTCACTCCTGCTGTCCGCAATGTACCTTGCTGGACTAGCTGTCGAGGCCAACAGAGCCATCGCGCATGTGCCACAAGTTCCAAATTCCTGTCATCGACTGCCCTTCGCATAAATATCCCATGAAGTTCTTCCCGTGACAATGCCCCTGTGATTCGAACTCTTTATATAGTGACCCCACTGGCCTGGTCATGAGAATGAATTATCGTTGCCAATTATCACTTTACATGAAGACTACTCTCAGCCTGACCACTTTATTATCAACATCCGTCGTCATGTATTTCAACCCGTTGCCTCCCAATGACCAAGAAAAAGGCCCGCGGTTTTCAATAAATCTTCTACTCAATCCAACCGAAGACGCCGCATCTCACCCTCTTCAGACTGATCCATCTGCTACGTCGCTACCATACCACAAGAGAGTGGCAGAAGGGTGGTTAAACTCCACCGCCGGAACTCCAGGTGGCCGCACAGCTCTCCTACCAATACGGACATCAACATCTACAACGCTTTCTCGCCCTCCTCAGAGAACTTCCGAAGTAGTACTACCACCACTGGGTTCTCTGAACCTATTGACGAGCCCGGGCCCCAAGCCTCGGCCCACTTCTTCTTCTTATCAAGACTATCAAGACCACCACCAGTTCCATCAGCATGGGAATAAATACAGGCATCGCAGCAGCCCAGGCAGCTGTAGCAGCATGACAGGGAGGTCACGTTCAACATCTCCAACTACACCTTCTCATTCAAATATTCCTTACACCCTTGAGCAAGTACACTTCATTCAGTACTACCGAGAGGACAAGAAAGTGCAATGGCAAGCAATCGTCCAGCCCTTCAAGAGACAGTTCCCGCGGGTCGTCGTCCACCAGAGCAGCAGCAACAGTCCAAAGCGTGGAAAGGGAGCTCTGGAATGCCGCTACTACCGGGCGCAAATGTACCCCAGAATCGATGACGAGGGTAATTTCGTCCGCGACCATAATAACGAATATGAGATGGTGAACATCAGAGTGCGAGATAGGCCAATCCATCCCCACAAAGCCATTCTTGAAGATTATATCAAGCTGGTAACGAGGTGTCCGGAGGAGGTACTCAAGTACTCATGGACGGACGACAAGGACAAAGCAGAGGCCAGACATATCAGTAAGTCATTATATGCCCGAAGCCTGTGTTGTTTACATACTAACCTATCACAGTTGCCAATCGTACAAGACAGGGCAGAGGGGAACTTCCAGGAGCTATTATTCGCGTTCGAACAACAACATTCTGAGGCAATTTGCCAAAGAAGCTTCCTGCCTGAGCAGCAACAACGCCTACACAAGCGTGCCCAACTATTGGCAAGGCCCGTAATATGACACCAGACACGATTTATGACCACAAATACCCCAATCACGAAGACTCCGATAACTGAGATTCCCACTTTCGTCCGTCGAGATGCCGTCTGTATATGAACCAATTGGCGTCTCGTCGTCTTTTTGTTGGTTGTTTTTTCTTGTAATACCCACCGAAATGTATCATTTGGAGTCTTCAGGAACGAAAAGGGCGCGTTGGCTACCCATCACTGTGCCATCGTTTTTGCCCAGCACCGGCACGTTTTAGATCAGGCTTATATAGTGTGCAAAGTCCCACCCAGAAACTAATTCAAGATCTAAATCTGGACAAACTCGAGTGTGATATTAAGCGCATCATTTATACAGTGATCAGTACGATTCCCCTTCCTCATCGTTCCCTTCTTTCTTGCCAGAGTAGGCCTCCATCCACGGGCGGCGGGACCATGGCTCTTTCTTGGCTTCAAGCTCATCATCGCTAAACGTAGCATCATCCTCGTCGTATTCTTCATTATCCGAGGTGTTTCTATTTCGATACTGGTACGGATTTATGCCGTACTCATCATCAGACTGTACCTCCTCGTCCGGATAGTCCGTTGAAGGGTGATTCTCCGCTATTGATCATTAGCTCAATCCTTGCATATCTGTGTCAGGTGAGGTGGGGGGACGGGGGAGGCTAAACTAACCATTTTCGTCTTCTTCCTCGTCATACGCATCACTATCGCTGTCCGAGTCGCCGTTGTAAAACTGGTCGATGTCCGGCTGGGAATCCAAAACCAGCAAGCCAATGCTCGCCTCGTTTGATTCGAGGAGAGCTTGTTCCACTGGCATGCGTATGTACGTCTCGATGATATAATTTGAGTCATCGTCGTCCACATCCATAGCTTGCATTTCGCTGTCCCCCCCAGTTCCCTGAGCAGTCACAGCGTCGGGATGGCGCTCGTGGTAGCGCAAGCCTGCACCTGCCCTCGGTTTGAATCTACTTGCAGGACTTTTGGGGGCCTCGGGTTCCGGCTTTAGCGATACCGTAACTTGAGGCTCATTGTTGTCGGCAAGGTTCTTTCTGATTTCTCTAAGCGTGTAGGCTTGCATTTCCATATTAAGTCTCTCCGTACTAGCATCCCACGGTATTATGTCCCCAGATGGAAGCCTGGCACCCCGGAGAGGAGCGGGTGAATTTCTACGGGGCTTGACAGCATTGACAGGCGTAAGGCGCAGAAGGGAGACACTCGGTTTTTTACCGAGCTCTTTGACAGGCTCCCGGCTCGTCGTGCGGTTTTGCGGTTCCGTCCTGGATACATCCAAAGGGGCGGGGATTTTCGTATCCGTTGGTGGTCCGGTCTCCGCTGCAGGAATTACCTTGCGTTCGCGAAACACCGCGATATTTGTCTTCCCAGGTGTTCTTCTTGCATTTGCACCCTCAACATTGTTATTTCCCGCTCCATACGCCAGTTTTCGAGACAGGTGGAAACGACGAGGTTCCGCAATTACTCGAGGTAATCGTGCTACGTCCGGTGCCCCTGTATCATTCGCGGGTGGCACAGCTCCAACTTCATCCTGTCTAATTGTAACGTGCCGCGTCTCCGGAGGGACAGCAGGCTGAGTGTTGCTCAGGTTTCGGCTCGGCTGGTCTCTAAATTCATCCCCTGGTTGGCTGGTTTTGACCTGTGGTGCTCTCGGGCCATTTTCTAGAGCAGATGTATATCCCGCAGAGTCTGCAACGGTGAATGCATTTGGTCGTGAGCCCTGGACGATTCGCTGTCGCTTGAATATAAACTGGCCAGCATTTCGACCCCTGGTAAGTTCATCATGCACACCTAGATAGACAAGTGTCAGCAGAAACCTTCAACTGGGTTCTGTTTGTACGAGCTTACGCAAAATCTCCACAGGATCCTCAGTGGCCTTCCTCTTGATCTGAACTCTGGTTGGAGGTAACATGGTTTGTCGTGACTTGCAGATGTCGAGAACTCCCCAGATACTCAATATGGGGTATTCTGGTAATATCTGAGTAGATTAATGTGTGAAATCTGCCCAGGTTGCAAGGTTAACTCAAAGCGACGCGATTTCCCGATTCTGTTGAAGTTGATGTTCCATAAATTTAGCGCCTATCATGGCCGCGATAAGCCTCTGACGCGCGCAATGTGGGGTAAGCAATAACCCCACCAAACAACGGTGATATCCTCAAAACAATTCCACCATGAATGAAAATTATTCATAAGGATCCCTCAAATTACTCTTTCACATGATATTATTTGTAGAGATTTATGCGCAATTTAAATAGCAATCGTTTAGCTGACAATATCAAGATCTGAGAGAATCTAGATCGGGAAGAGTGGGGTGCCGATAGACGCCAAAGCTTACTTCGATGACAGCTCCATAAGAAAGTATACTAGGATAAAAATATAAGGAATGTCAAGTCTGTCTGCATCTTTTTTTGGTTGGTATCATCTCTCTGATTAATGCGGGTTGCTGTACGTTCAAATTGTAATATTCGCAGAATTAGACATTCGGTATGATGTTATTTACGTACAAATTAATAAATTCTACTGAATTAATTCACTGTTTAAAATATAAAATATAATCCAAGAGGCAGAAGACGGGCCCATCTGCTCCTTAGAACCAAAAAATGCAAAAAGACACATCAGATTCCTGCGATTCTGGATATCTGATGAGGGAGAAAATCACTCTTTGTGATTTTGCTTTTTGGCGCTTATTTTTTTTTGTCGTTGGGAGTCGAATCCGTAACCTTTCCAAACCCTGGCCAGATTGTCCTGACAGTGGTACTTCCACTGCGCCACTGTGCCGCTATCTGGGAGGAAGACGACTGGATTTGATATATATAGCTAGCCCGGTGCTTGCTGCGTTGGTGACACCTGATTTCTGAGGGGACAATGGGCGCCTGCAAGGCCTCAGGACAAGAATGATATACATATAGTACTCGAAGCATATTGTATCAACATCAAACACGAAATTCCACACGTATAAACCGAGATTTCTAGACAGGCTTGTGGAGCTTCCAAAGCATACACCTTAATCTTCAAGTTCGAGAGCCCATACTTTGATCTTCGATAGTTGAAATTTGAAGTAGCCTTCTACGCAACCAGCAGTTGCCTATTGATGAATTGTGTGGGGCCTTCGGATACACAACGGAAATAATGCAGTACGACGCAATTCAAAACAGAAGATATCATCTGTCACCCTCACAAGCAAGGTAATGTACAATTTGCACACCAGTCAGTGCTCTCTTTATATCCGCATCAACTTGCAGCCGCACATCATCCGTGTTACGAGATGAATAGCAGCCACAGAATCTCAGCACTCCGTGATGGCTGTGCCAGCAAAGAGGCTTCCCAACTTGGGAGACACGGCTCTGTTCGAACAGGCCAAAGAGTGTTTGCATTTTCGTCATCCTGGTTTGTGCACCTATCTACACCGTGTGACCAATGACCAAAGAAAAACTTACGATAGAAGACACATACCTTTGCTATGCCGTGTCTGAAGTAAGGGGTGTAGCAAAATTGTGAGGCAGCGAGCAAACTCCTGAAACATAGAGTATTTTGACAATCAAGTGACTTTGTGGAGAGATGCACGGCTTCCCGAGAGGTTACTCAAAGCTAAGCGCCGTGGTTGATTCATGCCGACGTTGCTCAACGACAGCAGAAATGTCGTCGTTGGCAGTTGACAAGAACGCCCAGTTTCTATACGTCACACGTGATCAGACTACTTCAAATCGGACTAATCCCAATACGGAACTGACATCAATGATATGGGGTTCTACTGAGTACAACATCCCTTGATATGTATTATTTGCCAAGTCCTTGCTAATCATGAAAGTTTCGTTATGATCCTGCACTTTCAAACTAATCACTTGCAGGATAACGAGTCATATGGTGATCAATCCTCTGCTGGATTTTTTTTTTTTTTTTGCAAGTCTTCGATCTCATCTCCGATATTCCCATCCTCCTAAACACCGGGATTTATTCCTCTCAGCCATCTGACTCGTAGTCATCGTCCGCCCTTTCACCGTCCTTTATCATCTGCTCGATATATTCGACCTTTTCTACTATCGAGTCCCTAACTGAGTTCCAACTTGTAAGACCGCTCCAACTAGCATAACGCCCGTACTGATATTCCCCGTCTTTGACCGACTCTTCCCCATTTGCCTTCCACATCACCGGAGGGATGATAAAATGAAGAAATCCGTCGCACTCGGAAGCTGGTTCAATCTGAAGGACATACCCAGAATAGTCGCCATCGATTTCCTTCAATCCCCTGCTATAAAATGATCTTCAACATGTTCCAAAGGGAAATCGGATGGGGCAATGTCCTGAATGCCAGTCATGCCTCCGTCAAGGAAATGCCAACCTCCACGGTAGCTATTGTACGCCAACAATGTTAGCTTGACTCAGCTCAGTCCCCCGTCAAAACAGACTCCACACAATACTAGAACTTACCCATTCGCAATCCTGACCATGTCCTTAAAGTCGGCTGGGAGCTCCCCATGATCTTTCTCCACGGCCTCGATCTCCGCCTCTGTCGCAGGCGGAAACAAAATTTCTTCGGGATAATCAAGACCCATGCCCTTATATTCCCTGGTGTTGACTCTCCAGGCGCCCTCGGCAAGCCTATCCAATAGTTCCTCCCAACCGGCTTCTCTCGGCGTGAGTGGCAACTGCTGCCCCTTCGTCACTCGTAAGTCCACCGCACTGATGATATCCTTCACTAGTGTGTCTGCATCTTGCTCCTCAATAAAAAACGGGTTGCTTTCCTTCCCGCCTTTAGCAAGCAAGGGTAGGACATCGTAAATCCCAGGCACGAACAGGAAATCCTGTAAACTGGCGCCACTCGAACGGCCGAACCCATCCAACCTCAGCGCCATGCTCAGGATCTCACTAGCCGTATCCAATTCTCCCACTCGGATTGCCAGCTCTATGGCTAATCGCCGATATAACAGGAATGAGTGCCTCGACTCCCATGCTTGGGTAGACATGTAATCGACACCCTCCTCAATGGGAGCTTGAGGTTGCGCATAGAGCTTCATTGCGGCAGCAAGGGCCTCCCGCATTCTCTCATGCGGAGGGAACATCCCTTGACTCCCCTCTTTAGCCAGAAGCCGGGAGCACATCGCCAATATGGCAGGATTATCAGTCTCGCGCCAGATGTGCGGATCCTCAGGCTCAGCGATGGACAAGTGTTTGGGCATCCAGTCTGCGCGGCAGCATTCTCGATACTGACCCCACTGCTCCCTTGCGAGATATCCGTCCAATGTGAGCGAGTTAAACTTTAGTACAGACTCATATTGCTCTTCGCCTATGGGACGACTGAGCTTATCTTTATGCGTCTGCCAGAAATACTCCAGTACTGGAGTTGAGCCGTTGGCGGACGCTGAAGTCGCGGGCGCGATCTCATTTCTGTGCTTGTACAAGGCGTTGATAAGCTCTTGGGCTTTGTCAATATGATTTGACAAAATAAGAACGTTGGCCAGATAGAAAGTTTCGGTAACTGCAGTGGAGAGGTCACTAAGCTTCAAGTACGAGCTCACAAGTTCATATAGAGTCTGTTGGGAAGGTTCGCCCCATGCCCCATTAAACCAACTGATAGACGTCATGGCCAGATTAAACAGGAGTTAGCGACACTTCATTGGCTTGGAAAGTATTGTTCGAGTAAAATTGTCAGAAGCTGTCAGAAGCAATGATATATGAATCTTTTGAAAGTCAATTCCTGGACAGTCGCGGCTGATATCGCGGGTAGACTGGGGTTCGGCATTGTGAGGGAGGGGGAATTAGGCAGACACGACTAAAAATAGGAAATAAGGTTTAGCATATGCTCCTTAGAACGTTGGCCTTTGAACTCGAGTACTGTTGAATTTGAAATCGGCTTCAATTCGGAGCACACTCAATGGTCGATTTATAGACGGTCTATATTTGTAGATATAATATTGCTAGTACTATTATAGCTAGATGACGGCGGATTTGGCTGCTTACTTCCCGAACTCACGACACGTGTCGTGGCTCAGAACTTCTACATAAGTGGTAATCGACCTGTATTGATCCCCCACATCAGTTCAACAGAAACATTCACTCATAAAACTAGTCTACTGTAAACTCTACCATTACAACTTACTCCTACCATTCAGTCTTTATTAAAGCGTATCACAAACATGGCCACCCAAACCGAACCCGAGATCGTTCTGTATGACTTGGCCAACACCAAGAACGTCTGCTTCTCCCCAACAGTCTGGCGAATCCGTCTCATTCTCAACTATAAGCAAATCCCATACAAAACGATCTTCCTAGAGTTCCCCGATATTGAGCCTACACTGAAAGGCCTGTAAGTTATTCTCTCGCCCTTTCGCCGTCTCAACCTCCATCCTCTCTCATGTGTCTCCATCCATTCGATCTCCCCCCACTCCCTCAAATTCCTCCAACCACACCCCAAAAATCGCTCTAACACACCCCAGCGGCCTCGTTCCCGGCGAATCCCCGACCGGAGAAAAGCACAAATATACCGTCCCCGCCATCCACCACGTCCCCACTAACACGCACATCATGGACTCCACCCCCATCGCCAAGTTCCTCGAGGCCACCTACCCCACCCCAAGCCTCCCCCTAACCTCCGAGCTAGGCCGCACCATCGAGGTGCAGGCGCGCTCTGTCGTCGGGCCAACATTCCGCGCCTCAGTAGTGCCGCGCGAGATTAACATCCTCTCGCCCAGATCACAGGAGTACTTCCGCCGCACGCGCGAGGCGGCGCTGGGGCGTAAGCTCGAGGATCTGCTTGATGCGGAGGAGGAGAGCTGGAAAGCTGTTAGTGAGGGGATGAGGGGGGTGGGAGAGCTGATGAGGACGAATAAGGAGGAGGGGCCGTTTGTGTTGGGTGCGCAGCCGAGTTATACGGACTTTTTTATTGCGGGGTCGTTGCAGGCGGCGAGGGTGGTGGATGAGGGTGTTTTTGAGAGGCATATGAAGTATGTTGGGTATAAGGAGGTTTATGAGGCTTGTTTGCCTTATATGATGAAATATATTTGAGTGGGTGGCATAGCGGGGAAGTGCCGTTGGAATCTTGTTGATCGGATGGGGGATTCGATCGGTGAAAGGAGAGGGTTATAGTTCAAGAATTCAAGCATGCTCAAGTAGCCTTGGTGAATAATAATATCTCAGTGCGTACTGAATTCCAAAATGTGCTGACACAAATCGAAGTCCCCAGAAAATTCAAATCCAAATTCGATGATTTTCCAGCGCCGACCAGGGCGCCTGTATATTGCACACAGTACTAACTAGACGCCATAATGCTGTCCATGCCTTCTCTGGGTATGACCAAGAAAAACAAATAGTTAGGTAACACAGGAGAAGAAGAGAATAACCCAGAGCATCGAGATAAACCACCTCTTTCCCACAGGCCTCTACATCTCCGGCCCGCTTCAACAATAGATGGCTTAGTGATAATAATGCAATAACTTCCCAGGCAGAGGCGCGATAGATCTCTTCCTTACAGAGATACAATAGCCTTCGTCCGTCTAGAAACATAATAAATATAACCGATACCTCAGGTGCGCAGGATTAATTGATGACATGAGTAAAAAATAAAACAAAAACAAAACATGAAAAGCGCAACTCCTTGCTGACATGACATAAAAGTCGATAGTATGCACGGTGAGCGCCTTACCCGCGCAAAATCCGGAAGTCGAGGAGAAACGCCTAAAAAATCAAGACGCGGTCCTGATAGGAGCCGAAGAAGCGCAGACGAAGGAATGTCGAGAAAGTAAAGCAAGGACGGACGGTCAAGAACGGGGTATCACAAACGCTGCATACTTTGAAAGGGCTTCGTGAAGTTCTCCAAACACGGTGGATGGAACAGATGTTGCCCATACCAATACCATGTTGAGCGCAGACAGCAGTGTCCCGCTAATAAACTGCGGTTAAATATCATCGAGGTAGGTCGTCTCGTCACTCCCCCCATACGCCTCTCCACCCCAAAGTGAGAGGCCAAATAGTGAACTAACAAGGGCGCGATCAAACCCATCCCCCACGACCTCCCTCGTCACCCGCCTTAGTCTATTCAGCGTCTCTTCATCTAGGTTCTCCGGACGCTTTGGCGGCTCTGCTCCCGCGCCGTCATGGTCCCACAGTTTGAGGACGTCAAGATGGGAGGCAATGTCGGGCTCAGCGCCCATGGCTGACAGTATGGTGGCGAGTAGTGTGAGTTCGGTGCGTGAGGCGGCGAGTTTGCCGAAGAGCCAGGGGTTGATGCGGTTTTGGTAGGATTGGTCGTCGAGGCGGGTGCCGAGGTTGCTAACGATGATGGACTGGCAGCTTATAGGCATAGAGGATGGCGCGTGGGATGTTATATTTATTTGTGGTGGCGGTGTTGGTAAAGCAGGTTTGGGTGGTGTTGGTGCTGGTAATGGTGGTGGAATTGGTGTGGAGTCGTCCGAGTCATCGGAGTCGTCGTAGACGTTGGAGTCCTCGCGATCGCCGTCCATATAGTTGTCAGCCTCGTCAATAATTCCTTGCTCCAAGCACTGTGCCCTTAGCTGCTCGATTTCAACGCGATACCCGTCGATCTCGATATCAAGTAGACGAAGTACTTCAGGGAGACTATCCAGGTATTTCTGGTCGTCTTCCAACAAAGTTAGCCCGAATGGGTGGCGACTTTCTTGTTGGTCTTCAAGCCTGCCCTTGTCCTCCATGATATACGCACGCCTCTCATACAGATTGTCTTGGGAACCGCGATTCTCTTGGTATTCGATGTAAAGGGGGTGATAATTTTTCCTATATTGTTCGAAACTGCCGGTAGAATATGCATCATAGTCTGAATCGTCATTCTCGCTTTTGGCTTCATCGATGTCGCTTGCTGAGTTATGTCCGCTTTCTGATATCGGCGAAGATTGTGGTAGTGGAAGCTCTTTCATTGTATGGTTGTCTTCCTGATCCTCACCTGACTCCATCGGGGAAATGCCAAAACCCTCATATAGGCTATCCTCGGCTTGTGTCAGTTGGATCTCTTCAAACTCCAGCGCCTCTTCAAGCGAGGTTAGTTCATCATTGAGCGGTCCACATTCATCTCGGCCTGACCGAGACTCAGAGAATAATCTCAACGCTAGCTCCAATCTGGAATCGTGAACCTTAGGGTTCTTATGACGTTCGGCTGCGAATTCTCGCAGACGTTTAAAGGTCTCTTCGATTTCGGCAGAAATTTGTTTATCTTTAGCTTGTAGTAATAACTTTTGATTTTGGATATCACGGCGACGGCGACGGACATTTCGTCTCAGCTGTTGAACCCTCTGCACTTCTGTTTTGGAGGGTTTGATAAGCACCTTAGGAGGCTCTACTGAACTGAGCGAATGCGGGATCAAGGGGGTCAATTCCATGAATTCTCCTTTTTTCCGACCCTGAATACACAGCCAGCCTAACTCTGAACTCTCATTGCAGTCATCGTCGGTAAGGTTCGTATCCTTAGGTAATATGATATCAAAATCATCTTCTACAAGGGGTTCGGCAACAGGAATACCGCTGCTGGTCGGCTTTGACCCGCCAACAATCCCCCCACCGGCGCCACCATTCTCGTTGATCAGTTCTGGTAATGAGGCAGTGTGTAGCGGCCCGGTCGATGCGGTGTTGTGTTCTAGAATGGGCCTGGCGACGTGCTGCTCTGTTGTTGTCGGCTGCAGCAATGGAGAGACCCCAAAATGTTTATTTCGGCTTTCTAGGCCTCCCGGGTGGATCGGATTCGGAGTGACGGCCCCTGAATCTATAGAAATGTTAGTATCTCTCGAAATATATTTCAAACTTACCACTACGCATTTATACAGTATAATGTAGTTGACTTCTGCTTTTCGGGGCGAATCGGCATTAGTACTGTATTCTTGGCGATTGGCCTCACAAGTGGATGAGAATTCTGGCCTAAGGGGCGAAAATTATGAGAGTTATCTACCTTCATTTAATATTGAACCTGAAGTGGTTGGTTGGGCTGAGAGATCTGGCGTAGTTGGGTTGTCATCCACGTGATCCCTACACCCAAATCGCCCACTGAGAGAAAGCTTATCTTGCTCGAGGGCTCCATCATCTGATGGTGGCTCCTGGTGCCCTTCAGACATACTGGTGTTGCTGGTCTGTACCTCATTCTCTGCTGACGCCATGGAGCCGGCATCCACGCTGGGCTTACGACTCCGATCGCGCTTGCGACGCGACCGAGAACTCTTGGAGCGGTAAAAGTCCGAATCGAGCTGCTTTGGCCTCGAATTCCAGATCTTGGGCGGTTCGCGTTGTTCCTGCTTTCCGTTGCGCGGCGGCGGACATTCTATATGACTTGTCGCGCCCTTCTTTGCGTAGTTGTTTCCATTTGACCTGAGGCGGTCGTTTTCCTGGCGTTCGATCATTTGAGTCACGGATGGAAGCCCCCGTCCTGTTTCTGCGTTTGCGATGGGCGTGACTGGTCAACGTACGATTGTGCACCACAAGGTCTTACATGAAGTCGTTCAAGTGATCCGCCCTGATCGGGAGGCAGCACAGCAACTTCTGTTCAACAGAAGAGAAGACACGTATCTGGGCAAGCAGCAGGACCAAAACATAGACGCGACTCCTGAACGACACAACTCGACGAGGCGGACAGATGAAATCTGAGGGCGTAGGATCGTCGCGAAACTTCGCGAAACTCCTTTCTAACACGGGATAGGTGTCTCGAACCCCGTTGCCTCACGCGATTACGAACGTGTCTATTGATCCAAGAAGAGCCTCCGATCACTCACTTCCGCGGGACGAAGGGTGAATGGAAACTTCGTAGGGGCATGAATCTCGTCGAGGTCACACCGGTCTGCCCGCCTTTGTGCACCCTCGTTTTTCCGTTGGCTGTCGTTCCAAGGAGTCCAGATGACTATCTGCTTGTCATGTTGGGGCACAGTAGTACAGATCATTCTACTAATACATATTATTGCTGGATAGATGATATCGGCTAGCAATGCGTCGAGTGTTGATACGCGAGTGTTGACGCTAAGGGGCCATCTACATAGGGACTGCAAGAATGCGTTGGTAACCAACGGATGATATGAACGTGCCATCCAAGGATAATTGTGAGCGGCTTAGTGATTGGTCCCGTAGAGGCCACAACCTGGATGTGAAGGGCGGTCATTTCCGCCATTTGGAACCGATCTCCAATAACCGTACCGGGTACTTGGTGATATGCCTCCCGGTTTGCCGCCTCATTTTGTATTCAGTACGTTACAATGTGATACCGGCTCTAAGAGTGGACGATGGCGGAAAGCACGATGGGGCCACATGTACTTTATACCTATACTGCTTCAAACATTTCGCCGACCGGTGAGCAAGGGGTCCCTACAAGATACAAATTTTCCATTGGTCCCCAGCGATATTCAAATTTGGAAATATCTTTAATGTTTTCTATTGGTTAATCTCAAGTGGGTGTGGAGGAATCACCCGCCCGCCCGTCACCCACATCCCGCAGCGGCCGGTCTGCCTCCTTGGGTCATCTTATGCTAAATTTGCCTAACACATCTAACACATCTAACACATAAATGTACTTTATGCATCCGCGCAATGTTGTATGCATGCTCTCCTATATCCCTACCTCACCTCCCCCACACTTCCTACTATATCACTACCTGCTCCAACATTCCCAACCATACTTGGGCATAGTATGGTGCTGCCACTATAATGCAGGTATATCTTAGCCTTAAAGGGTTCATTGTCGTCATATGCGTGCCCAACCTTCTCTTCATGGGCTTGCAGCTTACTGCTTGCATGCATTAGCGTGAGCCCAACATTCATTCGTCTCTCTATCTACCATGTGAGCAAACAGCAACAGCAAACATTCTGGGGTGTTGTCAGAATCGGGTCGGGCCCCTACCGGCCTATCTTCTTCCCCGCAGTGTCAGAGGAAGCATTAATCGGCCGAAGCGAAGGTTGCGTGGTGAAGGCACGGGAGGATGTCGTACATACCGCATTTGTAGCGCGGATCTCAGAGATTCGAAAGAGCCTCAATCTGAAAATAATCTGGCGAGATGGTGTCCAGAGGCACTTAAAGCAGCCCTTTTCCCGTACGGTGGGTCGTCTCTCATATCTCCATGTGAGAAACTACTCATCTTGCTATTTGCACCCATTACTGCACTCTACTTTCTCAAACCTACGGACATGGCTGGGGGAAGACCCAAGAAGGGTCGTAAAGAGAGCGTCGCTACTGGTTGGCTCGGATGGGAGTATGACTATGATAAAGGGTGCTATGTCAACTCTAAAATCAACAGCGATGGAGGTAAGGACGGCTCATCGACCTTTGAATTATTAGGTTCTCTGCGGATGCTAACACTATTAAGAGGTCGTAACTATGGATGGGGGACCGTGCCCTCCCCCTGTAGCACAAACAGGAGGCCTGGAAGAACGCCTAGACCAATTCAGCCTTTCTCCGGATGAGCCCCAGGTTGAGGGAGATGAAGATGCTGCTCAAGAGGAACATATGTTGCCATCTTCGAGTGACATCGAATTTCAATCGCCCCAGCCCTCCGATGGGAGATCAGCAAGCTATCCGCCTTTTTCTTCCAGCCCAAACTCGTCTCTATACTCTCAGAGGCCAAATGGTGACCACAGTAAAATGTTCACAGTTGCCGCCCCCGGCCTTGAGGATCAGACGTATGATCCCAATGCATCCGAGATTGGCATGGCTCCATCTGAAAACATTGCACCCCAGGGTCAAACATACCCAGCTTATTCTGTTGCCAGTTACGGAAGGCCCCGATCCGGAACTGCCTTGTCTCAAAACTCAACAGGCTCATACTATCCTCCCATCAACTACAGGACAAACACCATCGATGAGGGAGGCGAATTGCTTGGAGACCCCGTAGCCCGATCCTATGACAGCACTTCCCAGCCTACCAACACGAATTTCGGAGGACGCCTCCCCCCAACGGGGCCTGCTAACAATCAACGGCGTAACCGTGGAGGTCGCAGATACAGTGGCCACACGAATGCCAGTCTCGTCGAAGCAAAGGATACGACGACGGAGTTTTCATCCAAAAGCGGGCTGTGGGAAGGCAAGCTACCTACCTTATGCGCTAGAAATGCCATATTAATAATAATTAGAGTTCAAAATTGCACACTCCAGCGAGTTCAAGGAAAGACGTGTGCGTCCCCTAGCCCACTGGTCTAATTTGACTGCTAATAGCGGCCTAGGTATTTAAAGTCGTGTGGACTGAGCCAAACGGCGTTGACCCTAGGGAAAACTACAGCAGCTTTAGCAAGGTCACTGCAAGTAAGCATGGCGAACTGGCATATACCTCGATCCGACGTTTTGTTGTTTGGAAAAATTACGATGGTCATGCCATTTGTCTGTGCGTCTTCCGGCCATTCCTATCCTTTATCCCTACTAACATTTCAAAGCCCAGTCCTCACCTATCGCGGTAAGGGCACGGCCAAGCCCGGCATCAAAGCTGCGCACCATGCCATCATCTTCACCGAGTCTAAATTGGCCAACCGTAGCATCAAACACCCTCCTCGCGAAACCAAACCCGAGAAGAAGCTAACCAACGCACCCATCTGCGTCGAACTGATGGACCGGCGAGAACAGCTCGACGTCATGTCGCGGCTCAACTACGCAAAGGTGTACACAGTTGAGCATAATGTCAAAGTCTGCTTCATCGGGAAGATCCACAAGGATTCAGTGAAGGAGTTCAAGGCGACGTACAAAAAAATCCAAAAAGACGTTGATTCCCCACCTGAGTCAGCGGTGGACGATGAAGTAGGCGAAAGCTACAACGGGGCCGGGGTAGAGGGAGAGGAGAATCTCTATCCAGATAACAGAAGATAACAGATGATGGCCCCCCTATATGCGCCACACGCGCGTCTTCGGGGGTTAAGGCGGTCCACGGACTTCGCCTATTCATACGTTCGTCGGCCTTCCGCTCGCTGAGCTGGATGAGCTGGCGCTATTGTGGTCGAGGGACCAGGAGTCCCACATGGATCTGGAATCTCCCAGGGACCACGTCGATGCGAGAGCCGACCTTTTAGGGGTTAGGTTTCCTCCATTGACTATTCGTTACGTTTTGACGAGTTGGGGCTGTTTTATCAGCTCCTCGGCTCGTTGTGATTTTACGGCCGTTTTCGCACGGCATTATGGTCTGTTACGCGCCTTGACGGCACCAACGATTTATTTCATGATTCTCCGGCCTGTTTTTCATTGCGGGAATCTTTTATACGCCTCGACGGCAATTCGAATTACTCGCTGTGCGATTTCACATCCTATTTCCATCACGGGGATTTACTACACGCCTTGACGGACCTGCACACAACTTACGATTCTCACTTTCTCACTCTACACCTGTTATACGCACTTTCTCACTCTACGCCTGCTATGCACCTTCCCAACCTTTGGCCTTCACGACTTCACGGCCGCCACAACAACGCCCAATCTCACATTTATCCCACCTCTTCATTTCCAATTTATTCCTTTACACACGAGCCAGCACTCTGGGCACGCTGCAGGGATCAGATCAGCTACTGGTAGTTTCAGCCACCAGCCCAGAGGATCAACGACAGATTCAACCAGATATCAGAGAATCCATCGACAGCAAATTCAACCAAATTCCAGGGGATCAACGAACAACAGATTATATGACAGGGGCAGATTGGGTGGGAGGATGGATATGTTTATTTGATATTTACTTGCTTGCTTTCTTTGGATATATGGTACGGGCGACGAGAGATGGGATACTCGTGTAGCCAGTTTTATGTATTTAGTTTTTGAGTGTTGAATTTATATTGTCATTGCGCTTGTGTCTTGCCACATGTATGAGATTTTGATGAGCAGTTAGTCTTCTGTAACCAGGGCGGAAAATACAGTCCTACCTCCCCAGCATCTCTTACAACCCCATCCCCTATTGACGCTAGAATATATACCAAGTCGCGTGGGGAAGAGAGCCTCACCACAATGCATTCGGAGCTACAACTGCAAAAAATAGAAAGGAGACGGAGATATGAATTAAAGTCTGAAGATGTCAAGAAACATCAACAACACGAAAGCTCTGGCGTAGATTTACGTATCATGGAGATGATTCAAGTCCAGCATTTCCATACTGGACATGCTGTTCCTGTCCACCCGCCAGAGTATCTAGCTGAATTCGAGTTATTATATGTAATACCCCTGAGTGCTGATGTTACACAGATATTATTGACATACAGACTATACCCTCTTCTATGCCGATTCGAGGCTGTTCCATTGCGGATGGGGCTGGGAGGATATGATAGAACGGACGCAATGTCCAGTCTGGGTTAACGACAAAATGATCTCGATGAGTTCTTGTCGTTGATGGATTCTTGCCACCGAGGACACCTCTCTGTCACCTACACCTTCTTTACGCCATCGACCCTTCTCACAGCCCTCTCTCACCACACTACTCTCCCAACTCATCCGCCCCTATCTTTAATGCGCGAGTCGCCACCCACGTCTGGTCGTCGAGGCCGATGGCCAAGATGAGAAATTGGAAGCAGAGAGAAATTGCTTCTGGTGCTGGTTCTGGTGCTGGTTTTGGTGCGGCAAAGGTTTATAAGGGCTGCCTCAGATGAACAATAAATTAGGTTATCATCATTCCACCACCCAGCCCTCTCTCACTAGAGCAGTATGGCACGACCAGCCCCCTCGTGGTTGGGGCCAAGCAATCTGGATACCCCCGAGAGTGCAGTGGCTAGTTAGTTCCTTCCTTTACAAACCGCGTTGCCGAGAGAGTCGCTCCTTCCTTTCATACCTCGTAGTTGAGGGAGCCGCACCTTCCTTCGCAAATTTCGCAATTGATAAAGTCGCACCTTCCTTTGCAAACTTCGTAGTTTCGAAGGTCGTACGTACCTTCCTTTGTAAATCTCGTGGTTTTAAGAGCCGCGTCTTCCTTTGTTACTCGAGTGGTCGAGAGAGTCGCACCTTCCCTTGCACCCCCCAGAGTGGGGGGGTAGCACCTTCCTTTGCAAACGTCATGGTTGAGAAAAGTCGTACCTTCCTTTGCTACTCGCGTGATTGAGAGTCGCACCTTCCGTTGCAAACCTAATCACTAAGAGGAACGCACTTTCCTTTCTAACTTGTGTGGTAAAGAAAGTCGCAGCTTTCTTCGGAGCGACGTCGAAAGTAAAAAAATGGTAAGGCTCCTTCGCAACGTTGAAAGTGAAAAATGGACAATGAGGAGCATGAAATGCGCTTACAAGACTCTGGAGATGAATGGACTTGCCAGTAAATTCATACGTTCTGTTCGGCAGTATAATAACCCCATTTCAGGATCTGATGTGACCCTGTTTAGGTGTTCTACTTGCCGGTTTGATGGATCAAGAAGAGCCATAGAACCTTCAAACGACCCAAAGAAAACTACAACGCCCAAACCCGTGAGTTTCAAAAGGCTGCGACTGCCTTCGCCAACCTGCCCGAGGAGGACGACGGCCAAGAAATACGCGAATCTCTGAAAGGAGTCCTCGACGAATTCCAGACCCTCCGCAAGATACTAAAAACATGAACAACTCACCTAATATGCTGCTCTTGTGTGTGGGCGGAGTTGTATGTTGTTGTTGTTGTTGTTGTCAATACCCTCCTGTCATCGCCGTCCTGTCGCCAACGAGTTCCTGTCACCGTCTCCCTCCTCTCCTGCGGGCAGACAAGCAGACAACTGGGCTCGAGTACATAGAGGAGTATAAAGACGCATACGAGAAGTCGTATGCGTCCTTATACTCCTCCATGTACTCGACGATGTCCAATGCGTCGCTCTTCGTAGGGTGCTGGTTCAACTGATTTACTACGTAATTTGCGTAGATTCCTTGCCATCTCATCGGGTATATCCTCGTCAACGACTCCCCCCACCGTCTCTCACCACAGCACCACGACATGACTAACCAACCTCTCTACAGTATCACATCGAAGTCTGACTCTGGCTCGGCATTGTCTCTTTCTCTCTTTGGGCCATAATATGTCATAAATCCCGGGCAAACGCCTTTCTGATCGAAGGGCCGCCTGCCCTTTCTCTGGCGAGAGGTGGCAGCCATAATCCGAGAGGTGATGGTCTCGGCGTATGGGGATATCAGCGCAAAGACTGATGGTATTGATAGTTACACTCAATACCGCTACTACAATAACTAACGCCGCAGCATATGGCACTTAGAGTCGCAGAGCCCCGATACGGACTGTGAGAGGGATGAGGTGTTTTGGTTTTCGGGATCGGGAGTGGGAGTGAGAGGGGTATATTTAAAGGGTCGTTTGGAGGACGGATGGAGAGAGCGGCTACCGCCATTGCCGCCCCTCCATCCTTCGTCGGAACGATCCCTGGATTCGTGTTATCGGTATTAGCATTCTCTTGCGACTGTTTGGTATTGATTTTATCTTGGTCGTAGGGGGTCCCTCATCAACTTCTAGAGCTGGTTTCATCTCCATCATGGAGATCTCTCTCCTCCACGTCTTGGATGCGTTTACTACATCATCGGCAGATTTCTCGGGCTTTTGCCGTTCTATACATTTCTCAATCATGAGTTATTAAGTTTGCATTCTCACAGCTGCATATTCATACAATACCAGTGATCTGTCGTGGTCTCCCACACGTGGGTAAACTCCCCTCTCCTGCTCGTGCCCAATATGCAAGACGCGTCGAAACTCCACCTCTCGAATCGCCACTGCCTTCCACTTGAACAGTACAGTAAAAGTAGTACGTACGTACATGAAGCGGCACATAACACACAAACCAACTCGATCGATCCTCTTCTGCAGCATCTTTTTCAGCTGCACATGCACATCGTACACACACTGCATCCCGCTCGCACTGGCACATGCATATCGCCAGTGTCACATGCTAATCACCACACCCACAGCCAAGGTGTCAGCGATAAGAAACATCGCCCCTATCCGATAAGGACCATCATCTGTATACGTACCATCCAAATTTCTGTTGAACACAAAAACACCCACATGCCCCTTCTAGACGACACCTCAGACTCCTCCATCGCGCTAATCCAAAGTTAGTATAGTTGGCAAAATCCACTGACAACGAATTCTCGAATTGGGGGGCGAAGCAAAGAGACAAGGGGGGGGGGGGTTGGAATAGCGAGGAGGAGAAGAACGACGCCAATTTTCTCGCTTCGTGTGCATGTATTGGGTCCACTAGTGTGAGACTAGGGCGAAACTAGTGCGAAACTTAAATTTGGGGGATTTTTTTTTTTTGCTGGCTGCGGTGTGAGGGGATGGATAAAGGGGCGGTAACGATAACTCCAATGGGGAATGGGGGTTGTTAGCACGTGATTAAACTGAGGAAGAGAGAAGAGGGATAGAAGAGAGATGAGATATTTAATAAGGGGAAATCAGAAAAGGGGTACATCTAATTACACTGTGTCTCCAACGCCAATCTCAAGTACCAAAACATGGAAGAAATCGAAATTCCTTCGGTTTGCCAATCCGGAGCTCGCCATACGAAGGAACTTCTTACTTACTATACGCCAGTACCACTAGACCCTTAACCCTGGACATTCTCCAACTCGTTCCTGTCACGCTAACCCTAATCCAGTAGCCACTAGCACAGAAATAGAAAGGAGCGGTCGCCGCTAGCACGTGGGTTTCAACGGGAGATTTCATATGGCGGCGCGGCGGCGGCTTTTTTTCTCCTTCTCGCCTCATCGGCTTCTCCATCTTTTTTTTTTCTCCTGTTTGTTGTTTATCCCGCTAGCTGGAGAGTACTGGACTACTGGATGAGTCTCCTACTGGATCACCATGGAATTGATGGTACGTACGTACGGAAATCTAAGGAGAGGAGATACACAGATGCATTGGAATGGAATGCAACTGAAACTACTACTGAACAAAAAGCTATATTCATTATTACTTATCTATACGAATCTGAACATTATTGGCGACGCGGTCATACCGCCGTCCATACTTACTCCTTTACTCCTATCATATTTATCCATTTTCTTGTTGAGGATCCAACCAAACTAGCCTTGGCAGCCACAAAACACCGCCGTGGAGAAATCTCAATCTCGACGCGGCAATGGGACAGGCACTAGACTGACTCTCCCCTCCTCTACGGAGGTAGTCTAACTAACAAACCTTGCACCGCTGGGAGATCCTCTAGCTCCCCGAGAGAGAAAAAAAAGTGCCTGAGAGTACGCAGGCCTAACTGCAATCTCCAATGGCCCCTCCATAATCTGCCTGTTGTCCCTTCGGTAAGCCGCCCTCCCTCCCAGCCCACCCAGTCCTTCGCCCGCCCTTGTGGATCACTGTGGAGAAAGGAAGTGTGCACCCATCGGCCATCCATGGGCTCCTGAATCTGAATCTGCTTGTGCGTGTCCGGTTTATAAGACCCGCCCCTACCCCACGCCGCCATCTTGATGAACTTTTGACACTTTCTCCCCCTTCCTCCCTCCTTCCTCCACATCCCCCTCCCCACCACTCTCGCCATACAACGACGAGAGTCCGCAATCATGGCTGCCGCAAGACGCTCCTCCGATGCTGCTCCCTCCAAGGAGGGAAAGCACATCGACCAGAACGGCCAGGTCTTTGAGCTGCCCACCTACACCATGAAGATGATCTACGACGCCATCCCAGCACACTGCTTCCAGCCGTCCATCCTCCGCTCCATGGCCTACGTGGTGCGCGACTACTTCTACGTCGCCGTCCTCTGCTACGCCGCCTCCTACATCGAGTACATCCCCAACGCCTACGCGCGCGGCGTCGCCTGGGCCGCCTACTCCGTGCTCCAGGGCTTCGTGTTCACCGGGATCTGGATCCTGGCACACGAGTGCGGACACGGCGCTTTCAGCAAGAACAAGAAACTCAACAACATCATGGGACTTATCATGCACTCCTTCCTCCTCGTCCCCTTCCACAGCTGGAGAATCAGCCACAGCGCTCACCACAAGGCTACCGGTAACATCGATAAGGATACTGCTTTCGTGCCACACCTGCGTGAGAGCTGGGTTAAGTCGTACCAGGGCCCGGACGCGAATGTTGAGTCCGTGGAGCTTTCGCACCTTGCTGAGGACGCCCCTCTCGTCACCTTGTGGGTGTGCATCAAGCACCAGCTTTTCGGGTGGCCAGGGTACCTCTTCGCCAACTTGACTGGACAGAAGTACGATAAGGGATTCCCGCAGTTCTCGCACTTCTACTTTGGAGAGGATAGCGTGCTGTTCAAGAAGGAGCAGTTGCCTTTGATCATGCTCAGCGATGCCGGCGTTGCTGCTATGATTGCCCTCCTTGTTGTTGGTGGACAGATGATCGGAAGCTGGAACATGGTTCTTTACTATATGATCCCCTACCTCTGGGTGAACCACTGGATTGGTTAGTCCCCCTACCCCTACCTACCCCTACCTACCAAACCAAAACACAAGCTAACCCCCACCCCCAACAGTCGCAATCACCTTCCTCCAACACACCGACGGCAGTCTCCCCCACTACGACAACAACACCTGGAACTTCGCCCGCGGCGCCACCGCCACCATCGACCGCGACCTCGGCTTCATCGACACCCACCTCTTCCACGACATCATCGGCACGCACGTATGCCACCACCTCGTCTCCACGATCCCCTTCTACCACGCCGGCGAGGCCTCGGACGCCATCCGCAAGGTGATGGGGACGCATTACCGCGCTGACCGCGCGACGCCGTTCATGTGGGCGTTCTGGAAGAATCAGAGGGCGTGCAAGTTTGTGGAGGAGACGGTGGAGGGGAGTGGTGTGTACTTTTACCGTAACCTTCACGGGACGGGAGAGCCGCCTAAGGATTTGACCGGCGGAAAGGCCCAGGAGGCCGCGGAGCTGGTGGTGGAAAAGAAGGCGACTACGACGACTGGTGTTGCGGCGGCGTCGCAGGCGAAGAGGAGGTTGAGCCACTCGGCGCAGATGACTGCTAAGGCGTTGCCGATTTTGGTTGCGGAGTAAGAAGGGGACGTTGTGGAACGTTCTCTTTTTTGCTCTGTGGTTGATCGCTGGCGTCGAGTTGTCGGCGTGTATTTGTACGATATCTACCTCTCCGCCTCTCCCCACGCTTTGGGACGCACAACATACATACACCTTTTCGACATACAAAATTTTGGATATCCGACAAAAATACCGTCATGATTTTCTTTTTATAGAATCTTTCTTTTCCTGCTTTTCCGTTTTTACTTTGGAATAGAGAGGCATAGAGGCGAGACGAGACTTAGACAAAGACGCTCGGTGCGGTTGATAGACGACGAAAAAGAAAAGGAGAGCTGGATTAGAAGAGATGGTGTTTTGGTGGATAGAGGAAAAGGGGGGAGAGAGAATAATACATACAATGAGATACCCTAGTACCCATCACATCCCGTCTCTATCTGTGCAAGTGATCTGTAAACCAAGCTGTGAGGCCAACATCATCCACCATCAATAATCACAACATGCAGGTAAGAAAGACGAGGTTAAATAGCAAAATATGCTTGGTATTTTATCGAACACATCCCCGGCAATCTACAAAAAAAAGCTAGCTTGCATACACATCTCCGCCCCGGTCGGCGCCAGCAAAGTAACTAAAATAGAGCATCGACATTATTTCATTACGCCTCCAACTCCAACTCCCGCATATCCATCCCTCCATCCCATCGTAGCACCCCCCCCTCCCCAACCAACTTCCAGCAGACAGAGACAGGGACGCAGACGGTGCTCTAAGGTTTCTGCCCCTCCACAAACTCCAGCGCCTTCTCCCTACTAACCGCCTCCACCCTACTCGTCTTATTCGCCCCAAACATAACACCATACGTCTTATCCGCCACCAACACCATCTCCGGTCTGAACGTCGTACAGATGAACTGACCGCTCATCACGCGCTCGCCCTCGGCAAGGGTGCCGGAGGCGGCTTGGGATTGTTGGGCGCTGACGGCTGCGAGCATTTGGGCGACGGCGGTGCGGTATTGGGCGTCGAGGTTGGCGTCGATTTCGTCGAAGAGGTAGAAGGGGGCGGGGTCGCATTGTTGGATTGCGAAGACGAGGGCGAGGGCGCAGAGACCTTAAGAAAAAAAGTTAGATTTGAATTCCATACCAAAAAAAAACCAGCAGACTGGGTGGGTAAGGGGAAGGAAGGAAAGGGGGAACTCACTCTTCTGCCCACCACTAAGCTGCTGAATCCGCTGCTGCTCATCATGCTTACTATTAAACGACACCGAGATCCCCACACCCGTGTAATTCTCCACCCCCTCCCCCGCACCCTCCTCTTCATCAAGATTAACATCCGTCTTACGCTGGATGACCAATCTCCCCCTCCCCGCAGGCACAAGGCGCTCAAACACGCCCGCGAACTCGCGCGAGACCTGCTTGAATGTGCGCTCGATCGCCTCGTCCTTGCGCTGATCAAGTACAAGGACGAGCTCCTCGATCGCGCCCTGGCTGGCTTCGAGTTCCTTGCGGCGCTTGGTGAGGGTCTCGCGCTGGGCGGTGAAGGATGCGTATTGCTCGAAGGCCTTCTTGTTGACGTGTTTAAACGCCTTCAGTGCCTCGTTGGCGCGCTCGAGTCGCTTGGCGACTTGCTTACTCTCCATGCGGGAGAAGCGCTCAAATGCCTCTTCGGGGAGGACGCCGAGGTCGCGGATATTCTTCGCGCACTCGGCTGCCAGGGCTGTGAGTTCCGCTTTCTTAGAGATGCTACGATCCATCTTCTTCTTCACCGTCTCCATCGTCTTCGCGAGCTCCTCCTGCTGCGCCTCCTTGGCAGCCTGTTCGCGGCGCAGACGCGCGGTTTCCGAGTCCACGCGCTCGATCTCGGATTCGTTCGCGGCGAGCTTGGCGTCGACGGCCGCGGCGGTCTTGGTGATGCGTTTGAGCTCGCGCTGGGCTTCTTTGAGATCGTGGGAGTCGCCCGAGGCGCTGGCGTCGGCGTCTTGGTTGTTGAGCTGGTCGAGCTTGAGGCGGAGGTTCTCGCGGATGTCGATCTCGAGGAGGTTTTTGCGGTTCTCGAGTTTGCGGCGGGCGGAGGAGAGGTCGTTCCATTGGCTGCGGAGGTCTTGGACGGAAGAGTTGAGTTCGTCGAGCTGGGCCTCTTCGTCGGAGGTGAGGGCTTTCTTGAATTCCGAGGCTAGTTCGGCGTCGTAGGCTTCGGTTTGGTCGCCGAACTGCTTGAGCATGCCGTCGACGGCGTCGCGGCCGCGCACCTTGCTGTCGAGTTGGTCTTTCTTTTGGTCGACGTGTGAGTCTTTGTTGCGGAGCTCAGAGCGAAGGGGGTCAAAGCTGTCGTCGAGTCGCCTCAGGCTCTGCTCTAGTTTCTGCAGGTCGCCCATGGCGGCGGTTATCTCCTGGTCTTTCCGCTCGATTTCGCGTCTGAGCTCTGTCGCGCGAACGCGGTGGCCGTCGTACTCCTCACGCCAGCGCTCGGCGGCGCGGACAGCTTCAATGCGGGATTTGCGCGGGTCGATGTATCCACCGGTCATAGCACCCTTCTTGTTGGCAGTGTCACCGTCAGTAGTAATCGCGTTCAGACCGTGGCTGCGCGCATACTGGCCAGCAATGGTCAGGTTTGGGCAGATGATGGTCTTGCCAAAGACTTGTTGGAAGGCATTCTCGTATCGCGCGTCGTATTTGATCTTGCTCAGCATCGGGATTGCGTCGTTGGCTTTCGGGAAATTTGCAGGTCGTGGGCGGAGTTGGGATAGGGGCATAAATGTAACTCTTCCACCGTGCTGGTCGTAGAGCGCCTTGGCTAATTTTGTCGCCGTCGCCTCATTGTCCACTATGTAGTGAAACAAGCTGTTCCCGGCCGTCTGTTCAACTGATATACGGTAGTTTTCACCAACTTGGAGAAGTTCCGCCACGGTCCCGTAAGCTCCTGAGATGTTTTGTTCCCTCTTCAAGCGTCTGACGGTGGCAAGACCCCTTGCAGTTGCTCCGTCCATGGAATGTGCAAGGTCTTGTTCAGCCCTGTTCATCTCGCGGCGAGCATTTTCAGTGATGGACTCGAGTTTGTCGTCTTCACGACGAAGGACTTTTCTGTCGTCAGACAACCGCTCAAGAGCATCCTTTGCATTGGTGACCTGCTCAGTGAGCGCTTGTCTGTTACCACCCCAGCCCTCCAACCTTTCGCGCAGGCCACTGATTTCCTTCTCGAGGCCTTTGATTTCAGTCTGAACAGCCTTTACATCCTCATCGGCATCCATGCGGTTTGCCTTTTGGGTGGCAAGGGTGTTATTGAGTACTTCAATCTCTTTTCTAAGCCACTTATCACGCTCGGCTTTAGACTTAAACTGGGAATTACGGCCTTGTTTCGACAGAAGGCGTTGCCTGCTAGCATCTGAAGCATCCAGAGCAGATTTCACCTCGACCTCCTCTGCTTTTGCTTTGTTATAGTCAGGGATAATCTTCGCAAGTTCGGCGTCTTTCTCCGACATTTCCTTCTTCACGGCCTGCAGCTCCTGTTTTTGGCGTTGCCGCGCTTGTTCGGAGGCGGACTGGCCATCTGCGAGTTTCTTGACCTCAAGCTCAACCTTGGCTTGGGATCTTGCCGACTCTCGGCGATCTTCTTCCAGTTGACGTCTGTCGATCTTGAGCAGCTCCATTTCGTTGCACAACTGTTTGACCTCATCTTTAAGAGCTGCGAGCTCGTTCTCCCCATCGATGAACGCTTCTCTGCTCTCATCCATGTTATCTGTGCCGCCCTGGCGGAACTCTTCTATCTCGTCAAGGCGCTCAGCTATTTTGACTTGCTCTCTGTGAAGCAGGGTGTAATCGAGACATCTCCTTTCTTTGTCCTTGTCTTGGTATCCCCTCAGTTCTTCCTTCTCTTCTTCAAGATCCTTCAACCTGCTCCTGATGTAGTCGAGAAGCTCATCGATCTTGTCGCGCTTGTTTTTGGTCTCAGTCATGATTTTGAGCGATTCTGCTCTTCTAGCCTCATAAACTTGGGTTCCGGCGACCTCCTTCAGCAGGGTAAGGCGTTCCGTATCCTTCATATTCGTCAAAGTCGTAACACGGCCCTGAGGAACAATGTAGTATGGGTTAGATCGAGAGAAACCGGCCGATTCAAGTAGATTCATAACGTCGGTCTTCGTCGCATTCTTGCGATCCAGAGAGTATTCATCCTTCTTCAGCCCAATTGTCCGCCTCAGAATCAATTCGTCCTTGCCAGTCGGGAATCGGCCATCCTCGTTATCAAAAATGATCTCCACATACGCTGACATCACAGCTGATCCGGAACCTTCGTGAAGCAGAGCCTGGCGCTCCTCCCTTCCCATCTGCGTGTACGCATCGCTGAGTACGAATCGAATGGCGGCGAAGAAGTTGCTCTTTCCGGAACCATTGCGACCAACAATCACATTGCACTTTGGAGAGAAAGGTTCGATGACGGTTTGTTCCTTGTAACTGTCGCATCATCAGCAATGATATGCGATCATTATGTTCCATAAATCATACCTCTTGAACCCTTGGATGATGATCTGCTTGATATGCATCTTCGCGATGCCCCAAGCGCCCTACGAGCGCACCGGTTTAAATATCTCGAGTATTTGGGCGCCAATCGCATGTAAAAACAAAAATGTGTTCTTTCTATAATCTCAGATATTCGAAGGTCGTGAGGCAGTGGCTGGCGTTGGCATTATTCGTCCATTAAGTCGAGGCACGGATTCATCTGTCGCATCGCGTCGAAGTGGAGTTGGACGCGACGGGGTCCCGAGTCAAATTAGCGCGGATTATTTTGTCAGGTCTCACCGCCTATCGATTACAGATTGGGCAAAAAATAATTACTGATAATGATTCTAACCGTACCCAACGTTTGTTAAGATTTCTACTCGAAATATTTTCAACTGCCACAAAACTATTGAGATATCTGTATATCTCAGTCATGGCATCTACTCCGGCAGCTGGGCAAGCCCCAAGCCATACCTATGTCCCAAACCAGGGCTATGAGGCTACCCCGCTAAACCCAGAAGATAACCCCGCACGTGCGGCCGCTTTGGAGGGGCAAGAAGGCGAAGAAGAGATCGAGGAAGACGAAACCTACGACGATATTTTCGACGAAGATGAGGGTGCTTTGGATGATCTAGACTGGGACCCCAATAGCTCTGATTTAACAAAATCTTATAACCGCCAGAGACAGCTACACTCCAACTCCGCGAACCTCCCGAAAATAAACTCACAATCGAAACCGATAGTAAACGCCAAAGCCAGCGTTGACGACCAAATTACGAGTCTCACAAAGCATGCTGCGAAGATTCGCCTCGATGGAGGCACGGGAGGTCTCAGCAAGGACTCCAAGAGTCATGAGAAGGACAAGTCAGACCGTGCAACCAGCGAGCAAGTTCTCGATCCCCGCACACGAATGATTTTGCTGCAGATGATCAACAGAGGTGTTGTCTCCGAAATAAATGGCTGTCTCAGTACTGGAAAGGAAGCCAACGTTTACGGCGCCCTTTCCGTCTCACCACCTACTGCCGAAGACCCAGAGCCAACCCCTCTGCACCGTGCCATCAAGGTGTATAAGACGAGCATCCTGGTTTTCAAGGATCGCGATCGCTATGTCACCGGCGAGCATCGCTTCCGTGGCGGTTACAACAAGTCCTCGAACAGAGCCATGGTCAAGGTCTGGGCAGAGAAGGAGATGCGTAACCTAAGGCGCCTGTTCGCCGCTGGCATTCCTTGCCCAGAGCCGATATACCTTCGCCTGCACGTGCTCGCCATGGAGTTTCTTGGTGATAAGAAGGGATGGGCTGCACCCCGCCTGCGTGATGCAGAGATGCACGGTACGGCTGATGAAGTGGATGAGCGCTGGAGAGTACTGTATCTTGAACTCGTGGGTTTGATGGCGAAGATGTATCAAGTCTGCAAGCTTGTACACGCTGATTTATCCGAGTACAATGTGTTGTATCACAATTCAAGACTTTTTATTATTGATGTCTCGCAGAGTGTAGAGCATGATCATCCGAGATCGCTGGAGTTCTTGCGCATGGATATCAAGAACGTATCAGATTTCTTCAGACGCAAGAACGTCGACACGCTATCGGAGCAGGCGCTCTTCAGTTTCATTACCACCGGACCTTATTCCGATGCCACAGTTACATCACGCCTAGAGGCTCTTTTCGTGGCCAAGGCCAAGGGCGAAGCGGAAGACGAGGCGGCGGGTCTCGCAGGAGATGCTGATGAGGTTGCTGCCAGGCAACAAGTCGAGAACGAGGTTTTCAGACAGCAGTATATCCCACAAACCCTCGAGCAGGTTTATGATATTGAGAGAGACGCTGCACAAGTTGGGAAGGAAGGAAAGAGCTCCCTGGTGTATGCTAACCTATTGGCCGATAAGACTGCTGGAGCGCAAGACGCGGATGGGACTGCAAGCGGCACCAGCAGCGACGATGACGAGGAAGATTCGGAGGACGACGAGAGCCGATTTGAGAAGGGTACTCCGAGAGGGAAACGATTCGAGGATAAGGATCAGAAGAAGGTTAGTTACCACCCATCTTCCATGTTGCGCAAGCCTCCAAGGACATTTATTAACTTCATTCCAGGAGCACAAAATGGCAGTGAAGGAAGAAAAGCGCGAGAAGAGGAAGGAGAAGATCCCAAAGCACATCAAGAAAAAGCTCATAAATTCCAGTTCTAGAAAGAAGTAGATATAACCATATCTCACGATGAAATGACAATAGATATTCAAAGCGATAGATTCTTATCATATATATTGAGTTATCCTGGCTATAATTCACAACTGTCTCCCTTGCCCTCAATCTTTACCTTCCAAAAATCCGAGACTTCGTACAGGAGTCTGTAGTTCAACTAATGGTGGAACTCCAAAGCCCGAAGGCACCCGAGGAGCATTTCTGGGCTTTCTCATACGTATCATAACAAGCTATGGATTATATCACATTTTGCGACTGGCTATTTGGGAAGATATGTTGAGAGAATAAATTACAATAGCCTCCTCTGAGGTGGTGGTATCTCTTCGTCCGACGAACTCCTATTGCCGCCCTTCGGTTTGATGATCAGCAGTATAAACATCCCCGCTATGATAATTATAAGCAAAAGAATTATTTTCCGCTTCACCGACTTCTTCTGATACCCCGTTGCCACCGTCAGTTGCTTGTCGGCAGCTTTAACGTCCGTGGCCATCCGCTCGACGTTGTAGTCTATCCGATCAAGCATCGTTCCCTGGTCTATCACCATAGCCTGTAGGTCTTTAAAGATGTCCGCGAGTTCGATAATACCCTGTGCGATGTCTGTGATTTCACGCTCACGCTGCATGATGGCACTGTCGTTTGAGGTGAGTTGTTTGTGGGTTGTTTGAAGTAGTGTCGACTCCGAATATGATTTGTCGGCATCGGATTCCATCAATGACGGGTCTGTGTAGTTGGCGAACTGAGGGGTAGCCGATCGGTCCATCGGCGAGCTCATGCCACCAAGGCCACGTAATTCTATAGAGTGTTAGTTTGTGAGATGGCCATGGGGATAGAGGCATTACTTTTCAGGTATGCGCTCTGCTTTTTCCTGAAACCAGCACTGGCCTCCTGTACACGTCCCGCCAGCGATATTTGTATGTTTTTCGCCATGGTTTCCTCTCCACTGCTGATGGTCCCCTGCTGCTTGGACTCTTTCACCATGTTGTCTATCCTCTTTATCGATCTTTGACAGTCATGGAACCCTTGTGTGATCCCTTGCGTCAACCGCTCAATCTCCCCTTCTTCGTTCCGCTTCACGACGTCGTCATCAAACCCAGGGAGCACATGCTTCTGATGCAGCTTCTCTAGCTTCTGTGACTTCCCTGCTATATCGCCCAGGAGCTCTGTGATCTCGTCGCTGATGTCCGCCCATCTTGGTGGCAGAAGGTCCATCTCAATTATAGCGTCGCCGTCATCTTCGAATGCGCTCGGCGACATGAGTCCCCGGTGCTCCTCGCCCAAGCCAGACTCATAGTAACCGTTGCCTGTAGATGCGCCATATCGTTGCTTCTTTGCTGGGTGGTGGGAATATGATTGACGATAGGAGATATAACTGTGAATCAGTCAGCCGGTGTCCCGCAAGGTGTCAGGATGGGGGAGGCCCGTACAGATTGGTGCGATCTCGCCAGGCCATGGCGGCCGCCCTCCGCTGTGAGGTTCCGTCTGCAAGATGCAAAATATGTTGATTTGTCGGGCGCTTCAATTCTATATCAGCTTTAAGGATATGTGCACTTCATGGAATACAGATAGCGACACCTGGGGGAGCTGGCAGCTAGAAGGTATTGGCGGTATTGGCACAATCCGCGGGCCTGAGCCATAAGGCTGAACGACATCGTCGTGCATTAAGGGTACCGTTGCTAGCGCATGAGCCTCTTCGCATGTTGGCACTTATCAACACAGCTGGGCGGACGTCAGCACAATCGAGTCTCCCACAACTTTCCCCTCCAGATTTCGACAACCTTGAGGTTTGTGACTCTTTTTTGCTTAACAACAATTTCTAAACTCATCATACTGAATTATATATAAGAGAATATAACAAAATATACCTCCTCCCTCCAACTTCACCACCACAACGTCCAACATGGTGTGTAGCCTCACTTTCACCCCGCAATCGGGACGCGCTGGCCAGAACAGCTTGCGCCCGCACAACAACAGCTTCAATATCACTAACATAATATCTTCAGGCCGACGCTCTCACTGAGGATCAGGTTTCCGAGTTCAAAGAGGCTTTCTCTCTGTTTGTATGTAGCCACCACCCCCCAGTCACTGCTGTGACAGCAATTACCCCTCTCTACAGCCTGAAACTAACTTTTACCTCGTACAGGACAAAGATGGCGATGGTTAGTCATTGCATATTCCATTTCTTTGAGATACCAGATGCGACTTGGATATATGGTGATTGCGATATCAAAATTGCTTCAAAAAGCCTACTGGCGCATCACACCGCTTTGTCGCAAGTCGCAGGACACTGGGCAGCATCGATGCTAATAGCCTATGTGCAGGACAAATCACCACCAAGGAGCTTGGAACTGTCATGAGATCCCTGGGCCAGAACCCATCGGAGTCTGAGCTGCAGGACATGATCAACGAGGTTGACGCCGACAACAACGGCACCATCGACTTCCCAGGTAAACACAACCAGCCACATACCGTGACAAGATAACTAACTCTTGGGCAGAGTTCCTGACGATGATGGCAAGAAAGATGAAGGATACCGATTCCGAGGATGAGATCCGTGAGGCTTTCAAGGTAAGTGCATATTGGGTGTCTTGGGATATCTATGCTAATCTCTAATTACCAGGTCTTCGATCGTGATAACAACGGTTTCATCTCCGCTGCCGAGCTTCGCCATGTCATGACATCTATTGGCGAGAAGTTGACCGATGAGGAGGTTGATGAGATGATCCGCGAGGCTGACCAGGACGGTGACGGACGTATTGATTGTACGTATAACTTCTCCCCCTCATCCTTGGCCGCTTTCTAACATCCACCAGACAACGAGTTCGTCCAGCTTATGATGCAAAAGTAAACGCTGTTCATACGCCTGTCGCGCTTACATTACGGGAACGAGAACTGGTTCTTTTCTGGCAGCAAGGGAAGTCGAGCAATCATAGCAATGTTGGTTTCTTTGGCACTCTAGGTAGTATCGCGACAAGATCTTTATACCAAACCTCGTGATATCCGCGTTGGATCTCTCTAAATCCTCAATTCCAGTGACCCTAGGAGTACCCTTGTGCGTGAAGACCCCCTGACTGTGATCATTCCAAGGCAATTCCCCAGATAGCGAGCGGCAAGGGGAAAACTGTTGAAGAAATGATCCGCAGGAGGGCCCATATTATTGCCCAGATTTGCAAGATCCATTAATGATGAAACATTAGGGCTTCTATTTTAAAACACTGCCAGGAGCTACAGAGTACATGTAAATCAATAAGAGGGGTAGTTCGGAGAGTGTGTGGCAACCAATAGTTCCTACAAACGCCGTTCTTGCTCAGGTTGTGCAATTATCACTGTATAATAAATAGCGTAATATTCTGCACATTTGATACTACGGATTAATAAATAAATGCTGCACCATGGAGAAACCCCCCATCTGTTCGCAGCTCACATGCCTTGGTCCTATTCCTACCCGCCCCCTTTCCAATCTATCCCAATAGCCCATATATCCCAAGTGACCTGTAAGCCCTGGCGGTATCATCTTTTTTCAGTGTAAAAACCACGACTGAGCATCCCATTTCCAACGCCCCAAATACACAGAAAGCAATTCAAACACAGAGCCTTATAGCTCATATCCTTACACCGGCCGTTTGAACGGATGAGCCTCAGTGTTCAACACCCACTCATCCAAATTCACAACATCGAACTCGCTAAACAGCAGATAGAAATACTTCAACGTCTCTGCCAGCCAGAAGCTCTCCATGCTATCAAGCTTCCTCGGCTTCGGCTTCGTCACATCATCAATCGCACTATTCGCAATGGACGTCCGCGTGATCTTCTCGATCGACTGGAACATACGCCACCCCTTTTCCATCCACGCCGGGTCGCCTGTGATCCGGTACATCATGAACACGGACTCGATTGCCTCTGGACGAAGAATGTATTTCGCATCCGGGTATGATGCAAACCCCGGTGCGAGCCTAAAGTTCATGATCTTCTTTTGAGCAGCCGCAGCGTCGGAGGGGAGACTCGGGATTCCGGCGTGCCACGCCTCCTCGGACCACTGGCAGGTCGGGTTTGTGGAGTTGTTGCACGGCACCAGGCGGAAGAGCTCTGGTGCGACTCCGTGGATTTGAGATTCGTATGCCCATACGCAGCCGTTGGTTAGCTTCTCGGCTATCGCGAGCTCGTCTGGGCGATTGAAGATCTTCGAGGCCATGCCAATCATGCCTCCTACGAAGCAGGTTAGATGCTGGCCTTCTGGCTTGAGTTCGTATGTGGGCGGTGTGCCCGAGACCCGGACTTCGCCGGAGACGAGGATGTCGAGGTTATCTGGGTTGAGGGGGCGGAAGAAGAGGTGCTTCTTGGCCACCGGCATGAACTTCTCGTACATCTTCTTGGGCTGCTCGAGGAGCCCACCCAATAGCATGTATTGCTTTGGCAGGTACTCATAGAGAGAGTCGACCATGGCGCCAAGCGTAAAGGCATTATCTCTATCGAAAGCTGGGGTTCCTGCATCGACAGCAATGGGCCACAGTCCCGGTAGAAGAGTTTTATTCTGGTGTTCTTCCAGCATATCAGAGATGCGCTGGACGGCATCGTAGTATTTCGGGTTCTCAGTGAGCTGGCTGAGGCGCGTAAACTCGAGAGATAGCGAACCCAGCTCCGCGACGACCATATTAAAGGGGGCTACTTGAGCCTCACCAGCCATGTACTCGAGCCAGTTCCAGCGGACAACCGGCATGTGGTTTGGGGTGTCGAAGGAGCTCATGAGTAACTCCGCAACTTCCACTGCCTTTACCAGCAGCTTCGGGAATTTCCTCTCACTTATATCATAAGCTGCCAAGAACCCCCCCAAGTAGCGGATCGTAGTCTCAAAGACATTGATGGTTGTCGCCTTTGTATACGAAAAGTCCAGCTGATCCAAGCTCTCCACAGCTTCTGCGAAATCCTCCTCCAAGCCCATTATCCATAAGGTGTCGAGGGAGTCAACGAGCGTTGCTGCCCAGCCACCGAATGTATTCCTCGATCCTCCCTTAACGGGGATAAGCTCATCGTCTAGCCACGCATGTTTTTTATATCCAGCCCAGCTATGATCAAAGCTCTCCTTGACAGCAGCAAGGCGCTTCTTGCGCTCCAAGTTGGCTTCCCCACCAAGGACTGGTGCCTTGGCCTGGATGGAGGGTATGGATTTCGGTGTCCCCTGTGGTAGAGGCTGGACAGATTCGACGGGGTATCGCGCTGGTCGTTTCACCCAGTGGGTTTTCCCGCTCTTGTCAGACGCAGTCTTCGGCGGGGTCTTCGGTGGGGTGTTTGGTTTCTGTGCGTTCGGCTTTGGTGACACCGCGGGCTGGGTCCATTCGCGGCTCGACGCCGTTAAGTGGTATATTCCAAAAATCGTAAATATTGCGATCAAAGCCACAGCTCGCCATCTTCGCATTGAAAAGCCCATGGTGGATTAATAATGCCCGCAATGGGGGTTTGGCCCAGTTCGAATTGAATAAGTAGCTCGTTTTATATCATTTCGTGACGTTGGTTGCTTCCGTCCCTCATGCGACCGTATAAATCCGGACTGAATCGAGTTTCAGACAGGTGATTCTCCTCTGCAATTACCAAAGAAGTAAGTCGGTGTTTTCGGAGATTGGCTCAGAAAAATATGTAGTTTAAGGGTCTCGAAGCGGTCTCTAAAGCTGGGGGACAATTGAACTAAGTCAAAAGCATCTACGTCAACCAAGGGAGGGAGCTCACCAACAACGAAAGGATAAGCACGTGATATCTGATGTGTTCCACGAAAATTTGACCGATGGCTCCTCATTAATAGGGGATATGCGATCATCGATAACTGTTGTAAATGTGGCCAGCAATAATGGGCCTTTCGTGCGGATCATTGCTCCCATAGTTTCCTGTGCCAGTCGTTATCTAGGGAGTTATCGGCGCAATGACGTAGAAAATATTGGTGCCGCCGAAATGTCTCAGGAGGCTGCCGATAACAGTAATATTTACAGCAACCATAATCCAATTAAAGGAGTTCAATTACCTGAAGCTGTAGTCGATGGGCCATCTATTGAAAATGGGACCAAAATGAGAGCTTAATTAATTTAAATAGCTGTATTGAGCTATGGAGTCCCTCAGACATATCGGCGGCAATGAATAGATAGTGCTAAACATAGAAATATGATATTATTTGCGTTAAATTGTTAAATATGGTATCGAATTTGCTTCTATGTAAACTTAACCTCTCCAAACATGGCCGCTCGCACCTGTACCAGCGCTGCCAACTCGAGAATAAACTCTTGCAGCACAATAATGTTGGTTAAAACATGGCTCACACTGACCATCTTCTCTACAACCTCCTCCTCACGGTCTGTCTCCGTCTCCGTTCCCGTCTCATCCGTCCGCGCAGTGATCACGCTCCCCTCCTCGTCCCCTTCTCCATCTCCAACCGTACTTCCCGCCGGTGTACTCGGCGCAATGCTCGCAGTATCCACCACCCTCCTCCCACCTGCCTCTCCAACCACAATCTTCGCCATCCCCACCCTCCGCGTCAAAATACCCCGATCAATATGCGCATACGCAGCAGACTGACTCGCACTCCCCATTGACTCCCACGCAACTCCATCCTCATCGAGCATCGACCCAGCCCCAGCCGTCTCTGACGCCCTCAGCGGCGAATTCGACACCACGCGCCCCCCGCCCGGCGTCCCATGTCCACTGCGCTTCTGCTCGCGCGACGTCCGGCCCCTTGCTAGAGGCGACGACGAGCGCGATGCCAGCTCAGGGAATATGCGCGAGGCGAGGGAGTCGATGGCAGCGCTGGCACCGAGGCGGCGCGTGCGAGACGTGCTTGCCGGGGGCGTGCGGCGCTGAGCAGGCGGGCTAGAGGAGCGGTCCGACTCGGAGCTTTTACGGTTTCCGCGGGCGTCGGTGCGGCGAGGTGGGGGAGGTGGAGGAGATTCAGCATCGAGTTTGAAGGCTTGGCGGCGAGCGTGGAGGAGGTCGTCGAAGCGGGGGATGGCGCTGCGGTAGGTGGTTGTTTGGGTGACGAGGGCGCGGAGGGTGAGTAGGAGGGGCGGGGTTGCTGCAGTTGAGAGGGTTGGGCGCCGGCGGGCTTCGCGGAGAGTTTCGATTTGCGAGAGTTCGATGGCTGCTTGGGAGCCTGGCTTGACGGGCTTGGAGGGCGCAGGTTGCTGGGGGGGTGTTGGGTAGGTGTATTTGCTTGGGTCGGGAAGGAGCCAGCCTTCGATGTTCATGTATCCGCATATTGCTAGGTCGATGAGAGCTTCGGTTAGGGCGAGGTTTGTTTCCACTGAGTTGGTGAAAAAGGTTGACAGAATAGACAGAAGAGTCTTGAGGATCGGATCGTCCGGTCTTAGGGTATGGAGATGGACATCCTGCGGGGTTCCTGGGATGGTTGAGTGCTTTGCTGGAGGTTTGCTGATCCCTACCGGCACAATAAGCTCGTGCGAACAGGGGTGGCTCTCAAGGAGGTTAGTTGCATCCTTAATATGGCCATCATAGATTTCATCAAATCCCTCTTGCACACTAATATCGTTGGCTAGGTTGAGAATATATGTTAACTCCATCTGGTGAGCCCCAATCAACTTTTGGGGTCCATCTGTCACCACTCGGGTTGTCCTGAGCAAGGTTGATACGGCGTACCGGTGGTGACGCCGTAAAATGACCGAAAATAGCTGTAGAGTCACAGTTATAGTTTGGACGCTCTTTGAACGCAAGCTACCAATAATAAGATCAACAAGATTGAATAAATCAGGGGTCGATTGTTGCGTTCCCATAGTTGCCAAGTTCATCGACTTGCGCTTTCTTGCTTCACTAGCAAGCGATTTCGTTGACGCCATGGATTCTAACATGGTTGTATCCGGCAGGGCTAATAAATAATTAAGGATGAGATGTATCATGTCTGGGTGCTCGACAGATTCGAGAACTCGTCGGAGGTACGTGAGGACGGCCACTGATGACCCGCCGTCTGCATCCGAAGACTCTAGAAGAGATGGGTATCTGGGAATAATTAGCAGAATTTCCGGAAACAGGGTGCCGCACTTACAATAACTGCTGAAGAAAAATAACTTGGAAATGCTCAAGCAAAGTCTGCCTCACCTCGACAGACTTGCAGTGATCAAGGACATCTTGCCAGAACACAAGATGTGAGAGAAACGTGTCCATTTGGCTCTGGAAATCCGTAGAAGCGGAGCTTACAATATCGGCTGTGGCTCTTGGATGTCTGAAGTCGGACATAGCCAGAATTAACGGAAAGCTGTCTTCGGGGTAGTCAATGACCAGCTTTCGGCTCAACTGACTGTAAAGGGCGCCAAGCCCTGTAGCCATCAATGTTGCCAGGTCGCTCTCAACAAGCCACTGCTCCAAAGGCATAGAGACAGACGCCGACTCAATGATGTATAAGAGGCCAGTCCGCGCAAAATCTCCTATCCGCCCTTCATGGTGGATATAGTCTACCAGAAGGTAGAATAGGGGGAAATCCTCTTTGCTCGTCTTTCCCGTAAATCGCTCATGGTGACCCTTGTCTTCATCATCCGAGGATACATCCCCCGTCGTGAACCATGCTGGCAATATTTCCGGCTGTAGTCGTATCTTCGCAGCGATTCCGAAGGCAAGCTCGATCACATCCACCTCGGTCTCCGAGTTCAGTCGGATGCTATTCGCCCCAGTGATGCGGGCCAGCAGGTTCATCAAACTCTGCGAGAAAGCCTCATTCTCTATGAAGTCCTCCTCTTCGCTCTCAATCAGTGTGCTGAACAAGGTGATAGCCTCCCTGATAATGTCTTCGTTGTAGGAAACCGTCGCTATCTTGGCGGCCGAGACGTATATCTGGTTCTGGGCGGAAAACGACAGGCACGGATGAGGAGAGGGCAGTCGCGACTCATCACTGAGGAACTTGTTGATGTTGCGCAGGCATGCTCTGATAGTGTCGGCTGTATCTGTGTCTTTCGACAAGTTCGTAACGTGTCGCCATTCTTGCTGGTATCTGTTAGTATCCGCGCCCCTCGGTCGCAACGGCTTCCACGTACCAACAACTGGCTGTATTCCCTCCTAAAGCGCGCCAGGCGCTTCACCGGATCATTAAAGGCAGCCTTGCTCGGTGTTGATGGCGAGAGCGAAGTGCCTGCGATCAGTCTCGACCACTGCGGTATGGAATCAGCATCTAATTTCCACTCATTCATGGGGAACCGTAACCGGCCTACTTACAAAATCCATCTTCTCTGGGGCATTACACTTTCAAGGGCTATAAGTTGCTCGCCATGTCCCTTATTTTTCAATCAAAGGCTGTTTAATTATAAATATGTATGTGCTGTACTACCGCTTTGTCTCGGTGAAACGTGGTTGATGGTTACTACTATTTCCAATAAGCCTCGCTTCATCTCTTATCGCAAGGCCTAGGTCCGATAAGGCGGGGCACACTGCTCTAATTAGTTACTGGTACCAGGAACAGCTCTTGGGTAACGACAGGAACAGTACCGTACCACCAGCTGGGAAGCACTTTCTTCTGTTTATTTATTTATGAAATAATCAATCTACTATGAAGATTCTCAAATATGATAGACACAGTCTACAGTGATCAATAAGCCTCATTTATTGGCGTATTTGCTCTGGACCGCCATGGGCCTGTACCTGCAAGACCTCACAGCCCTGAACGCAAGGCAGCGATCTATTGTACACCGTTTATTGAACGGCCTCTGTTTTTAAACTTTCGGGGGCGGCGCGAGAACCCTACAAACGGGCGTCCAAGGTCGGACGGACACAAAGGCAGGGCTCCCGATCCGATGCAGAGCTATTCCAAATGCATAAGCTGGAAGTTAATCATGGCCATAGAAATGCTATCTAACATTCACCACGATCATGTCGTCAGTATGCGGTATGCACTGGCATAAGGGCAATTGAGATATGTGAGACATAGGGATGCTGTCATGGTGTGCTCATGGTCTCTGTCACCCATCGGACGACCCATACACGACCGGATGGAAGAAGGCTTGTTCCTTCTTGTCCCTTCTTCCATTCGGTTTGAGACAGCGCGTGCCTGGCAACTAGTATCCTTCGGATTTCGAGTACCTGGTGAGCACACTGCATCTGTGATATCGAAAAAGTTGACCTACGGGCCATGATTCGTCAAACTGCCATGCTCCTATGTCCAATGGGGACGCCGACTTGGGCGACCAACCGCCAGGCTGGGATAGGACAGGGCAAAGTACATCGTATCGAGGCGGTGCAAGGCCGCTCTTGGTTTACTTTATAATCCCCATGTGGGGAGGAACCCTTACCAAAACCCTTGACGACATTATCACGGGCGCTCTTTGTTTCTCTTTCGATGTTCTATATCTTCTTAATGCCTCTTATATTTAGTCTTGGTTTCGTTTTCCCCTTCTAGCTTCTGTGCTCTTCAATACTGTCACCGAACCCTTCAATGATCGTCGCCTACAAGGCTGAGCAACAGCCAAGCACCGCCACCAAACCACCTCCACAATGGGACTTTTTGGGAAGTCAAAGAAGAAGGACTCGTATGAGTCGCAGCAAACATACGGTCAACGAGCACAGTCATCGTATGATTTGACTTGTGACCGCCGGCGCTACAGAGATGGGGACTATGCGCTCGACCATCGCCAGCAGTATCAGTACCAGCAGTATGGTGCGCCGGCTCTCGCTCCACCAGGCTGGATGCTGGCACCGCCGTACATGCAACCGCAACAGCAACCGATTCTGATACAGAACAATTACGTACTTGCGCCTCCGGCACCTCAGTCGAATGGGAAGGTTAGCAAGGTCAACAAGCTGGCCTCTGCTTCAGTCGCCAATCTCCCGTCCTTTCTACAAGGAGATCTGCCGAATTACATTCCGGGTGCGCAACTCTTCAATAGTGGGGTTGCAGAGTGGCAGAAAGAAGGCGTTCAGTACATGAACCAAGGAGCAGCGCTTACTGATTTGATCTCGTCGAGATTTGATTCGGTTCTCACTTTGATGGACAGCGATAAGTTTGGTAGAGATGAGCACGAGTTGGTCGAGCTTAACGTTACCGAACAAGGTCAAGAGCCAGTACCTGCAACTCGAGATCGGGCTTTGACGACGTCACGGAAAACTTCCAATACGAGAGCGGATGACCGCGGACCTCAAGGTATTGGAAAGGCGATATCAACAACGGATGTCTTCACGAAATGGAAGCTTTACTCAAATTCCATGGTTGCGGAGTCTTTGACTCCCGTTAAATTGTAAGCTATCCTCAAAGAACCATGTTTGCAGTATATTAACATTGAGTAGTTACACGTCGACTCTCCCGCTTCTTTGTATAGCGGCCCAGTACTCAGACCGTGTGTACCACACTCCGAAGGGTCAAGAGAGGCATGAACACATACCACCCAATGTCCGCTTGGGAACCAAGGCTATGGTGATAAAGTCAGTGCCGGTAGATGCCCAAGATGTGATTGTCTTTGCAATCAGAGGCAGCGCCAGGTTTATGGATTGGGCTGTCAACATGAACCAAACTCCGGCCTCGCCTTCTGGCTTCCTGGTAAGGACTAATCACTGAAGCTCATCAACAACTACTAACACATTCCACAGGATGATGCTGGAAACCTCTGTCATGCAGGCTTTCTCGACGTTGCTCGCAATATGATCAAGCCTGTTGCAGCTCGCCTACGACACCTCCTCCAAGAAGACCCTTCACGGTCTCGCTGCTCTCTTCTCATAACCGGCCACTCCGCAGGCGGAGCGATTGCCGCACTGCTATACAGCCACATGCTCTCGTCGAGTCGAGGAGCAGACTCCGAACTCCGAGCTCTAGCTGGCTTCTTCAAACGAATCCACTGTATCACATTTGGATCGCCTCCGATATCTCTATTACCACTCCAAAAACCGCAAACCCCGGAGTTACGGAAGAGCCTCTTCCTCAGCTTCATTAACGAAGGCGACCCGGTATCCAGAGCTAGCATAGCTTATGTGCGGTCGCTGCTCGACTTATACCTCACGCCAGCCCCCATGGTCGCGAGTTCTCGGTCAAGATCAGAACAAAAACCAATGCCTAAGTCTATTCTCAAGAATAGCAAAGCCGCAAGTTCAAGCACGCTCGCCGTTAACGACTACCGCCCGCCTCTTCCAAGCCGCTCTACGAGCGCCCCTGACGGAGCTTCACCGATATGGAGAGTGCCAAATGCAACATTGAGTAACGGCGGTAAACTCATTCTACTCCGCGCCGTGCCTCGAAAGCTGGACTACAAATCGAGGCAAAGTGGCGGCGGGGATGTTATTCAAGCTCGTCTCGTTTCCGATGAACAGCTGAGATCTGTGGTTTTCGGCGAGATGGTCGCGCATTCAATGTCTACCTACTTGAGGCGGATAAATATTCTGGCGACGAATGCGATAACGAATCGCTGAAAAGGCGTCGCTGCGCGATTGGGAGTTATGGAGGGAATAGGAGGCGAATTAACGATACCCGGGCGGATATGGAGTTATGAATCATCACGAATAAATGTCTAATAATACGTAATTTTTACACGGCAGGTCAACAGTCACCCTCGGTGGCGGTATATTTGGTATTTGCCAAGAGTGCGTTACTGTCTGCTCTAGAAATTATATAGTCAATATATAAATAATCAAACATCAGCTCTTGTCGGAAAATAAGTATAAGTTAGCTCTATGTCTACAGTACTTGCATTCCGAGTTTCACGTTCGTAAACAAACCCATACCAGCACCAAGAAAATCCCGTCATCACGAGCCCAAGTCCAACAAACCAGCCAGCATGTGATAAAGGGCTGGGTTCAGCCTTGTCCCCAGCTAGCCTCACCCACCGTCACGCCGCCGATAACATCTCCTATCCAATCAGCGTCCCCGGCCAGACCATCCGGCGTGCCTCGGCCCCGTCCCGAGCACCAAAAAAAAGAGGCTCTTATCACACCACGAAATCATCATCGAGCTCCACAACGTCCCGATAAATGGCAGTCGGAGGCCAATGGGAACGGGTTGCGGCGTGGTTGAGGGTCCAGATGTGCTCGGAATACCTCGGTCCAATGTGAGCACGGCGGAGAGGATTGTGAACGCCGTGATGCATATTGGCTTATAGTTGAGGCCCGTCTTGCCACTATTTTTCTCCTGATATATATCCTTTCCCCAGACTCTTTCTCCAGACTGTAATCCGTATATTTTCGCTTGACAGGTGTCCACCAGCGAACTCGCTTTGAAATATCGTGCTTGGGATAGAAGATTCAACTAAAACAAAACACCACAAACGCAGCTATGAGCCCCAAGGGAGATTTCGCGGCCGTCCGCAAGGACATCAAGGCCCTCCTCAACCAGCCAGAATACGATGATGGCTCTGCAGGCCCAGTCCTCGTCCGCCTCGCATGGTAAGCAGCTTTCCTACGCAGCAGCACCCTCCCACAAACCCATCCACTAACACAAACCACAGGCACTCGTCCGGAACCTACGACATCCGCACCGACACCGGTGGCTCCAACGGCGCCGGCATGCGCTACGAGATCGAAGGCGGCGACCCCGCGAACGCCGGCCTCCAACACGCCCGCGTCCTCCTCGAGCCCGTCAAGGCCGCACACCCATGGATCACCTACGCCGACCTGTGGACACTCGCCGGCAAGGTGGCGCTCGAGGAGGCTGGTGGTCCTGAGATCGCGTGGCAGGGAGGGCGTACCGATTACGTCGACGATAGCAAGATCAAGGAGATCCGCGGCAGGCTGCCGGATGCGGCGCAGGGAAGCGATCATTTGAGGAACATCTTCTACAGGATGGGGTTTAATGATCAGGAGATTGTGGCGCTGAGCGGTGCGCATACGCTTGGGAGGTGCCATGGGGATCGTTCGGGGTTCGAGGGGAAGTGGGTTAACAACCCGACGAGGTTCTCGAACCAGTACTTTAAGCTGCTGTCGACGCTGGAGTGGGAGCCGAGGACGCTGGCAAGCGGTGTCAAGCAGTTTGGGTATACGGATGAGGATACCGAGACGGAGCTGATGATGTTGCCGAGTGATATGGCGTTGTTGGCTGATAAGGGATTTGAGCCGTGGGTGAAGAAGTACGGTGCGGATAAGGAGCTGTTCTTCAAGGACTTCGCGGCCGTGTTCGCGAAGTTGATGGAGTTGGGCATTAAGAGGAATGAGAGGGGTGAGGTCACGAACTTGGATAACGAGAAGGGTGGATATATCTCGGCGCCGAAGAAGGCTGATACCCCTGGCTACAAGAAGCACTCCGGTGATGATGGACAGCCCGTTGCGGAGGCTGAGGGCCTTGAGAAGAAGAACGCACAGTACAGATCGAGATTGTAAGGGTGTAGACAGAGACGTATGGTTGTATGATTTAATGGTTGCAGCGGGTTACTACTCTGCCTTTTGGGGAATTAGAAGAATAGATGGGTTGGATACACAATTAGACTAGACAGAGACATAGAGAGAATAAAAGGCTCGTCATCAAGAAGCGCTGTTTTCACATGACCTCTCAACCGTTACATTGCTGCAACTATCCACTATTATCCCCAAGTAAGTGGCTTAACATGCTCCCATATCTAGAAGTTAAACGTTCCTGAGGAAGCTACGACTGCAGATTCGCCAGGTAATCGTTCTTTCCATATATACGGCCTGCATATCCCGAGCAAGGTGCGATTGAGACTTGCTTTGTTATCGTTCTTTCCATATCTATAGCATCGAAATTGCGAGGAAGCTGCGACTGAAGCTTGCTTGGTAATCGTTCTTTCCATATTTATATCTTGAGAATTCCGAGGAAGCGGCGACTGAGGATGGCTTGGTAATCGTTCTTGCCATATCTATAAACTTGAAAACTTCAAGGAAGCTGCGATTAAGGATTGCTTGGTAATCGTTCCTTCCATATGTATAACTTGAAAATGTCGAGGAAGCTGCGATTGAGGCGTGTTTGGTAATCGTTCTTTCCATATATTGGGGGTAATCGTTCTGCCTTCACGTGGTGGACGGGATACATGCGGCTTCATGATACTGGTCAATTATAATACAATCCACACAGCGAATACACATGCATGTCAATAATAGCTGCGATGCACAAATCATGTGTTTCATATTCTGATCTCTCGTAACGTATCCGTGCTGATCACAGAAAATGAAATATTGACAAAATCCTTCAGCAGCAGTTTGCCTCCGCAGTAAAGACAGGGTATATATGTTTAAGTGACTGGCATCGCTCGACCTTGACACGAATACCAAAACATCAAAAGAAAGTCGTAATAAGAAAATTCGTTCCACGATATCCGCCCTCAACCCCCTCTTCAGTCTAGACCACAACGAATGCAGCAACAGCAACGTTCTTGCCAAGCAACACGGCAGACACCTAATCTTCATAATCCAACTCTTCATCTTCATCAACCACCGCTTCGTCTTTGACCTCCCAAAACCTGGGATGGTGCTCATCTTCCACCTGCGCTAACTTCACGTAGGTATTATCTGGCTTCAGCATGGCGTACATGGCCGGTATAACTGATACAGGGCCCTTGGACATAGCCTTCAGATGAGCCAGCTGCTTTCCGGCCAACCACCAGACCATCTTGCTCACATAGCGTCTGTGTTGGGTGCTGAAAAGAATAGATGCTTTCAGAAGTTCCCAGGTAGATAGCTCGGCGTTGGCGAGATATGGCATCGTTAAAGATCTGGTGAAGGCCGTATCCATGGCAGGCTTGATCTCGCACCACTGAGGGTAGACGTCGTCAATGGCTGTCGAGAATATGTTTTTCGATTCCTCGTCGTCACTGGTGGAACGAAAGTACTTTATCCACAGTTTTCGAATAGGCTCGATGTCCGCGTCGAGCCCCCTGAGAACCGACGCCCACTCATCTGAAGTCTGGGCTTCCTTCCTTGCAAACTTAGCTAGTTGAACAACATCGTCGTCCCAATATTGAGGAATTGGCAGGTTATTGTGTAGATCTGCCAAAGTATCATCTATAGTTTTCTGGGCAACCCTGAATTTCAAATGGTCGATTAAGTGTATTTCTCCTCTTGGGTTTCCATCAAAAGCAGGCCGCTTGTAATTTGGTTCCCTCACCAGTACTCGAATCTTTTCTGCCTTCGCCCTCTCCCAGTCGCTCTCGGTAAAGGAATATCCTTGCTTTGCTTGATCAACGAGGGAACTTAGAAGTGTGCTCAAAAAGACTGCCTCCTCACATGCAACACTCCCTTTTGTATAGCAAAGCTTTTCTTTGAAATTAGTACAGATCCCAAGCATATTTTGCTTGAGGTTAAAGTCGAAACTGTTTGCTAGAAACTCATCGATTGTGTTCTTGGGATTCTTCCAGGCAAGCTCCGCGTAGGTCGTGCTGTTTTTTGTGATGTACCCCTCTTTAACCATGTCGCTACAGACCGGCATTTTTGCGTTCTCAAATTCGCTCACGATCTCTGTTTGCCAACAAACCCAAGCAATGTCGCCGTCATAATCCCCACCAGAGAGCTCCCCAGCGAGCGGAGAATCCCCTTGTGTCGAGAAAACGATAACGTCCTTGAGGGCAGACAGTTGAGGCTTGAACACGGCTCTGACTTTTTGGATATCTGAGGTGTAGTGGGCTGGAGATCGCGCCACGAGGATATCCATATCCGATAAGATGGTATCACAAAAACCAGTTGCTTCATCTTTGAAAGCCGTCGAAAACCCTATATGAACTTCTCTCGGGCCCAGAGTGCCGGTGAAGTCGACGACCATCGGTAAGTACGCTGACCGCCCAACCGAGATGTTTAGTTTGGTTTTTAGAATCTCGCCCCTCGCAACGTTTGCCTTTCTGGCTAGGTCTCTTACAAAAGACTGTTCCTTCGGATTGAATCCAGCGTCAAGTAGCAAGTTTATCTTTTCTCCCTGCGATTTCGGTAACCCAGCCCAGTAGGCAACCTGACCGAGTTTGATTCTATCAGTTATCCCAGGGTCGGTCTCGCGGACCCATTTGCGGAAAGACAGTGGGTTATCCATTGCCGCACGCTGTCGTCCCATCTCATAAGTCAGGCCATTTTCCAACATCCGGGACAAAGCCTCGCGCATTCCCTTTCCATTGCTTCTACCTCTGTCTTCAAGAATCGGAAGAAACTGCAAATTCAGTGTCGCTGAGCGGACTGGCTTCGACCAACGGAGAACTTCGAATATTCTATGGCAAGGGTCGGTGAAAAAGCTACTATTATCCCATTTCACCTGAGAGGGATAGATTTTAATGTTCGTCTTGTCACCGAAATCTTTCACATCAACTATCCACATTCCTTTTGCGCCGCCTATTCGAGCCTGAAACGCACTTGGCGTATAATCCAAGTTGAGCTTCTGAGCGATATTGTGGGCCAATTTGCGAGAGATCTGGCCGCAGCCATCGTTCATTACTTCGCCGCTTTCTGAACAATAATCATAGCGGACGAAGGATATCTCCGTGGCTTTCAGTGAAACAGTTGCATATGTTTTGCTCAAACCTGTGAGAGCAGTTAGTAATTTTATAGAGACTAAGAAAAGGAACCAATGGCACAGGGCATGGCAAAATGATTCATTAGTACAGATGCCAATAAATAGAACCATTGAAAAAGGACCCGACGGAATGATTCGTTTGTATAGAGACTAATGAAAGGAACCATTGAAATAGAGTCTCACTTACCAAGTGATATTCTCGAGAAAAGCTTAAGGTACGGCTGCTTCTGATTTTTTTCCAGATGGAATGGAATCAGCCAATGTAACAGCCCTTTTACGGCAAACTTTGTGTGGTGCTTGGGATCATCGTTTGTGGCAGGTGGTGTTGGGCCCGTCTGAAATCCTGTGCCATCGACAGCAAAGAAAAAAACTTGGTGGGTCGCATTATTCTCCGCATCATCAGAGGCCTTCTTCAGTTCGATGTTATTGATCTTCTTCGATCTGGCGTCCTTCAGGCCAAATGCGCGCCACTCAATACCCATGAACTGGTGGCCATAGCCTCTTATCCAATGGCTAATTTCTTTCCGCCTCATCTCCAAATCGTCTTCCGTGCTGCCAGGTGGTCGAAATTTGGTAAGGTTGGGCAAGGTCATCTCCAGAAATCGATCGTTGCCAAATCTTCTTCCGAAGCGATGGGTAAGAGCCGTGGCTAGGGGTTTGAGCTGGACCTTGAAGAAGGGGCCTGTCTTTGAGGAGGCAAACTTCAGTGACGCTGACATCACCACGCCTTCAAAGTTGCCAACAGACCACTTTTCCAGACTGGATGCCCAGACCTTAGGCGCGCATTTCTCTGGTAATGGTTTCCCTCGGAGTTGCGGTAAGTCCTTGAGAAATTGCCAGAGAGCATTGTAGTCAAGAAGTGTGCGGATATCGCGAACTGGAAGGCCATCCATGGAAACTTCAGCGTGAAGGAAAACTCTTGTGATTTCGTAGCGCACGCACAGAGGTGCCTCTGTCAACCATTGGGGTAGTTCAGCTGAAATGACATTAGTCACAAGTTGCAGCTGGGAGCGACTTCATAGATATAGCGTTTGGAATCGAAGTGAACTACATCAGGTTCGGGGCGTGCCTTGAAAGTGCAGCTAGAAAGTTTGGAATCTCTGTCTCATGTCCAGCTGAGTTCAGAAACCAGGAGGTGTTCTACCGGCGATGAAGCACCCTCTTGATTGATGGAAATAATGAAGTCTGACTTACGAAATACCTGTTGTAGTCGCTGTGACAAGTCTCCCTGGATGATAGGACCTACGGAAACGTCGGACATACTGATGTCAACCCCCGAGTTTTCTTGTAAGTCCTCATTGATAATTTCGATGAAGTCATCATCATCCATGCTCCCGTATTGGGAGCTGTGAAGCTCATCTGACATAGCCTTTATTCTTTGAATTGGTGGCGCGATTGACTGAAAGGACGTGTTGAATGAAGAAGCCTGAGTGGTTGTCCCTGTGCCTGGAATGGACCTCCCAGTAAAAACACCAGAAGCAATGGAGCTAAAGCTCGTGTTCGCGCTGACTGTCCTGGAGGTCTGTTCATGATAAGGATTGAGAGAATACCCAGGGAAAAGCGTTGACGACGTAGAGTTTGTGGAAGGTGCCACCGTCTGTAGCGCACTGTCCTGTTTGGAAGAGGTTGTAGCGACAGAGTCAGCAGTCTTCGTTAAATCTGGCGAACCTAACAAAGCAGGTGTTCTTGGTTTCTTAAACTCTGCAGCTATGTCTGGGGCAGAAAATTCACCGGATGTCCTCTTAACTGGACGTTGGCCCAAGTTCAAAGGAATTGGAGAGCTATCTAGTTCCGTCTGGAGAGATACTTCTCTAACACGAGTAGACTTGGGTTCAACATTATCACTACTACAAAAATCTTTACTTTCTCGGGCTTCTTTCAGCCTAAGCAATAGGCACCCTCTCAATTGTAGTCTTTGATCTCTGCCGGAGCCGTCTCGGAGGGGAGCATCGCCAACAATGGGGATAACATCACGATCTCCATTCGGCTTGTAAACCCAACCGTGGCTAACCCGGAGAGTATCCGCCTCGGCCGTAAAGGTTTGTAAGGCGCCTTGAAGAGCATGATTCTTTCGGCGGGAAAGGAAGGTAATAAGCCAAACTATCTCATCGCCGATCTTGGCATCATAGTCTCGAAGGGCAGAGCGCCTTGAGACTGGTGACTCCCCATCTCGAGGTATCGGGAGTTGAAGACCAAAGCGTTCAGATAGAGTCTTTATAAAATTGATTATCTCAGATGCTTTTATAGGCGTGGTATCATATCTCGACGACGGTGTGCCTGGCGTCGGGAGACTCATGGCCTTGTCTCTCAGGTCCGTCCCGTCGAGTCGTATCGAGTGGAGCTAGAGTCTCGGAGACGGCGCCGACGAGACAGGCACACGCTTAGCAGGTAGACGGAGGATGATGGCCCACACAGCCGCGAAATGACACAAAACGCTGCAAAAGGGTAAAAGAGCGAGAACTGTGCAACAGAGAGCAAATATATAATGTTGGACAGTATGCAAGAGGCTGGAATTGTATTTTCCCCTCAATGTTTCCATTTCACGGGGGCTGGAGCCTCGCGGTTCACAAAACGCATGTGTGCCTTGCAGCCTTAGTACATCCCATGTGATTGAGTGTGGGCAATAATGCGGTTAAAACGTGGACACTTTTGGTTGTGGACGTTTTAACCTTCTTCTCCGAAAATGTGGGGGTGGGTGTCGGTGAAATATTCTGCCACCTCCGAAAGAAAAAAGTTCCAGATAACTACTCTACATTCGTATCTTTCCCTCCAAAGAGAAGGAAGGGCTTCTCATTTATTGACGACCAAACTCAACACTACCGCAACAATGAAACGCAAGCTCGACGGCAACGATGTGCCCGCACCTGTAGAAGAGACCAAGACTCTAGAAAGCAACTCATTTGCAGACCTTGGCCTCGATGCGCGACTCCTCCAAGCTATCGCCAAACAGAACTTCAAAGCACCTACCCTGGTTCAGAAGAAAGCTATACCTCTGGCAATAAAGGGACGGGACGTACTTGCCAGAGCGAAGACAGGATCAGGAAAGACTGCTGCTTATCTTCTCCCAATCTTACATGCTATCCTCAAGCAAAAAGAAGTGTGTTGATTGACTGCCAATTCGTCTTTTATTCTCACTAACAGTATTAGACATCTACCAAGCCTTGCACGGCCGCCCTCATTCTTGTCCCAACTCGCGAGCTTGCCGACCAAGTCTTCAAGGCTGTGGAGTTGTTCACGTCGTTCTGTGCGAAGGATGTTAGAGCTATCAACCTCACACAAAAGGTCTCCGATGCCGTTCAAAGATCGCTCCTCGCAGATGCTCCCGATATCGTTGTCGCGACACCTGCCCGCGCAGCATTAAACATCAACACATCTGCTCTCTCTCTGGATAACCTGACTCACTTGGTTATTGACGAGGCGGACCTTGTTCTTTCATACGGGTACGACGAGGATTTGCAGAATGTCGCCAAAACCATGCGCAAAGGAGTCCAAACGATATTGATGAGCGCGACACTGACAAGCGAAGTTGATACTCTTAAGGGCCTGTTTTGTCGGGACCCCGCGGTATTGAAATTGGACGAGCAGAATGACGAGGGCGAGGAGATTAGCCAATATGTCGTGAAGTAAGCTTGGCATACAATCCAACTGGCAAACCGTTACTAACAATTCCCAGATGCGCAGAAGACGAAAAATTCCTCCTTATCTACGTTATCTTCAAGCTCAAGCTTATTAAGGGCAAATGCATTGTTTTCGTTCAAGACATTGACCGCTGTTACCGGTTGAAGCTTTTCCTCGAACAATTCGGCATCAAGAGTTGTATTCTCAACTCCGAGCTCCCAGTCAACTCTCGTATTCACGTCGTGGAGGAGTTTAACAAGAATGTTTATGATATTATTATTGCAAGCGACGAGTACGAAATTATCGGCGATGAAGAGGATGCACCAAGAGTCCAAGAGGTTGAAGAAGCCACCCCTGAGGAGCCTAAGAAGGCTGCTGGCGATGATGAGATGGAAGTCGATATTGCAGAGAGCGAGGAGGTTGTGAAAGAAGAGAAGCCGGCAAAGAAGAAGCGCAAGCAAGCGAAACGTGACAAGGAATATGGTGTCTCCCGTGGAATTGACTTCAAGAACGTCGCCTGTGTGTTAAATTTCGACCTCCCAACAACCTCAAAATCATATACCCACCGCGTTGGTCGTACTGGCCGTGCTGGGCAATCCGGCATGGCGCTTTCTTTCGTCATTCCAGCAAATCAATACCGCAAACACAAGCCCACATCAGTTGAGTCGTGCAAGCACGATGACGAAGTGCTCGCGAAGATCATCCGTCACCAGACCAAGAAAGGCAAGGAAGTAAAGCCGTACAACTTCGACATGAAGCAGGTTGAGGCATTCCGGTACCGAATGGGCGACGCACTACGTGCCGTTACTCGTATCGCTGTGCGTGAAGCTCGGACGCGCGAGCTGAGACAGGAGTTGATGAAGAGTGACAAACTAAAGAGGCATTTCGAGGAGAACCCAGAAGATCTGCACCACCTGCGACACGACGGAGAGTTACGTGCTGCAAAGGTTCAGGGGCACATGAAGCACGTGCCCAGCTATTTAATGCCAAGCGGCGGGCAGAAGGCAATCACGGGAGAGTTAGGCTTTGTCGGGATCAGGAAGGAGAGCGAGAACCGTATTCGCAAGGCGAGAGCGGCGAACAAAGCCAAGGGAAGAGGCGCGTTTGGCTCGAAGGCGAAGAAGCATGACCCGCTGAAGAGCTTCAGGGCCAGGACGAAGAATGGGAAATAGTAAATTAAGGGGCGAATGTGTCAGGCGCTTAGCGAATGAATATGATATTACATGTCACAGATGCACTCAAAAGGCGATTATGAGGCAACCCAAGTGATTTATTGGTAGCTTATTTCTGCCATACCTTTTCGAGTTTCAAAATGTTGTTCACGGTGTCGACCACGCTGGTCCCTAGGTCCCTGTAAGTCCAATTCTTTTCAAACACCTGGTAGCTCTTTTCATTGTTCCAGCGAGACAATTCAATGCCGTCTGGCACGATTTTGCTGGGGTTTCCTTCAGGCACCTTGCTTTTCAGCTCCGGAAAGTTCTTTCGGATGATGTTTACCACGAGCTGGGGAGTTATAAGACCATGGACTAACGCCACGCGCTGATTAGATGTTGTGAGGCTGTCCAGAGATAGAACATGCGCTCGGGAAACGTCTCGTACATCGACCTGCCATATGTCAGCGCTAGGTTCCAAGAGACACCAACGGAGGAGAGTCTCTCAGTCATACAAAGTGATAAAAGGGGAGTCCCCAGGCTTCAACTCCTGTAGTGGTTCCGTCCAAGAAATTGTATATGGTAATCCTATTCGTCTCATTTATTCTCTCGGGCGTGGGCAAACTATGGAGCATCGGCCCGATGACAACGTCTGGATTGATGACTGTCATATCGAAGCTAGTCTTGTTGTCCTCGAGGAACGTCCAAGCCGCCTTCTCAGCCAGCGTCTTGGCCGCACAATATCCAAAGAGGGGGTTTTTCTGCTCAACAGCCATTTCCGCAGTGACCTGGCTCTTGATTAGCATCGGAAAATATGAGGTGTTGGGACTGGGTTACTGGGTCCCAATCTTTCTCGCTATATGGGTCTCCTGTTATACTTGTATCCTCCATGGGGTTCACGATCGCAGCAATACTGCTAAGCAACACGACCCGTTTGACCTGCGGTCCCCCATACTCATGCACGCTCTTCAAAAGTGACGTTGTGCTGTCCAGTGTTAAATTAATCGACATATACAAACTAGGACACTACACTTACCCCTGAACAGCAGGATCAATGATCTCCTTCTGAATGTCCTCAACATCAAAGGTAATAGGGGATGCGGTGTGAATAATATAATTCAATTTGCCTCCCTCCTGTTTGATTGCCTCGTCGAATGCACCTGGGACGGTGAAGTCTGATACATATACAAATCTGACAATATCTTTCCACTCCGGATGGGCATCTAGCATCTCTTGGGATTTGGTCTTTGATCTCACGGTCGCGGTTACTAGATATCCTGCCTGCAAAGTATTTGCCGTTAGTATTTTCTTGATTTGTAACAAAGACATGCTGTGCCAACCTTGATCAAATCGGACAAAATATGGCAGGCGACGAAGCCATTTGCGCCGGTCAAAAAGACTTTCTGGATACTGTGCGGCATATTGATATATATTTTCTTGTAATATCGAATATCTTTGTAACTCTTTCTTTGCTTGTTGTGGTATTTTTCCGAATATATGGTAAAAAATCGTGATATCATATATTACTAGCTCATTTTATCGCGGGTTCCTCAAAACCAGGGGGTAACTAAGGGGTAACTCACCTGATAATGACAACACATTGCACATAAACTATTATGCACTAGTATAAGCACTACAATATAAATGCAATCGAAACAATACTCGAGTTACTGATAGTCCGAGTGATGAGGGCCTTGATACCGCGCTCTGTCGTTGTCATTGTGGCACTAAAGTCGCTTATATCTCAGACTAGCTATTATCAAACACGATCAGATATTTACATTTCTATTTGCTACCGAATTGTAGCAGATTCATTGGGATAAGTACAAAGGCGCCATAGACTTTGATGAGCTTGAACCAATTTATCAATATATTTATTAATTATTGTAAGATTTAGAATCTTACGTTTCCAGAAGCCATTTCTATTGATCCTAGATCTTACAAATGCGGACAGTCTTCTTTTACAGCTTCTTCTTTTAGCTTTAAAATATTTTCTGCGAGATGCCACATTGCAAGGAGACTGAAGACTCTGGATTATGTTGTCTAGTATAGTGTCCTTGCTGAATCTCTATAGTAACAGAGTCCGGCGCACGCGAAATCAATACTAAAGACCATGAGTTGGGTCGCCTATAACCGCCACTCTGCGACCATCCCCAGAGAATATAGTCTATGATAGCCGCGATACATACCGAGTCTCTTTCAGAACACTACAGAAAATAGAGTCTATAGCAAACGTGATACCATCGGGAAATGAGTAACTATAGAACTGCATAACATCACATATCTGACATTTAAGTGAAGATATCTCTGATTTCATTCGTACCGAGATTCATTTCTTATAAAAGAGAGAAATAACATAAAGGCCGATATGAGAACGATAAAGCTTGTAATAAAAAAAAACCGTTTAGATATTTATGGTTTATAGAGCAAATATTTATCCCAGAAGAGCGCTCCATATTGAAGGCCATAACTATATTATTTCCAACTCCCTTTCATGCTATTGTGACCATCTTGCTATTGCCGTCCCATCCTCACCTTGTTGTTCTTGTCAAAGCCACCTTTTCTCGTCAAAGCCTTACGGTTCTCACCGAAGCCGCCTTTCTTTCCTCAAGGCCTTATTTTCTTACCACATCCTTCTTTCTCCTCCCAAAAGTCTTATTTTCCACCAAATCCTTCTTTCCCTCGAAGTCTCAGTTTCCTACCAACATCTATACTGGGCCACGGTAACCTCGCCCAAACAAGGTAAATAAACGTGTTTTGACAGAACTGCACCCTTCTTCTTCCAAACTCTTACTTCTACTTGATCAAGTCCTCAAGTGAACTCTATCAAGCAGTTGCTGACACTCTTCATTATTCTTCAGTTACCTTCATGCAACTTCAAATTCTGGACCCCTGTGGGCAGTCTATGTTTATCGCCATTACGGCTTCATCACAACCTCAGCCAAGATATATTTCTCAATAATCACTCAAAATGCCATACGTCGAAGGTGGGTATGCCCAGAGAGTTTTATCTACGAGGCCGAGTAACGAATATCAAGAAGGGCCGGAAGACGAGAGCTGGATCCGCGAATTCGACGTTCCATTCAAACCCAAAAGACCTGGGAGCCAAATCTTCGACAGCCAGACTTACCCAGTGAAACGCCCTCGAAATACCCTCGAAGCTTCACATCCATATGGCAGGCAAGAGGAGATTCACCCGAGGATCAATGTAAACATCAATGGTCACCCTTCGCGACATATACTGGCTCCCGCAAATCTCCTCCACGAACAAGCACAGTATGGGCCAAATATCCCACAGTCGAACCGGGTGCAGTCTATGTAAGTTTACTGACACAATCACCGACCTCTCGATTTGCTGATATGATTAGGCCATATCATCAAACAAGCACCCAGCCAAATACGATGGACTTCCATCCTCGTCACCCCTCAATATCTGCCCAGGCAAACCAAACACAGGGAAATTTTGCCAGTCCTCATCAACCTGCTCCACAAGGAAACCATATCTCACCTCCAAGGCCACCTTCGTACGCTGAATCGGATCTTCGACAACCTGACGGCAAAAAATCCTTGGTCCAGCCTTTTCGCCCAAACCAGAATATCTCAAACCAGCTTTTCCAGCCACAGAACCTACAAGGTTCACGTGCCTCCAGTGTTGCACCACCACAGGGACACGCAGGTGTCCGTGGAAACATCGACTTCAAAATCACACGACACCAGAGCGTGCCGCCTTCGCCTGTACCTCACCAGCGCCCCGCACAGTATGCTGCATCCGGAGCTGGGGCTTCGGGCTACGGCTCTCAACCTCCCCTTCAAGGATTTCAACCCCCCCCTCAAGGATTCATACCTTCACCTCGAGGGCCTCAAAATCTGACCCAAGGATTCCAACCTTCTGCTCAAGGATTCCAGCCTTCTCCTCAAAGGTTTCTTCCACCTTCACCAATGCAGGCACGACCAGACACAATATCACGGACTGATTTACAGCCTCGGAGTGAAACTAGCATCGCTAATGACACAAATATCTCAAAACTTCCTGTTGTGAAACGGACTGGGCCATTTATAATTGATGACGACGAGAAGGGAATTAGGCAACCTGAAAGTCTTATCACCAACAGCGAAACAAGGGGCAACACAGCTACAGCTTATCAGACCCCAGCGCCTACAATAAACTTCGCCCAAGGACGCCGGGGGGTTCGCAGCTTAACCTCTGGTCTTGACGATCCACCAGATCGAAAAAATGACGCTCACAACCAAACCCGGAAGAACAAACCCGCGCTAAAAAGGTCAAAGAAGGACGAAGACGCCGCCTCGGAGAAAATACGGGAGCAATCTGAAGCTTATGCTAAAATCCAGGAGAAACAGGATATGGCAGCCAAGGCCAAGGATACAGATGCCCTATTCGAGGAACCCATCAACGAAGCAGCCCGGGCGCGAATCCAGGCAGACATACACAAAGAAGAAACGCGCAAACGGGAAGCAGAAGTCAGAAGGAGGTACAGGGAGGGTCTGGCCCAAGAATTGGAAACTATACAGAAAGAAAATGCTGAGCGCGAAAAGGCGCGGAAAGAGGCTGAAAGGGCCGAAAGAGCATCGAAGAAAGCCAAGACTCAAGAGGAACGAGAGGCAATCCAGAAGACTCGAGAGGAAGAAGAAAAGAAACGACACGATGAGCAAAAACGCAACGCGGAAGAGCTTCTACGGAGGAAAAGGCAAGAGCAAAGCGAGCGAGAAGCTGCCGTTTTAGAAAAGGAAGCTGCGGCCGAGCGCAAGCGACAGCAAGATGCCGAAAACCTAAAGGAAAAACTTGAAGCTTCTAAACAGGCTGCTATAAGCTTGAAGCCAGCCAGAAAGGGCCAAGGCGGACGAGAGGAAGAGGGCGGAAGGGCCACAGCGGAAGACATGGAGATACCTGAGCCTCCAGTTGACGACGACGGAGGGCTTTTCGTCCCGGAGTGGGTTGTCATTGAGAGTCCAGATGAAACCTATGCACCAACGGGTAGGAGTGTAGCAGTTCACCTCAGGGGAGATATCCCACGCCAGCCTTTGACGCCAACATCTCCACCAAAGATCGATTCCATACCAAATATAGAGAAGAGAGCATCCAATATCGCCGGAACAATAAAAGGGATACCTGGCTCCGATAATATTTCCCTTCGAGCGAAGGCAGGCTGGAGGGGGTCGATAAAAGCAAATACTGAGACAAAAGTTGCCAGCATAGTAATCGAACACCACAAGGAGATAATATCAGCAGACCAAAAGAGGCACGACGAAGCTTTAGCCCAGGCACGAGCACGTGAAAGAACCGAATTGAAGGAGGATCTTGTTGATTCATTCCAGACGCTTACCTCGACCCTGATAGAGGAAGTTCAGGGACAGCTAAAGGCAGCCGTGGTTCAAGTCTTAAATGTGCGAATTCCTGCCATGCCCATGAATGCGAGGAATGGACCAAACCCGGCGAGCGCTATTACAGTCTCTCCAAAGAAATATGCCTCGGAGACTCAGTGCTTCTTGGGCCGTAAACCTATCAAGCAACCAAAGGAGCTTACGCCATTTGGAGAAAAGAGCCCGAGCGACAATGAGGCGAAGAGACGTGAGAAAGACGAAATGCGCCTGGCTGAAAAGGCAAAGAAAAGATTCGAGGTCAAACTCCACAGGGATAACGCAGAACAAGGCAGATATATGAGTGAATATGAATTCAGGTCCACTATAGAGGGACAGGTGGTAAGTTATTCTGTCAGTCACGTTTCTTCAAGTGCTAATATTGACGATAGAAAGAATACCGAGAAAAGCGAGAGAAAAAATATGAAAAAGAGCAGAGGATGATGCCCCATGGTGGAGGGAGACCACAAGGTCAAGCCCGTTTTGGGTATGAAGACATTGACTTCAAGGAGGGTGACTCTACTAGACCCAGCAAATCCAACTCCCAGAGCGATAAGGGTCGATGCGGGGGGGTTATGGCGCGGTTGCGCGAATCCAACGGTTCTCTGGGCCATTTCCAACAAGCTGCAGCCGCAAAAATAGTTGACGACAGAATGCACCACTTGAGAGATGACGGCGACAGTGAAAGCGAAGTCTCGGAAGAAGATCCTGATGACGACGAGTCAGACACTATTCTAATACGCCAGCCAAAGTTGACTGAACCTTCGAATCACTGGGACCGTGCTTCTGATATCAAAGCAACTGGAGCTGATAGAATGGCAACCTTCGAATATGACAACAAGCCTACGCAGGTGATAAAGCCTCGCCACCTCCAAGACAAAGAAATGGTGAACATCTTTTCGGTGCAACGATCGGAAATTAAAGATGAAGAAAAATCTCTGGCTATCACTATAAAACAGTTTTTTGATAGAGACGATGCGAATGAATTTGCAGAAGAAGAGATCAGACGAACTCGTTGGGGCCCAGCAATGTTTAGACCTCAGATAACACAATGGTATTCGAAGGAGACAGGACTGTTCCACGGCAGGGCCTACATCGACTCCGAAGAGAACATAGTCGAATGTGTCGATGTAGCGGTACAGGCCCAGTATATCGGAGATTTGGAGTTTGCGCATGAAAAAGTCAAGCCCAAATTAGAGCCCAAACTATATATTATTTTCAAGTCAATAACCAAGAGGGTTCGAACTACTATGGGTTCAGATGATGATGATGAGGCCAGCGAGAACGGAGCGTCCGAACAAAACATTGAATCGGATGAGAGCGAAGAGGCAGAACAAAGCATGGAGATAGACCAGAATGGCGAGCCAGAACAACCCATGGAGGCAGACCAGGCTCGCGCAGCAGAACAAGTCATGGGGACTAATCAGAATGGCGAGGAAGAACAGAACAAAGAGACAGAGCACGACACGGACAATAATCAGAATGTTAATGAAAAATCCGACGATCACAAAAGTGGTAGCTCCAGGGAACCTGGCGGGGACGGAATCGATGCCCTATTCGAAGAAGAGGCAGAAGTTGAACCTTCCGACAACTCTGGCCATATTTTGGCGGCCGACGTGCATCAGCTGTCTCTTGACTCCAAATGCTCTGAAGCAAAGCCCGAAATGATGCTCACTCAAACCTGCAAGCCGGTTGGGGCATATGCTGAGCGTGAGTTGGCCAACAAGCGAGCTTCCGAGATATTTCTTGCAGAAATTAGGCCTGTTGGAGGCGATATTTCCCAGCTTGTTGCATTCCAAAACGATGCCGTGAAGCCGGTCAGAGAGAGCCTGGAAAGCCATAATAGATCCGGGGAATTGTTCTCGGCCTCAAACGATTACGCAAACAGTGGTGAGATTCGGATCTGGGTTGAGGACTTCGAGATCATGGGGCCATCGAATTGAGAGACAGAGGGGAGCGTGCATGGTCGAGTACGGGTTAGAAACCATTCCCGTAAGATGTTCCTTGATTCTAATGCGAAGAAACTACTTTCGATGATTTTATGGAGACTGTGTAAGATTATAAAGATTACGGGAAATAAAAATGGAGTAGCAATTGGTAGATTCTATTCCACGTTACCAATGGAACAGCAGCTAAATATAAAAATCCGCCTACAAATAATATCTTAATCTTGATAATATGATGAGCGATACAACAATGGTTTGTACAGGTATTGAGATTTGGCTGAACAAGAAACAACGTTTCGTTCAACTCTATCTGATGGTTCGGGCCCCACTTACAGAACACCACGGATTAATGTTGAACCGTGGCGCATAAACCCCTGTACGCCAGATCGATAAATCGATGCGGTGATACGCGGATAGAGCAAATAAATAATCCAGCTTTCGAAAGGAGTGTATAACTGGCGCTCATCATGGCATCTAAAGGGTGCATAGCATGTCTACGGACGCTCCAGAGACAAGCTCAATTTGTAAATCCTTCACTTTGTCGCTTTCAAAGTCATTAACTAACTGCTGCATCAGTCCCGACAAACGCCCCAGATTGCAAGAGTTTCTCGGAGTTTCACGACAACACGATATTCACGAGCCAACCCTCCAAATTCGGATAAACCTGCCGCTTCCTCTCTCAAACCCACTGACCCGTTAACGGGATCAAGCTCAAGCGCCAGCCCGACCACGGAAAGCGAAAGCGGGCAGACCTCCAAACTCGCGGCCGATGGACTTGCAGCACTTTCGAAAACAGCCGGGACATACTCAGCATACGGCGTAGCAGAAGTGCTCTACCGCCAATGTGCTGCCAAGGCCGACTATTCGATCCCGGAAGCCGCCATGGAAGATGAAGAAATGCCCAAGACGGCTGATGGGGAGGATTTGGGCCAAGGCGCTGGCTGGTGGCACACTGGTAACCCCTCCCATCACCTCCTGACCTGCCCAGTCTCTAACATGCGCCTGTAGAACTCGGCCTCCCGCCCACCTTCAGCACCTGGTCTCAAGTGACCATGCTTCACATGTACCTCCTCACCGTGCGCCTCCGCTGCTTCCCCGCCTCCACCTCTTCCATCTACCAACAACATCTCATCGACCACTTCTTCTACGACGCCGAGCACCGCATGGTCGTCTCGCACAACATGGAGGCGCGCGGCACGCGAAACAAGTACCTCAAGGACCTGTTCACCCAGTGGCGTGGCATCCTTTTCGCATACGACGAGGGCCTGGTTAGGGGGGATGCAGCACTTGCCAGTGCTGTGTGGAGGAATGTGTGGAAGGGTCGGGAGGATGTGGATGTCAAGGGGTTGGCCAAGGTGATTGCATATATGCGAAAGAGCCTTATGGATCTGGAGGCCACAGAGGAATTGGAGATGCAGATGGGGAACTGGAAGTGGAGTGACCCGGATGCGCTGAAGGTGTTGGTCGGGAAGAAAAGCCCAATGATAGACCAACCGTTTACGGAGGGTACGGAAGCTGTAGGAGATACCAAGAGTGTATAAGGCCGGCGATGCGTGGATGTATGATATATATGTATGGATGATCATGTTGTATAATATAATACAGACAAACCTACTTTTTGCAGACTTACAACCCGTGGATTATCGACGAAGGCTTTAGCACAGGTTAAACGTGAAAGTGATGAACTGTCAGATAATATTTATAAAATACAGCCATGTAGATGCCCGATATCCTTCTATGAGGCAGCCCGCGACTATTCACTTCTTCCCTTTCTTCTTCTTGCCAGCCTTGTTAGCTGAGGTTTGTACCTTGACTACTCCGGCCCCCCCAACTAATTCCACGGATTCCTCTTCTCTGACTACACCACCCTGTGTCGCATCCGCCGCCTTCTTCTTCCCCTTCTTCCCCTTCGGCCGGTAACTACTTCGGTCCTTCAACGGCAGCCATCGCTCCGGATCCATCTCCTTGCCCTCAACATAGTCTTTCGGCAATTGGCTCTTCCTGAAACGCTTCTTCGGTGGCTTTTCTTCAGTAGGTGCGGAGCGCTTCTTGCTGGCAGTAGCCATTGTCACAGGGAGGGAAGCAATGCCAGCATTTTCGAGAGCTGCTGAGTCCACTGAGCCAATAAGGCGATCAACAGGGGACAACTTTGCGAGGTCGGCAGAGACGAGGGAGAGATCCGTAGTTGCAACTGAGGCGACATAGCCGGCGAGAGCGATGCGGTCATTGGGGTCTTGCTTTCGGAGGGAGCCAAAGAAATCAGCTGCAGCTTTCAGGTCCTCAGGGTTGGAAGATTCGAGGAGGGATAGCCCTGCTGCTTTAAGCAATTCGTCGGATTGCGTTGACTTGCTAGACCAGTACGAGGCAGCCTTGCCAAGTTGCACCTTCATGGGCCCTTTGCGTCCCTGCAAGCGATACAGAGATACAATAAGGGCCACAAGACCAGGAGAATAGCGAACATTTAGGGCTGCTAGCGTCGCTGATTCTTCAAGACGCTTGAAGAAAGACTCAAGAAGTGCGATTGCAGGACCAGGATTTTGAGCGAGCACGTAAAGCTGGATAATGGTCAAGACCAAGCCGACGTCGTTTGGTCTTTTCTGTAGTAGGGAAAGGAGTGTCTTAATGCTTGCTTTGTCGTTTTGGCACTTTGTATGCGCGGCTGCATTAACAGAGGAGAGGCCATTGACATATGGAGAGGTCGTGGGCGCCGGGACCTTCGAGATGGCCTTGCTTGTCGACCTTATAACTCCGTCATACTTAAGAGATTGTAAATCAATAGCATATCTATTTCTCTCAATTATGCTTGCTTGATATTGGAAGAGCTTCTCGGTATCTGGCACTGTCGGCATGGCTTCGAATAGGCGCTCTGTGAGATAAGGATTTTCCTGCTTTTGGCATGCAAAGGTATTATTCTGTGCAACCAGTCGTGTGGGGGCTTCTGGAATCCTGTAGCAAGGTTAGAATATCTTCCTCAACCTGAAGCCAGCCACTTACTCTGATGTATCGATCATTTTTTGTATCGTCTCCGCTTCATGCGACTTGCCCAATTTCGTGAACACGTACGCCTGCTGCACCATAATAGGCAGAATTTCGGCCTTCTTCTCCTCATCCGTTAATTCATCCAAAGACTCGCACAGATCTCTCGCCCTCTTCAGTAGCACGGAGCCTGAGCCTAGGTCGCCCCTCGCGACACATCCGCAAGCAGCATTGTACGCCGTCTCAAACGCTTCAAAGTCCTCCCTCGAGGGTTTCCTCCTGCTCTTCTCCACTTTGTCCCCATTACCCTGCCACTCAAGTTGTGCATCCACCGCAAGCGTATTGATTCTAAGGTCATTCTCCTCATCCTCGAGCGCGGCGTCCTGGACGCTTAACTGCTTGTATATCTCCCCCGCCTCCTCGAAGTTCTCGGCGCGATATGCAACCTGCGCAGCAACATGTCGTAGGCCTCGAGACACCGATGTCACCTCGCCGAAAATCTTCTGTGCAGCCTCGAGCTGGCCTGTTTTGTAAAGGGCGTACGACTTCTCAACGTGGCAGCTTTCGCTGAGAGCGTCGCCCCCATCGTCGAGGGCGCGGAGAGCATCCGCGTAACGGTCTAGCTTGAGGAGTGCAATAACGCGAGTACGCAGCGCATCCTGGTCTGTTTTCGACTTCTTGAGAACAGCATTGGCGGCTCTCAGAATCTCCTCATGGTCCTCGATAGTTGCTGAGCCGAGTAGTTTGCTCAACGTAGCGGTGGGGTTGGACGCCATGCTAGCGAGTATTGGGCGCACTTGAGTAAGCTGGTATATTTATTATATGCGAGGCCATATATGTTTCATTCCATGTATATGTATATTTCAGACGTCTCGTTGGGCGTTGCGGGAGGCTGAGCTGTCAACTTCGTTCTCCAACCAAAACGTTGGTGGGGTCTTGTGCGCAATACCGACCCACCCCACATTCGCTTGGATTAAGGTTCGCGGTAGCGCTTAGCAAATTGATTCTGGAATATCAAATAAGCGCCGCCATGTGCAACGGAAAAATATTCAATGGTCATGTTCTATCATAAGTTGCCATATTGCTACATAATAAACCCACGCTTGTAATCAATACATAGAATCCTACACTAGGCTTAGTCTCTCCAACCTTCCCTTTACTCCCTCAACCAGCGCCGTCTCCCTTTCGATAAGTTGCATGACCTGAGCGACCTTTCCTCGTCGAATATCCGTAGGAACGCCTTCGTCCCTGGTTGCCTCCGCTGCCCGAGACCCTTCCTTTTCACTTATCTTGGCAACTTCTTCTACGATCCCCTCTTTCAAGCTTTTAACCTCCTCAAAGCGTCTCCAAAACTCCATTTTCCTACCGCCGGTAAGACCGCTGTCCTTCCCCTCTTCAGCGCCAAGGATGTTCTTATTCAGCGTGCTGATCTCCTCGAACCAAATCTTCTCGCGGTCGCTCAACTCCCTCACGACCGATCTCCCGACTTTCTTCTTGATGTTCTCAACTCGCTCAGCTAGCTCCCGTTGTCGGTCTTTGGCATTCTCGATGCGATCTTCGATGCTTTGATTGGCGCCAACATAACTGTCGTCAACATCGTTATCATCTCCGATGACTTGCTCAATCCTGTTCGCGACTTCGTTGGCCTTGGCAATCTGTTCCTTCAGATCAACTTGCAACTTTTCACAGCGGCGGAATAGCTCAGCTGCTGCACCATTAATTCGGTGAGTCTCTTCGCTCATGATCTTGTGGGCATCAGCAAATATGGTCAATGTTGCTGGTGAGAGTCGGATAGGCTCGTGAAGTAGCCTCTTATTTTTGCTGTGTCGGAGATTGTCGTGCCACTCTGGGAGGTTAGAGGGAGCCGTGAAAGCCGCAGGGGGTTCATAGACTGGTCTTGGTGGGCACAAAAGCAAAGGCTGATCAGGCGACTCGGAATCCTCGTTAGAAGGCGAGTCCGTGATAAGTCGCCGCATGTTGAATGAGTCCTCAGGAGTGGCTAATGTCAGACTTATAGGACCATGAGAAGAGTTGGTCAGGAGAAAGTAGCCTAAATCCGGGTCCCTGATGCTTGTGCAGGCAGCCAAAGCAGGCAATGACTCGTCGCCTTGGGAATTATTAGAAATAAGGCGATCGCGGATGAAGTTTTCGCCCTTTGCAAGGAGATCAAGGCGGAAATCGATCCCTGCAGCCGGACCATTTTGTAAATCGCTTTCAAGTCTGAAGACCCACGCCGAGAGCGAAATGAATGTAACGTTGGACCAGTTCGTGACGAAGAAGGAGTACCTCGACGCCACGTCTTCGCTAAACATAGGCCAGTTGTCCTCCCTATTTTCTTTGGATCGGAGCGTATCCAGGACTTGATACGTTAAGAGCGATGGTGGGGTAGTCTGCTGGGGAAACAGCAGCTGCTTGGATTTGCGAATGGGCAGCCACTGGGCTTCAACACCATCGACATCTAGACATATGGAGACCCGCCCACTACTGCTGGCAAGGCAAATGACGCCGATTGAAAGCCCCTCCTGATCAACCTCATCAAAGTCCAGTTCAGCGTCCTCGCCATCCATTAGCGCATCTGCGTCAATTTTAGCCCCAATGACGAATATGTCACTCAGGAGAGTGTCGAGGTCATTATCAGAGTCGTCCGGGGCAAGCTCGAAGATGAATGGGCCTTGGAGTTTTGGTACCCTGCCAGGCTTTTGAGGTCGAGTATAGACATCTGCCGGCTCTTCTCCAACAGGACCCTCCACGGTAACAGGCTCTTGGTTGTCAAGGTCAGACATCCACGCAAGTTGCTGTTGGCTTAATCGCTTCGTATCCTCCGAATAATCGAAGTCGTCTTCCATCATAGCAACCTTTGCAACGATTGCCACAGACAACGACGGGATTAGAGTCGGAGGGGGCGCCCACTTTTCCGGCAGAAGCGGGCAGAGTGCGTAAACATCACCTTCCCGCATTGCAACCCAAAGTGTCATGGGGGACCATCCACCAGTGCCCCTGCCACCAAAACACGCAGACGCCACTTCCATCTCGACCGAATCTGGGGAGAATCTTTTGCTGGAACCGAATTTTGAGGCGCTAAAGTCTTGATCAAGGGATGTTCCATCAGCGAGCTTCTTCAAGTCGATCGCCAGAGCCGGTCTGTCAAAGGACCATCTGTCCGTGGTTGAAAGTTCCCATATGCGCACGACTGCCTCTTCGGTGACGGTAACCAAGCATGTTCCATTGACACCCAGGGGGTGCCACAGTGCTGATTTCACGGCAGATTGCGATGTGACATGAGTTGTAGGCCCTAACGTGTACGTTTTCAGTCGTAGCGGACTCCGGTCGGGGCCCGTCAAGTGCGAGGAGTCGGGTAGAACAGAGATATGTACTGTATGTGTGGTAAGGATAGCCAAGTAGTCGCCGTGAGGGGAAATAACAAGCTGTTTGATGTCATCTGCTACTGTGGTTTTGATAATCTGTGGCGGGTTAGTTAGTTATGCTTGGTTTATAAATACTGACAGCACGTACCCTATAACCTTCGGCAGCATCATCGCTGCTGCTGCCATCATCGGAGAAATCTTCGGCGCGTTTCCCTCTGGCCTTTCTGTCTAGCTTCACTTCGTACAGCTCCTTCACATAAACTAGATCTGCCCATCTGATCTCCTTGCCAACAGCAACGAAGACTTCCGCCCCACGGCGGGCAATAGTTCTCTTTGGGCCCGGATTCACATTGTATTTTGAGCTTCCACCAGAAATGCTCGTAGAAGGCGCTCGCCCATCGACATGCTTTGGACGAGCTGGCGTGAATATTTCGTGTCCGAGGGAAGGGTTTGAAAGCCAAGCAGGCGTATAGCTCACAATATCGGGCATCTTCGATTTTCGAGCTCGGATTTGAGCTGATCGGGCTGGTGTGAGGTCAACGATATGTTTTAAATCATGTTTTAGCTGGCAATAAAGACTTCTGAAGCTAATGCGCGTCGAGTGGTTGTGTCAATGAAAGTCAACATGCAGCGCTAGCGCCAGAAATATTAAGCGCGACCTGCCGCGCAACAACATCCACATGGGTAGCTGCAGCAATCCGAACAGAAGCACTTTCGCAGGCCAGACAAGCAGCAATCATGCCCGGAGCAGTGATTAGGAACACCGTTGACAGGCTTGATAGGCCAAGCGCCTATTACGCAGGGAGGGTGAGTTGGAGGAATTTCTGGCTGTCTTCAATTCATTTTACTGACCTCAACACAGAAGAAGCGTAGGTATGACGATCGTGAAGAGAGAGAAAGGACGCCAGAGCCTCAAGAAGATCCTCTGAAGGATGCGACGACCCTCTACGTTGGAAATCTGTAAGTTTTTACTTGCATTATTTTGCGACTCTACAGTTTCTTTGTACTGATATTTTAAAGGTCATTCTACACCACAGAAGAGCAGATCCACGAGCTATTCGCCAAATGCGGAGAGATCAAGCGATTGGTCATGGGTCTGGATAGATTCAACAAGACACCCTGTGGCTTTTGCTTCGTCGAATACTACACTCACCAGGATGCGCTGGATTCTATGAAGTACATTGGTGGGACAAAGCTTGATGAGCGTATCATTCGTACGGATTTAGACCCTGGCTTCGAGGAGGGCAGACAATACGGCCGCGGAAAGTCTGGTGGGCAGGTTCGTGACGAATACCGTGAGGAGTATGATGAAGGTCGTGGAGGATTGGGCCGAGCTATTCAAGCCGAGCGCGTCAAGGAGGAGGAAGAATATGGCAAGGGAAGGTAGGCGGTATTCACAACTGGCTGTAAGGAGGCAATATAATGGGCATTCACGGCGTAAAGAAGGCGTAGCAGGAAAACCTAGGGCAGCGGAAATGATTGATACATTCATCCTGCGGTATACATATTTATCTCCATCGTACATCAATCTCCCATAAACGCCTGCCATGCATTGTAATATCCACAGCCATAATATAGTACAGCCCACTCCATCCCATCGAAGCTCTAGTATCCAGGGGGGTTGACACGCTGAGAAACTCTCGTCCACTTGGGTAATTCTGTGCAGCGTCAGTATATCTGTTTTGGCGTCTATAGGGACTGGCAATTGCCTACTGTGGATAGCCTTCCGGTACTTCTTCTCCTTGCGATCGAAAATAGTATATTTGTCCCTCGGCACCATCTCCTGCTCCTTTGGCATCTCGGCCTTCCACCTCTCAACTGGCTTGATCTCCATTCCCTTCTTGGCCAGTGCCTGGTCAACAATTGAGACCACTGCGTCGACTGCGCGGAGGCGCTTGCGTTGTCGTGCCTTCTGGAACTTGGACAGTCTCCATGGGATCTTCCTGTAAGGGTCGCACGTCAGCTCCTGAACCCCGATTGACAACAGTCAGAGGAAATATAGCCTTACCAGAGAAGTCCCACCGACAGCGAATTCGTAGGTCTGAAGGCTCCAAACATGGTGTTCTGATTATCCGCCTCTGAATCAACTCCTCGCAATTGGCAGCCGCGATAATATTTTGAGCCTGCGAGCCGCGCCAAGACATCTACCCGCCGCAGCCAATCAGCGCTTGTTTCCGCACCCAACGTCAGTTAACACCACAGCCGCAAGCTCCCTCTCCAATCCATGCCCAGCAAGGGCGTAAATACGAAATAATGTCGTTTTACTTTGCCATTGTTGGCACGCAAGATAACCCCCTTTTCGAGTATGAGTTCGGCAGCTCGAAGCAAGGCGGAGATGGAATCGCGCGGTTTCCGGAGCAGGCCCGCTATATGAACCAGTTCGTGGTGCATAGCAGCCTGGATATTGTGGAGGAAGTGCAATGGGGGACTGGGCTGATGTAGGTTCTAGTCATTCGAGCTGAAGGAGTCATAGACTAACCAAGTTTTGTAGGTATCTGAAGTGCCTCGATCGGTTTTACAATAATTACGTCTCATGCTTTATCACCCCTGGAAGTACGTACAACATCGCCATGAACAGTGCAGAGAACTAATCGGCGGAATAGATATCAAGTTCCTCCTCCTACAAATGCCCTCACAACCTACTGGTACGGCGATATCAACCCGGGCGTCGACATCAATCGCAGCGAACCCAACATCCCCCCAGACCGAAGAGGCAATCCGACAGTTCTTTGTTGAGGTATACGAGAACTGGGTGAAGACAACTATGAGCCCATTCTACCAAGTTAATATGGAAGTGAAAAGCCCGGTCTTCAGGAACCGCGTGGTGGCGTCCGCAAAGAAATACTTGTAAATTATTAGGAAGGTACTGGGCGGGCGTTTCTCTGGTCTAACGAAGTTATGAATGAATAGATGAGGATACTACGTCTCATGCCTCAATTTCTGTGACTTGCGGTGTTTGTGTGATTTGGAAGACGGAAGAAGCTCTGCGTTGTTCTTGGCGCAAAAGGGTGCAGCTTCACTTGGTCTATCTACAATTCCGCCCAAAGGCCCGAAGAATGACAATGAACAATAGCTGGTGTTTACAGCAACTGTGATTAATATGTAGGTACTCAGTTGCTCAGACCTGTAATCAATTAATTCAGTTCTCCATAAATAGAGCTAAAGTATTGGCCTCTCTTTTGGAAATATATTGCGGCGGCTATCGGAATGCACCACGTGACTGCCCCACCTTCTTTCCCTTGCGTCCATATTGTTGAGACTGGGCGACTTCTTGCTTCTCCTCGCATCTTCATCTTCAGAAATATGGATGTCATGTACCGATACTAGATCACAATACCGATAACTGATTAGCAAAGCGTGTTATTAAACAGTCTCCTCTGCTTTGTGCACAATCGTCAATATGGACTACGCCAACCTCCCAACCCCCGCCACTGCCGTGGCCGACTTCTGTCTTATTCCCGTAGGTCCACTGTTTCTCAAATCGCGGGGACTTCTCACCTTTGAACATACAACATACATTTCATATTTGATTATCTAAACTCTTAACTGACTACAAAACAGATTGGCACCCCGACTGCATCCGTCTCCGCGGAGGTCGCTGCAGTTCAGCGCCTCATGAAAGCAAGTGGTCTGTCTTACACCATGCACTCTGCTGGTACTACAGTTGGTACGTGTAAATTTCCCACTCTTTTATTTTCCAAGATAATTGGCTTTTTCCTTGGCGACTTCCCATTTATCTCTATAATGCCTGTAAAACCAACCAAATCACGTGCTAGTAGCACTTCCCCTGAGTCCTCACACACTCAAGCAACCTACCTCTTCTCATAAGTAACCTCTAACCTCCTTTATAGAGGGCTCCTGGGACGAGGTCTTCCGCATCATCGGACAGGCCCACACGCTTGTGCATAAGAATGGCGTTCTTCGCGTCCAGACCGACATCCGCGCTGGCACTCGCACAGACAAGAAGCAGCACTTCGCCGAGAAGGTATCCAAGGTTGAAGCCATCCTCGCTGCAGACGTGAGCACGAAGGCCGAAGGCGCAGCAGGAGGCAGCCACATTGACGCCGAGGGGAACGAGGGCTACATCGCCGGAGACGCGAAGGTGGGCGAGCCGGCCGCGAAGGCAGGCACCGCGAAGGCGTCGGAGAGTGAGAGCGAGGGTTCCTCCCCAGGCGGGACGCAAGTCGGGCCCGGAAAGGTCAAGGGCAATTGGGCGAGTCTTCTCAAGAAGTAGATCTTAGCCAGCTAGCAACATCTCAGTGTTCAATTACGCATCTTGCTCATCTTTCTTATAACATGCGTCCCCCGTGCCTGTCGGCGAGTTGCCCTCGCTCTCCTTCAATACCTGCATCTCCATATCTTCCCCACAACCCTCACATGACCACATATAACGCTCCCAGCGCGCCGCATCTTTAACGGGGGCACTTCGTCGGCGACAGGCCCCAGCCCGTCCGTCGAGCTCACATATAGCTCCACATGCGCTGCTCGTGCAACATACTACCACGCGCGAGGCGGGTGGGAGACACTCTAGGTATGTGTCACGGTCAAGCCGCGGGCGGTAAATTTTCATGTCATTCCCGTCAGCATCTGTGCCGCCTATTGCGAAACGGCGGGTGCGGGGGCTCATGGTCTCGAGTATGGGCCCATAAGGCCAGTCGGCGAGGACATGGACTGTGGGAGGGACGCCGAAGGGGTGAGTATTGAGCTGCGGAAAAGGGGCGTCAGGGAATTGGGGAGCTGGGGCGGTTGGGGTGTGTGGAGAGACGTTTTCAGGTGAGGATTTGGGATGGATGGTGACTCGAGGAGGTACGGTGATAGGACGCGTAAGGAAGGGGTTAACGTACTTGGGGACCGAGGTGGGTGAGTCTGGCAGTGCCAGGGCTGTGGCAAGGGTGCGGCGGGTATGTGTCTGTTCGGAGCGTGGATGGCGGAGGTTGGAGTTGACTGTCGAGTGACGCCTTGATGGCTGTACTGCGGGATTTGAAATATGGGATTTGGCAGATTTCGAGGGCACGGCAGTCGCCGATGAGAGGATGTCTGAGAAGAAGGTCTTGAACTTTGAAGCGGGGGTCCTGGGGCGGTCAGGCATGCTGATGCTTTGGTTTCTGGGTACTATTGGCGTTTTGGGTGCGACTGGCGAATAGGGGCCGTCCACCATGGTGGCTGAAAGGGGGAGGGGTGTCCATGGGTTATCGGGGATGGAGGTGTTACCGTCGATATCCTGGCCTGGCGGACGAGGCGGGAACCATAGGCATTGAGGAGGACCAACGTGCTGTGTGGGATTGTATGAGGATTGTGGGGCATCCGGGGGAGTTGGTTGGGCGGTGTTAGTGTCGATTATGGGTTGATTGTGTGTCAAAACTGGACCGTTTTGCGAGGGAGGGTAGGTGGTTGTGTCCGTGCTGGGTTGGCTGGGTTGGCCGGGTTTGGGATATGAAGCGAATAGCTCCGCAAGAGTCTTTCGGGCGGCATTGTTTGGGACTTCCTCGATTATGCGGGGAGCCGTAGGAGGCGGTTGGTTTGCGAAGAATTGGCGCGGAGGGGGGTTGGAGGTTGTGGAGGAGTCCGGGGGGAGTTCGTTGATGATCATGATTGTTATAGTATCGAATGTTGCAGTTGGTGATATGTAAACTTTTGACGATGGGTGGTTTGGTTTTCAATTATAATAATCCGAAATCAAACTCTGCCATTTCGAAGTCTGGCCGGGTTATATGTCACCGGAGAAGCTTTGTCTGAACGATGTGCCTGTTCGTGGGAATTGAACAAGGCAAAATCCGACATTCCAGCAGAAAAAGGAGAAGGATCCATGTTTCCAAAGCCCATCAAAGAATTTTTTTGAACGAAGGCTCGATGAACGTCACCAATTCTCCCATTAATAAAGAAAACGAACTCAGTCACGAGTCCGGTGTAGTAGTGCTTTGTCTCCCATAAAGAGACTCGACGATCACTGATATAAAGAGCATGCTATATGTCTTTGCTCATATCGTAGGTCAAAGCGAAAGTAATCTCAGTTCAACCATTGGCAATCTTTCTTGACTGCTCGAAGCTCTTACTCCCAACTACTATACCTTTGCAACATACGAGTACTCCCTACGTTCGCAACTTTACTGAGGAGAACAGGAATGCCGAAAAAGTAGTCAACGAAATAGGCTCAATTTGCCACATATTTCGATATTCTGAAAAATATGCGCTTCAAGAGACAAGGGGGTACGTGGGGTTTCTTGTCAGGTGCCTCCTGTCGCCACCAAGGTCGCTGTCGCCGTCTAGTTCCTCTCTCACCACTCACTTCTTCCCACCACACCTTCTCACTACAGCCACGGCCCAAAATCACCCTCGCCGCCCACCCCTCCCAAATCCGTCCCAGCGTACTCCTCGACTAAACCGTGGCTTGTTTGAATGTCCGTATTTAGGGAGAACTACCTTAATGCAGGTTACAAGCCTTTCTCATCCTATTCCTTTTTTATTTCCTCTCAACTCCCGAAAGGGAGTGCCAGCAAGGCTAGATTGATATTTTAGATCCCATCTCAACAAATTTCTTTCTTACCCGACCAGAACTGGATACTCTACACTCATCCACCCTGAATAAATAAAATGCCCACAGCCCAGTAACTTAGCGGACAGGCGCCAAAGCCGCTTTCTCTCCCACAAAGAACCCCGAAGCGCCAAAAATAGATATAAAGAGCACCCTTCCTTTATTCCTCCATTCTCGTCTCTAACAATCTCACTAGGTCAGGCCACCGCATACTCTGCCTCCACTGAACTTTCTACGGGGCAGCCTTGGGTTTTACAACACAGGGGTATTGCCCAGCATTGCGAACCTGGTACAGCTCCCCCCTTTCTGTTACCACAAACCTACTGTCACCGCGCATTTGCCACTGTCGGCGCCCTTCCTTTTCACCTTTTCTGCGATCCCTTTGATAGCGTTGCTATTGTCCACACCTGGAGTATTGAGCCTGGTCTGAGGGGGGAGGGAATACAGACCACTTGTAGTCGCTGTCTTTAAACGCGTTTTTGGATACCTGAGACTCCTGTCATGTTCAGGACGGGTTTATATATGGGAAAACGTTCCTGACAGAGTCACCTCCTAGAGATACAACACAGAGACTCAAGTGTGTTCGAGGGAGAACGGACTCCCATGGCCCCCAGGTCCATCATATATGTAGTTACAGTTGTAGTTCACCTACAGCGTCTGGGCCCGAGTAATTCCCTTAACACATCTTGTACGGCAAACGGGTCTCTTCCGAGCTTGCAGGCTGCTGGTGGAGGCACTTCATCCGTCCGCATATAGCCCCCTTACCACCACTACCCACGTCCCACACTCCGACTCTCCAAAATGCATAAATAGACAGAAACATATTGGAGCCTACTAATAACACCGCCTATTGCCAATACAGGAGGTATTATGCAAAGTAAGACAGTGAGACAACTCCACAGTGGCGTGAGTGAGGCTATTTTCATTTTCCAATCAATATAAATACCCATAGACCGTGGGAGTAGTTACTCGGCACAGAAAAAACATCCAGATCGAGATCCAATGGAGTACCGTGCTGCAGGCTTTCCTTGCTGTCGCAAAAGAAATAGAGAGATGAGAATGATGGGCACACACTTCTTTAGTACGATACCCATACTGCCATCTTACCAACTTCCTGTCACCGTCCACTTCCTCTCATCACCGTCTCACCCCCACTGCCTAAACCACCGCACAGCCTATCCATACCATCCTTCGAAATTCCTCCATCTCAATGCCCCAATACACACGCAACCCCATACACCTCAGAACGGATTATCCGGGTCTGGTCCCAATGTTATTTTGCTTTTCTCAAGTTACTCTTCTCAACCCACAAAGCTCCTTTTATACACTTGAGAGAAAGAAAGAACCCCTGAACCTCTATTTGTATTGGATACGTAAAACTTGTTCGTATCATAATTCTGAAAGCTAATCTTCCCTTCGACGACCCCAAATTACCCACCCCCCTGAACATATAAAAGACACACTGCAACGGAAACAATTTCTTGCCTTAATCAGAACGTCATAAAATCACTACGGAAAACATTTCGAGGCCTTTGAGGCTCTTATATCGTGATAATCTCCACATGGAGTGTATTAAGAACAACGGCGAGGGCTAATGTTGCAGAATTCTTATCACGCCGATTTGCTGTCACTGCCCACTTCCTCTCATCACTGCTTCACCACCACCGCTCAACCACCCTGTCACCGCCAGGTCATACAGCCGTATCAAATTCCTCCATCTCAGAACTCAAAACTCAGCACCCATGCACCCCGGCTCACCTTAACACGAACACCCAACCGAACCCCCCTGAAAGTTGCTAGCATCGCCATGAGTTGTTTGCTGGGTTCCCTCTTCTCAGTCCTCGAAGTCCAGTATATACCTCTGAAATTAAATTCGCACCAATGCATTGCGGGCTGACATGGGACATCGCGCCGTCCTGGTGTTCGCCCGAGTGCACTTGTTATTCTCTCGATGTTATTTTTTAGGTATAGATGGCGGTTTATATGGCTATTCGTCCACACTCCTTTTTTTTTTGAAGGAAAGGGGGTGGCATATTTGAATCTCATAAATATATTCCACACTAATCACCAACACCCACCATCTCACGATCCCCTTTCCCCTCCCCTAAACCACTTCATTACCACCATCCCCCGAACAATACCCCCAAAAAAACACCCTACATCAAGCCCTCTCCCTCTTTCCGAAGACTCCAACGCCAAAGCTAGCAACTATAAAGCACCCCCCGTTTCTCCATCCTCGCTCCATACACCCAGCACAATTGAGAGAACGGAAATGCAATATGGCGCGCCCTGGCTGCGTGGTAAAACGGTATCTGCGAGTATGAAGGCACCGAGCAGTTGGTGGGTAAGTGCCAATCGAGTTGTCATCGTGATGACGTCGGGGTGTTGCTGTCACCGCCCGTTTCTCACCTGAGCCTTTCTCCTCACGCACTTCTCGTCACCGTTTAAACCACCCGCCTATCTACCACTCTTATGATATCTGACCACGCAGCAGTCAGCATAGAATATCTGCGCAACTAACATGCTTTACCACGGACCCCGCTCCGCCACCCCAAGGATAATCCGTGAGTGGATCGTCTGGCCTCTGCTTCTCTTGAAGGAGGGGGATGGGGTGATTTATATAGCTGGTGGATGATCAGGGGCTCAGCTAGGCCATTGGTCGGGGAATGGGGCGGGGTGGGGTAGTAAGGGATAACTTTGGGTTGAAGATGTGGCGCTCATATCGTCAACTATCATCCGCGGATAGAGGTGGGTATGAACAATGTGTATAATACTTCTTTATTGGGGGTTTATTCCTTCAAAATAGCTCATCTAATATATCTCCCCATATTCCAACACCAACACATTCCACCCTCCTACTCCTCCTCCTCCTTAACCTTCATCTCCTCCACCACCGTCCCCCCACTCTCCCCACTCCTCCTCCTCCCCTCCGCCTCCCCACCCATCCCAATAACCCCCCCATGCTCAAGCGCATGCGCATCAAACTTCGGCCCCTTAAAGTTCTTCCTGCCATCGACGAACCATTGCACGGTAGCGATGACGAATATGAGGAAGAACGCCACGACACAGTAATTCATGTTACTCCCCGTAACCTTCATCTCCGGCGGGAAAAGGAAGAGGACGGTGGTGACGATGACATAGGCGAGGCCGATCAGATTTGCAATCCACCCCAACCAGTCTGGGAGCACGAATGGTCGCGGCCCTAACATCTTGCGGCCCCTGAGGCAGTTAATCGCGATGGGGATCCCGTAACTAACGCCCAGCGCAACGACGCTAGCGGAGATGATGGCGTTGAACGCGCTGCTGGACCCGAGGAAGATGCACCCGAAGACGACGACGAGGGCGGTGGTGAGGTACAAAGCGTTGAGGGGGAGATCGAGGCGTGGGTGGACCTTGGCGAAGAAGCGGGAGGCGGGGAGGCCGCCGTCGCGCGCGAAAGCGTAGGTCATGCGCGAGGAGGTGGTCATTATGCTTGTTGTTGCGAAGAGGAGGCAGACGAGGGGGAAGCTGTGGCGTGTTAGCTTGGGATGCTTTAAAAGATAGGGATATGGGGGTGGAGAAGGGGGGAGGCGTACACTAAGAGACAGATGGAGCCGGCCTTGCTGCCTGTGGCGTTGTACAAAATAGCCAACATGGGACCAGCAGCTGAATTGATAACCTCCTGCACGTCGCCCGCGACGAAGAGGAGGACAACGAGAAAGACGAAGCCGGTGAAAACTCCGATTCCAACACAGGCAATCATGATTTTTGGGCCCTCGACAGCTGCATTGGGAATCTCCTCAATCATATGCGCCACTGCATCGAACCCAGTGAGCCCTAACCCGGCTTGCAAGAGTCCGAGAAGCCAGGCGATTCCGTCGGGCCAGCCTGTCTCATTGATGAATTCGCGGAACACGAAGTCGGGGGGTGAGTAGTTGGGGGAGGCGCAGGCAAGGACGGTGATGGAGATGACGACGAAGCCGGTGATGGACCAGAAGAGGGCGGCTTTGGTGATAGTAGGGAGGATGCGTGTGAGGTAGGTGTTGATGAGGAACGCAACGACATTGTATCCGATATAGATGAGGAACTGATGCCACGGCTTCGGCACATACTCCGGATTCACCAGCGAGATAACCCCACTAATAAGTTGGCTCCCCAACAACCCCCCGCTCGCAACAAGCGCAATCCAACCAGACACATTAATCCACCCCGTCACCCAACTCAAGATCGGCACCCACTTCTTCCAGCTAATAACAGCAACCCAGTGATACTGTCCCCCGGCCGTCGGGTAGGCGGAAAGGAACTCAGCGAGCGAGGCAGCGAGGGAGAGGTTGCAGACTCCGGCTGTGATGAGACCCCAGATCACGGAGGAGGGGCCGCCGGAGGAGAGGGCGAGGGAGAGGGAGGCGGCGAGGGCGGTCCAGGAGTTGAGAATGGCGAAGCAGAGGCCTAGCATGGCTAGGGGGGAGAAGGAGCGGTTGAGTTCGCGCTGGTGGCCTAGGGCGGCGAGCTGGGCGTCGTCGCCGTAGGTGAGGGTGGTTTGGGTTTTTTCCATGGTGGAATCGGGGCCTGAAGAGTCGTGTTGCATTTTGAGGGATTGTATGGGTGGTTGAGGGAGGAGGAGAGGTGAGGTGAGGGTGGAGGGAGGGTTATAAGAAGGATGGATACGAGACGACAACGGGGCAGATGTCAACTGTTAAGTAAGAATTTCCCCAGACTAGATCGACAATCTACGCTTGCAAGGGGGATGATACCAGAGATAGAGGAAGAGATTAACCTCTTCCTCTTTCCTCTCTTCCCCGATACCACCAGGGTGCGTGTGCAGTAGGCTAGAATAATCACAATCCGGAAAGTTGCGTGCGGAGTCAGCGCGTCACAGCGTGCGGGGATATCAGAATATTTGCGGGGATGATGGGAAGGAGTAGGCATGATTGGGATTGGGACCGGGAAGGATGGAGGTTAGTAAGTAGTGAGTTGGGTTGTATAATGCTCACTCAGTCGTACATCGTACCCCCATCCCTGGAGGAGGAGGAGGAGGCGAATGGGCAGGGAATCCGTGGTATCATCAGGACCGCTTCTAAGTTCTCAAATAGGAAGGATTGTGGGGTTATTTGGTTGGATATTAGTGTATGCGTACACGTTGTATAGAGGCAAGTGCCGGTTTGTGTCTGGATGACCGGATTCCGATGTGGGAACAACAAGTAACAAGTTAGCAACTATGGGACCTCTGATTCAACGGATGCGGCAGTCGGGGATAGTGCGATTATAAGTGTACCAGTACCTCACTTCCCGCCGGTTTCCCCACACAGAACCCGTACCTCGCGTACCTTTCCCTGTAGCACTCCCGTCAATCCCCCTAGTCGTCGTCGTCGGCGTCGGCGTCCCCCATCTAACTATCTCCGAAGTCGCAATTTTGCGGTGGAGAGAACCACAGAAAGAGGCTCGAGAGGCGCGAGGGGGGTTAGTAGATGGCGCTAGAAGCTGTCCATCTTCATCCTGGCCGACGCGCGTGGTGGAGATTCTGGTAGGGGGAGGGGAATTCTTATTATGTCAGAGAGTGGGAGAATGGTGTTAGGGGAAGTGCATAAGCAGGATTAAAGAAGCTTTGGAGAAATGTAGATGTGCCCGTTAATTTAGGACGAGCGTTATTGTTCTGTTTATATGTTATATTCAATATTTCTATCGTATCTAAACCATCAATATCAATATCAATGTCAAAGTCCTCTACATCGCATCAGAACTGCCGTAAACCCCTCACAAACCGTTGCGATTACCCCAATTCTCAACGTCATACCCAATCAACCACCAGGACACAAAAAAGCTTGTCCCAACATTCCCGATTGCTTATCTCTCCTCACCCGCCACCATCCCATCCCATATCCCGACCAATCAGCGTTCTCAACGTCCACCTTTCTTTGCCACCATCGATCTGCATACAAGAGCCGGGGTTTGCTTAAAACGGGCCGTTAAGTTATCTCGTTACAGACCGTTAGATCCCTCCGCCTGGTCTGTGTGAAGACTCTGGGGGGATGGGGGAAAATGCCGCAAGCGTTTACGTACATGGCGTGCTTCTTTCTTCAGAACTACGAGTTTATAATAAGCTATTTCCGACATTCTCCGGGGTTGCGGGGGAGGGGGAGGAGAGGAAACTTAGTCGTAATACCCCGTGTTTTTTATTTGAAGTTCCTCGTAACCTCACGACACATACAAACTCGCCATAGTCTAGGATGGGATGAGAGGAATTGGGGAAACTTGACCAGAAAGTTGAGGAGTGGAGATCGGGGGCTCCGCAAGTGCAGATGCAGGGTCAGGGATGGTGGTGGCGCTGATGCTGATGCTGATCCTTTAGAAGGCGGGTCCGCGTGGACGCTCCCGTTTGGGGATGGTGTCGGTGATAGGGAGGGTCTGGATGGGGGAAGGCCATGTGAGATGGCGTGCGTGGACGTGGGATGATGGGGTGGGATGTGATAGAGGGGTTGTGGAGATGGAGATAGAGCTTGAGAGAGATGAAGATATGGGTGGGGAAGGGGGAATTAGTAGAGTTGTCTGGAGATAGAGATGTAGATCGGGTGAGAGGGGGGATTACTCAACGTTCCATACTTTCCATATTCCCGTGTCCTGCATCACATTGTCGTCTTCGCGCGCGCTCTCTCTTTATCTCTCTCTTATATTTATATATTTCGCTGCTGAAGACGGCTGTGTCTATACTCTCCAGGAAAGATATGGGATCCAACCCTTGGCCATCACCCTTTCCTGTGGGTTGGCTGGTAGCCCCATTTGGTCACAGCACTGTGAGAACTCTTGCCTGGAGTCGAAGAGTAGTAGGTAGGCACGAGAGGCAAGCAGGCGGTGGTAAGAGGCAAGCAGCGGTGAGAAGTAGCTGGTGATGACAGGAAGCGACCGTGACAGTGACAGGCAGGCGACAGTGACAAGAAGTGCTTTCTCCAGGTGTCGAGTTCTACTTGCTTCGAGATTTACTTACATTCTCTCAGCCTTTACGACGGTTACCTTCGACGTCCTTCCAACGCAACCAACCCAGGTATTTCACAATGGTGGCCGGATGAGACATCAAAGCTGTGAAGATGGAGATATAAGTAGGATTGGATATCAAAGTTGTGATGATAGATATGAGAGATAGGGATAGGGTAGGTAGCGGGTGTTGGTAAGCATTTCTCTGCGTTGTATTCTCATCTTTGATTTTTTATACTACATCGTCACCTTGGTGCTGCTGTCTCTCTCTCCTCCTCCCTGATTCGATTTATACAGGCGCTGAAGACAGCAGCAATCTATAAATACCCGCAAAGAAAGGTTTGGAACCCAGCCATCAGCTCGCCACCTTTACGCGTGAAAATGGTGCCATGGAGTCTTCTGCTTAGTTATGGCGTTGTGAGCATCCTCGCCTTGGTTGTGGAGAGTGGGAGGTAGAAATTAGAGGCAGGCAGGGAGTTGTGAAGGAGGCGGTGGTGATAGGAGACGGTGGTGGGAAGCTGGCGGTGATCAGAAGTAGGTAGCGGTGACAGGTAGCGACAGTAACGAGAATATAGCGTAAGAAGCGACCGTGACAAGAACAAGGGCATATAGTTCCTATCCTCTCTCTCTCCCAGTCTGTCTCTTTTTGTCCCTTTCTCCTACTTCACCCCTGAAGGCGGCTGTCCGAACTATCATCGGAGATGTTGTATGGGCGGCTGCTGTCCGGGCTGCTGTCCAAACTGTTGGGAAATGATTTGACCGCCGCACCGGACCTGATAGTGGCTTGTTTGGATTGCTTCCTCTTGGTACGTTCGAACCAGCTGGGGCGGTTGTAAGCAGCTGATTTTGTCGAACGGCTATTCTGGTGAAGTTTCGCATCGCAGGCTGCTTCGGCACAGGAAGTGGTCTTGGGGGTTAAGTTTGATCTCGCTGCGATCTTATACTCTCTGATCTCATGTCTGGGTTCATAGAGGGGGAAATCAGCGCTTTGGAGGCTGGGAAGAGATGGATAGATTAGATGGATTGTATTCATAACCTCTATGCAGAGATATCATAATATTGCGACAAAAGCGAGGTATAGTAAATACAGTACGTCTCTCTTCCCTCTCTCCATAGTTTTCCACTGGAACACCTATTCCCTCCCCCCCCTCCTCTCCCTCTCCCTCCCCAACGACCCCTCCACAATCCCCCTCTCCAACCCCGGCGTACTCCCTCCCCCCTCCTCAAACACCCCCACCTCCCACCTCGGCGCATCCCCCACCAACCCCTCCCAAAGATCACTCGGCAAAAACGCCCCCACCTCCCTCCTAAACGCTTTCCTCTCCGCCGTATCCGCCTCTCTCAGCCGCTCAACCTGCTCCATCGCCTTCGCAAGCACGTTTTTCATCTTCCTCTCCGCGCCGTGACGACGCGCGACTTCGAGGACAAGCCCGTCGTAGGAGGCGAGGTAACCGTCGTAGAAGGTACGCATGTTCGTTAACTCATCCGCTTGGTCGTTTAGAGCGGCTTTGGCGGATTGCCAGGCGGAAGCGAAGGATGTGCTGGCGGCGATGTAGGAGGGGAGGGACGCGGCGAGGTGCTCGAGCATGCTGAAGGCGGCGGTGGTGGCGGTGTAGGCGGAGCGGGCGGCGGAGACGTGGTGAGAGATGTGGGGGAGGAGGGCTTCCATTTCTTGGAGGCGGAGGTCGAGGTCTTGCACTACGGCGGGGAGTTCAGTGGCGTCGGCGGCGAGGACGCGGAGCATGGCTGAGCGCTCGGCTGGGGATATGGGGGTTAGGTGTGAGGAGGCGGCGGGGGAGGGGATGACGCCTGAGACGGTGACGCCGGCGGGGAGCTGGTTGTTTGAGGCCGCGGCTTTGAGAGCGAGGAAGCCGCCCTCGGTGTGCTTGACTGCTTTGGCGCAGAGGTCGAAGTGGGAGGTGAGTGATTCGAGGAGGAGTGCCATTTCAGCGGCATGGTTGCGGAGGTCGTGGAGGAGCGGGGGGATGGGGGAGGAGTGTGCGGGTGTTGGGGCGGGGGCGGAGGAGATGGCGGATTTGAGAGCCTGGCGCGAGGTATCGAAGGTGCGGATTGAGGAGGCGAAGGAGGAGCGCGCGGATTGGGTGAGGTCGATTGTGTTTTTGAGAGCGGAGCGGGTGGCTTCGATGGCGTTTTCGTCGATGAAGTCGAGGAGGGAGCGGGGGGGTTCGGAGGGGGGGCGGAGGGCGGAGGCGACGATGGTGGTGCGGAGGGTGGACATGGTCTTTTTTAGGCGGTCGTCGGCGTCATCGAGGTTCTTGATAACGTTCTGTAGTTGTTAGTGATGGTCTAGGGGACGGGCTAGGGGAGGGGTTACCTCAAAATCGGCCTGTCCATCATCGTAGACGACCTGAATCCCACTCCGGACCTTCTCGAGTAGCCTGACCTGCTGTGATATCCCCGTCCGTAGAAAGGCTGTCCTCGCGGTCAAGATGACGCTCTCTCCCAGCGCATCCTGTGCCGCGCTGACAATCTCGTTGGCTCGCCATAATGTTCCAATAGAACTCAGGGCCTTCTTGGCATCGACGAGGTGTTGTATGAGAGTCGCTATGGGTATATCGGTCACCTCCTGATGCTCCGAGTTGTCTGGCGAAGGCGAGGCTGCGCTCCCATCATAAGACATGGCTCAGATAGGCTTCAAGGTGGAGGGTAATGTATCGAAGAACCAGCAAGACTATCTGGGGAAGCTGTGTATTGTTCAGAGCATCAATATGGATAGACTTTTTGCCATATGCTGCGAATGTGAGCTATCAGAAATGAAGCTCAGGGTGGTCAATGGGGTTGCCTGTGACAAGAGGTCCGGGAGAGCAAACATGACAAACATAGATGCTATGGCACAAGGCCAGTACACTAGCTTGTTTAGGCCTTTAGCGCCAATCTTTTATCCAGCAAATAAATGTCTGGGTAACGAGTGACAGGTCTAACCCAAAGAGGCAATTAGCCAGAACATCAACGACGACCCCCACCACTACCCCAGCCATACCAGTCATACCCCTACTCTTAAGTTTGTAAAATGCCTCCGTCTTACTCGTAACATATACCCAATCACCTCCTTCTTTATCTCCCTTATAGGAAGTATCTTTACATCTCCAACCCCTCCAACACAGCCCACCTCATCGTAGCTGTCACCGCATATCGGCATCGGTATACATCATCTTTCTCCCAGCGCCACGCCCGGTGCTACACACCTTGAAGATCCAGATCTCGTCGGTGTCGGTGTGTCACTGGGTACTCAGCCTCGTTATGCCGCACCTAGCTCCATCGCCCCTCTCTTAATCGGATCTTCAAAAAGGCAGCAGCTTTTAACTGCTCTGTTCTCTGTGATCTTCCCTTTGCTTTGATATTTTCCAATCCTCTCGTCAAACATATGTCAAGGCCGTATTAGACATCATGACCCGCGCAACCAAATTCCTCTATACCAGCTTCGACTCTGCGGTCCCCTCGACCAGCCACTATCCGCGAGACAATTCGTCCAGCACATCCCCAGAGGCAACCCCCTCGTCCACAAGCAACTCCAGCCGCTCTCCGATAAACACCGCTCTTCTGCGGCGAGTGCACACGAAATCGCGCCGCGGATGCCTCAACTGCAAGAGGAGGCGCATCAAAGTATGGACAGACACCGTCCGTGGACAAGCCTACAAATGCTGACCCTGCACTTCAGTGCCCCGAGAACCACCCCGATTGCACCCAGTGCACCAAGAGAGGCTTGACATGCGAATGGCCAGAGATTCAGATTGAGCAGACGGGGAACGATGGCAGGAGGATTGTGCGGGCAATCCCTCCTCAGGTCGACTCGCCCAATACTTTTTCCATGCAGGATTTCCGATTGTTTAATCACTTTGTTAAAGAATGTCACCCTTCTCACCCGCTTGGGAATGAGGCCGCCTGGACACACGATATCCCAAGTATCGCACATAATGTACGCTATTCCACTCCCATTTCAGATGCTACGCCTAGTTTCCTACTCCTCAATGGTCCATAACTAACACAATCCACAGCATGAGTACTTACTACACGCAATGCTCGCGCTCGCAGCATCAGACATTTCAGGATACTCGCCAAACGACTCAGCCCTCGCTATATCGGGGATTAACCACCGCGTACGCGCAATCGAGTCCCTAAGCACAGCCTTGTCGCACGGCGTCCATACAATGGAAGAAGGAAACGCCATGCTAGCCACGTGTTATACGCTCGTCTTCCAATCAGCTCTCATCTCCGACGGCTTCCCAGAATACATGTCTTTTATTCGCGGGTGCATGGTGGTGGCCTGGCAAATGGGGGTCAAGCAGCTCAAGTTTATCTTTGAAGGGATTCTCAGTGATGAGCAGCTGGTGAAGATGGGGCCATATCTCCAGGGCCCTCCGGATATTGACCCAGACCTTACGAACGGGGCTATCGGATCCCTCGAGGCCTGTAGGCCAGTGGTTGTGAGAGATGCGGAGAAGGCCTTTTTCGAATGTATGCTGGAGATCGCCCAGGCGGCGCAGATATCTAGCCGGCAGGGTAGGTTTTCATCCTCTACAACTTTACCAGTCACTTGCTAATTATTCTAGCATATATCGGCATCATGAAGATCTACGGTATATTTGCATACTACATGTCCGCAACTGACTTCCACCAATTCATCCACCCGGACAACCAGGTCGGGATGCTCCTACAAGCCCACATGATCGCTCTCCAGATGATCCTCGACCCGGTCCTGAAGAACGAGGACAGCGCTGGCACCAAGATGGATAAGCCATGGAGGCCCAGGCATTCGGGCAGCGTCGCGTGGCTCAATACCATCGAGGACAGGATGTCGGATGAGATGGCACCGTGGTTTGCGTGGCCTATGTCTCAGAGAGATGCGGCCAGGGAGCAGATCGAGGAGCAAAAGTTCTTGCGCAGTCAAGCCTTACAGGAGGCGGGATTATGAGATACCCGGAAACGCCCAGTTGGCGCCGGGTCGCGTTTTGGTTACTGTTTCTGTTTTCAGGTGGGGGAGGGCTGCGCGATATCCATTTGTTACCATAGGTCAGGGAGAACTGGGGAGGCGTTAAGGAGGGCTACGGAGTTTGAGAGAAATCTCCCATTACATGCGTCACATCTACATATCACATCTCCAACACATACAATTCAAATCACACATAATACCTCATCACCCTCTATCTCTCCCCCAAACCCGGGTATTGCGGCTGAGCCTGCGCCCTACCCCCTTTCGCAGCATCGCACCTGTTTCGTCCTCGCCGACTTGGCAGTCTCCCAGGAGTCAAAAAGGCACACCCCTGCACGTGATGACGACGAATTAAAAAGGTTTACCATAGTACGCTTCTGGAAGGTCTTGGCGTCGCATTCGCGCATTGCTGCCCAGAAGGGGAAAGTGGGGAATTTGGCGGCGCGGCTGTGCTGGAACTCCGGCAGGGCTAGGGTGGGCTGGGAAGGGACGCTAGTGGGGATGGGGGAAGGCGGGATGGGGATGCGATTGGAGAGACACTCCGCAAGGCTTAAAGAGTTGTTTCTTGGGCGCAACCAGGGGATCAAACGGCATTTGAGGAGGAGGATGGTGAGGTATATAACTATTTGTTTCCTGCTGTAGGTTCGCGATTTCTTATTCAACTCTCACGATTATATTCTATTATCTGTCCACAGCTTCACAATACTACATCCAGCACACAAAAACACACAGATACAGCACACAGCACACAAACCCCAACCACCATCACAATGACCTCCCACGACACCTACCCCCTCCAACTCCTCCCCACAACGTCCACCTCTACCCACTCCCTCCGCTCCTCCCTCAAGAAGACCTCCTCCTTCAAAAACCCCTTCGAAACCGCCTCCATCCTCTCAACCAGCACCCGCTACTCGCAAACCACCCTCCGCGCTCCCCCACCTTACACACCCTTCCACGCCACTACCAGCTTGCAAATCCAAACCTCTGGGCACGCTTTGCTCGCTTTCCCCAGTCCGCCGAAGCAACTCACTACCGCGGTCTTTGGTTTGGACTCTAACGGGCGCTGCGATCGCCCTGTCTATCTCTCTACGCGCGCGGTGAGGAATTCAGGGAACTGCACCCTGGTCCGCGCCGAAGATGAGACCGGCGCGCCTCTGGCAGAGACGCGCTACAAGTGGGGACCGTCGTCAGATCCAGTGGTCTGTATCGGCGACGAAGAGGTAGTAATGTCGCGTCCGAAATGGACAGCTCGCACGATCCGTTTCAGCTGGGGCGGACGCCGGTACCAGTGGCGCTACGGCTGCAGTTCCGAGAGGCGCGGCGTTGAGGGGGATAGAGGTGAAGGGTGCAATTCCCTCCTTTTATTGGAATGGGTTGAGGGAGAAGGGAAGGAAGAGGTCAGGACGACGGTGGCGAGGTTTGTGAGGGGGGAGGAGACGAGGACGCCGGGGACGAAGAAGAGTTGTGCGGGGAATGGGGGGAGGTTGGAGATGGCGCTTGATAGGGACGGGGTGGATACGTTCGCGGATGGGATTGGGGAGGAGGTGGTGGTGGCGACGCTGTTGGTGATGTTGAAGAAGGAGGTTGATCGACGGAGGGGGGCGCAGATTGCGGTTATTGGTACGTCTTGAGCCCCTTTTTGCAATGCCGGCGCGGTCTTACCGTAAACAGGAGGACCGGTGCCGTGTCAGGTTCTAGCGTTTGCGAGGGAGAAGTAGCTAATTGGGATTGCAGCGAATACGAAGGGGGCTTTGTTGCCGTGGTATATTTGTCAGCATATGAGGCAGAAGAATATGCCGCAGCCTGAGTATTGAGTGGGTGTTGGTTTGGCTTTTGGTCTGGTTGATGATGGAGTTTCTGAGGTACTTTTGAGCGATTATTTGGAGTTATACGGGAACGGGGGGCTGAGAGAGGCTGGTTGGTTTCTCACTTTGGACACCGACTTTCACTTTTGGTTCGATATATTCACAGGCGCGTATGGCTCGAGGTGGAACGCTCTGGTTACGTCCCATTTCATATTATAGAATTTCCACAAACTCAATATATTTCCTCACGTCTACTTTGGCCCATAGGAGAGCGATAGAACAGTGCATCGACTCCACAATGAAGCTCCTAGCAGCAACATATCTCTCCTACCTCACTGAAGGCACAAAAACAACACCAATACTTCTTTTACTTTGGCCTCCCAAGCACCCAATTGTTCCACAACGCATACAGAAACAAGAGCGCCATACAAATCAACGAACCCGCTCTGAGCACCGGCGCTAGAATCCGTGATATCCAATCTGAGAACGATGTACCAGCGTTAATGATGACTCCCCACCGCCGTGGTTTTGCGACTGGAACGGCGTTTTGGGCCTTGTGTTTTATCTGGCGAGGGCGATGGGGTTGTGGCGTGATGATGCGTTGGGGTGTTGCTGTGGTTGTTTTCGAATCCGGGGTGGAGATCGGTCCGGTTCGGCGATTGCGGCTTTTTCTGGGGGTCATTGTTTGGGTTTTATGGTTTTATGGGTTTATATTATATTCTCATTTTTGGAATTGCATCTATTATGAGCATTTGTTATAATGGGATGCTGTCTATAGTTGGTCGGATAATACCCTAGCGTGGCCACCCTTGCGAACTCCCAGCATCACCCCACATTGTGGCCCCCACGGTCGCCTACCTGACAGCTACTCCAGGCATTGTGGTCGTGGCAAGGCTGAAGGCTACAAGCGAAAGGATGGATAGGATTTCTACTCTGTTTTTTCGTCTGTATGAAGCTTCACATGGCATTCCCTGACTATGGAGCCCAATATAAACCCATCACCGAAGCTCAAGCTCAAACCCCTCATCATAGCCACCCTTCTCCAAGCCCGCCGCCTCACCCGCCCTCGCAAACCACCCATCACCACTCCCGCCCCCATTGATGAACCTCGACATAACCCCTCCCCATGTATCCTCACCACCTCTCTCTTCCTCACTCTCCTCCCTCTCGAGATACGCTCGCGCATCTACCACTTCGTCTTCGCGGGCCGGGAACTACATCTCGCTGTGCCGTGGTTCTCGAAGGATAAACCTTTGATGGCGAAATTAAGACACAATGAGTTGGATTCGGAGCCGGGTGGGGGGAAGTGGCAGGCGCGGTGGAGGGGGAGCGTGGCGAGGGGGTATCCTGAGTGTGATCAGTATTTGGAGTTTAAACAGGAGCCGGGGGTGACGGGGGAGTTGCTCGGGCTTCCGCTGTGTTGTCGGCAGGTGTATGTCCCACCCCCGACATCCCCCTAGGAGCTGTAATAAGTGCTCATAGCGAAAGGGAGAGCTAATTGCGAGAAGGTACTACGAGTCAATCAGATTCCTCTACGCCTCCACGGGCTTCACAATCCTACACCCACCCGCTCTAACGATGTTCGTAGATGCCGACCGGAAAGGCGCAGATTTCATGCGCTGGGTGCGCGTGCTACGACTAGAATACGAGTTCTCCGTCCCAGTTCGGGCGGGGGATTTCGATGTCCCTGGTGAGATGGGCGGGCTAAGGCCGGGACTGGATTGGGATGAGGTGTGTCGGTGCTTGGTGCTGATGACGAGGTTGAAGGTGTTGCATGTTACGATATATCCGGTTGATGCGTTGGTGAAGCGGCATTGGGCGGGGGATATGGTCTGGGAGATGCTGGGGGGGTTGGGGATGGCGAGGGCGGAGGAGTTTAGGGTGTCGGTGAGGAAGCCGTTTATGAAGTTTAGGGACGTGTTGGGGGAGGTGCCGTTTGAGTTGTGTGAGGTGTATGAGGATTATTGAGATGTGGGGGGAGGGGGGCTACTTGGGGGTGTTATTAGATGCAATGGATTTCTAGAATGTATCTAAGATGATTATAAGTGTGAAGTCGAGATGCCAGGCGCTATCTTGTATTAGTAATTTCATATTTTACAATGCATCTTAATCATCTATATTGACACCTAAAATAACATTTAAAGTTTTATGATATACTCATATACTCATCTACTCATATTCTCAGAGGAGCGTCGGGGGAATTTCGGGTTATTCTAGAAATAGCTACGGGATGCGCCTGGTAGGGTTCCTTCCCCCATTACCCCGCATTCCCACTTGTGTCCGCCGCCTCTTCCGCACCAAGACATCACATCTCGAAGCTAAGAGTGATCGCTCTTCGGCGTAACTGCTGACGAGCAGCTCTCCATAAGCCTATGAGGTCTCGGTTAGTACTACGTTGGAGCCAGGCTCGGTGTAACTGCCTTCGAGGGCGTGTATCTCAGATACAGCCATCCCCTCAACCTCTCTCCATATCTGAAATCCATAAATTATCATCCCAAACTTATAAATTACCCCGACAAGGGCTCGTACAGCAAACATATCACTTGCATCCCCCAAAATGACGGCCCAGCCACAGATCACCTCCGTAACCTTCGAAAACACACACTCCCTCCTCGCCATCGGCCACGCCAAACCCCGCCTCTCGTGGCGCTTCACCCCGGGCTCCCCCGCTGTCCAAAACTGGAGGCAGCGCGCATACGAGCTTGAAATACGCCGAGGACAGGGCGAAGGAACTGTAGAGTCGTATTCCGTCGAAAGCGAGGATTCTGTCCTGGTTCCATGGCCGAGCGCGGCGCTGCAATCGCGCGATGTCGTACAAGTGAGGGTTAGGGCGTTTGGAGGTGAGAGCAAGGATGGGACGGAGTGGTCGGCGTGGGTTACGGGTGAGGCGGGGCTGTTGAATCAGAGCGACTGGGTAGCGAAACTCATTACGAATCCTGATGTTGATGAGGGTCCATTGAGGCCTGTGTTGTTCAGGAAGGCATTTTCGCTGGGTAGTGAGAAGGGGAAGATTGTTAAAGCGCGGTTGTATACTACTGCGTGTGGTGTGTATGAGGCGTATATCAATGGGAAGAGAATTGGGGATGAGGCGATGGCGCCAGGGTGGACGAGTTATAAGCATAGGCATCATTATCAGGTGTTTGATGTGTCTGAGAGTCTGAAAGCGGATGGAGATAATGTTATTGGTGTTGAAGTTGGTGAAGGGTGGTATGCTGGTCGCTTGGGCTTTCATGGGGGCCAGCGCTTCATTTATGGAAGAGAACTAGCATCACTCGTGCAGCTGGAGGTCGAGTTTGCCGATTCAAGTGAACGTTTTACGCTGATCTCGGACGAGTCATGGACGTGTGGGAAAAGCCCAAGGATTCGGAGTGAGATTTATGACGGCGAAGTTTATGATATGAGAGAGGAACAAGAGGAGTGGAATGAAAGCATTACTACCCCCAATGGCGCCACCTGGGAAGGAGTCAAAGTTCTCCCTCCTCTCACTGCAAAGCTCATCGCTCCAGATGCGCCGCCCGTTACCGTCACGGAAGAGGTCAACCCAGTCGAAATTATCAAGACAAAGTCCGGGAAAACGGTCATTGATTTTGGGCAGAACCTGGTGGGAAACCTACGTGTCAACTCCGTCCGACTCTCTGCGGGTCAGAAGATCTCATTTACGCATGTGGAGGTGCTTGAGAATGGCGAAATCAGTACCCGGCCACTTCGAGGAGCAGTATGCGTTGATACTGTGGTTTTTTCTGATAAAGTGCTCCGCGACTGGTCTCCGAAATTCACGTTCCACGGGTTTCAGTACGTGCAGGTTGATGGGTGGCCAGCTACTATGGATGGTGAACTTCCTTCTAAGTCTGACTTTACTGCTCTGGTCATGCATACAAACATGGAGAGGACAGGCTGGTTCAATTGTTCTGACACCCTCGTTAATAAGCTCCATGAGAATGTTGTTTGGGGTATGCGTGGCAACTTTTTGTCGATCCCGACCGATTGCCCGCAGCGAGACGAGCGTTTGGGATGGACGGGCGATATACAGGTGTTTTGCCCTTCAGCAAATTTCCTCTACAATACTGCTGGTATGTTGAGCAACTGGCTTGAAGATGTTTCAGAGGAGCAGTTTAAGGATGAGGAGAATATGATTCCCGGCATCGTTGTCCCGAATATTCTTCGCGAGATTTGGCCCACGGGTGGGCAGGCGGTCTGGCATGACGTGGTCGTGCTGACTCCTTGGGACTTATATAACTCCTATGGCGATGTAGAGATACTACGCAGACAGTACGAGAGTATGAGAGGCTGGGTAGATAAAGGAGTTGCCCGTGGCCCAGATGGTCTCTGGGACCCATTGACCAGGCAGCTCGGCGACTGGCTGGACCCAGCAGCCCCTCCCGATGAGCCGTCTATGGGCCGCACCGACGGCGTGTTGGTGGCAGATGCCTATCTCGTCCGCGTCACATCGACACTTGCGCAGATCAGCGCCATCCTCGGATGCCCCGAAGAAGTAGAACGCTACTCTGCTGACGCAGTAAAACTCAAAGCCTTGTTTCAGAACAAATACATCACTCCTCTTGGTCTCCTCGTGAGCGACACCCAAACCGCCCTCTCCATTGCCCTTGCGTTCAATCTCCATGAGCAACCAGTACAGGCCGAAGCAGCCGCAGAGCGCCTCTCTCGTCTTGTCCGCACTTCCCGCTTCCGCATCTCCACCGGTTTCGCTGGCACTCCACTCGTTACGCATGCATTGACTCGTTCAGGACAGAGCCAGCTCGCCTACCGCATGCTGCTCGAGCAGAAGTGTCCCTCATGGTTGTACCCCGTCACCATGGGCGCGACAACTGCATGGGAGCGCTGGGACAGCATGCTCCCCGACGGATCGATCAATCCAGGATCTATGACAAGCTTCAACCACTACGCCCTCGGGTCGGTGATTAACTGGCTGCACACTACTGTTGGAGGGATTAGCCCCTTAGCGCCGGGATGGAAAGAGATAATGGTCAGGCCTGTGCCCGGGGGGTCACTGACGTCGGCTGAGGTCAGGTATGAGAGTCCGTATGGACGGATTGAGTGTAGTTGGACGTTAGAGGGGACGAAGTTTGCGATGAAGCTTGAGGTCCCGCCGAATTCGACTGCGGTGGTTATCCTGCCTGATCAGGTGTATGGAGCGGTGGAGGGTGGTAAGGGGCAGGTTGTTGGTTCGGGGACACATGAGTTCTCTTGTGTGTTTGAGATGGGGCCTTGGCCGGAGGAGATTTTTGATCCGTTTAGGGCGGATTAGAGAACTAGTGTCCTTATGGTAGCGAATTGTTATCTGACGCATTGTATTTATGCGGAGCTGCCATTGGGTAAGGAGTATTTACACTCTTTTGCTATGCCTGGGTAGATCAGTGGATGCGTGATATGGTGAGTGGGGGCGCGAATCATGATCTGCACGGACAACAGCGTTATGCTGTGCTCGGGGTCGGGCCATCCCGCCTTATTAGTTTTATCAAAAGAGTATAAATACTCTTTAAGCCTCCGAAGGGTTATCCCGCCTTCCACTTCATGGCAGCCTTATTCACATCCTATTTCACAGGCAGCTTCCCAAGGAATGCTGAATATAGCAACTTGAATACAGTACGTTCAATTCTGCTACGCTTAAGGAGCAAAGCCACGAATACTATGATATATCAAGCGTTCGCTATGAAGGCACGTCTCGAAAGGGGAAGCTCCTTGTGCAGAGAAAAGAAAAAGAAGACAATAACACAACCACATCTTCGATCTAGCAAATGACTCATAGCTCTTTCAACGCGTGTGCGCCCCTCTCCTCACTCAAACTCCGCTTTTGATCTACTTCTTCAGAAAGGTGCAGTCTAGGCAGCCTGCGAGCCACGCGTGGAGGGTCGAAAATATTGTTGGACTGCAAAAAGATCTCGTCTATTTCCTCGAGCGTGCGGCCCTTCGTCTCGGGGAAGCAGAAGTACACAAGCAACGCGATGGCGGCGTTGAAAACGGCATAGATGATAAAATACTTGTGCTTGATGGTGTTTAGGCCAACTGGTGTCACCTCCGCCACCATGAAGCTAAATGCCCACACAGTCGCAGTGGAGATGGCATTGGTTGCCGCGCGATGTTGTAGGGGCGCGACCTCGGCGGCGTATAGGTATGGTAGACCCGAAAAGCCGATCGAGAATATGCCCTCGAACATATAGACAAAGACAACAGCCACGATTAGCGCGCCGCTGTTGCCAGGGTTCGAAGTGGTGCCAGCAAGGATCGCCATGCAGATACACAAGCCTATTGAGGTCCATATCATGAGGATTCGGCGTCCTAGGCGCTCAATAGTGAAATATGCAACAACTCCACCTGCTATGTCGGCAAAGCCAATGCATGCAGACAAGATACGAGCATTTACTGGATCCATTCCCAGGAATCCTTCGAACAGAGTCGTCGTATAGAGAGTAATTGCGTTAATACCGCATAGCTGCTGGAAAAACTGGCCGGCAGACGCGAGGATGGTTCGATGCATGGTTCGTTGCCTGCCCATTTTGAACACGCCCCACCTGGATTCGGACGAAGAGACAGATAGCGAAGCCTCCATGTCACGAATGTCGAAATTAATCGCGTCCGAGTCGGGCTCAACGTCCAATAATAGGGCTAGAATCTCACGCGCTTCATCGCAACGACCCTGTTTGACTAGCCAACGTGGGGACTCAGGTAGGAATGCTACAAAGCCTGCTACCATGAGTAGTAGCACGATTTGAAAGGCAAACGGGAATCTCCACGATACGGAATTCGATCCGACGAAGTAAAATCCGAGATCGAGGAACAAGGCAAGACTGATACCAGATCCGATGAAGGCCGTGTTGGCGACTAGGCTGGCTCCACGATCACTTGCGCGCGAGAGTTCTGATTGCCAGACAGGGACTGTTGCCAGGTACCCGCCGGTTCCCAGACCAAGTACTAGCCTGGCAACTATAAGTTGGGCAGTTCCGAATGCCGTTGCCATCAGAATTGCACCGATCATGGCTACCGAGGCAGCAATGGCGATGACACGCCTACGTCCCAAGCGATCGCCGAAATAGATGCATAATAAAGAGCCGAAAATTCCCCCTATATTATACAGGCCCATGACGGTTCCTATTAGAGCACGTTAGAAAACTTGATCGGGGCGAGGCCAACGGTTCTCAACGGCTACCAACCTAGGATTTGGGAGTTATAATGTTGTTCGGCGCCCGTAGTAGTGATTGTATTCAACAGGGGGAATGTCTCAATAAAGGAGTTGAGGGTCAATAACCCCCCCATCACTGCCAGATTGTACGCATAACAACCAAACGCCGGCCACACAACCAGAAACACAATTGCTCTATTGAGCGACGAGCCCCGAAGGCCAAAATATTTCTTCATTTTTGGGCATCAATGGAACGAACAGAGATGGGGAATGCCAAACTTACATCTCCACAGATCAGCATATTTCATATATCTTTTTTTTTCGCGTATTTTGTTCCCGAGGGTTTGAGCGGGGTATGCGCGGCGGCTGCCGCCGATAAGGACGCCAAGCTTCTGACTTGTGGGGTAGTGATCTGCCAAGTTTGTGGGGAAAGTGGCGGTCCCCGATAACTGGAAATTCAACCCCACACCTACAGGCGATGACATTGCATGTATGAGTGCTATATAGTAAAGCAACTGTTTGTCATAACTTCGGAAACGATCGAGCCTCGGTGTAGACGACCTTGAGCGGCAGCTTTCGGACTACAACATGATTGGATTTCTCTCATTGACCACCTCACTTACTTCAATCCCCTGTTACGCCACCACCCCGCGTTACACTATTCCCCGCATTCCGCCATCTTATTTCTCCCGAGATTTGCGCCACATTCTTTCCTACATTATCGTGCATCCGGGCTCCTATAATCACTCGAACCTCTTATCTCCGTTATTTCTCATGTCGATATATCGTATCTGCGTTATTTCTTATGTTGGCATCTCGTCAATACGTAAAGGTCGGAAGCGGCCGGACACCGAGCCAAGACACAGGCGACCATGTTTCCCTGTTGATCCTGCCATCTCCCATCCACCACATAGACTTTAGTTACTGTTACATGATACTGCGTCGGCGAAGATCGTCTTCCAATTCAGTAGGTGTTCCAATTCAGTAGGTGCAGCCTTCGATCTTCGTCGTGCTTGGTAGGTTTGTCTCTCTAGTACGATTGTCATCCAGCTCGAGGATATATAAATACGCTCTCCTCAGGATGGCAGAGCGATCCAAGAAGTGAGCATCGATTTGAATAGCTTTTCGTTCATTATGTTTAAAACCTTTTTCGGACTTTCGAGGATACCCGCAGTGGCATGGCTATGTCTTGGGATGTTTTATGCCTCCAGCACGATGGCCATGACATATCCATACACAGTCTATCGCGGTACATTCATTCATCATCCTCGGCTTAATTCGAGCTCTGCCAAGCCGGAGCTCGTTCGAAATCAAGGTGCCCTGTGGGTCTCGTCTGAAGATGGCCGCATCAAGGGATATGATTGGAACGTCCACGATGATGCCAGCTTCCAATCATTCTTGTCTAACCATGGCTGGATTGCTACCAAAGCTGGAACTAATAAAAATTACAAGTCACAGACTAGAGTTAAAGTTGTACAGTCCAATGACACACGGAACGAGTTTTTCTTTCCGGGATTCATTGGTATGACCGGTCTACCTTAATGACCATATATTAGAACTGACCATGTAGATACCCATATCCACGCTCCGCAGTTCCCCAATATCGGACTGTTTGGATCATCAGGTCTTCTGGACTGGCTAGACGAATACACCTTCCCAGTAGAAGCTAGCTTCGGCTCAAAGTCAGACCCAAACAACGAGGACACAGATCCTAAAGACACCCCCCTGGAGGGTCTGCGCGTCTATGATCACGTCGTTGCTCGTACTCTTGCCCACGGCACAACATGCGCATCATACTTTGCCACCATTCATGTCCCGGCTACTAACGCCCTCGCAGCACTCTGCCACTCTCATGGCCAACGTGCATTCATCGGCCGCGTCTGCATGGACAACCATGATCAATGCCCATCTTACTACGTTGATGAGTCCGCCGAGTCGGGTCTTAACGCAACTAAGTCGACAATAGATTATATCCACACCCTTGACCCGAACGGAACATTGATCAACCCAATCATCACACCTAGATTTGCCATAAGCTGCTCAAACAGCTCCCTTGATGGGCTTGGAAAACTAGCTGCATCCTACGATCCGCCCTTGCACATCCAAACGCATATCTCTGAGACCACCAGCGAGGTCGACCTCGTCCACCAACTGTTCCCCGAGGCAGCCAGCTACGCCGATGTCTATGACAAGGCTAACCTGCTTACATCTCGCACCATCCTCGCCCACGCGGTACACCTCACCAAGGACGAACGCACCCTCGTCCGCGAACGCGGCTCTAAAATCGCACACTGCCCTGCCTCAAACTCTGCTCTGGGCTCTGGGCTTGCAGTTGTCCGCACTATGCTCAATGAAGGACTTACAGTTGGTCTAGGCACGGATGCGAGCGGTGGGTACAGCCCCAGTATCCTTGAAGCGGCCAGACAGGCCTGTCTTGTGTCTAGATTGGTTGGCTACAGCACCGAGTTCCCTGAAATATCGGGTAACGCAACAGCAGATGGATCTGAGAAACTTTCAGTTGTTGAAAGTCTTTACCTCGCTACACGTGGTGGCGCAGCAGTGGTTGACATGGCCGACGATATTGGAGGCTTCGATGAGGGGATGATATGGGATGCGCAACTGATTGAGTTGGGTGCTGTGAAGAATAGCACTACTAATCCGCTTGATGCAGCGCACGTCAGTTGTGTCACTACTGAGTCTCTTCTTGAGTCTGGACCTGTGGGCAATGTTGATTTGTATGGAAATGAGACTTGGGAGGAGCAGGTTGAGAAGTGGATGTGGAGTGGTGATGATCGGAATGTGAAGAATGTGTGGGTTCAGGGGAAGCTAGTGCATACTAGAGAGTAGATGAGCGGGCTTTCTTCTTTCTAGTATATTTGTTGTGGTGTCTATTTTATTCTATTTCATATGTATATATGGTAACGTGTTGTTATTACACGGGTTGAGAACAGGATTCCAACTAAATACACTACTTTACCACTGCCACATGCCCCTTTTGTGCGGGTACAGTGCAATCCAGCCTCATCATCCTCCCAAAAATTACAGATATGGCTGGTTTTAGTCACTGTTCCTTTTTATTCAAAACCTCGAGAGTCTCCGGATTATGGGCGACATCATGACCATGCTGGTCTTTAAACAGAACCTACATATTTATTTAGCACCACCTTCCCCTCCTACCGAATTCTATCACAATACCTTTGGAGGGTATTTCACAAGCTTCCTCTCTGCGTCTTTCTCATCCAAGACTACTTTATCAGCCTATCTACATTTTAGTCTCCGTGTAATTAGCTACCCGCTTACCGCCCCGAAACTTAGTAAAGACGGTGTCGCCCTCCTCAATTGGGGTCCCTGTCCTGTCTTGGATTTCGCTAAGGATGGATGAATGAAAAATTATACGGAGAAGGACAAGGTCTATTTAACTATCGTTCTGTACCCCAGGACAAGCGTGGGGAAACTCGGGCAATTGCAATGTCGCATTACATCGTGAAAGAGAGTTTAAGGGTAGTTTTTTATATTTGGTGTTTTGTTAGAATACATGCGAATCAGGGGTTGTCATTTAAGGTTAGTTAAACGGCGGCAAGCTCCATTACGTCAACGATATATCATGACGCGCATTGCTTTGAGAACTAACCTCACTTCTCCCAAGAAAAATAGATGGGGGACTGTCAAAAGCATAATGGTTTTTGAAACATAAGCTGCCAATATATGAAAAGGATATAAGGAGACATGAACTTACAAATGCTCTGCTATAACTCTCAAATTCATGGCGTTTTCTAGCATCCTCTACATGCGGAATATATGATTTGATAAACAAATAATTCTTTTGCTGCGGCTTAAATTAATCTTTCTTGGTGCTTACCATTCACAATCCATCAAAGCTTAATTTTTGTTAATTTTCCGTACCAGTCATGTTCGAAGCACTCGAGAGACAGATTCGTCGGTGTGATGGTGATCTATGGGGCAATTAGAGGCGGTACCAGCCTTTTCGACTACGGCTAGTGCAGAAACCAATCCCATTCAGCCCATTCAGTCGTTCAAATGACTACTATACAACAGATCCTCATTTTTTAAAAACATATATCGGAAGCTGCGACTGCGGCTTTGCTTAATAATCGTTCTTTCCATATCTATAACCTAAAAGTTTACCTGAAAGTCTACGGGGAAGCTGCGACTGCGGCTTGCTTGGTAATCGTTCTTTCCCTATATAGCGCCTGAAAATCCCAAGGAAGCTGCGATGGAGGGTTTGCTTGGTAATCGTTCTTTCCATATCTCGAACCTGAAACTTCCAAGGAAGTTGCGACTGTGGCTTGCTCGGTAATCGTTCCTTCCATATCTAGAACTATATCTTGAACCTGAAAATTCTGAGCAGATGCAGCAGAGAATCCACCTCATCAAACCAGGGAGATCGCAAGTTCTGGTCCTCTCGACTAATACCTTGTCTACAGGAGTCTCCTGTCTCCTTGTCTCTCTCTCACCAAATGAGTCGGACCCCTTTTTTCTCCGTCATATGGATTCCAGATAGATATGCGAATTTCTTAGTTTGATGATGATTATAACATCACTGGTATCATCGACTGGGAACTGGCCATTTTAATTCAAAAGGCTCGGCATTCCAATCGTCTCTCTTGCTGTACAATCTGGGTGAACTGTATCATAAATGTCTCTCAACGCCAAGCGAAGATGAAAAGCGTCTCTCTACGACAAGCAGGCACTTGACAAGTATGGCGGAGGTGGCCTATGGGAATTATAACTGTCGAGAAAAAGATCTTCGGCCGCAACGACGCCATGTTACCCAGAACACGCGCGCATTGTATTAAAAGTCATCAAGCACGAGCAACTTATATAACCAAATATCAAATTTCGGCGTTATCAGATAACTGTATCCCCTGCCAAGAACTATCAACAACGTGCTTGCTCCACGAAAGCTTGGTACCGCGCACGTGTCGCCCCGACGCCCCCAGATTGGCGCTGAGATGAAATTACAGAACAACAACAACCATGCAAACAGCAGCAATACGACAACGCCATCACTGAAAGACTTACGACTACAGCGCTTTGGATCGTGTTGGACCCTATTTTATAACTTCCGGCGATGGATAATTAACGGACAAATACGAATGTCTCTATGCTCCTGTCTAATTGGTTATATGCCAAAATGCGCAGCAGAGTACCTGGAGCTTGTCTGACCCTGGGCGATATTGAATTGTTTTGATATAAGATCTACCATGAATCCATCTCTTTTTACGATGCTCACAGTGTTCAACTCCACTACTCACCTTTATACAGTCGTTATTTGCTGCTTCAACATGGTGTCTCGTTCTCTGTTTACTGCCGGCGCTGCTGCCCTTTCTGTCTTTGCAACCGTTGATGCTACTTCATCGTACCTCAAGTACAGTACCGTACCTGGTTACTTCCTCCAGGATATTGATTCCACGGCGACTGATGGATTTGATTATGTAAGACTATATATTGTTAAAGTGACTATACGCGGCAACTGACACATCCCAGACCGCGACAAACTTTGGCTTGATTGACCAATCCTATGACTCGGACGCGTCCTTTGATCCTGAGGGCACCAAGACCCAGTGGGAGCGTTTTGAGAACGAAGTTACCGCGTTGAATATCGCCAGTAGCGCCGATGAGAGATATGCTGTTCTCTACCTCGGTCGCCATGGTGAGGGTTACCACAACGTTGCCGAGTCCAGCTATGGAACGCCGGCCTGGAACGTAAGTATGCCTATGTCGGTCCTTGACAAATGCTAATTTTATGCAGTGCTACTGGTCGGAGCTTGATGGCAACGGAACCTTCGTCTGGGCAGACGCCAAGGTCACGCCGAATGGCATTGCTCAGGCCGAAAGGGCCCATGCCTTCTGGACCTCGCAGATTGCTTCCCAGAAGCAGTCTCTTCCAGAGAGCTTCTACACCAGCCCCATGAGCCGCTGCCTCGAGACTGCCAAGCTCACTTTCGAGGGTCTCGTGGCCCCGTTCACGCCTCTCATCAAGGAGTACCTCCGCGAGGGCATCTCGATGCACACCTGCGATCGCCGCAGCACCAGGAGCTACATTGCCTCCAACTACCCAGGATGGCCATTCGACGCCGGCTTCACCGAGAAGGATGAGCTATGGACCAAGACCACTGCTGAGACCCCCTCTGCCCAGGATGAGCGTTCCAAGGCCGCCCTGGACTCGATCTTCTCGACTGACCCAAGCAGCTTCCTCAGTATCACCAGCCACTCTGGTGAGATTGGAAGTCTTCTCCGTGTCGTTGGTCACCGCAAGTTCAGCTTAAGCACTGGCTCTGTCATCCCAGTTCTTGTCAAGGTTGAGAAGGTCCAGGGCGATGCGCCATTCACTTCCGTTGCACCATGGGAGGCACAGGCTACTTGCAATGCTCCCCCGATCACCAGCCTTGCTGATGTAGGATGTGTTTGCTCGTCCACAACATCTGCTTCCGCATCTGCTACCACTTCTGCTTCCGCTTCCGCCTCTGCCTCTGCCTCAGCAACTGGTTCCGCAACTGATTCCGCAACTGATTCCGCGTCTGCCTCCGCATCTGCCTCCGCTACTGGTTCCGCTTCCGCCTCCGCTTCTACTACCACTGGTGCTGCGAACTCGACCTTATCTTACACAACCTCCACTGTCTACGCGACTTCCGTCCACACTATTACCAAGTGCCCAGCCACTGTTACGAACTGCCCCATTGGCTCTGTCACCACCGTCACCTATGTGGACTACACCGTAAGTTACTGCTCCGCGCAGTTACTGCCCCGCGCCTCTTCATCCCCTTAAATTGTCTAACATCTATAGACTGTCTGCCCTGTCGGAACGGTGCCAACCGTCACCCCCGAGGCTCCATACCCATCGGCGAACGGCACTACCGTCATCCCACAGAAGCCTTCCTCGTCCATCTTGCCCACCGAGAGGCCATCCACTATCCCTAGCAGCGCGACAAGCCTGCTTACTTCCAGCATCGCTATGACTGCTGGATTTGCATTGTTTGCTTTCTGGATGTAAACTGATTTATACCTGGAGATTGTTTAATGTAATAAATCGTGTGTTATTTGTACATACATACTATATTCTTCCTATCAATTGCGCACATTATTGAGCCCTCTCCCTCGCATCATCTCCAATCTCTCAAAACGATCCTTTCAAAACCAAACAGATTCTAGCATATGATGAATGATCGTAGCATCTTAAAAAGCTTCGAATCCAAAAACAACACCAACTCCTAACTTTCTTAACCCGCACCTCGATTTAGAAGCGAGACTTTGATAGTCAGTCCCCAAGCGCATACAGCTCCTTCCGATTCCCATCATAATCCAACGGCGCAAACTTCCACCACCCCGCATTCCACTTCCCAAACACCCTCGTGAGCACAAACCTCACCGGCGCCTGTGTCTCACATTAGCCCCTCCATCCCACCCCCATAACCCCGTACCGATATAACGGAGACAAACTCACAGGTATAGCCGGGAAATTCCTCCACAATCCCCCCTCAAACCCCCTATCCAAATTCACAAAAAACATATGTCCCCCCTCCGTCCTCACCGCTCCCATCCCCACCTTCTGAAACTCGATCGCGGCGAGTTTCCCAAGGGGGAGGGCATCGCCGTAGCGTCGGAGGGAGAGGAGGGAGGGGATCTCGTCGGCGAGGTGAGTCGTTAGGGCGGGGGCAAAGGAGTCGATTATGGCCAGGAGTTTGGGGGCAGAGAAGGAGGTGCCGGTGGGGAGGAGGGATTGGAGGTAGGTGTTGTAGGATTCGATACCGGCTTCGAAGGCGTCTAGGGGGGGGTTAGTTTGGGTCTGTAGGGGGAATGCTTAGGGTTAGGGGTGAAGGGTAGGGGTAAAGGTTAGGGGTGAAAAGTTAAGGTTGAGGAAAGGGGGTGAAGTACGGTGTTGCTCGACATTAACCTCCATAAGCCCCTTCTCAGTCTTCTCCTCGATCTGCGGGAAAAATCGATCCTCCTCGCCGCGGTGGTGATTCGTGATCAGCTGGTACCAGCATAGGCTATATCCGATGAAATCTTTATAATCCTCTGGCTTGACGTGCGGAGCTTGGAGATAGATGCTGGATTCCGTTAGTCTATAAACTATAGAGGGGTGTGAGGTGGGGTTAGGGGGAAGGGTACCTGTTGAGCGCGCGGATCATAGTGTTATGTGCTATAGCCATTTGGCTGGCGACGGTTACGTATTGGTCGACTGGCTTGTCGGGGCCTTGGGTGAAGAGGGGGGTTGGGATTAGTTTGAATGGACCGTCGGCCCAGGGTTTGGCAGGTGCCATTGTTGAGAGTTGTTTGTGAGTTGCGTTGGGAGTTTGAGAAATCTGGCGGTATTTTGATGGTATTGGGATACCACGCAGGAGTGAGAATTTGAATAACCTTGGAGTTGGATGGCTGTAGATTCTGGTGATATGCTTATTATTTAACATTATGGGCCGGACCTGCCACTCTGGAAGAGCTGACGCGTTAGTTATACGTCTCCATGTCTACCGCGGCAGTTAGGGTCATATAACTGCATGACGCGGTACGACGGCCTCGAACGCTCTCCGGGAGGGCGAGATGTAAGTTTTCATAATCGTGGGACAATAAGGCTGTAATATTTCGACATCATGGAGCAGCAAGGCTGAGAGTTTTACTGGTATACCACCAATGATATGAGTGATACTTTGCGTGAGGTTGTAGTTCAGAGGTCGGTTGGGGAAGCATAGATGTTGTACTGGCCAATCGGGTGATATATAAACTCCGAGAAGCCGTCTGATGGGAAGGTTGCCTTCACTTTGATAACTAACATCAACAAAAATATTGATGATGAGGAAATTGGAGATCTGGAATTTGAGATTCGGAATTAAGAATTAGGCTTCGGTATTCGGCTGATGTCTTTTGATTTAGCCATCGGTATTGAAGAACGAGGGAGGCCGAGGAGGGCTGAGTGCAGTATCTCCAGTCCGGTCTTGCATGCTTTCTAATGTTTCACATGGAATGATACAGCTTGTTACACCTCAACAAGTCTAGGCCTTCTATTTTAATAGGTCATAGTGTACCATATGACTAATCATAGCGGGCTTCAACAGCAGTATTACAGGTTAGTAAACGAAGTGGGTATTGGGAGCTTCCGATTCAAGTCAAGATATACTGTGCAAGTCGAAAGTGACTGGAAGTCAATGTCTATCTGACCCCTAAAATGGCCGTGTATCCTATTTGGTATCCAATTCTAAACCTCAATCGCCTTCCAGAAAGCCATGCTCTCATTTCCCTCCAAAACCGTCGCGATTGGAGTCAAAGATGCACCCTGAAGCGAGTTCATATACATCTGAGCCACCTTAATCCACGTAGCCTTCTCCGCCTTGCTCGCCCCCTGGCCTCTCCAGACCCAGATAGCCTTTCCAACATCGAGGATGAAGACATCATCGCCGTTAAGATCCGATCTCAAGATAGCTTCACCGTCCTTGATGAGATCGAGAGTTAATTGGCCTGAGGCATCGCTGAGGCGGAATAATCTGGTTGGTCGTCCAGCCTCGGTGCCCTGCTTCTCAGCAGTGGAGACGGGCCTGGGGCATTGCAGCTCCTGCTGGGTGACGTCCTTGCCTCCCAATAAGCCAACCACAACTCTAGACCTCGATTCTGCTTGCGAGAGAACCTCAACATCAATGTGCTTCGCGAGAGTCATATCATGGACCACCTGCGCCGCCTTTGCCTTCTCCATAGGGCTGCACTTCTTCCCCTGCCACACCCAGATTTTGATACCCGTATCCAAGACGAACACGTCGCCCTCGTCGAGGCTCTCCCAGGTGGGCTGGACCTCATACACCATGATCCCAGAACCTCTCTTATTCGCTGGCGCAAAGATGCGCAACAGCGTCTTGATCTCCTCCTTCTCAACCTCCCTCTCCACGTGACGGAAGCCCGACTTGACGCCCCCAGTCAAGATCCTAATGATCGGGAACAGGGACAAGAAATCCTCCGAAGGCGACGCCTGTACCTCTCTGTGCTGGATCGCCGCGCCCTTCAAGAACTCGTCGAGCTCGACTGTCTTATAAGCTGCGGTGCCCGCCTCATCATGCGTGGTCTTGCTGCCTAGCCAGAAGAAGATATCGTGTCCAAGCTTCTTATTCGCATCCTTACCAACCTCGTAGGAATGCAGCACAATATAGCTGTCCCCCTCGTAGAACTGGCCATACCGCTCCTTCGGCCACTGCACAACCTGGAACTCCTCAATGCGCCAGATGCGTAGTCCGGCTACAACGCCAACCTCGCCGTTGTTCCAGGCGGGCTCGGTGGCCGCTGAGGCATACTTGAGGTTGTGGTCGATGTCGGTGCCAATCAGCTCGACGTTGGAGTCCTTGACGTCATACTCCTTCAGATGTGTTAGGCCGTCGTGGGGTGGCATTTTTAGGTTTGATGGGGGGGTTAGGCTTTGGGATAGAGGGGGAAGGTTGAGAACAGGGTGGTGCGGGGTTATTGTAGTCACGTGATTTATCATAAATTACCCCTGTTTCATAAGGAGAACTTATGCAGATCAATGACGATTATGACAGGTCAGCTTAAATGCAGATAATTGTTCTTTTCATATATTGCGCCCATACCATACATAGTTGCATTTTTTGCCTTGCTCTTTATATGCGGTCTCCTCATACGGCTGCTTTCACACATTCGCGTTCTCGGCGTTCACAAAAAATACCACCCGACGCTGCCACCCACTTCCGTAACACATTCGTATCCGTCTATGAGGTAATGTCGCACATGTATCACTTCAATAATGCAACATAAAGAATTCCATGAAACGTAGTGTAATGTCTTAAATTTGCGTACGTGCTCGATTCTTATTTCTAGAGCCATGTGGCTGTAGAACCGAGACTTGTCTCAGCGGAGTTAACATTCCTGCCGCCTATCCGGAAGATTATCATACGTAAATACAATACTGCATATATTCCAACCTTCTGAGTCATGTTCTAATACGGGTAAATCCAATATCTTTATAGGATTCAGTATCCAGTTCATTCAGTGGCCTGTCTACAGCAAGGCGTCGTAATTTTGTATACGCCATCACAGTATATGATGGCATTCTGGCTAAGCTTTCTCGGCCCCTGTAACAACCCCACAAAAAAGGAACGTGGTGACTCAAAATATCCCCTGCGAGTGGACAACAATCGCGGCCAGACGGCACCATTAGCGCCGTCAAAGAACTTTGATGACGCTAAAATGTCGGTGTTTAGTTGCCTCCGTCCCTACGAGGAACTTCGTTACGTGCGTAGTACGTAGCCTCGGGCCATTGATTTCGATATTAATTGTGGCGGCTCAATATATGAACCGAATCTTTTTCCACCCGGTGGGGTTTTATCTTTTCTCTGTATAGCATCGTTATTATCAGTTTATTGCAGTCGTTTCTGCAATTCCAATCGCTACGGTTCAATATGGAGAAGGAGTCGGCGCCTGAGAGGAGTCCCTCTCCGGCCACGGAGTCGACAAAGACGAAGGATGAAGATACGACGCCACAGCAATCAGATCAAGATGTTGCACCAGCACCAGCACCACTGGAGCCCGAGAAGGAACGGACAGCTCTTCAGACTGCGGTTCTCATGTTCGCCTTATGCGTAAGTTTCCCCCGCCACTTCTGCATTTGCCACTCAGACTGACCCCGAACTTAGGCGTCTGTGTTCCTTGCCGCCCTCGATGTCACGATCGTTACCACCGCGCTACCTACCATATCCTCATACTTCAAGACTTCTATGGCCTACACATGGGTAGGGTCCGCCTACATGTTGTCCAGCGCCGCCTCAACACCTATATGGGGGAAAGTGAGCGACATCTGGGGACGCAAGCCGATCCTGCTGGTCGTGTCGGCTATTTTCTTTTTTGGGAGTGCACTTGCGGCCGCAGCTATAAATATCGACATGTTAATTGCCGGAAGGGCTGTGCAGGGTCTTGGTGGAGGAGGTCTGTTGACGTTGGTCAACATTTGCATCTCGGATTTATTCTCTATGAGGTAAGCTTACATCTACCTGGTTACTATGCTTTTATGCTGACTCTGATAGGAATCGCGCGAAATATTACGGATTTATTGGCATGACGTGGGCGTTTGCAAGTGCGATTGGGCCCATCCTTGGTGGAGTCCTAACAGAGAAGGTGTCTTGGAGATGGTGCTTTTATATTAACCGTAAGCCACTCCCTTCACATGCCTGTCAAACACCGACTAACTAAGCTATAGTTCCTATTACCGGTGTGGCATTTTTCATCATTGCCTTTTTGCTGCATCTCGACACCCCAAAGACGCCCGTTGTCGCAGGATTGTTGGCGGTTGACTGGCTTGGAAGCATTTCAATCGCAGGCGCGACCGTGATGTTCCTACTGGGGCTTACTCTCGGTGGCGTCATTCACCCATGGGATTCTCCCATTGTGCTCTGCCTGTTAATATTTGGACCTCTACTCTTCGTTATCTTCCTCGCGATCGAGTGGAAGGTAGCGAAATACCCAATTATGCCTCTGGAGATGTTCGAGAACACATCCAACATCGCATCCTTACTTGGGGTATTTTTCCACGGCATGATGATGGTGATTGGTTCGTTTTTCGTGCCTCTCTACTTCCAATCTGTCCTGGGCGCCACGGCTCTGTTATCTGGTGTCTGGCTGCTCCCTCTTGCTCTGTCATTATCATTTAGCTCTGCCGGTACAGGCTTGTACATCTCCAAAACCGGTCGCTATATGGATTGTATCCGGGTAGCCTTCACTCTCTCCGTCCTCGGCTTTGGGCTCCTTTACGATCTCCCGCTGGGCAAGACATGGTCAAAGATTATTATCTACCAGATCATCTGCGGATTGGGTGTCGGTCCTAACTTCCAGAGTCTCTTGCTGGCGCTGCAAAACCAGGTGAAACCGCATCACTACGCCTCCGTTACAGCGACACTCGGATTCACTCGCAACCTTGCGACGGCCATCGGCGTTGTGGTCGGAAACGTCGTCTTCCAGAACAGCATGCTCAAGCAAGAGCCGCATCTGAAAGCCAACCTCAGTCCGCAAGCAGCTGAAATGCTGTCAGGGAAGAACGCAGAAGCGAGTGTGTTCTTTGTTAACACGCTTCCTGCCCTGGAAAGAGATATTGCAAGAGCGGCATACTATGCGTCTTTGAGGAATGTTTGGCTTACAGCTATTGCGTTCGCAGCGGCAGGACTTATTTCTTGTATATTTATCAAGGGTCGTAAACTTAGCAAAGTTCACGAGAAGGTCGAGACGGGACTTGCGGCCGAGGAACGTAAGGCGAGAGATAGGAAGGCGGCTGCGGAGGCGAAGGCGGCTGGTGAGAAGGATATTGTATGAGGGCTTATGCCTCATATGGGAATTATCTGTCATTTTGGAGCGGCATTTGGTTTGGCATATTTTGGGGGGATACCACAAAACGGATATACTTGCATATATTAGGTCATAGCCACGGAGTACGGCGCTGGATATATATTACTACATATGACTAGACATTAAATAAAAAATAATAGCTCTTTGAATGTTTTCCAGCTGCGCAATATTAAGTCTGATTTATATTTATAACCAACCAGGACTGACTTTCCTGTTATAAGGTTTAGTCATCTCTATGAGCTCTATATTAGCTGTGCCTTTCCCAACCTACCACCCATCATCTCTCCCTTACTCCATGAATATATCCACGCCTAGCCCATCGCCCCAAACTCTAACAGAACTCCCCGGCACAGAAACCTAAAAATTTATGCGCCTTCCCCACCTGGTATAAACTCCACCCATCTAGGGACTTTCCATCCCATCGTGTAAACCCCACTTAAATAAGGACGATACCAGATAGCAAAGCCAGAAAACCAGCCAGCAGATATGGCGAATAAACACTCTTTTGCGCCGAAGATTGTGTCACAAAAGTCTTATCGTCGTCTCGAATTGTTCCCGTTCGATTCGTCAGCACCGCAGGGCATTCGACCCGCGTAAAATTCGCGCTGTGGGAATTATTAGTTACAAATTTGCGAGGATCAAGGTGCTGTAGAGAACTTACGTCGGTCGCTGGGCATCTAGAAACCAATTGAACCGCCAATGACACGGCGCTTGTAGAGCCTTGGGCAGCTTGTCGCACTGAGAAGCTGTAATGAGACCGACATCTGCCTCGCCGAAGACTGTATTAGAGACGCCGTATTGGAGCGCACATGCCGCGGCATAGCTTGTATTTCCGCCTGGAATCTGGATTATGTGAGCTTGTGTGACTCCTATATCCGCAGATGCTGGTGGCTTACGGCAAGAGCAAATCTATTCGCAGTGTGTACATCATATCCCGTATTGTGAACCTGGATGACCATTCGTTTCCCCTTCACCTCCCCGCTCGTAAAGTCCAGCTGGTAACAAGCTCCACACCACGCATCCTCAACATATCCCGGGAACGACGCCCCCGCGAAGCCGTAGGAGAACGTATCGTTAACCGCCCAGGGCGATTGATCAGCGCATAAGAATGCATTCCCGCCATTACACCCAGTGCCGGCGTCGAAGTCGCTGAGATGGGTGTTATTGCTGTCGCAGGAGAAGACGGGGGAGTTGAAGCTGGCTTTGCCTTTCCATCCGCAGGAGGGCTTGCAGCAGTCCCAGTAGCGGTCTGTTATGGCGGGACCGGAGGTGGGATAGGAGGCCGATGTGAGGGAGGGGAGGAGGAGGAGGAGAGAGAGGATTATATGTTTTGACATGGTTGGCGTGGCACTTCCATATATTTAGACAAGACTGGTTGAATATGAAGAAAGGCAATTGACGTCTGCCATGGCGGTAGATAAAAAGTCCAACCCTGGAGCAACCAAGCTCCCCATATTAATGGCTTGGTGGTGCTCAGGAGTTCTCCGCAAGCGCTGTCTGATCCTCTGGCCGTCTAGTATTGCCCTAGCCGTTGTGGGGAACCTTGTCCAGAAGCCGCCCTCCTATCAAAGCTGTAATCGACTTCCCTCGGGCCTCTTATTAGTAGGCTACCCGAGCAGAGCACGAGCAGAGCACACGCTTCCGGTTTCACGCATGACTCCACTCAGAAAACTAAGCTACAATGCCGCCATGGTGGTGTTGGACTACCAATTGCTTGTTCGATCTAGAGAACGCGCAATACAGATCCGTCGCAGGGACTGTTGGCTAGACCAAAGCGTAGCGTGTGGGAGATTAGTTGCGCAGCGATAACCCTGTGCAAATCGTAACCAAGAGGTAACAACCTAGACCTCCCAGGGTCAAAGCGAGCGCCATACTCGTTGGCCGCTGCAGATGTCTCACATGTTTTTACCCGAGTAAGACACAGTTACGACGCTGTATGCGCGACCGCACAAGAGCAGTTGGAGATCCATAGGCCCTGGCAGTTTTTAGTCGTCGACCGGCTTTTGCTTGCATGGCTTACCAGGCAGTCGGTTGGTAGGAATCAGGGGGAATATACCCCGCATTTGGCCCGACTCCATTCAATGTCCCGCTATAGCCCCTACACCCATGGTCCGCATTGTCTTGGACCTTGCGAGTTCTCGGCCCTTAATGAGGAATTCATGCATTATTAGTGGCTGACGCCCTTGACCAGAGTTACATGTATAGAATGTCACGGCTGTAAGCGGTTAGCAGATGGATCTCTCCATATACGCCAAGTCCGCTCTCATTGAAGATCATACCTGTTATAGAATTGGTCGAAAGGAGAGTAAGACTCCGCGATCAGACCCCATTAGTCGATCAATTGTGAGCCTTTAATTTAGTAGGCAACCTTTTTCGAAAAGGCGTGTGTTCTGTGTTCCTCAAAAGCTGTAAACCCACGTCCTGCAAAATATTACATGTCAATTGCCAGACCTGACTCCTTGGCTTCGTGGAGATGTGAACCGCGTCACGGTAGTTACGATGGGAAATTATCCACTACAGGATGTCTGTCTAGCGGTGATATGCGGCACACCGGTAATCGCGGCCATCTGCACTGGTCTGCGTGTACTTGCTAGGAGGAGAATCGGTGTGAAGTTGATGGCAGGTAAGCTTTCTTTCCACCTGCGTATAGCGGAGCCGCACTGACAGGGAATTGCAGACGACTGGCTCGTTATTGCTGCTACTGTATGTTGAAATGTAGAGCTGCCTACCCATTAACGGATGTTGATAGAACAACTAGGTCTTGTCTATAGCATTAATTGGCCCTTCGTATGAGTGTATGTTACATCGCCTTCTCGTTACCAAAGAGCCCACTAACTGTCATGTAGATGTCAAGCTATGGCATATCGGAATCCACATATGGGACGTCAGTCAGCAAGATATGGAGCCTCCATTTGACAGGAATTATCATGTCAGTTTATCCCATGCTTACAACGCGGCAGGATACAGTCTAATACTAACTTCTAACAGGTTCAGCTCAGCTTTAACTTGATAAATTACCTCATCCTACCTCTCGTCAAAGTATCGCTCATAATGCTGCTGCTTAGAGTTGCATCCATCATCGATCGTGTCCGCATTGCTCTCTACGCATTGCTTGGCATAGTCACAGCAGCTGCCGTTATTCCCTGGTTCATCATGCTCTTCATGTGCCCGCCGAGGACTGGCAACACCTGGGCTCCCACGACTTTTGGGGGTGCTCGCTGCGTTAATCGCGTTCGGATTGGGGAGCTACAGATATTCGTCACTTCGTTCAGCCTTTTAACGGACTTATTGGTGCTTCCTATACCATTCATCATCTCACAGAAACTAGTGAGCTTATCACTCCGATCTCGGCTGGTCATAGGCGCCATATTTGCCTCAACTCTAGCGTAAGTGATACGCACGTCCAGCGCTAGGCATGTCAAGTTCATCTCACTAACGCTACGGTTCTATATCTAGTGTGACAGCGATCAGTGCGGCCAAGATATATCTTACTTATCTTGATAGACTATACGTTGTAGCTGAGCCGGACTGGACATATCCGATCGATTACTGTGTAAACCATATCGAGAACAACGTAGCCATTCTCGTCGCATGTCTCCCAACCTACCGTGGGCTCTTCACTAATGCGGCAAATCGAAATAAACCTACTGCAGCCACTGCAGATATCCGTCGTACCTACCCAACGTACGGTATGGGGTCAAGACCAGGAGACGTGGTCTTATCCAATGTTGAGGTCGATGGTGTCAATCCGACAAGGAAGGGTAACGACGTGGGCATGGCTACCATTGTTACTGGTCTAGTAACTCAGGACAGCAAGTCTGGATCCATTGACCTAGAGTCAGGAGGTGGCAGCTCACATAGCAGAGACTACAGACACGATAGCATGGCTGACTTGGTTGGGAAACGTTAACGTTATGATAATATGAATATGAAGAACAACAACGCTCCAAACGTATGCATCGCGGTGCTGGCTTTCTCATGTTTTGTCTTCCATTAACTTGACGTATACGGTAATAAGGATTGCTAAGGTCTACATGCTTGACGGAATCAATAATTTGACAGAGCAAGCCATCGGCGACAAACGTGCATTCGGGTTATTGCGAATGAGTTTATTAGTGGACAATCTCGACAACAAGTATGGGGACGACTACCGACAACGCAATTGCTGACGAATAACGACCTCCATAACAGCGTACTAGTTTCATCTAGAGGTGAAAACTTTCCATGATATGCGTCTGTATTCCGAAGGATTCTACTTGAACAAAATTTGAACAAAATTAGTGCTGCTAGAGTATCGGTGTGAGGTGTATAGTAGGACAGGAGTTCTTCATTGGTAAACATGCCAAGCCTTTGCTTATGTTGGATTAGCATTATTAAGCAATTCTCGAAATGTTTCTAGTCGCATGCAACTGAAGTACGATTGCATGCCAAGCATCCCTGTCGCTCTAATTGTAGCCAATAGGAATCGCACATGGTATTGTAACACATAGGGTCGTGAGCGGATACGTCATCAATCTTGTGTCTCCAAAAGACGATCAATTATAATAATCATAATGATGAATTCTGTATAAGTATGGTCTTTACGTCCTCGATGAATTGAACTTTTGTCATCATCAAACAACCTACAATCAGATACTCCAGCAACAACAGCAACAATCAAAACACTCCAGCTCCCGAGCATCAATTCACCATTTCCATCCAATCCCATACCATCATCACCCAAACAATAAAAATGTCTCCTCCTCGCCGTGCTCTCATAGCGGTCACTTCCGCCAATGCTTTGCTCATGGAGGGCAAGCATGTCACTGGTCTCTTCATCGCCGAAGCGCTTCACCCTTACAATGTCCTCACCGCGGCCGGCTTCGAAGTCGACCTCGCATCTGAGACTGGCAAATACACCGCGGATTGGCTCTCTGAGCAGCCCGACTTCCTGAACGGCAAGGACCTCGAAACCTGGAAAGACACCAACAGCGAGTTCCGCAAGAAGCTCGATAACATGCCCAAGGCTTCTGAATTGGACCCCTCGAAGTACGGAGTCTTCTTCGCCTCGGCTGGCCATGCTTCTCTGATCGATTACCCAACTGCCAAGAGCCTGCAGAACATCGCGGCACAAGTTTGGGCCAATGGAGGCATTGTCTCGTCGGTCTGTCACGGACCGGCTATCTTTGCAAACCTGATTGATCCGGCGACCAAGGAGCATCTTATCAAGGGAAAGAAGATCACTGGCTTCACCACTGAGGCTGAGATCGACATGGGGATTGAGGCTACAATCAAGAGCTGGAACGTCGAGTTGGTAGAGGATCTTGCTAAGAGGGTTGGAGCCACATGTAAGTTTGAATTTTCTCCTTGATTACACTACATCATGCTAACTTATATTCTCAGATGAGAGAGGTGCCGGTGTCTGGGATGACTTCCACATTGTTGATGGCCGCCTGATTACAGGCCAAAACCCACAGAGCTCGGTTTCTACCGCGAAAGCTATTGTTGATGTCTTTGACAAGCTGTGAAAAGGCCTTGTTCTAGGTGATACAGAAGCTCAATAGTCGAATGTGAAAGATGCTACATTGCCACGCGGTTTACACTGCTACGGTTTTGGGGCCCCTAGGGATAGACAGTGGAGAACGGGTGTAGCGGATGCGATATCTTCGCAAGCGTCCCTTGTCCTTATCGGCTCCCCCGGAACCAGGCCAGGGGTTCGGTATGTGGGGTTCGGGATTTTGAAAAATAGTTAATACCAATTCATCAGTCTTCATCAAACTCAGGGCTCATAGTCACCTCAAAATAAAACGTGCAATAATGTAGTTCAATAAAATCTAACATTATCTTTATAGTTAAGCTTTCCGTCGTCTTTCAAAATCCCACTCCGATTGATTAATCTTGGCAAAAAACAAGCTCTGGTGCACGGTTGCGGGTAATGACGTATGTGTATTGTATCTCGGGAACGTTGCCGTGTCCCACCAACCTTATCGGGGTAGAGCTCAGGACTTCCCTTCTCTCTCTTTACATCCTCTTTCTTTCCCTAATTTCTCTCAATTGAATCTCGCGTTTCCGTCTTTTATTCTGAGCATTGCTAGCTATCTATTTGTTTGCAATATATACACAACACAGTCGTCAACATGGCTTCCTCAGCGGTTGAGAAGGTTCTCCCAAAACCTAAGATAGAGATGTACAGCGGATCATACTTCCTTGCCTGCGGCTTGGGCGGAATTGTCGGTTTGTATTTCTTTCGATTCAATCGCATCAGCAGCTAATCGCTCCCAGCCTGCGGTCCAACCCACACAGCTATTACCCCCCTCGACCTAGTCAAATGCCGGCGCCAAGTCGATCCCAAAATCTACTCCTCAAATGTAAACGGCTGGAAAACCATCTACCGGGACGCCGGACTACGCGGAGTCTTCTTCGGTTGGTCACCTACGCTTGTCGGGTACTCGTGTCAGGGTGCAGGGAAATATGGATTCTACGAAGTCTTCAAGTACCTCTACGGCCAGAAACTCTTCCCCAATACGAATAAGACTGTTGTTTTCCTCGGCGCCTCGGCAACTGCGGAGGCTATCGCTGATCTGGCGCTCTGTCCGTTCGAGGCGATTAAAGTGAGGATGCAGACGACACTGCCGCCGTTCGCGAATAACATGCGCGAAGGATGGGCTAAGATTGTCCGTGATGAGGGATATGCTGGGTATGTCTATCTTATCACTAAGGCCCCCTTCTCTCTCGCAGTAAGCTAATAAACACTAGCCTTTACAAGGGTCTCTACCCACTCTGGGCCCGCCAGATCCCTTATACTATGGTTAAGTTCGCGACGTTCGAGACAGCCGTCGAGTCCATCTACACGTACCTTGAGCGCCCTAAAACCTCATTTAACAAGACAGAGCAGCTCGTTGTGTCTTTCGCGGGAGGTGTCATCGCTGGTATCTGCTGCGCCATTGTCTCTCACCCTGCCGACGTTATGGTTTCCAAGCTCAACTCGGAGCGCAAGGCTGGTGAGGGCGCAGGACAAGCCGTCTCTCGCATCTATAGCAGGATTGGGTTTGCGGGACTTTGGAACGGATTGCCGGTTAGGATTGCGATGTTGAGTATCCTGACGGGTTCTCAGTGGTGTATCTTTGATAGTTTTAAGGTTGGCCTCGGCTTGCCGACCACTGGTGGCCATTAGAAGTATATGGAACTGCGGTTAGCAACACGTTTACTACCATAGCGATGTATTAATGCGAGACAATTAAACCAGCCACATTTTCAGTGGCGTTGCTATATATATCCACGATATCGCCATAAATAGGCCTGTCATTTAGGATCGAACTGTCTGTGCGCCCCCAAACCAACCGCATTCGTACATCACAGGCAATAACAATTAATAACACATCTTATTATGTCCACTATTATTCCATGGTAAAACCAATATACCGTGGGTTTACTACAAACACTGCGTTATGTCTTCACCTAGACGATATCCTTCTCCTCCTCCGCCGCCCTCTACGCCCCTTTGCGTCCTTTCAGCCCGCCTCCTCCCCGCCTGCTCCCCCACCACCAGCTTTAATTGAGCTCCTTAGAAAGGAACGCGAAGCGATTGAAAATGCTATAACTTATGATGACAATATTCTTGTCTGGATCGCCTATCCCGCACAGAAACTAGCGTTCTGAGCTTTCTTACACTCACAAAAATCTGAGATCGACAGGGTCGTGGCGCATCACCTACAACTAGAAGTGACAGCTTGCCAAATGGAATATGTAAATACTTAGGTATCAGGCAGTTTCAGCGTCTGCATTCCGGTTTGCATTGACCAGTTGTCAGGCACTCGTGTGCTTATTAGGGTACCATTGCCATACAAGATTGGCGAGCGAAACAATGCTGGACATGTAGACGAGAAACTTCGATGTGAGGCTACATCGTACATGTGGATTCAAGAGAATTCTCCTGAGATTCCAATACCAAAGTTGTTCGGATGTGTATCCCATATATTCCTTCCAAGTCTATATTACTTTACTGATGGCCAAACGGTATGTCTTACGTCTACAATTCTCTCTGGTCAATTATAGAACCAATTTAATAATGGCAACAGTTTACCACCGCTGAAAAGGTTCCCTTTCTTCGTCGACTTGTCTGGCGAATGAACAGAGCATTTCGATCTTTATTACGACTACCAACTACATGCCACTATGTGGCGCGCAGCTATCCTGATACTCTGAAGACTGGGTATCTAATTATGAGCTATGTCACTGACGGAGCGATGCCTACTAAGTCTTGGGCAGCACATCGCCATGATGGCGCGCGGCGTTCCAACCTCTTCCATGGCCTGACTCGTATCATGCTTTCTCTCGGCAAGTCACGCCTTCCGCGCATCGGTTCCTTTACCTTGGATAATTCTGGCATCATATCTCTTACAAATCACCCACTTACTCTCCGGCTTCAAGCCTTGGAAAACGACGGCACTGACACAGGTATTAGCAGGGACTACACTTATTCAGCAGTGGACCAGTATCTTTTCGATTTTCTAAACTGTCATAATAGTCGCATATATCAACAGCCAAATTCAGTCCATCACCAAGATGACGGCCGCCAGCAGTTTGCCGCTCTTACTATGATGAGGGCTATTATTCCGCATTTTGTTGACCGCAATCTTCCGCATGTGCCGTTTATATTCACTTTGACGGATATGCACCAGAGCAACATTTTTGGAATATTACTTCGCTGATTGACTTGGAGTGGGGCTACTCTTTGCCTGTCGAGTTGCAAGGTCCTCCCTACTGGTTATCAGGGCGACCTGTTGATGGGATGCCTCCGGGTGAACAACACCTTGAAGCCTTTGGAGACATGGTCACAGAATTCATCAAGGCGTTCGAGGTCGAAGATGCTCTTGTTATAGACAAGGGGCAACCGTTATTCCAATCAACGATTATGAGGAAGTGCTGGGAGACCGGGAGCTTCTGGTATTTTCATGCGGTGAACAGTCCAAAGGGTATGTATACTCTCTTCAATGATCATATCCAGCGCATATTCTGTGCCGAACACTGCGATACGACGCTTTTCGACAGGGTGGTATCATCATATTGGGCCGTGATGTTGACGCTGTGATTGAGGAGAAGCTCAAGGAAGAAGATCATTATAAAGAGCAACTACGGATTGCGTTCATCGCCGACCCTGGTCTCATGGATAGCACCCGTAAGTGATATACGCTTGGTTTGATCATGAAGTTGGACGAGCGATTAGCGATGAGATTTACTTGGGCGGATATATTAATAAATATCGCGGGGAGTTATAACGGTGTACCATACCCATACATTTTCACAGGCGAAAATGAGACCCTAGCACACAAGCGTCTTAATCAGAAACCAAAATGCATTCTATGGATATTTTCACAAATGCAAATGCGTACTATAACAACGGCGTGTCATGCGCCCCAGGACTAATGGGATCTCCGGCATCACCCCCGCCTCTCAATAATCCATCTCCATCGTCTTCTTCCTCTTCCCTCGCCATTCTCACCTGGTTATATTCGGTTCCGTCAACAGTATCTCTCCTCGAACTTCCCGCTCCATTAAGGACATATGATATGTCCTTCTTTGTGAGGAGCCCCTGTAAAACTCCGCGACTGGTGAAGAGAATGTATCGGAGGCCAAGCTTCTGGAAGTAAGTCGCCGTTAACTGCATTGTTGACCGGCCCGGGAGAGTAATGGGTGTCTGGTCCATCCAGGGCCGGAGATCAAGCGTGCTTTGAGGGTCAGCAAGTGGCTGGTGTGCAAAGAATACTTCCGTCTCTGGCGGGAGGTTGCGGGGGTGTCGGGTGGAGACGTGGAGATTGTAGATGAGCTCGCCCCGGGATATATATCCCAGGAGAATGGCGCTGCGCAGATCCGAAATGACCGGAAATCCACGGTAGGGATTGGCAGCTAATATGTCCTTCAAAGACCCAATTGTGTGGCCTGTTGCAGTAAGAACGATGAGATCGTCAATCCGAGTCATGACATCACTAACTGGAATGTCTGGAATCGAGAGCTCAGAATTATCCAGGAATGGGTACTCATTTGCGTGGATCCAGCTCTCATAAATTCCTCGCTTCCCAAAGGCGTCGCCAACCCACTTGCTAACCATGACGGCGATCATAATTGGTAAGACATAGGTCAACGCGCCTGTAAGCTCGAACATGATGACAACAATTGAGACGGTCATTCGAGTAACACCTCCGAGTGCGGCTGCGGCACCAATGATGGCATACGTCCCAGGGACAACGCATGTAACATCAGGCGCGCAAGCGGCGAAGGCAAAGAAACCTGGGTGGTTCCGCACCCAAATCTCCATAATAATCCCGACTGCACGTCCAAACAGAGCTCCAATAGCCATCGATGGCAAGATGATTCCAGCCGGGATGTGCAAGCCAAAGGTTATAGTTGCGAGGAAAAACCCTACAAGTGCGGCAAGGATTAAGAGAACGACGGCGCCAACCGTCGCAGCACCTTTCGAGCAAAGACCAAATTGGTCATCGACGATCGTAGAACATTCTGCAAATAGCGAGTAGACCAGTTCTGACGTCTGAGAACGCATGTAGATGTTCGGGTAGTTGATCAGGGCGGTGAGAAGGGCGACCACGATGACCAAAGTAACTGGCCCTGGAAGCCAGGTGGTGGATTTCTTCCATGAGGCCACGGCCATATTGGCTTTAATAAAAAGGCCACCGTAGATGCCGCCAAATATTCCCAGTATCACGAATGGTACCATTTCAAACCCATGGAATCCCGTAGTGTACGTAACCTGGTACAGCACGAGCTTGCCAGTGCGAAAAGGATCGAGAGTCTGCAGAGTAACCGCCGCAGCCATCGCACAAACGAAACTTTGCCACATGGTTTTGTCTGGGAAATAGTACGACAGTTGCTCAAGACTGAACAAGACCCCACCGATAGGGGTACCAAAGGCAACAGATATTCCAGCTGCTGCCGCTGCCGAAAGAACTTCTCGTTTTCGTGCTGAAATACAATTAGCGCCATCAAACTAAGAATATGGGAAAGCATACCTTCGTTATTATTTATATTAGAGAAAAACTTCATGAAAAGGTTTGCGCAGCAACATGCTACATGTACGAGAGGCCCTTCCTTGCCGAGCCACATGCCAGATGCCACAGCCAGACACTGTGCCAGTTAGCAACGGAAAATATCAGATAACGTGGACACATACCAAGCCGATGGATTTAACCAGCAGAGTCCATCCCCCAAGGAATTTATGAATAACAAAACCACCAAGAACAGTCTTGATCTCGGGTATCCCACTATGCTTCGCATAGACTGCATATGTCTTCACCAAGACGCTCGCACATGTCGCAAATAAAACCTGCAAAGTCAGTATAGCATAAGCAGCCGATGGAGGTGCACTTACAGAATATAAAATGTAGAAAAGGTACTCTATAAACCATTTCCCACCCGTAGATGAAACGTGGAGAGTCGAACTCCACGGAACCCAATCTTGGCACTTCGACCATTCTTCATAGCCCCAGCAGCAGAAGCTCTTGTTCAAATAGAACCTGCCCCCATCAGTTCCCGCAGAGCAGTATCCTTCTTTTATATCTCCCAGCCAGCCACTAGTTATATCAATCCCAGCAGCGATTAGCCCCACAGCGATCCCCGTCAAAACTAAAACAATCCAAATCTGGCTGGCATCAGCCATTTGACGTGCATAGCCAATTATTCCACTTGTATTCGAGTATAGTACCCGTAGGCGTTGGCGCTCCTTGGTGTACTCGAAAATCCAATCAATGGCTGTCAAGTTTTCGTATCCCACTCGGTGTCCTGGTCCTTCGATGACCCAGTCTAGACTATTGCCATCCTTTGGCTGGTCTGCTGGTAACCCGCTTCCACCCGTATTTCCATTCTGTATCGGTCCATCGCTAGATCCTGGTGTCGCCGTCCCTGGGCCACTCCCCGTCGTTGGAGGGCTTGTATTCTTTCGTGAGAACGGCGATAAGAAGCCGGAAAGCCCCATTGTGCCAGCGATTCCACCACTCTGTTTCCGCTTCCGCTTGAACGACGGGAACTCGCCATCGAAATCGGCTAATGGGTCTTCGCCCAGGAGGGTTCTGTCTCTATTGACAGCTGCGACAGGGTCGTCGTCATCGCTGTCATCCATCAAGGGTATATCATTATCGTAAGCGGATGATGGATTCGCAGGCTCCCTAGCCGATAAATTACCGATGATTGAACTCGGCATATCTATATGTTTCTTGGGCGGCCTCGCATTTCGAATGTATGTCCTCGAAGCTGTTTCGCGACGAGGCTGAACAACCAGGTTGCGCAATCTACACTGTGCCACCACCAGAGACACGGATAAATAATGTTCCGATACTATGAAAGGCACATCCATAGCCTTATCTAAAATCATCGAAAACCAATATCAATTTAGACGTCCCAACCTTCCTTATTATATCGTGCAATGATTTGATCAATATGGACGAAAATCGCTCTTCAACTGGAGATGGTCCGTCTGTGACTGCCCAGGACCCCTCGGCTGGATTAGACCAGATCCGAGGATTTCTGAAGGCTAAAGACGATACATCCAGGTTCGTCGGCCTCGCCCTCCTCAAATCCGTTTTAGATACCCAGGCTCAGTTACGAGAAGATGCTGTCCAAGTCAACTCTCTATGGGAGTCGATATCGCCAAAATTCCTTGACAAGCTTCTCCGAGCTACGAAGAATGATCATGTGACGGCTGATGAAGCGAGAAATATGATCGATATAGCTGTTGGGGTATTACATACATTTGCTATTATTCTGCCAGAGGAGTCTCGGGAGGACAAACGATTCATCGGGAGGATAGAACCCCTTGCTAATTGTCTTGTACAGAGGTTAGTGTCAAAAACCCTCTATATACACACGTGACTGACAATATCAAAGCTCTCCGGAAAGCGCTGTTTTAGTCTTGCAAACTCTCCTAACGCTGGCCAGTTGCACTGTTGGTGCTTCTCAAATTATTCAGGTTAAAGATGTGACCCCATTAACAGAGCTGGCTACGCAACAACCGCTTGTTCTTGATGTTATTGGGCTGTCCTGGTCCAACGCTTCCACCGCCAAATCAAACCTAAATATCGTGTCATCCAGTATTGACGACATCATGCCTAAGCTTATTGTTGCATTCAAAGATACCGATGCAGTGACATTGTTAGCTTTTACTGCCGACACTTTTTCAAAAGTACCGCCCGAGGTTAGTAACTACGCTCTATGGTCAAACACCGTAATTACTGACACCTTATCAGGTTCTCCGTACGGATCCGTCATGGCTTGAGGGGCTGATTATTCTGTTAAAAAAGCTTGTCACAAGCCGGCCCACTGCTACAGGGAGAGCAGCTTATATAGAAGCAGCTGCTACACTGCTTCAAGTATTTCAACAGTCCTGCCCTGGTCGTCTCTTCCGAGATGATACGCAGCGTGATGCAACCGCCAAGCCGTTCTCTTACCTCCTCGTTAATTTAATTCTAATCGACATCCGGTCTTCTTTCCCGACTCTTCTATCAAAATTAAATAGCTCAGACTATCCGTCGACAGCACGAAGGCTCGCCGGAGGCTTCGATGTAATTTCTGGCTTCATAGGCTTCCTTGTGCGAAGTCTTGATGATATTGATGAGGGAAATGGGTCTTCTACCCTAACCACATCTCCAGATCTTCTGTTGAAGCTCCGAAAAGACATTGCAGAAACAATGTCGTTAGCAATAGAGTATATGAGAGACCGGTGGGATGCATCGGTTGCTGGAGTCTCCGGTCTCCATCCAGAAGCTAGGACTGGAACGTCAGCAACATCTGAAGGCACTCGCCTCACTCTAACATGGGGCTCGATGGAGGACAACATCCCAGATGATCCACTGATTCTTGCAAGCATTCGGACGCTTGCCATTTGGCTGCGTGAAGATGAAAATGAGAATATGCGCAGCGAGAGCGCAGGTTTGACGGATATGTTAATAGAACTATACAAGACTCCGTCATCCAAGTCATTGGATTTCAAATATCCGATCTTAACTGCTCTGGAGGCGACCTTGACCACAGAAGGTGGGGTCGATGGGTTTTTGTCCCACGATGCTTGGGCAGTCTTGACGGAAGATCTCGAGTCTATCGTGAGATATACGACAGCTGAGCCTGCAAGCAATGTCAATTCCGAGGCCTCTCGGGGGATTGAGATAATTCGAGTTTTACTTGCCGTCGTCGATGACACAGCTGTTACGGAACCTCATCATCATTGGATGAAAATTGCCCAAACAGCAGCGTCAATGAAACCAGGCCCCAAGCTGATCGCGCCATGGGTCATGGAACTTAAAATTGCCATGATCCAATTAGCAGCTGCATTGCTGCATAAAGCTTCTCCCGGAATGCGGAAGCGATATCGACCTACTGCAGTAGCACTGTCTGGATTATCCCAGGCCCTTCAAACGCAGCTCAGAGATGGCAAGAATCTTATGCCACAGGACTTTCAGGATTCCATCGATGATGTTGTTTTGGAATTGGCCAATTTAGACTGAATGTTGCGTTCAAGTCTTCACATATGATCTCACGATAAAACAAATTAGTATTATCACTGCCATTATTTGTATGGATAAAGCGTCGGAAGTGGAGTTCAAATCGAAGGATTCCGGGATTCCGGGCATTTGACATTCCGATACTTCAGTTACGAGCAACCGCAGTCAAATTTACGTACTGCCCTAGGCGGAGGAAGCTGACATGCCTTGCCAGCAAATTGCCAGAAGGACGAATAGTGATCAAAATTGCCGGAATGGGAAATGTCATCATCTTCGGGAATGTGGTTTCCGCGCAGGGGCGAAGCAGACGCATTCTGGTTCGGTCTAAAGCTGTCAGAGGGGACCCAGAGCGCCAGTTCATTGGATTTGGCAGGGGGTAGGCGCAGTGAGGCCCTATTATTAGTGTGGCTGAAGTGCTCGGATCCCGGTCGACTAGCTAAATTAAGCGCGAAACCGCAGGTTCCCCTGCCATTGACATATAACAGGGCTTACGTGATATTCTATATAATATAGACGCTCTGGGTTCCGAATCTACGAAATATGCATTTATTTCTTTAAGTGTGACAGTCTCCAGCAATTGTTTCGTTTCTTTTCTGTATCATCTCTGCGATTTGCAATTACGACTTATAAATCCTCACTTTCACATTCCTCAGCAACCAAGCCAAACATGTTAAACGATTCCACTCACTACGATCCAGCCACCTACATCAATGATTCGGAAGAGAATCGAGATGACAAGCACCTAATCGGCAACCGGGCGCAAGCCAGCCCCGTCCCACCGATATCCGTCTCTCCCGATATTCAACAAGCCCGAAACACCTTCATGTCCGCCAACAAAGGTTTCATGGCGAATGAGAAGACCTCCTCAGACCAGCCAACTTACGGGCGCCCAATCTATATTACGCGACTCTGTCTGCGCATCCTCTCGCTCGTCCTGAGCCTCGGCGTCGTCGGTCTGGTAGCCTCCGTTATGGTGCGACATGCACAGACGAAAGACCTCATAGCTGTCAATCCCCGGACAGGCTTGACATATCGCGTGTGGCCACTCGCTACGAATTTTGTGCCCAGCAACCTGCTATTAGGGGCGGCTGCCATTGCATCGATAGGAAGCTTAGGGTTGGTAATTGCCAGTTTTACAAAGAGCGTGAGTGGCCCTTATTGATTTGAGAAGCGTCGAGAGATGCGACAGAGAGGAAGGGTACCAAAACTGACACAACGCAGGTACGTCGACTCACAAAGATTGGAGCTGTTACAACGCTATGTGTGTCTATCACGGCAACTGTGCTTTGGATCGCGGCCACGACATACTTCAAGCTCTGGGATTCGAAGAAGAGGACATACTTCGACCTATGGTCGTGGACTTGTACTCATCAGACTAGTTTCAAGACAAATGGTGTCGATATGGCCCCACTGTGCCTACAAATGGTAAGTCTTCAATCATTTATATGCTCTTCGGGGCATTGGCATTCACATATGTGACGGACTTGATTTGCTAACTGTGTGTAGAGAGTAGCATGGTATATCGCTGTGGCTGTTGCGGCAGTTGAGATCCTAGCGATTGGGACCTGTATTTTGGCGCTTCTGAAGGGGAGGAAGACGTACCAGGCTCTTGGTGCCGAGGGGTTGCGGTTCAGATAACGGATTGATGAAGAATGAACTATAGTACGAATGGATTGCTGGAGATAAGTCTTGTTATTTAATGCATTGGTTGGAGTAGTGTGTAGTTTACGAGTTAGTATTAAGATATTAGATTAAACGTATTTATATTGTCACATAACATAGTTATTTCTTGAAACACTGTCACAGTTAATTTCTCATTCAAACTTTGTATTGCAACATATACACATATTTCACAAATCAATCACTACTTGATCTTCGGCAATACTCCCGCCTCCTCGAGCTCGGTGAAAGTCTCATCAAGCGCCTCCCAAGTGTCCACAAACCCTTCAAATCCCATCTTTCTAGCCTCCGTCATATTAAGCACCAGGTCATAGTTCCTCCCCAGCACAAAATCCAAAAACTCCCACGTTGCCTGCTCAAACGCCTTCCGCTCCAGGCCCTCCCTCGCCGCTATGTCGTTCCACACTTTCTTCACCTTTTCGTCCTTGCTCCACTCGCTGAGTTTGATACGCTGTTCCAGCGTACTTGGCTTAACGGCTGCAGTGCCTTTGAGGCCGATTTCTGAAGCTAATGCATCGATGGGAGGGCGCGAGAGGGTGGTGCTTGAGGCAAGTGGTGAGGGGCGCGTGAACTGGTTGGCGGGGATCTTGCATTTGAAGCGCGCGGCGAGCTTGGGCCAGAGATTTTGCCAGGATTGAACGTCGCCGTTGACGACGTTGAAGGCACGGTTGGCAGCTTTGGGTGCAAGGATTGCCCAGAGCGCAAATTCTGTACTGAGTTTAGTTTGGGAGGTTTGTATAATTGAAGAAAAGGCTAAATCTTACCAGCGTGGAGCTTGCTCGAAGTAAAGGTATCAAATCTAGTGTAGAATGTTTCGGCGCCAGGGAAAGGAAGCTCTTGATTGATCTCTTTGTTGATAGCAGCATAAATTCCAAGACTGGTGGAGAGGTTCATGAAATTTCCTGATTGGTTTAGTATGGCATATGAGTATTAAGAAAGATAATGCGTACCACGAGCCATCCCAATGACGTCGTTAGGGTATGTCACAACCTGTTATTTCTTGTCAGCAAACGCCCATATTCTGGGAACAGAATCGGCATACCCATTCCCAGCCTCCATTGGCAGCTTGCTTTTTCAGGATCTCTTGCTGGTTGTAATAGAAATTAGGGGGCCACTCCGAACCCGTCAACCACGGGTCAGACTCCTCCATTGGGTTCTTTGCTTGTCCAAGGTGGACTCCATACTGCTTTGCCCCTGTCACCAGCAGCACTCTCTTCAGCTTCTTATTAGCGCCCGTAATCTTCAGTGCCTCCAAGAAGTTCTCTAGAAGGGCGCCATTAACATCCCAACTCTCTTGCTCTGACTCTTTCTGGATGTAAGCTGCGAAGAACAAATATTCGGCTTCGACGCCTTTCAGTTCATTCGCAATGGAATTGGGGTCTCCACTTAGATCCACATGGCGATGCTTCACTGTAGAGGGGTATTCCTCTTTCTGGGACCTTGAGATGGCATGGATAGTAGACCATTGTTTCTGGTCTTTCCCGAGTGCCAGGACTATCTCACGCCCAAGTATTCCTTTGTGAGTGTTAGCAGACGCTGTCACGGATTGGGTTGGTGTATCCTGCCTGTCGCTCCAGTTACTATTGCAGAAGGCATATTTGAAGATATGTAAGTATTTCTATGTTGAAATTATCTTGCTGCATATTAGCCATTTATAAGTCAATAAGCCCTACGTTTGGCGTGACGTCACAGCTATATCTCGCCCTCCATCGAGGTAAGTCACATGACTGCCCTTCTCATATTCCCATTGACAACAAGTTTGTTATCCCCCTAAGCGAACCAAAACCTTATAAGGTCAATTAACCTACTCTCAAGTACGTTTGGTCTCGTGGCAGAGTGATAGCTCTCATTAACGTCACCAGACAATATGAAATCTCGAAGTCATTGTGGTGGGCGCTCCCCGCAGATTCCCTGAACGGCGATAAGGAGGTTTGGTTACTGGTTTCAGTCCGGTGCAGGAAGCTGCCAGCATCGGTTCGAAACCTAGTTCTTTTGTTAAATTTTCGTATTTTTGTCCCTGCTGCTCCTTTGTATTAACTATCAAACTACACAGTTGCCCATGTTATAAAAAGTGCCAAGCGAAGACTAAGATTAATAGTAGGGGTTTTGATGCCAAGTGCTCGCTTCGCTTGTGAGATAAAGAGAGACTGTGCATAACAGCACTATCACGCAACTACCGGAACTCGTTCATTTGGCAGTAATAATTTCGGTGTCGCTGGATCATGTGGAAGCGTGAGACCGATGGGCGGTATTGTGACCACTACAGTACTGTAAGAACTTCTTGTAACATAGAAGATCTTGTGCTCGGCAGTGAGCCCTCGGAACTATGTTGGGTGAGCCGCCTCTCGACTTAGTGATCGACCTGCTGCCACCAATCTCCACTAGCACGGGGTCTGGCAGGTGTTGCTCCACCCGACCACCCGGTAAGTGATTTAAGCCAGGGATCGTGCTTTCCCACCTTCTTGGCACAACACCTTAAATAATTCAACGAGAGTATCAGATACAACCTGGGGGATGGGCTTGTCTATTGTCCTTTAACTACGGTGGTGACACATTCTATATGGTTGTGATGCAAAACATCAGGGCTGGTGGCGCAGCTGAGTCCGTCAGCAGACCTGGATTTTGATCACGAGGACTCGTGAATCAACTTTACTGCTGTGAATAATTTCGGAAAGCCACCAAACTACGCACGAACATGCCAAGAATCGTATACCTGATATACTACTTCAATGAAATTAAGTGCGAATAAATACTCAACCGACTCCTACACCAATACTCTAGTCCACAATCCTCACTCACTCGTTGCACACCCTCAAATAAGCTAAAGGCAGTGGGCAAAATGGGCGTATCACAGAGCGCTCTCGAGAAATCAATCAGCGCAGCCCTTGGTGGTGACGAGGCCCTTTACGCGTTCCCTGGGAAGCCTTTCTATCAAATAGATAATGTCAAACCTTATAATCTTTCAATACCAATCAAGCCGGCTGCAATAACATACCCGAAGACCTCTACTCAAGTTGCGGCAATCATCAAATGCGCGGTGGATGCGAATGTCAAAGTCCAGGCTCGAAGCGGTGGCCATAGCTATGGCAATTATTGTATGTCCCTCCTCTCAAATAGAATGTTAAAGTACTGAAACCATGCAGCCCTTGGTGGAGTGAACGGTGCAGTTGTTATCGACTTGAGGCACTTTCAGCAGTTTTCCATGGATCATACAACCTGGCAGGCCACAGTAGGACCAGGCACTTTGCTCGGCGACCTCACAAAACGTATGCACGAAGCTGGCAACCGTGCCATGGCGCACGGCATATGCCCACAAGTCGGACTCGGTGGACACGCGACAAGTATGTATCTGACCCTCAACCACATTCTGCCCCATTTCTCAGAGTTCAAAGCCTTTCTTTCCTTGATTATTCAATTGCTGACTCCAATACCTTTGCAGTCGGTGGCCTAGGACCAAGCTCACGTCTCTGGGGGTCTGCTCTTGACCATATTGAGGAAGTCGAGATCGTACTTGCAGATTCAACAATCAGGCGCTGCTCAGCTACACAAAATCCTGATATTTTCTGGGCGGTGAAAGGAGCGGCTGCGAGCTTTGGTGTCGTGACTGAATTCAAGCTTCGCACAGAGCCAGAGCCTGGTGAAGTTGTTCAATTCGAGTACTCATTCACGGTAGGCTCGTTTGCATCTCAAGCGGCAGTGTTTAAGAGATGGCAGAGTTTGGTTGCCGATCCAGAACTTACACGCAAGTTCGCTACCAAAGTTGCCATTTCTGTGGTGGGGATGATTATTTCCGGGACGTATTTTGGCCCTCAGGCTGAATATGACGCTTTCGACATGCAAAGTAAACTCGGGGGAGAGTCAGTTGCTAAAACAATTGTGTTCAGAGACTGGCTGGGAGTCGTGGGCCATTGGGCTGAAGATGCTGCGTTGCTTTTTGCAGGCGGACTGCCCTCTCATTTCTATAACAAGACCTTGACTTTCAATGGCGCTACTTTGATCCCGGACGCGGTCATTGATACCCTCTTTGCGTATTTGGACAGAGTTTCGAAGGGAACGGTGATTTGGTTCCTCATCTTTAGCTTGGCTGGCGGGGCTGTGAACGATATTGCTCATGACGCGACTTCTTACGCCCACCGGGACGCACTGTTTTACTTCGAGTCATATGGGATTAGCTTGGTTAAGGTTTCAAAAACGACCAAGGACTTTATTGCTGGCATCAATACAACGCTTAAGAATGGGGTGCCAGGAGTAGAAGACCTTGGATCGTACGCAGGTTATGTGGACCCGGAGCTCTCGAATGGGCCGCAACAGTATTGGCGTACGAATCTTCCTAGGTTGGAGCAGATTAAGGCCGTCGTCGACCCCGGCGATGTTTTTCACAATCCACAGAGCGTGAGCCCGGCGGGTTCAACACGCAGTCTGTCCAAGCTTATGGTCGGAAAACGAGCCAAATTGAGATCTTTCTTCCGTCATCGAAAAGGTCGAAACTGATCATTATTTTTGCATCGTTAGCTCATGGAGTCTTGAATGGGCAGATTAAGAACTGCTAGGGGCTAGGTCTTGATTCCCAAGAAAATGATATGTCTAATTTCCTACAAGAGACCAAGGCACCACCACTTGAATTATGAAATAATAGCTGAAATCGCCCATAATTGTGAGCTTCGTATGTTAAATTCTTATTATCCAATCAAAGTATTTCCGTCTTCAAGTAAATACGAGTAAAGTGACGTTATTATACAAGGCGACTGTTAAGCCATAAAAGTCCACGCACTTAGTAATTCGGGCGTTTGGCGTGATAAAGTACTGCCCCCCTTGTGGAATATGTCGGCCCGTTCCGTGGCGCCCCACTCACGAAACTAACGTCCACCATGTTCGACCCTCAGGTTACAACCTGATGTCGGCGACGCCAGTAGGTTATAATCACACGTTTACCTCGCATTTTCCTGCTACATACCAAGAACTACATGCCAAAAGATAACATCCACAACCCACCTCACGCTCTAGAATCAGCCACCATGTTCATTAAGAACCTCAGGAGAAAATGGTCAAGCAAACCTGTAAGTCAACAGAGCGGTTCTGCCAGAATCTGCTCTTACCCGTACTGTATTTCTCTTACTGAGACTGTTTTCAGTGTGTAGCTAGCACTGCCACTCCACAGCTGTATCTTGCTTTCTATGCACGTCTGAAGTATCCCAACACATATCACTATGCTCTCCACATCTCCTCTCCTGAAAGCGCATCCAGCCCAGCAATTCGCACTATGAAGTATCACTGCAAAAATATTATCACGGTGACCGACGGCACTGTCTCAATACCTTGGGTTTACGAGGCAGTCAAGATAGACCCAGACTCTGATCCCCGTATTGTCGTGAGGATCCTTCTGGGAGGCGTGAGCCGCATAGATCTTGTGGACTCTTTGCTTGAAGCTGTTCCAGTTGGGCAAGGCAGCAAGGAGGATTTTAATTGCGTTTCCTGGGTCAGAGATACTCTGCTTCGACTCAACCAAGTTGGAGTAATAAGTCGGGGAGACATCTCTGACTGGGATGCCGTTGAACGCACAGGCTTAGACTATGTTAATGAAAAGAAGCAGCAGGGGAGGTTTGAATCTGGCTGGAAAGGCGATATTTCCAGAGTAGCTACTTTTGACAGGACTCTGGGGCGGGAAATATATCCATAGACGATCGGCGTCACCAGAGTATCACAAATCACGTGGGGGTGAGACGCGAACTTCAATCATGAAACTCCAGCAACAGGACTATCACTACCATATCCTCACACTCAACAACAAACATGTCGGTCTCACGGCTTACCACGATTGCCCTCCTTGGGCTAATTACCGTCGCCTCGATACCATGCATTATGATACTTCACTTCCGAGTTGGCACTTTCGACCTGATGGAATCCATCTCCCAGAAAGCCCCGCACTTGCTCCTCGGTGGGCCGGCTGTGTTACGCACGGTGTACTCACACTTTGGGCCTCTGGATGCGCAACTTACCAGTCTGATACGCTTCTTCTGGCCAGTTGTCACAGGGGCAACGCCGGAGCTATCACTTTTTGGTGTCTACATGGGTGGCCAACTTCTCTCATGCTTGGCCTTAGTCCTTATTGAGGGCGAGCGTAAGGGGAATGCCTGGAGTCCCATTGGGTTGTAGGTCTTCTTATCCTTTTCATCTAGTTATAAATCTAACATTCTGTCGCAGTCCAACATTCTGGGCAACGTCGTGGGTGTTTATTCCTTTCGGGTTTGTGCAACCAATTCACAATCTCATCCACGTGCTCTTCTCGTCTCAGGGACGAGCCAAAGGAGAGGTCGATGCAAACGCAATATCCGCCAACGCAAAGCGCATAGTGCTACTTCCAGTATCGTTGACCCTCGGCTACATCATCCCTTCATTCGTGATCTGCCTCCCATCTCCAGAGGTCGTATCGCATCACGATCGCCAGGGGTTCCTCATCGCGTGGCAATTCTTTGCTATATGGACAGCTATCTCGCAGTTTATTCTAACGAGACTGGTATCCGATAATATAATCAATCGGCTCCTGGGTATTGGAGAGTCTCCTCAGAGACGGGCGGCCACAGCACTCCGTTACACGTACAATTTCGTCCTTATGGTAACAGTACTTACTCACTCTCTAATTCTAGATACCGTTCTATGCCACGCTTTCATCCCGTCCTACTTCCCTGCAACTATCGATCAGCTGCATCCGCTCCTCGTTTTCCAACCAATATCGCCTTTCTCGAATGAGAAATTGGAGGCATTTGAGCGCGGCATACTCAGCCTTCTACAGTACGATACCTACTTTGCGGGCGCTAGCTCGCTCATCTGGGCATTGTATCTGTATAGCTGCGTGAAGCCGAATGCGACGTTTGCGGGGCTGGTTGGGAAAGCTACGCTCTTTACGGTATTATTTGGGCCGTGTGGCGCTGCTCTGGCTGTTATGAAGGAGAGGGATGAGGCCGTTTTTGTGGATTCTACAGAGAGTGATACTCCAAAAAAGCAGAATTGAAGGACGGCGAGAGAGCTGGCGTCCCCTTTCACAGGAGTCCGGTGCAGTTTGATTTATAAGAGTCTAAAATTGACAGTTATCATCGTGCCATTTTTTAAGTCAAGCGCATCCCATCATCACATGGCCCATTATACGGAAGTATCGGATATCTCATCCGAAGATAGTCTCTACTGAATATAAATGGTCATGATATCCGAAATATCACCCTATCCGTAGAATCCATCTGCCACCAAAGCAATCCCCGACTTCCCGAATAAGTTCGCATATTCCCCCACAACTCCCTCACACCAGCTTCACCAGCACAGCCCATGTCGCACCTCCACGTCGTCTTAGTTTTACAGTCCATATTTAACTTCCAGGGCGCCAATAAGACCTCCCACACCCGTGTCTCATATCGCGCCAAGAACCCTACAGTATCAACGTGCACAGCCCCGCCCCGCAGATCGTCCGTCCTCCCTGCACAGCCCCACCTCACCACCAATTGCTCCTACGAGCCTCATCGTCAAACACCGTAAAAGCATTGTCAGCACCTTACCAAAGATTAATGGACTCCCATTTGTGGACTGAAAGATACGAGGGCTATTATCTCAGCATGCACAATTTCTCGTTCCTGCGGGTGGCCGTCCGCCAAGCGGCTCTAGGGGAGCTTTTTGGACCCTAGCCTAGGTCCCTACTTACATACATGGACGACAGACGCGTCACCTTCGCCCCCCGTGTGATTTTACTACTCTCTTAGTCTTCTGTGCCTCTGTACATGCCAAAGAATTGATCAATATTCCAAAGCCCGCTATCCTTTCTAACGGATACGAGGTTGCCGGTTGTCCGTTTCACAATGGCGGAGCCAATCAAGGGGATGGTTTGCCCCGAGGGGGCCGGTTCTGACGTAGTTATCCGCAGCTAAGATCTTCTGCGCAGTGCGTTTCAAAATAGAAACTCTAGCTTTGTGGATGTTGAGCTGGGTTTATAAGACGGCGTGGAAGGATGTGATGGGGGTGATTGTAATATAAGAAAACATCATCAACCCAGAACGAAACGGACCTAAGCCAAACCAAAGCAGAGTGAAGATAGGGAAGCATCATAAGCCAAGGATAAACGGATCTAAACCATAGCACGATCGGCATATTCTCCACATATCGTTGCTCTACTGAAAGCATCGAAAGTTAGCAGTAGACTTTAACTACGTCCCTCCGCTCTATCCGCGTCACTCGTTCCTCGACACTTTCCATAAATCATATTCACACCCAAAATGCATATCTCAAACCTCCTCCTCATCGCCGCCCTCCCCGCCCTCTCCCTCGCCCAATCCCTCGATTCCCTCGCCTCAGACGTCCCATTATGTGCCGTACGTCCTCCCCTCTCCAACCCCCCCGGCGCAGCATTTTGCTAACACTTTCCCCAGTTAGGACCCTTATCTATCGCCGCGGGGGAGAACAACTGTAATATGGAGGCGACGTGTCTCTGCAAGGACCAGACTTTCATTAGCTCCTTAACGAAGAAGGTGGAGGCCGCGTGCTCGAAGGCTGATTTGGATAAGGTGGTCACGCTTGCGACGAATGCGTGTCAGAGTGCGGGTGTGACGGTGGATATTCCGGTTAATAATTCGACGACTAGTTCGACGGATGCTTCGGGGTGGGGGGAGAGGTCGTCGTCGGTGAGCTGGGTGATGATGGTTGGAGTTCTGGGGTTGGCGACGCAGGCGGTGCTATAGATTGGGGGTTGGGAATTGGGAATTGGGAATGGGGTTGGGAAAGAATTATTAGGATACCAGGATACCAGGATACCAGGATACCAGGATATTAGAGGGAGCATAACTTGCATTTGGGAATAAAGGATTGCATGGGAAGGGAATATATATCAGAGCGGCCCTGCTGATTCAGGTACCGTTCACGGCAGGGAGGAGATAGACAATAGAGATCGCTAGCATTTAGCCCTCGAGGGCATATCGAGGGCATATTCACGAATAGAACCGCATATTTAGACACAAGATCGATTTGACACAATGATTGAGTTTGCAAAATAGTTAGACTTCTATATAGCTCTGTATTTTATATCCATCCCCATCTAACCCACTCGCGCACCCGCTGTAAACTAACCAACCTTTTACAAACCCCCAAATCAACCCGTCTTATCTATCCATCTATCAACCTCCATTACCATTCCATCACCCAACACCCATTTAAAACGCAAAGACCTGGTCCTCAAGCTTGCTAACCGGCTTCGCCTTGGTGAATCCCAGACCCTCAGTGGCCTTCTTCATCGCGCTAATCATAGGTGGTGGTCCGCAAAGGAGAACCTTCACATCCGCAGCCGCCTTAGGCAGGAACTTAGCAATCATCTCTGGGGTAACGAAGCCAACGCCGCCAGTCCATCCCTCAGGAGGGTTGTTAAGGACGTAGTGGACACGGAATCCCTTATCAGCCGCGGCGAGCGCATCGAGGTCCTCCTTGAGCAGGATATCCTCCACGTTGACGTTGGCGAAGAGCAGGTCGATCTCAGTGGTATCTCCAGCAGCGCGGCCGCGGATAACGGCGCGGATAACCTGGAGCATGGGGGTGATACCGGTGCCACCTGCGATCATACCGAAGTGGCGGACCATGTTGGGGGTGTAGACCATGGCGCCCTTGGGGCCCTTGACCTTGATGGTCTGTCCGACGATCAGGGAGGCCATGTACTTGGAGATGTTGCCGGTGGGATAGGACTTGATGAGCAGGTCGAAGTAGCCGGGTTGGTGGTCACCGGAGATGGGGGTGTAGGAGCGGAGGAAATCCTTGCGGATAGCCTCGCCCTCTGGGTTCGTGGTGGGGAGGTTCGCGGAGATGGAGATGTGTTGGCCGATTGGGAGGCCGAGGATCGAGTTGGGAGTTGGGAGCTTGAAGCGGTAGCTGTGGGGGGGTGGTTGTCAGTGGGGTTTTTCAAAAGGGCGTCCAGACGTGGTTACTCACATTGCGACATTGTGGGAAATGATGGTCTTCTCCTTCAGCTCGAATTCTTGGAGGGCATCGGGCCTGAGGACTGCCTTAGGATCTGCGCGGTATGTCAGTGACCATTTATCTCATGGATCTCATGTTGTGGGAAAGGGGTTGTGGACATACAGCTGTCGAAGATCTTCCATCCTGCAAGAGCTGCTGAAAGAGCAATCGCATACGGAAGCCATTCGCTCTTAACGATGAAGCAGCCGAAGATCAGAAGGCCAGAAGGGATATAAATGCCATTGATGAAGGCGGACGACGTGAACTTGCTCGCAGAGTCGGACATGGTGAGTTGAGAAGCAGGGGTTGCCTGTGACAAAATTGTTGAGAGAGAGGAAAAGGCGCGCCGTGAGTAGAATTCGCAAGTGTCGCTTCGAACTTAACGATAGCGGCGCCGGACACTATAAATCAACACAATGAGGGGTAGAAACTGCAGAAGATAGCGCGCAGTTCTTAAGTTTATACCCGTGGGGAGTGTGGGGTTGGGACGGTTTATTGTTCGGCAAGTACGTCGAAAAGCTACGAATTGGATTTCTCGGTCTGGAACCGGCGAAGCGGGGCCGGGGTATGCTAGTAGGTGTGGCCGTCAACCTTGAAGTTCGAAAATCCAAGCAAGCTTATTTATTATCATCTTCCGGAACAAAATAACTTTACGCTGGTAATCTTTTGTAATATATATATTTACACTACGTCTATGTAGATGATTGATAATCTACCTTCAGCTGTAATTCTTCAGCTGCAGCCTCAGCTTCTGTCATGTAACCTGAGAATTCTTAAAAATCCAATGCACGTGCTTATAATTGTCGGAACAGACCCCGGATCGGTTCCGACGATTATCTCACTTCATGGCTTGGTAATTAAAGACCTCGGGAAACTGGCCCCAACTTCGCAGAGAACAACCATGTGCTTGATGGCTAGCACCGGCCTTTTTGCAATATACAAAAATATAAGCATAGCTAATGTATTTCAAAGAAGAAAAATGCAAAAAGAATGGGGTCTTGCCCGAGATCGAATCGGGGACCTCTCGCAAATTGTAGCTGTAGGGTGAGCCCTAAGCGAGAATCATACCACTAGACCACAAGACCCGTTGTTGATTTATGATAGGGGTAGGCTATACGACCTTATAAGCCAAACACATGTGTAGATATAGTTGAAATCAGGTCGACTATGAAATGGCGGATGCTCATCTCGTGCCTTAACATGCCTTTTATTCAAAAGTCTGAATATTATGTGACAAGCAAAATATTTATATAAATCTAGCTTCTGTTAGAATTATGGGTACTACGTTAAATATTGACTTATTAAAGGCCTCTCGTTGTGGTGAATAAATATTAAATATTTTGGGCGATAAATAATAAAATTTATATGACAGTAAATTAGAGTTATAGCCACCATAGTTGAATACCTATGGTCCCTTGAACACCAATATAGGAACGGTAAATATAAAGGCTAACATACGTATAAACCTATATTTGTTCATTTATGAATGACTTCTCCTATGTGCTTACTTATTGGTGCGTGGGGTTGACCATGCACTGAAAAAGGTCATCGACAATTCAGTAGCGAACGTAAGACAAATTTTAATAGCCCCAATATTTCAAGAAACAGATCCTGGGACGATGCCGGGATGATATCGAAAGACATGGCAGTAGTTTAAGAAGACACCGAAATTGTGTCAAAAGAGGTTGCAGTAGTTTGAAGAGAAGTACATTTTATACACCCCTATGCTAATGGTACAATATCTTCCGCCCCGGCAATGCTTCTATCCCAACATGACGTTTCCTAGATATACAGTGGTGCCAGTTTACTCCATCGTAACCTTGGCACCAAGTCCCTTCAACAGCTCCACAATCTTGTCTGCCTCCTCCTTTGGCACGGCTTCCCTCAGCATCTTCGGTGCCGACTCAACGAACTTCTTCGAATCCACCAAGCTCAGGCCAAGCATGCTCTTGATCTCCTTAATAATCTTTGGCTTCGAGCCGGTCTCGAAAGAGTCGAGCTTGAGGTTGAAGAGGGTCTTCTCGGCTTGTACTGGTGCGGCCTCCTCCTCGACGGCGGCGGCTGGGGCTGCTGGGCCGGCGGCGGCGAAACCTCCCATTGGCATATCTGGGATGTTGAGGCGGGTCTAAGGAGGATGTGTTAGTTATATAGACCAAGTTTGAGATAATGGATGTTAATGCGCTCTGGTGGAACAGGGGAAACGGCAAAAAGTTCCCGGGGAACATGCGGTCTTCATCTGAGCCATCTCAAACGCTCGCGGAGTGTGCATCTCACCTTAAGAGTAGAGACAAGGTCGGCAGTCTCGAGAAGAGTCAATTGGCTGATCTGGTCAACGATCGTGGAGATCTTTGGGTTGGTCGCAGCCTCTGTCGAGTTCCATCGCCGTTGGGCGAGCGTCGCAGATGCAACTCTAACTCCCCCGGCGGCCCTCAAGGAGCGAACGGCACTTCTGGCCGCGAATTGGCAGGATAAAGACATCGTGGGGTGTATGAAGGAGGGCGTAATTAAGGTATCTCGTGCAGTAACAATCGACACGCGCAGCTTGAAGAAATTCGAGGTTCCGTCGGCCACTAGCGGCAATTTGGACCTGGTGGAAGCGGCCGCGTGTTGGTCCGTGCATGCGATTTTCCATCGCTCCCCAAAAAAAAGTTCAGATACAGCGGCGATAACAAACCAAACTTCGACATTGAGTCGATGCCATACCCCGCGCCATGGACGAAATTAATATGTTCAAGGGGCACGAGGCAATCCTTCAAGATGAGATTGTCTTGGGGAAATTACCCTCTGAAATTCTCAGCATAATTCGCAACGGAAGCTCTCCACGGTATCTGGATGCGATAGCTGCTGCGGGTGCGATACCACGATTGACGACAAGGGTTTTCGCACGATTCGAGAATATTTTCGCAGACACCTGTTCAAGATGGGTAGAAGGAAGACAAGGGAAAGAGCAAGATCCTGCCATAATCGAAGCTTTTGCGAGAATTCTACCGTTTGCGCCGTACCTCCACGTTTATTTGGCAAACTACACCACCAGCCAAAGTAATACCACCTCCGGCCGCGAATTACGATATTTGTCGGACGAATCCTCGAGCAATATTTCAGAACTATCAGATGCGGGACTGCAGTCGCTCTTACTTGCAGGCTTCCGACTTCTGAGGTTTGATAGGGCATTATATACTGGCTTGATATCAGCAAGTAAGATACAAAATCTATTACGACATGACAACCTGGTAGTCAGATATCTTGCCGCGAGGATACTTGCGCTGCTATTATCGGCATCTGATGCGAAGCTCGAGGAGCTATTGGCAGCTCATGTGGGCAAGAACAGCCCTGTCATGGGAGATTATGACGGGGACAATATTGATTACGGATTTCTAAGTCTCTACGAAGCCCGGAAGATAAAAGATGTTGCTGCCATGAGGCTCGCCATGCAGGCTTCTGAAAGTAGACCACAACAGCTACAACCTCAAGGACTCTCCCCACTGGTTGTCAGGTGCGGGCAGGTGCTCCTCCCTCGCCCTGATGGGACGCCCTCAAGGGGTTCGTCTCTCATTACCACAATCACAACCGCCAACAATAAAGAGGACTTTGCGCAAGCACTCCTGTCAAGTTCTCCCCTACTCATACATGGGCTTTCTGGAGCAGGCAAGACATCATTGGTTAATGACTTTGCCCGGGAGCTTGGAAAAGAGTCGACTATGGTCACACTGCATCTCAATGAGCAGACAGATGCAAAGATGTTAATTGGCATGTATGCTACAGACACAACACCGGGATCATTTACGTGGCGCGCCGGTGTATTAACCACGGCGATCCGTGAAGGTCGCTGGGTTTTTATTGAAGATCTTGATCGTGCGCCTAATGAAGTTATCAGTGTTATTTTACCATTAATAGAGAGAGGAGAGCTTTTGATACCCAGCCGAGGAGAGACGATTCGGGCGGCACCCGGATTTCGTTTGATTGCCAGCATTCGAACTTCATTGAATATGAACGGACAAGAAAATCCTCCAGCGATGCACATGCTTGGAGCAAGGTTATGGAACAGAGTTCCAGTTAAAATGCCTAGCCGGCAGGAGTTCCAAGAAATTATAAACGGCACATACCCTGTGCTTCATAAGTTTTTGCCAGGAATTATCTCGGTCTATGAGCGCCTCTATTCGTTGGCTCAAAACCCATCGTTTGCCTTGAAAAGCAAAACTTCTTTGGGACGCCCAATAAGCCCCCGCGATTTATTGAAGTGGTGCCGTCGCCTGGAAGCTACCCTACTTGCTGCAGGCTCTAAGACTGGAGAAGAGCCAATTACAGAAGGGACTAAGGATGAGATGTTTATGGAGGCTGCGGACTGCTTTGCGAGCAGCCTTCAAACCGAAGAAGCTAGAAAAACCGTCATCACAGCGATTGCAGAGGAGATGCACATCCCTCCCCAAAGAGCTGCCCACTATTTGGATAACCACGTCCCACGCCTCAACGACACGGAAACGCATCTACAGGTCGGGAGAGTCACTATCCCCAAGCGACGAACATCACACCGCGTTAGCAAACTGTCCAAGAAGACCCGGCCATTTGCCAACACCACCCACGCGAAGAGACTGCTAGAGCAAGTCGGCGTTGCCCTGAAAATGGCCGAGCCTGTCTTGCTGGTTGGCGAGACAGGTATCGGTAAAACGACTGTTATCCAACAACTTGCGGACTCACTCGGGTACAAGCTCACCGCCGTCAATCTGTCTCAGCAGAGTGAGGTCGGAGACTTGCTTGGTGGCTTCAAGCCGGTGAATGTCAGGAGTTTGGCGATTCCCTTGAAAGAGGAGTTTGATGACTTATTTGCGGCTACTGGTATTTCTGCAAGCAGAAATCAGAAATATCTCGAGTCGATAGGCAAGTGCGTTGCGAAAGGGCATTGGACTAAAGCTTCCAAATTATGGCGGGAAGCGCCGAAGATGTTCGACAGGATAGTGTCGGATCTTGAGAAGCTCGATGCTGCCAAGGCAAGAGAAGGGCCAGAGGCTCCAGTGAAAAGGAGAAAGACAGAATCAAAGCTACAGTCTTTGCTCTCTCTCAAACCTCGCTGGGAACTGTTCTCAAAGAACTTGGAGCAATTTGATGTGCAACTCTCTGGCGGCTCGAAGGGGTTTGCGTTCACATTTGTGGAGGGAAATATCGTGAAGGCTGCGAGGAATGGTGAATGGGTGTTGCTTGATGAGATCAACTTGGCATCCCCTGATACCCTAGAAAGCATTGCAGACCTCCTTCTGAGTGGTTCTGGCACCAAGCCATCCATTCTTCTTTCCGAGACGGGTGAGATAGAAAGAGTCCAGGCGCACCCGAACTTCCGCATATTTGGAGCCATGAACCCCGCTACAGATGTCGGAAAGCGGGATTTACCTATGGGCCTGCGGTCGAGGTTCACAGAGATCTACGTGGACAGCCCCGACAAGAACCTGGATGACCTCCTAGCAGTCATCAAAGTCTACCTCAAGAGCTCGAGCACCAATGATGAGCGGGCCGCCCACGATGTTGCACGCCTGTACATGAACACAAAGCGCATGGCAGATGAGAAGCAACTCGTTGACGGAGCAAGCCAAGTCCCCCACTTTAGTTTGCG